AGATGCAATCCGGCGACCGCAGGCGCAGTCTCTGCGAAACACCGCAGGTTCATGGGGAGTCAGTCCAAACAACGGATGGACGCCCACGACATTGCGAATCGATTAATGCGCAAGGAGAATTATCTGATTGCGCTAGTGAACAAAGACATCTTAGATCTAACACTCCCTGTCCCTTTTCTCCGAAACAGGCAGCTCTTCTCGCGAACCCTCGAGTGGAGCATCAATCTTTGCATCATGGATTATGTCTTCAACGACCAGGGCCAAGTGAGGACGCTCTTCCTGAAAGACACACATCGGAAAGCCCTGAGCGAAGGCCTGCGACGAAGGTTCATCTTTGCCGGGGTGATGAATATTTTTATAGCCCCGTTCATTGTCGTCTATTTCCTGATGCATTACTTTTTCCGTTATTTTAACGAGTACAAGAACACCCCCGCTCAGATCGGTTCTCGCCAGTACACGCCTCTGGCCGAATGGAAATTTCGCGAATTTAACGAGCTCTGGCATCTATTCGAGCGGCGCATCAACATGTCCTACCCTTTCGCCAGTCGATATATAGATCAATTCCCCAAAGATAAGACTGTGCAGGTCGCTGGCTTTGTGGCGTTTGTCTCTGGGGCTGTGGTGTCCGTGTTGGCGCTGGCGTCCATTATCGATCCCGAGCTATTCCTAGGGTTTGAGATCACGCACGACCGCACCGTCCTCTTCTACCTCGGTGTTTTCGGCTCTGTTTGGGCGGTTGCGCGGGGAATGGTGCCAGAAGAGACCACGGTTTTTGACCCGGAATACGCCCTCCTGGAGGTGATCAACTTCACCCACTACTGTCCCAGTCATTGGAAAGGGCGGTTGCACAGTGATGATGTCCGGACGGACTTTGCCATGCTCTATCAGATGAAGATTGTGATCTTCCTGGAGGAGATATTGAGCATGATCTTCACCCCGTTCATCCTCTGGTTCAGTCTGCCGAAATGCAGCGACCGGCTCATTGACTTCTTCCGCGAGTTCACGGTGCACGTGGACGGCATGGGTTATCTTTGCTCCTTTGCCGTGTTTGATTTCAAAAAAGGCACCAACGTCATCTCGCAAGGAGACGCTGGACGCCGGGATCCCGCTCGGCAGGACCCACGGGCAGACTACTTCTCCACCAAGGATGGGAAGATGCTGGCATCATACTACGGGTTTTTGGATAACTACGGGACCAACAATCGGCCTGGGCAGCCACCCCACAACAAGCGACCGTTCCACCCGCCGCCGGCCTTCCCAACACTGGGATCACCCTCCGCCGTGGAGATGGGCAACATTGGTGACCGGATGTCCACTCTGGGACCTCGATTTGGCGGAGCCGCTGGTGGCGGGGAGTATGCCTCCCCCGCGCCGTCCATGCTCCTGGATCCGCACCATCAGCCGTCTGCATCGGGCTTCCGATCGGTGAATCGCGCGCCTTTGTACCCCCGGACCCGAGCCTCTCGCCTGTCCCGACCGCTGTCGGATCCGATCGAGGACGATGGTGAATCCCCGTCAACAGAGACTCGCGGCGCGGCGGCCAAGCGATCCCCGCATGTGATGGCGACGGGGTCTAGCGGGGGAGGGATCGGCACCAGCGACAGCAACTTGGGCGAGTCCTGGCGGATGAATCTCGGGGACGAGGACGGGGGCGAGGAGGGAGAGAACGTGGATGCGATTGCTGGGGGTGCAGGCGTGTTGGGCCTAATCCAGCAATTCCAGCGGGTGAGCAAGGACAACCGCGGGCGGACGACGGTTGGGATTTAGCAGTGTTGTTTATTACTATGAAATAGAAACATCGTCCGATGAAGCGATGAATGGATCTTATCATCTGGACCGGTGGGTAAGACGGCCTGGCCCACGGTACTTCATTTCAGTTGGGCGGCGTAATCTCCGCAAATGGACCAGTGGGAGGCCGGGAACAGCGCTTATGTCATCCCGCGCACGATAAAAATAGCACCGGGCTGAAGCGACCCAAAAAATTTTAATAACAAGCAATAAAAAACATAACATTAATATCTTCCAACCTCTTCAATGGGACTCTGGTGTCTCCTGAATAGACTCGTTCAGGTCGAGTGAGACTTTTTAACTGTTGAGATGAACGGAGGACCGCAAGTGCCCTCGTAGTCGGTTGGACCGACTGGATGGGTCGAAAACATCGCCCGGATCTGGTGAAAGTCTGGAACCTCACAGGCTCGCACCGACCGCTGATCCCTCGGTTGCTGATCCGGGGATATTGTACCCGATGTTTGTTTACCTGCTGCATACAGAGTATACTACTGTAACAGCATTTTGAGGTAGCTCGCTCAGGGAAGAAAAGAGAATTTAGAGACCGGCTAATGTCCCACCGGGCTCAACCGGGAAAAGGAAGAGGCGCATCGGGTGTGGTGGTGTGGTGGAAGTAAGGTACAGTACTTTCTATAGAGGGACCGCGGGACATTCTACCGTTGCAGCCAAGCATGGCCATGCAAGGAGGGTTGACTGAAACATGATATGATATGATATGATATTATCTGGCATGATATGCAATACTATCTATGGGTACTCTGTGCATACTGTAGTCGCAATCATCCGGATGGTGAATGTACTTTGTATGAAATTAACCCACTAGGGCTCCACGGTCGCGGCTCTTGGCTGCATCCGGTCGTTTCTGGGCCAGGAACAAATCAGAAGACGACCGAATCCTTCTCTGCATTTAGCTGCAGGCTCATTTTATTCATTTTATCCTTCTCCTGCTTCTTCTTTCTTCTTCTCCTGACCCAAAGAGGAACACTACCTCCTACTCCGTCCTGTCCGCATTACTGTCGACTCGGGCGATTCCGTTCTCAGAAGGATGTTGACGTGATCTCGTCCTTGCCCTCTTTCTTCGCTTTCCCTTCGCTTCCTTACTGTACAGATCACCAGCATTAGGCTCTGTCTCTCGCTCTCTCGCTCTCTTTTTCCTGTCTCGTGATCCACCACCTCTCTCGTTTATTCCTTTCGTTCCCTTTTCTTTCGTTTCTTTCTTGACCTCTCGCTCGTTAATTTATCACCCCCCTTTTCATTTGATAGACTGCATTTCATCCCGCCGTTCCATTCAATCTTCAAACTTTCTTCTTCTCTCGTACCGTGTCACAGCGATCCCGTTGTTTACTGGCCGACCATGTTTCGCGCCCGACGGTATCGAGTCCTACTGGTCTTCGCCGCCGTCTTCCTTTTGGCTCTGCTACAGTTCGCCCGACATCGTGATGGATCGGCCTTGACGTTTGGAATTCCTCCGCTGGCCGATCACCACAATCCTCCCCCGCCGTCGCCGCCCACCCCGGAGAACAACAACCCCATCGCCCCAGAGTCTCCCCACGGTTTTTCGCCAGAATCCCAAGAATCCAAGGCCTCGGAAGCTTCAAGTGACGCCCATGATGCTCCGGACCCTCAGGACACAACGACCGCCGACTCCACCTCATCCGAACAGTCCGATTCCTCGAACGAGGGCTCCTCCGAACAGTCCTCCGAGAAGTCTTCCTCTTCCTCTTCCTCCTCATCGCATGGCTCTCAGTCAAAAGAGGACGAGTCAAAACTAACCTCCCCTGGACACGGAAGACTAGACATCGGCGCGGGCGATTTCCATGGCCCGCAACCGCACTGGGAGAAGCCAGCGGAGCATTTTCCGCTGGCTCCAGAAGAGATCATCAAGCTCCCGACGGGTCAGCCCAAGGATCTGCCCAAGCTACAGGCGAGTTTCAAAGACGAGTCCTCCTCCGATAAGATGAGCCGCATGGATCGACTGGAGACCATCAGGGCGGAATTCGAACACGCCTGGAACGGATACAAAGCCTCGGCTATGGGTCACGATGAGATCAAGCCTCTGCGCGGGGGCTATCGGGACCCGTTCATGGGCTGGGGTGCCACCTTGGTGGATGCCCTAGACACGCTCTGGATTATGGATCTGAAGGAGGAGTTCGCCATTGCTGTCGACCAGGTGAAAAAGATCGATTTCACTACCAGCAAGCGCCGAGACATCCCCGTCTTCGAAACCACCATTCGCTACCTGGGTGGGTTGCTAGGCGCGTATGATGTCTCCGGCCACAAGTATGAAGTGCTCCTGGAAAAGGCCATCGAGCTGGCCGATATCCTGATCGGTGCTTTTGACACTCCAAACCGCATGCCGACGCTCTTCTATCGCTGGACTCCGGCCTACACTTCTCAACCGCATCGAGCCGACACCGACGCGGTCCTCGCCGAACTGGGCTCCCTATCGGTTGAATTCACTCGCCTGGCGCAGTTGACCAAGGAGGACAAGTACTACGATGCTATCGCGCGGATCACAAACGAACTCGAGGCCTTTCAGGGCGAAACGGTGATCCCCGGCATGTGGCCCACGAAGCTTGATGCGTCCGGGTGCAGGAACCCTCGGCCACAGCTAACCAACGAGTTCGAGCGCGCATTACCGTCGTCTAGCGTGCCCACCCCGGTTCAGAAGCCTCAGACGAGCCAGAGTGCCAAGCCTCTTCCCACGGATGCGAAGAGTTACGAAGACTTTCTCCAGCGACGGTCGGCGGATGGGCTTCACGAGGATGCGCAGCCGGCCAACTATGACCAGGTTTCTACAGACAAGTCCAGCGTGGACCAGTATGAACAGCAATCCGCCGTGGAGAAGAGTTGTACGGGAGGATTGAACAGTCAGCTTGCACTTTACCAAAAGTTCAGCTTGGCGGCTCTCGCCGACTCCACCTATGAGTATCTGCCCAAGGAGTACATGCTTCTCGGTGGTCTCAACGAACAATACCACACCATGTACGAGCGAGCCATGAATGTCATCCGCGAGCAGTTCGTCTACCAACCGATGGTCAAAGGCGGCCGAGACATCCGTTTCTTGGCCTCTGCCAAGGTCTCGAGTCGACAAGCCGAACCGGCTGAGCGTACGACATATACATACGAAGGTACGCATCTTGGCTGCTTCGCCGGTGGAATGGTTGCGATGGGAGCCAAGCTTTTCGGGATTGAGCAAGACATGGATCTCGCGGCCAAGTTGACCGATGGCTGTGTGTGGGCATACGAATCCACGAAGACGGGGATCATGCCCGAGCAGTTCCGGCTCCTTCCGTGTGCGAATGGCGAGTCGTGCGAGTGGAACGAGACCAAATACTGGTTGGCTCTGGACCCCCACGCGGAAGAGCGCAACGCGCGGGTCAACGAGCTCAAGGCGCAGAAGCAGCGAGAGCCGCAGGAGCCGAAGAGCGGCAACTCGATTCATGGCAAGCGGGAGTGGCATGTGATTGCGACGTCAAACGATGAATCGCAAGATAATGGAGCCAAGAGCGGCTCCGACAACGATGACAAGCGCTCCGTCTCAGACACGTCGCACGAGGAGTATGTGATCGGGCGCATCCAGAAGGAACATCTCCCACCGGGGGTGGTCAACATCCCGTCGCGCAAGTACATCTTGCGGCCAGAGGCCATCGAGTCGGTGTTCATCATGTACCGCATGACTGGCGATGAGTACTGGCGGGAGAAGGGGTGGAAGATGTTCAAGGCAATCTCCAAGTACACGCGCACGGAATTCGCCAACTCGGCGATTGACGATGTGACGGTGGACCACCCAGAGATGAAGGACGAGATGGAGTCGTTCTGGCTGGGCGAGACACTGAAGTACTTCTATCTGCTGTTCAGCGACCCGAGTTTGGTCAGCCTGGACGAATATGTCCTGTAAGTGATGGATGATCCGTGCTCGGTTGGATGATACTAATGACTCCTCACAGAAACACGGAAGCGCATCCCCTGAAGCGTCCGGGCTATTGATACCTATAATGCTGTCCTTTTCCTTTGGCCCGACTTTGCATTGGCGGTGGGGTTCATGATCACTTTGTTTATACGTTGCTTTTGTCCGCGTACGATACCAGATTCAGTACATGCGCATGTATAGTGATTGACATTCGTCGATTCGATGATAATAGATATTTTTGATGGCGAAATAATGGAGTGTCGTAGAGAAGATGGGACTGCACTCGATAGTTGTCAATAGTTGTACTTGTACATGTATAGTCCGAAGGAGAGGTTCTCCGTCGACTACGTAAGAGTGGATCTCCCCGCCCACATCATCCAAACTTGGTCACATTCTTGATCGCTCGCTCTGGCAACCTCCGTTCAGAAACCACATCATCCCACCCTCCCTCTCCCCCCACGGAGAGACATCCCCTCCCTCGTTTCGTGACGGGCGCAAGACGGGATGAGTGCAGAGACACGACAGGCCCGACGACGACGACGCTCGAGCTGTGGGAAATGGAGTCTGAGGTCTCCTTGGAGAATGAGCAACAGTTCTGGGACGGTCAGTGCCTTGCTTTTTGCTCTCCGCGTTCCCTTCTTGATTCGAGTGTACTGTCGCGTGGCTTGTGTTGGAACTCGATCTTCGCAGCGCATTCCTTGTTCTCGTGCTATCTAGCTAACGCTGTTCGTTGCGCAGAGCTCCAAGAAATTGTCTCCGCCCCTTGCTCCTCCGAAGACCTTATCGACAATGCACTGCGGTCTTATTTGAATCTCGCTACCAAGTACAAAGGTGCGATTATTCTGTCTGCATGGACCGGTGGAGAAGGATCTGGTTGCGTGGGACTATGGAACATAAGGCTGACGGCTGCGCGCGTGACTACAGATGAATATCTCCAGTCGGAGTTGGCAGTCTCCCGATGCTCGTACAAACTACTTTCGTCGACTGTGTTTGCGGACCATGCCGACTATGTGCGGAGACAGATGATCTACGGGTTGTTGCAGGTGCGCGTGTCTCTTTTCGGTACTCGATCTTGGGCCTTCTGACGACCACTGTACAGGAAGATGAGCCGGATACGCTCGCCGTCATTGCATCTTTCCTCATCTTCGACGGTCGACGGAATGAGGCCGTGCTCCGTGTGATGAATGAAGAGGGCTCGTTTCCGCGGCTGTTGGAGCTCTTGCAGGTTCAGAATAAGAAGAGGGGTGACGATGAAGCCGGACTTCATCGTCTGCTGATGGATCTGATGTATGAGATGTCGAGGATTCAGCGGATCAAGATTGAGGATCTGGGTGGGTGGTTCCTACAGGCTCTGTGTGATATGGTGGTTAACGGTGAGATGGCAGTGCTTGTCGACGACGACTTTATCAAGAGTCTGTTCGATATTATCGAGGACCTCTCGTACGATGTGAATGACCCCTACCATTATCCGGTCATTCGCGTGCTGGTGAGTTTACTCGGAAATGAGATGCTTCCGGTTGTTGATCATTGCTGATCCACGGTAGCTGGTCCTGAATGAGCAGTACATGATATCTGCCCACGACCCGGTGGATGACGGCTCGTCTTCGAATGTCTTGACCAACAAGGTCATCAAGATACTGTCAATGCACGGCAATTTGTACAAGACATTTGGTGAGAATATAATTCTTCTGATTAATCGAGAAGGTAGGCATTCTCCGTCGTCGATCGCCGGACTGGGTCTGACTTGTCGGCAGCGGAAACCTCCCTCCAGCTGCTCACCCTCAAGCTCCTCTATCTCATCTTCACCACCCCTCGCACATACGAATACTTCTACACAAATGACCTCCATGTCCTCGTCGACATCCTGATCCGGAACCTCCTCGACTTGCCCGAGGAGGCGTCCGCTCTGCGGCACACCTACCTTCGCGTTCTATATCCGCTGCTGGCGCACACGCAGCTGAAGATGCCCCCGCATTACAAACGCGAAGAGCTGAAGCGGATGCTCAACCTCCTCGTTCGGGGCCGGCTCTCCAACGGCGACGCGGATCACGAGAAGGTCATCGTGCATTTCGACGACGTCGACGAGACCACCCGGCGACTCGTCCTCCGCTGTACAACGGTGGACTGGATGCGCGATCCACCCGAAGAACAATCCCCCGACGTGGACACCGCCACAACCACGCCGCTTGACACCTCGCAGACGCTCTCTTCCCCAAGCACCGACGGCAGTTCTCCCGAAACCACCTCACCCACCAGACTGGACGAGCACCACCCGAAGCTCGATGCCCACCGCAACCTCAGCCAAGCCCAGCGGCTAGGAATGCACCTCGAACGAACGTCCACATCCAGTCTTAGCAGCGTGCAGGAGGTCGCAACGCAGCACGAGAAGCCCGGCGTCATCACCCCCAGCCGCACCAACACCGACCACCTCCGCCCGACCAGTCCCACAAAACCCAAACCAAAGATCAAGCCCCTTCCCCCGAAAACTCGACGCTGGCGCGGGAGACGCACCCATCCTGACGACGAGATCACGCCCACCGAGACACCCGTCTCGGCCTCCGCCCTTGGCAGCCCCGTGATCGCCCCAGTATCAACCCCCGACAGCGTCCTCCAGCAGCACCAACAGCACGTCGACCGTCGCAACTCCACCACAACATCCGGTCTGGCTCCCCCACCGGTTCCCGCCCACGCCCGCCGCTCCGCATCCAACCCCCCGCCTGCCGTGCCCCCGCCGCGCCGATCCACCCATCCCGCCGTGCAACCGCACCACATCTCTAGCCACTGCACGCCCGTCTCAAGCCCGTCCCGCGCGCATCCCCCGCAACAGGGCTCGCCTGCGTCAGGAAAACCAAGCCAGCCGCCGGAACCGCCGCGGACGCGTCGCGCCGGGCGCGGACGACATGTGCAGAGCGACTCGGGCGATAAGAGCGCGGAGACCTCCGTCGGGCCGGGGGAGAAACTCGACGGGGCGACGGTGAGCGTGGAGGAGGCAGTGCAGAATGTGTCGCTGCATTGAGCGGGCCTGTACATCCCTGCGTTTGTTGGGTTCTTCGCATCGCGGCGTTGGATTTTAGTTTCTGTTTGACATCTATTGGGTAATTTGGTAGTGTTACATAGCGGTTAGCATTAGAAGAATATGTGTGATTTAGCATAATAGCGGTTCGAGCATCGAATGCAGAGTGACCGTTGAAAGTCACGGTCTATATGGCGTTTTAAACGACGAGGCCAACTATTGACAGCGCCCTACGTGGCAGCTAGAATCCAACCATGAAGAGTCAAACGTAGAAGAATCAAGTATGTATTTTTGAAGATGCATAAGTACATGACCCGAAGGTGACTATGAGTGACGACGATAAGCGAAACGACCGTCTCACTCAGACCCCTGGCAAGCCCATCGAGCGAAACCGCCTCCAGTCCAACGTCCAGCGCAACGCGCCGCGGCCAGCACGACACCCGCCATACCAGACATCGTCATGGAAGCAATCCGGCTCTCTGAGCCGCTCAGAAGGCAACGATACAGACGAAAGTAAAAATACAAGACAAGGAAGAGTAAAACTGTCGCAAAGCACAGCAATGCAACAGAATGATCAACTCCGGTGATGAATGCCCCAGAACTTTTCCGCGTCAAAGGTATCCGCGCTATCCTTTTTCCACATATCATCAAACGCCGAGAACATGACGAGGTCGTCCGGGCGATGGTGGAACGCGCGCGATATCCCGGTCAGTGCGTGGTTCTGGTTCGCAGCGGACGGCACGGCCTGACCATTGGGACGGCCGTGGTGCGGCCAGCCGGTCTCTGTGATGACGGTGCGCTTGCCGCCGACGGCGGCAGAGACGCGCTGGGCCTGGGCGCGGACGTAGGTGCCGGCGTTGTCGGCGGGCTGGGTGGGGTCGAAGAAGGTGTGGCAGTTAGCGGCGCAGTAGTCGGAGGCGTGGCAGAGCTCCGGGTGGTCGATGAGGCGGTCGAAGGTGTCGACAGTGACGACGGGGCCTGGGTAGCCGGCGGCACGGAGGCGGCGCCGCGCGGTGTGCACGGCGTCGACGACCTGGGCGGGCGTGGCGTGGCCGCGGTTGACGAGCTCGTTGCCCACGCTGATGCTATGGAAGGTGGACCAGTCGCCGTGGGCGGCGTCGATGATCGGTTGCAGGCTGGCGGGGAAGTTCTTCAGGTCGAAGACGCCGGCCATCACGCGCAGACCGCGTTGGCGGGCGGCGCTCACGACCTTCTGCGCCTGGGTCGCAGTCCACGCCGTAGATGCGCACGAAGCTATAGGGGTTGTAGCTGGTCCAGGTCGCTGTTGACTTGTCCTTGGGTCCTGCAGGTGCCGTCGTTGTTGTAAGGGGAGTTACAGAATTGCTGAATCTGCGCTGGCTTGCTCATGAATCAGGTGGGACGCTTGTCGCCTTGTTGGGGTCTGATATGAATTGTCAAAGATGATCCATCTGACAGACAGCAAATACTTACTCCGGCGTTGGTAGTCGCAGTCTGGTCAACGTTGATGTTGGCAATGTTGTCATCGTTCACCGCAACGATCCCGTTGCGCGTGTCAGGGTCATGTCTGCCCACAACCTGTCCACTTTCTATATGATATTAATGATTGAACACGGAAGTATGACTGAGGAGCCGTTGGCATACCATAGGGAAGGGCGCATGCGTAGAAGCTGAGCAGCAGCACAGCAAGGATGTGGATTAACCACTTCATGCTGTCTTGAACCTACTGCGAGGGACTGTTTGCCGGTAGAGTTGTATGCGCAACGAGGACGATATAGGGTTATCAGAGATCGGGAGAAAGAAGAAGGCGGGTTGAAGATCCCAGCCAGACTCGCTGGAGGGACCGTTATATACCAGATTGAACACTTCAACTGACTGGTCCAGCCAGGTCTGTGAAGGGGAATGTTCCTGATTCACAGGGCGAGAGAGAATTTTGCCCTTTTTAAGCCGTTGTAAAGAATGCAGTGAATCAGTTCAGTAGATCGTGGAATGTCCGATCTCATACTCGAGACGTGTCTCTATTCACGCTTGAGAATGTATGGCTATTGAGTAACCGACCACCCCTATAGCAGTGAATTGATCAGTGTTTCCCACCAAGAAGCATGAGCAGGCTGTGCACTTATGTGTTCATGTTTATATTAAACAAGACGATCGTCAATACACGTCCTTGTTGTGTTTTGAGGGCATCAAGGCCACATCTCCTATCCCTAGATCCATCCCTGTTTAGCACGATTGTCTCGAACCAGCTCAATCCCACAGAGATAGAACAAGACCACAGATTCCAATGGACGAAAAGAAATTCTGTATTAAGACAATGTAAAAGTCTAATAATATCTGCAAGCCAACGCAGCCGAAGAGAACAGAGGAATGGCGCCACATCTTCATCCGCCGATGTATGAACGGGGAGCGGCTCACTGGATGAAGTCGGGAAATTATGATGTACAGCAGGAGGAAAAGGTTTTACATGATCACAAGAAGAGAAAGGGATAATCATAAGACACTGAATAAATTGAAGCGTCGTGGCGACATTACCCAGGATAAGTGAACCAATCCCCTGGGGAGGATTATTTCTTCTTGCTCAGGACTTTCGTAATCGCATGGCGAATGGTGGTTCCGGCTTTCTCGATCTCTTTCTTCGTCAGTCCGATCGTCACACAGACCTTCAGCGACGGCGGGACGATCTGTTTCGGCTCAAAGTTATCTTGAAGCGTCTTCAGCGGGGTAATGAGGACGCCATTCGCAAGGCACTGTATAATCAGTTAGCTACCATCCAACCAGTAAAAAGGCGCACGAAGCCTACCTCATCAACCACATCCTGAAGGAGGAATTGTTGGTCTTCCACGGAGAGCTTCTTCTGGGCAACCACCTCGGGCTTGATAGCAAGGATCATGATCGGATTCTCCGGCGCGCTAGTGCAGTACATCCAGTCGCTCCGAGGATCCAGCTGGGCCCACATGGTTTTGGTGTGCTCCCGCAGCTGGGATACCGTTTCGGGGCTGTTCTGCAGGAGGTTGATAGTGGCACTAGCCGTGGTCGAAAGAAGGGCGGGCAAAGCAGCAGAGAAGGTATACGCGGCGGCCGAAATACGTTGGTGGTGGACAATCTCCTCTGAACCAGCACAGAAGCCTCCTCCCGCAACCAATGGGCCGGCCAGCGAGCCCACAATCATGTCCACTTCCGCAGCATCAACATTCTGATGCTCGGTGACGCCGCGGCCAGTACGTCCGAGAACGCCAAACGACCACGACTCATCCAGGATAAGACGAAATTTGTATTTGAGCTTGAGTTCAATCTAGATTCCGTTGTCAGTAAGTTTCCCAACACGACCCGGACCAGAAAACATACAATCTTAGGCAAATTCACCATGTCACCGTAGGACTCAAACAGACCCTCGGTGATGATGAACCGTCTCGTGAGCGGTTTCCGTGCTTGCTCCTTGGTCACCTTGGCCAGGACCCTGTCCAAGTCTTCCATGTCGTTATGCTCGTACCACCGCACCATGCTGCGGGAAATCTGGATGCCCTTGCGGATCGCAAAGTTGACGCCCTTATCAGCAACAATGATATCTCCACGCTTGGAGAACGCCGGGATAACACTGGAGATCGTGGAAAAGGCCTGGGAGTAAATGATGCAAGAGGCAGTACCGAGGAACGACGCAACGTCCGCCTCCGTCTTCATATGCACATCCTGAGTACCGTAGAAACCACGAGGGCCGCATGGGCCGACACCGTAGTTCCGGAGCGTCTGAATGGCCTTCTCTTTGAGCGACTCGTTCGTGTTGAAGTTGTAAAAGTTGTAGGAGCCAAGATTCACGACCGTACGACCATTGGAGAGTTTCGACTTCGGACCGACAGGTCTGCCGTAAGCGGGAAACATTAGCATGCGACGAAAGAAGACGAGACGAACAGGGGGACAATCTACCCGACGATCACCGTCCGCTTCTCAACCTCCATTTCCTCCAAGGGGGTGGGTTTGCCCACAAGAGGCTCCGGCGTCCATTCGTCCACGAGATCGTCAATCTCATCCTCTGAGAGTTGAACCACGCCCGGCTTGGTCGAATATTTCGGGGCGAGCAGATAGCGTACTGCAAATAAGAAAAGGAATAACTCGACCGCTGACCGAATAGGGTCGTTTTGGTAACTGGACTTCACGTAGCGAAGGAAAATAGCAGAGCCAGGAACGCGGTGGAACAGGTTTGCAAGCTCATGGAGGAACTCCGTCAGGAGACGCTGGGTCTCTTGGATTTCCATGATGGGTAAAGGCAGCGCTCGAGGCGCAGAGGGTTTCAATTGCCGATCACAAAAGATAGGGGAAGGTGAAGTAGGGAAATCAATTAATGATGAAATGAATATCAAAGCATCTGTCTGTCACAGTCACCGTCCGAAGGACGAGGGAAGAGAGAATCGGACGGACTGGCCGGGCCTGGCCTGGGCAATTTCCGGGACGGGATGCGCACGTGACTTTGTGCCTCAGGTTGCGTCGGGTCTTATACTTTGGTGCCTGCACACTATGTTCGTTCATCCAGTACGGGCTTAGAGAGTACTCCTCAAACTCTTACATCTTACAAGTCCAGATGAAGTCAAGGATCGATGTTGTGCGAGTGGACAAAAGAAACAGCAAATCCGCAAGTCTAATGATCATACATAAACGACAGCAACACAATTACACCTTGGGAGACGCAACACAATTCACAGAAATTGGATCCATTATTGCGGCCAGCAGAGCTGTGCTCACAAAGAGAAAGTTTTTCAATCAAACGCACAACACAAATTTATGGCACGACGCGGGAAAAAAAGAGTAATTTCAAGGCGCTGGATACTTTATACAGCTCATTTCCATGATTCCGTTCCGAGAAGAATAAAAATGTGGCAAAAATGGGGGGCTCAAATAAAAAAGGAGGGACCGGTCTCTTAAGAAGTAGTAGACGCAGCTGCAGACGACTCAGCCACAAAGCCGGCAGGCAGACCGGCACCAGTGTAGTAGGTAGTGGTGTCGTTGTTGTCGGCATCAAGCGGCTGCAAGAGGTCCATGGGGAAGCTCTTAAAGTTCTTCAAGATGTTCATGTTCCGGGCAATGAGCGGGGCGATGAGAAGAACCAAGAACAAGACAAGCATGGCGAAGTAGAGGATGGCGAAGCGAATGACGCGTCTCTTGCGCAGCTTAGATTGCTTCAAAGAATAAATGGGAGGGCGGATTTGACGGCTGGTTGCACGTTAGCAGTGGTTTCTTTGATGACGAAGAGGATTTGGTCGGAAGAATCAACGTACCTTGGTCGAAGCCAGAACAGCATGACCGAATGGAATTTGTCCATGTAAGGAACGCAAAGGGCGGGAAGCATAATGAAGAGGATAAGGTGACCCAAAACGAAGTCGGCGGAGAAGTATCCCAGTTCGGTGATCTTGCACAGGAACTCACGACCCGGCTGAGACAGCGAATGCCAACCCATACTGTACCACTTGCCAGTCCACCAGGCAATGTTCGACTGGTCATGCTTGAATTCACGAGTCAAGGCCAGGGAAATGATGAGCTTGTAGACGAAGCGTTGAATCGCAACCATGGCGATCATTCCGAGGACACACCGGGGCCAAGACCAGGACTCAAGGAAGAACATCACTTCAAAGATCGCCAGCAGCACAATGACGGCGATGGCGTGTGCGATAGCAGCAAGGACCGCACCGAATTTCTTGCAGCACATGCTGAAAATCGGACCCATACAGCAAGCCATACCGAAGAAAGCGCCTGCCACACCGGCATTGATACCAATCGGACCAAAGGCAACAATGGCAATTCGAATGATGGCATTCGACGCCTTGCTGTTGTCGTTGGTCTTACCAGTGCGGGAGTTGATATAAAGGTAAGGCACAAGAGTGACACCGACAAACACCAGAGGGGCAATGATCTCACTGAAGAAGATGTTCGTGATGCGAGCCCGGGGAACATCACCGGATCCTTTCTCGGAGGGAACACCGAGGAGCTTGCGCTTGTAACCAGTAATGCGGGTACGGGACAGACGGCAGAACCCGATCCAAGAGGAGGCATGCGACCGGGAGTTACCACGCGAGAGCCAACGGAGATAGTCCCTGTAGTCGATGAAAAAGTCATTCCACGCGAATTGGTGGGGGTTGAACAGGAACGGCGAAATGCACAAGGCGAGCAGAGACACCCAGAACCAAATCAACGACGCGGTCCAGACGGTGGAAGTCGAGAACAGAAGCATCATCAGGGACCGGGCGCCGGCATAGATCGAAGGGCCCGCGAAACGCGAGTACAACACACCGAACGGAATGCGAGCGGTAGCGAAACCACGTCCGGTACCGATGTAGCGAGCACCACCGAATGAAAGGTTCTGGTGCACAGCATTGGCGTAAATCTGGCACACAAACACCTCGAACATGAAGGAGACAGAGCCAAAGTGCTTGGCGAGACGAGTAGCCATACGCCACACACCTCTTTCCGTGAGTTCCTGGACAGCCAGAGGCACGAACGAGATGAAGAACACGATGAAAATGGAAATGACACAGCGGTTCACCCAGTCCACGATCGGCACCAGGTTGGCACAGCCAGTCGGACGCAGGGGATCAGTAATGGGAAGATCCGAGTTGTAACGGCAGATGATGGTCTCATGCTTCAGGGCACCCAGGTTAACGAGGACAATCATGAACATTTGCACCGAAAGCATAATGAACATGTTGTTGATGTGGAATCCAGGGTGAGCATAGTAGAACGACAAGAAGCGATCGAGGGGAAGCTGGGTACCGAGGTAATAGTACTCTCTGGACAGCATCTGCTCACCCATACCGGTTCCAATCTTGGTGGTGAAGTTCAGAATAGAACCAAAACCAAGATCACGACCCTTACCACACTGGAAGTACTCGCAGTGCTTGATGCGACCACCACGGCACAGAGCAGTCATACCAGCGTAGATATCTTCGTTCAGATGCAAACCCTTCTGCGCTTTGGAGATACCACCTCTGGTCGTCATGAAAATACCATTGAGGAAATCAGGGTGACCATAATGCAGCTTTCCGCCGATCTGCGCAAGCGTACGAGCAAACAAAGTACCGAACGTCTGTTCTTTACCGGCAGCAACGTCACCAAGCACGCCGACATTTTCGGAGAAAATGTATTCACGAGCACCGAGAATGGCAACGGGAGTGGTGTTGTCAGAAGGAATACCGGGAGTGTAAGGAGAGACGTTATCCGTGGTCAGTTCCTCGAACTCAGCCAGGACGCTGCGGATCTTCAGGCACTCTTCCAGGTAGTTGTCCTGGTTGGCGTCGATAACTTGGATGTATTCACCGCGGTAGAAAATGATAGCGTGGTTCTGGTTGTCAGACTTGCCGTCACCCAAGATGGGGTTACCAGAGAGCTGAATCCGGAACTTGGGCTTGCGCATTCCGTTCTCGAGAAGCTCGCAGTGTCCATCGATCAAAGCAGAGTACAGACGGGGTTCCTCACCCTCGTTGACAGGGGGTTCCTCATCCAGGTAGGCAATCTGAAGGTCTGGGTAGGCGCGCAGGAGGAACTCGGTGTTCTCCCGCTCTTCCTTGTTGAATTTGGCATAACGTTGCATGGACACACAGATCTTGAACTTGCGGCGAGCCATTCTCTCCAATTCCCGCTCCAATTTCTCCGAGTTCCCACCGAACATTTGGACAACCTCAGGGTTCTCCACACGATACAGAAGCTTGATGGCACGGCTGTAGTTCATGAAACCGGAGACCGTACGGTACAGAGTCTGCGAGCGCAGGGAGGACCAGATTCTGGTACGGAGGGTATACTCGGGAGCAGCGGACTTGAAACCAATGCAGTAGAAGGGCAGATCATCGATCTTGCTCTTGGCGACATCCTTCTCGCTCTTCTCATATTCGCCGTTGAACTGGGACGTTTCATCTGCCAGAATCTTAGTGTCCTTGACGAAGCAATCCCACTCGTGCGGGTGTAGCTGCTTGAGGTACTCCAACAGAGTGACGCGCGAGTAAGGCTCGTCTTCGCGAATAATTTCACGGAGCGAGAGCAGGATCTTTTCGCTGTAGTGGGGGATCAGGACAGTGAAGGTGGGCATGTTGTCGACTGGCAGGGGTTCAGGCATGGGAGTGGAGAGCGACTGAGCAAAGAAAGAGATACGACGTTCCGCCTCACTACCGGGGGGGAAGAACTCGGTCTTGAAAGACTGGTCTTCCTGGGAAACGAAGAAGGTAGGGGCACGCAATGTACGCTTTCCTTCCTGCTCGGACGGGACCTGATGGTAGAGGAGCTTCTGCACGTGGTCGATGGCCAGGAGGTGCTCACGGTACATAGAGATAATGACCGCGTTCCAGACCTGGGAAATCAAGACTTTGGGCTTATACTTGATTTCCATGTCGGTGGTGGCAAGGACCTTGGAGTAGATACGCTTGGGGAGACGGGAGAAGATATTCCTCCAGGGCGACCAGATGGACACACCAAGGTAGAAAGATCTCGCCACCGAGAAGACCGTGTTACAGATAATGTACCACAGGTAACTATCCAGGAAGAACAGTGTCAAGTCCATGAAGAACATGAGACCCAGGAGGATCTGGGGCTGGGCGTGACACAACTGGTTGGGGATGTAGGTCACACCAGCACACTGCCGGATCTTCATGGGAGACAGAATCCGGATAGGGTCTTTGAAGGACAGAGTCAGGAAGAAGTAGGATTCGGCCAGCTTGGCACCAAAGACACAGACCCAGAGACCGTAGGACATCCACATATCGTTGCCCACCAGACGCGGGAAGCTGGCAGTGAAAGTCTGACTGGCGACGTATTGACGACCATGCTTCTTCAAGTAGCTGCCGAACAAACCGCCCAGAGGCATGACGGCGAAGAAGAAGAAGGTTGCCAGAGCGATGAAGAAGTGGACAATACCAATGACCAGAGGAATCGTCTTATTCATGCTGCTGGAAAATCCAAACACGACCACACCAGGGGCCAAGTTGACAACGAAGACTGCGAGGAGGAACATTAACCGCTTGGTAAGGTGCTGAGCACCTGCCCACCGTCTCGGGACATACAGCCATTCCGCCAGGGTGGCCAGAATCTGGATGAATGAGACAAGGGCACCACCAAAGCCGACCGCCGACCAGTAATAGGCACCCGGCGGCTTATTGTTGACTTGCTGCTTGTAATCCTTGGTGTACAGAGTGGGAGCGTTGTAGGCCGTGAAGAACCAGAAGGCACCCAAGTGAATAACCCAGATACGGTTGAAGTTGGTAATCATGTGGAACCAGGAACGCGTCTCCTTGTAAGTCTTGAAGAACGCCTTCTTCCAGTTCACCTCCTTCAGCTTGGTCCATCTCTCGGCCGCCGGGATATCGACGAGGCGGGTCTTGTCTTCCAACTGAATGCGTTCGATACCTTCGGGGTACCAGAAGAGTTGGTTCATATCATCGTAACCGATGATCTGGTTGTGGTCGCGTTCACGGCGGACGTATTTGCCATCCATGATCTCGTAACCCTGGTCACGGCAGAATTGGTAGAGAGGAGTAATCACCTCGTTCAGATAAGTAAACTCTTCGACCGGTTCCACGCGGTTCTGGCACTCGGGCGAGTTGTAATAGTCGTCTGCGCACTTGAAGATGAAGCAGAGACACTCCGGCAGGAACCGGACCTGGTTGGCTTCACCCCAACAGAGCAGGTAGAGGGCGACCTGACGCACCCGGTCGTGTTGGGACATGCGGTTCATCCTCGTCTTCCACCGGTATTCCGCAGCCTCGAGGCTGTTGTCACCCTCGAGAGCTTCCAGGGTCTCTTCGACGTTCTCGGGGTTCTCCTGAGCCTTCTTCTTGGCGGCCTTGCGGGCCTTTCTGGTCTTCCGATCGGCCTTTCCGAGCTTCATGTTGGCAAATCCGACGGCATCGTCCAGGTCGAGATGGGCGGCAAAGTACCAGCGGCGGTAGTTGGCGTTGTCACCGCCGATATAGTCCGCATGAAGAGACAGGAGGGCCTGGTTCGGAGTCATGCGGGAAGCACGCGAGTCGAGCTGGGTCAAGAGATGGTCGTACATGTTGCGCATGCTGTCTCGCTGGAAACCGAACTTGTTCACCAAGTCTAGGAAGATGTCTTCGATCTCTTCCTTGGAGACGGGAACCTGTCCGTCAGAGGGCCAGGCGGGATAGGGCTCACGGGATCGCTGGCCAGCAGGGAGGGCATTCCCGTAGTCCATGCCATAGACGGGGGTCGAGGCACCAGACGACCGGTTGGCGCCGTAAGAGATCTGCGAGGAGGGGGGACGGTAGCCATAGCCGCGGCCATACTGGCTATCGGCATAGCTGTTGTAGCGTTCATCGCCACGGCCATAGTAGTCCATATCGGCGGCACGAGCGGTTTCGGACCTCATGGTGAAATCGCTGAAGGTTTCCGAGTCCTCTTCAGAATCGCCCCGGCGTCTTCTGCCGTAGCCTTGGGCGCCGCCTTGGTCGTAGTATTGGTCGCCATAGTACTCGTCGTGGTGACCGGCATCATAGTACCCGGCATCACCGCCGTGATACGCGCCAGCACCACCATCGTAGTAGCCACTGCCAGAAGTTAACAACTTGCTCATTGTGAGACGGTGGGCGGGGGGCTTTGTCGGACGTACCCTCTATCATAATAACCGTCGCCGTAATCATGATTGTCATAATAGGCCTGACCATGGTCATCCTGGTAGTAGGAGTCTCCATGGGGGGCGGCCTGATGGCCGTAGCCATCATCGTAGTGGCCTTGTGGATAACCGGACATGCTGGATAGCCACTATACACGCAGAACTGAGCTTCTACCGCGCGGAGTATCGGTCAATGTCTCTTCGGCCGAGGATCGAAAGGATGGAGGGGCACTTACATCAGCAGTAACCCATTAAAAATTAACCTGATGTTCCGGACTAGTAGCTAACGCATTCGCGGGAGACGATCGAGGGATGGTGAAGTAAAATGGACGCGTCGTCAGGGTTGTTAGGAGCAGTTCCAGACTGTCAAACCGGGTTGGAAGCGAGCTCGACAGAACTTTTTGGAAATGGAATTCTTCGAGAGTCGACGTGACTTTTTTTGTTTTCCTCTTTTCTATCCTTTGTCGTCGGCGGGAGCAAACGAATGAAGATCGAACGTGGACAGGACACAGAGGTCGGAGATGGGAGGAGTCGCACAGGGGAGGCAAAGACGCAAGACTAATGCAGGATTCGCCTTCGGTGACGACCTCCCTCTTCTTTCCTTGAAAACGAAGGTGTCGACAGAAGGAAGGGAGAGAGGAAGTCGAGAAGCGACGTCGGATCCTCGAGGTAGAAAGGAAGCAAACCAAAAGAGCGAACGAGGGATCCAACCAAACGAAGCAGCACAACGAAGCCGAAAAGGAAAGGAAAGAGAGATGGAAGGGAATGGATGGGATGGGATGATAGGGAGGGAGGGAGGGAAGAGGAGGAGGGCAATTGGGACTGGACTGGACTGGACTGGCTGAAAGAGGAATGGATTGTCCTCTCAGCAGGAAAATGCTGGCCACCAAGTGGGAAGAAAATAATATGAAAAAAGGTCAGCGTGGTTATTTTGGGATCACAATCATAATACCTACTAGTAATGATCCGAAGAATCATAATAAGAATAGAATACCTGCTAAGTTACTAGTAAAACGCGTGATTACCCCAGAGGTACTGTGTATGGTAGGTGGGTATTTCCCCTCCCATACATCCAGCACCGCAACTATCCACGTACCTAGGTACCCAGAGCAGGTACCGTCCACGTATCCACGGTGCGGAACCGTCGGCCATTACGCAGTATTTACCGCACTCGGTACGTAAACATTGGGTCTGATTGGTTTGTCGGTGGGCACCGGTGGCTGAGGACCGCTGTTTGAGTGTTTAGCAACGAAATTACGTACTCCGAGTACGTCAGGCTCTGTTTGCGGCCTCTTTGATGACTCCTGTACTGGACCTCGGTAGAATTGACGTCGAACAATGATGCATCTGTTTTGATATGACGATATACTACTGTTGTACCGGGTTCTCTGTGCCTACGATGGTATATTCTCCCTCAACCTCCCATCCAGTTCCCACGCTCAAGCATCCCAATGACTGGCTGGTCTGGACCGGGATTCCATGGAAAGGGTGGATGATACCCCCCTGAAACCAGACCCACCCCGCCAACACAATCCCTCCCGTCAAGGACAACAGTTGGACGGTTGGATGGATGGATGGACGGACGGACTGAATGGAAGACGTGGAAGACATGGGTGCGAGTATAGTACAGGTAGAATACCGGTTCCCGTTTTACAGAGTACGCCATCTGGTACCTGCGGCCTGCGTGTTTTCCTCGGCTGGTATGCAGGGATAGATACCACTTCCATAACTTTTTTTGGGCATGATCTGATTGCCCAGGGCCCCCCAACCACTAGGATTTCCCGGTGGCGAGTTCCTGAATGCGGTCGCCATGTCGTGGCTGGGATATTGTTTACTGCGGTTGCCATCGCGTCTTTCCAGTGGCATTCGCGATGGAGCTCCCATGCGATACCGTGTACCGCCGGTCGTACATCCGTGGTTGAGCTTGGTTCCTGAACCAGTAATCCGGCGACTTGAATCATCTCACGGCCGTCCATGTCTTTCCTGATCCGATCTCTGGATGTTGTACGGCTGGAGCCTACCTAGTCGGACTAGGAGGTGGAACTGATTTGCCACCACCTGAAGCTTCGCACGCCTCGCGCTGCGTAGGGTAATCATGACGTTTCAACATCGGATTTGGACGACCAAAGGGACAAGGACATGGATCGACTGAGTCGTATGTGCTACCGCCCACTGTCAGGCAGCTTGGCGGATGCACGGATAAAAGTTATGTATGCTGGCGAAGTTTAGTTGCTCCGTCCATGGGAAAGTGATAGACCCAAAAACGCTTTCTAATCCGCAATCAGCAACGACGCGGATCTTGGCCGAAGTCTGTTGAGATTGACGCGGCGATTAGGTTTCTTCTGCGGGTGAACTGCGCGTTTTCGTACGATCGGTGGCTCCGCCGGGGATAAGACTCCGAGGTGAGTAAGGTATGGAGTAAGTAGAGAGCGATGTGAGATTGATCGATCGCGGCGTCGTTCCTGGGACCTGTACACTGTATGGGTATGCATGGAGCCACGTTGACTGCAGATTCTTGCATTGGGTTTGAGAACCTCACTGTCATGCAGAGTATGTACAAATCCATATCAGAGAGGGCCGAGCGACAGGAACTTGGATTCGACTGTACTCTGAGTAGATACTCTGTACGGAGTAGGTACTCCGTATGCCTGCATGGTTTCTTGTGCAACAACCTGAAAAACACAAGTGTTGTAAGACAGGTGGGCCACTCACCCACATAAATCCGAGAGGCGGAAGTCCAGAAACTCTCCATGATCCATTCAATAATACCTTATTATTATTTATCACCAGTGTTTGACCGGCGTGTAATTTCCAGGCCAGTCAGATTGAACGATGGAGGGGTTCCACGGTGGACCAAACGTTCAGGATTGATGAAGTGGCTGTTAGAGTTTCTTTTTTGATGCTGAACCCGTCTTTGGGGCGAAGGATCGACAGCGATGGACGGCGAGGTGAATTGCGTTCTTTGGAACCCGGTGCCTCGTCGCCTCTCGACCATTAGATTGATGGAATTGAGTCGATCGTGGGTATGAATGTACTTGTACGGAGTAAGAGAAGACCATCAAACGGTTATTACAGTATGGTGGCTCCATTGGTAATACCTCATGCTTATGGACTCCACCGACGATTCCACTTACCACGCCACAAGCATAAGTAGTTACATCGGACTCTACGGAGTAAATGATTAAGGAGAGGTCGATTATGATTGAGAATGATGCACCCCTATTCTCCTCACTGTCCGATCGAGCGAAACGACTATTACTGTTGGGTCCGGATTATACCAGGTACTAAGGTGCTGCGGGTATCTGGTATCGTATGTGGTAAGTGGTAAATTAAGCTATCCAGTTTCCAAAAATATCCCACGCGATTATCGGCTCCGATCGAAGGCATCCGTGGAACCGAGCCCTCCGTTCCAGGGCTATCGTGCAGGAGACGAAGTCCTGAGTCGAGCTGTACGGAGTAGGAATGCATAAAGTACATAGGTACATGTACAGGTAGTGTGCCTAAGTACAATAATAATAGCGGACCCCTACCTACTCCGTAGTACTTTAATTAAGCAACATGACAGCCGTTCACTCCTATCGCCATATTCGGCGTTGGAGTACATACTTCCAGAAGAATCAAGTGTATCCACCAAGAATTAATAATAGCCCATCAGTACGGAGTCAGTCAATAATCATGGAAGAGATGGAATTATTGATACTACTAGGGGTTGCCTTCATAGATACAACAATATTGTAGAGGAACCGATAGTTGCTTACTCGGAAGTGTCGGTGGCAAAAAGCATCCGATCCGGAGGAGGCCTCTACTTACTACAATAGTCAGCTCTCCTGTTTCATCTTCCATCCAGGAAAGCATCCTTGCATGCATTGCGCTCACCCATATTAATAGAAACGGCCTGTTGGACGTCAATGGCTTCTCCTGAAAATCAGATCATGATCTCGTTACTAATCACTGTCTGGACTTGGTCATCCATCTCCATCCATCCATCCTTCCATCCATCCATCCCCTACGACTCCCCAGATAACTAACTATGTAGTGATGAAGGAGCTCTCTCGCCTCTCAATTTCGGACGGCTTGGCACTCCTCCCCTAGCCCTGATCTTCGTCGAATAATGCGCCAGCTCCGGGATCACGATCGACATTCCTCCTGCAGCGTTTCTTGGCTGAGGGGCTTTGCCCGTCCGCCTTCCCAGGACGGAGAGTTGCTGGCGAATTGATCCTCCAGAATGCCGAATGCAGTCGACTCGACACGGTCGGAAGACCTGAAGCTGATCTGTTTAGTCGGTGCAGTACAGGACATTGGACCCTGACGGCCTTCGGAGGCCCTGAAGGCAACTGCACCAGTTCGTGGCCGAGTCCAGTCGGCCGCGTACTCCGGAGTTGAGGAAGTTCAGCAAAGTTCAGCACCTCATCAACTGCCCGGATCACGCGTGACCAGCCATAGAGAAGGAAGCAAACTGAGACACTTCCAACACAATCACTCACTCACAACGGCAGTCTCGTTGATCGAAGCACCAACGGTGGAACACAGACACTGGACAAGCCCTCCTTGGCCGCTATTTATACATCACACCAGATGGTTAAGCTTGTCTTGGTCCTCCTTGTCTCTCCTGATCACCTCGCAAGGTGGACCGGTTGCGCGTTCCTGAGCCCTGTGATATCAGCGCAGTCTTGTCCGGACCAGTTGCACAACCAGACGAGCAAATCGTATGCCCCAGAGAGACGGGCGCTCTGCAAATCGCCGGATCAGCATCTGATCCTGTCGGTACAGGGAAGCACCTGTGGATATCCGTGGAGGTCCATTCCGCCCGGCGCGGTCTTGGCTGGAGCAGAGCGGGTGGTTGTAGCCTAGGACCCTGAGTCCCTGAACCCCGGGGCACTGCCCGTCCGTCATAGAAGAATGGGACAGTGTCCTCTCGTGCCGACGGTCGACCTGCTTCTTGATATATCCTAAACGCAAGACGAACGGTTCATTGTTCCTTCGTCCAGGCTTTCTATTTTGGTCTCGCAGTCACTCCTTCTGCGACCTCTTCTTTACCCTCTTTTGTATTAATTCTATTTGAATCATCTACGGCTTCCGTCTCTCTTTTGATCCTTTGCCCGTGATATCGTAGTCAGAGCCCTGGTTGGTTCCCGTCAATCGTTCACTGTTCATCGACATATTCACCATGAAGCTCTCGAGCATTGCCGCGAGCGCCGTGCTCTTCGCCAGCAGCGTGCTGGCGGCTGAGCTGGACCCGATCATCATCAAGGTATAATGGCTCGTCGCCGTATAACGAATCCGATCGTTATCTGACCAGCATTTTCCAGGGTTCCAAATTCTTCTACAAGAGCAATGACACGCAATTGTATGTCCGCGACCAGATCCAACTGTAAAGAAGAATTCTAACCTATCCCAGTTTTATGCGTGGTGTCGCCTACCAACGTATGACCACCTGCTAAACTGATCTCTCGTCCCCGCCGCTAACTGCAACAGAGGAGTACTCGGGCCCCAAGTCCTCCTCCAACAGCTTCAAGGACCCCCTCGCGGACGCCGAAGCTTGCAAGCGTGACGTCCCGTATCTCCAGAAGCTGAACATGAACACGATCCGGGTGTACGCCATCAACCCGGAGGCCGACCACTCGACCTGCATGAACCTCCTCACCGAGGCGGGCATCTACGTCGTCGCCGACCTGTCCTCCCCCGGCGAGTCCATCATCCGCAACGACCCCAAGTGGGATGCCGATCTGTACAAGCGGTACGTGAGTGTGGTCGACGAGATGTCCAAGTACACCAACACCATCGGCTTCTTTGCCGGGAACGAGGTCTCCAACCAGAAGAACAACACCGACGCCAGCGCGTTCGTCAAGGCTGCCGTCCGCGACATGAAGCAGTACATCAAGGCCAAGAACTACCGTCCCATGGGAGTCGGGTATGCGACCAACGACGACTCCGACATCCGCGAGAACATGGCCAACTTCTTCAACTGCAACAACAAGGACGAGAGCATCGACTTCTGGGGCTACAACGTCTACTCCTGGTGCGGTGACTCCAACTACCAGAAATCCGGCTATGCCAGCCGCACCGACGAGTTCCGCGACTACTCAGTGCCGGTGTTCTTTGCCGAGTACGGGTGCAACGCGGTTGAGCCTCGCAAGTTCACCGAGGTCGAGGCCCTGTACGGCGACAAGATGGCCGAGGTGTGGTCCGGCGGCATCGTCTACATGTATTTCCAGGAGGCCAACAACTACGGTACGCCTTCCCTCCCCCGATTTCTCCTCCATTCAACCACTGACGTTGCATCTCTCCAGGTCTGGTCTCCGTCGACGGAGACAAGGTCAAGACCCGCGAGGACTACAGCTACCTCTCGAAGCAGCTGGCCAAGGCGACGCCGACGGGCGTGAAGAAGAGCGAGTACAAGCCGACGAACAGCGCGCTCGCGTCGTGCCCCAAGGTCAACAACAACTGGATGGCGACGTCCAGCCCGCTGCCGCCGTCGCCGAACCAGGACCTCTGCACGTGCATGGAGAAGAGCCTGAGCTGCAAGCTGAAGGGCAACGTGTCGGGCAAGAAGCTGGACGAGCTGTTCGGCACCGTGTGCGGCTACGACGTGTGCGACGGCATCAGCGCCAACGCTACCTCTGGCGAGTACGGCGCCTACAGCGTGTGCAGCCCCGAGCAGAAGCTGTCGTTTGCCATGGACCTGTACTACCAGCAGCAGAGCAAGAAGGGCAACGCCCAGGACGCCTGCGACTTTGACGGCGCCGCCTCCAAGCAGTCTTCGTCCGACTCGGAGGGCCAATGCTCCTCGCTCCTCAAGCAGGCGGGCGCCTCGGGCACCGGCACCGTGCAGGCCTCGCCGACTGCTGCTGATGGCTCCGTCGCCAGTGCCTCCGCCTCGGGCTCGGAGGGCGCTGCGCCGATGGTCGCTCCTGGTAGTGTGAACGTCGGTTATGTGCAGCTCGGTGCGTACGTGGTTACCGCTGTGGCTGCCGGCGCCAGCATGATCCTTTTGTAATGGGCTGCATGCATGCCAGGCACACCGTGGCTGCGGTGGATATAACACTCACGTACGAGGTGTATATTAGCACTTTGATTAATACTGTTCTCTTGTTAAGACTGCCATTGGATGTGTACGAAAAGTGCAAGCGATAGCGTATAGAATACAATGCAGTAATTGAGTCTATGGCCCGACAGGGATCCAGTCGTTGAAATCCTGAAGGACATCATAGGAACATACAACAGCATAAGAATTGCAGTCCACGAGTCAGAAACAGGCTAGCAAGGGTAGCAGGTAGTCGTCACCGCCTTTAATACTGCCGGCAATAGGGCGTCACTCGATGGCCTCTAGAGGCACAGCAGGACATGAACATGAACTTGAATATGAATATGAACCATGGCTGGGCACTCTTTCGCCCATACTTTCAACTCGCGGTACTTCATCGGCATAATCAGAACATACCACGTCGGTTTCTATCCACAAAGACCAGTCAACACCGCAGAGTCTCGGATGTACCAGTGGAAGATATATACCACCCTGAGGTAGACGTCGAATATCTTGAGGACTATGTGCCCGGCGGATATCATCAATGCTTAGTCGGAGAGCCTGCTGGCAGTAATATTGCCAAGTTCAAGGAGGACAGCACCAGCTTAATGTTTCCAGTGGATGCTGCCAGGTCTGCTGCCGCCCAGCTCCTCTTAGGGTCGTCCTATTTGCATGCAAACGGCATCTGCCACGGAGATGAGGACAATTATGCTGTTTGTCTCGGTTTGCTGATTCCGCATACTAACCATATGCAGATCTCCATTTGCGCAACGTTCACTTACGATACCAGACTTGAACGACCTAAGCATACCTGAGCTATACCAGCGCTTCGGTAGACCGTACGAGGTTCCCATCCGACGAGTGGATGGAAAGCCTGGTGAACCCCACGCACTGCCGCATGTCATCTATCCTATGAATTTGAGTATCCCTGCCAACGAAGTGGACGACCCAGAGATTATCATTTCGGACTACCGGACGTCCTTTGTTGTGTCGGAGACGCCCTCGCCGACTCTATACACCCCAGCCCTCTACTCTCCACCAGAAGACTTCTTCAATGACCCCATTCAACCCACCGCAGCTGACATATGGACCTTAGGTATCATGTACGAGGTCTTGGGCGAGCGTCCACTTTTTGAAACGTTTGCCTGGGATCGAGAAGACATTGTCGCCGAGGTGATTAATACACTGGGCCGACCGCCTGTGAGATGGTGGAACTCCTGGGCCAAACGCTCCGAATTCTTCGAAGAGGACGGGTCGTGGGTTGCTGAGTTCCGCCGTATCAGTACTCCCGTCTTCCGGCCTCTGCGCCAGCGTCTCTGGGATATGGGCCGTGGCGAGACGGAGCAGACGTGTGAGTGGGACATTGCAGGCGGGGAACTCGGTGCGCTGGAGGACTTTCTCAGAGCTATATTGGCATTTGAGCCTGCGGATCGGCCTACAGCAGACCAACTCCCGGGGTCCGAGTATATGGTGAACTGGGCGTTACCTGTGTGGGAGAGGCAGAAAAGCGGAAACCGAACCCACCCTGCAGACGAGGAAAAGTATTAGGCTGTCCGCGCCCGAGTAGACAGGTTTCGAAGATCAGGCTATGTCTAAGATGAGCACTGCAGACGTGTCGATTCTTCCGCTATTTTCAGATTTCCATCGGGCGCTTCCCTCTTCAACAGTCCTTCGAGCCCGTCTCGACATCTTGACGGCCAAGCAGTAGCCTGACGACTGCTTCATGCCCGCCTTCGGTCGCACAGGATAACGGTGTCCGATCCCAGTTAGCCTTTGAGTCTGCTTTAACATCTTGTCGATCCAGCAGTAGCCTGACAACTGTTTCGTGTCCGCGCCAGGCCGCATATAACAACGGTGTCCGACCGAGGTTATCCTTCGAGTCCGCCTCAACATCTTGTCGATCTAGCAGTAGCTTGACCACCGCTTCATGTCCGCCTCCAGCGGCAAAGGACAACGGTGTCTGACCCCAGTGAGCCCTCGAATCCGCCTCGACATCTTCTCGGTCTAGCAGTAGCCTGACTACCGCTTCATGTCCGCGCCAGGCTGCATATAACAACGGCGTCCGACCCAAGTAATCCCTCGAGTCCGCATCGACATCTTGTCGGCTCAGCAGTAGCCGGACCACCGCTTCATGTCCACCTCCAGCTGCACAGGATAGCGGAGTCAGCCCTTCATTATCCCTCGAGTCTGGCTCGACATCTTCCCGGCTTAGCAATAGCCTGACCGCCGCTTCATATCCACCTCGAGCCGCGTAAGATAGTGGAGTTAACCCATCGTCATCCTTCGAGTCTGCCTCGACGTCTGGTCGGTTCAGCAGTAGCCTAACCACTGCTTCATGTCCTTCAGCCGCATAGGATAACGGCGTCCGACCACAGCGATCCTTCGGGTCTGGCCTGATCCCGGCGTTTGCGAGCAGTAGCTTCATCAATTTGTCCTCGCCCTCCTTCGCGAGTAGATGTAGGATCGTCCTCCCACCTTCGTCCTGACGCGTGGTATGCTGGAAAGTTAGGACCTGTACGAGTCCAGGAGCCGCGCATAAGAGAGACAGCAGGTCAACGGGCATAAGATACTCGGCGGAAAGCAGGATCAGTTCGATGGGGAGATGGACCCCTACCCTCGACACTCTCATTGTGTCAGTGTCGCTTTCGCGGAGATCCGGAAGCAGGAGGAAGTTCGAACGACGAAGAGGAATCCACAAGAAGAATAACAGCAATAATGGGTGCGGGGCGCAGTGTGTCCAAATTTGGAAACTGATGAGGATGTCTCATACCCAGCCCGATGATTGGTAAGGCACAGAGCGGCGGCCCCTATCTTTCTTTCTTTCTCCAAGATCACCACCACAAACCCGCTTTCGCCGTGGTCGACTTTCTTTGCTTGGATTGTTTTACCCAGGTTGAGATAGTTTGTCACAAGGAGAATAAAATGGCTAGAAACAGGTGGGATATGTTGTAGAGGGTCAGGTAGTGGTTGTTTGATGGTTTCCGCCAGGGTTAAACTGCACTCGGACGGTACAGAGCACAGCCCGCCACTTGTGTTGTCTGCAAAATGTAAATTTACATATAAAGACCAGGTGACGGCCAGATTGTTGCTGCATTTTGGACCATTCTAGTTGACACACTAATATATTGCCCTACAGCAATGAAGCGTAAACAGACACAGGCGATATAAGAGAAATAGCCACCTGAAGTAGCAACAACTATGGTAAAGTATTGAAAACGGCCTTTCATTGTCACGATCGCGAGCTTCCCGGAGACTTTTGCCTTTGGAGGTATCTGACTGGAGAGTAAAGTGAACTAGAAGACTGTATCCGGGTGATGGAGGGCCTAGGATGTATGCTTATAATACCTTTTACTAGGGTCTTGATGCAAACGAGAATATCAGGTGCATACTACTATGCCAGAGTAAAACCATCCATAGTTACTCACTTCCATAGTTACATTACCATAGCTTCCCCAAAGTCTATGTTATTATATCTCTTAATGCCTCCTCTCGTGCCCAGCATTTGCACTTTTTCTAGCTGCGTAACGTGCAGGATATCGATACTACATGACCATTATCAACTATGTGTAACGAGCATTAGGTGGGACAGCCAGAGACGCTCTTTCTGGACTCCATTGAGGTCAAGGTCTAGAAAAGAGCTCAAGTACACCATGCCATTACAAATATACAGTTGAAGAGAGATGATTGCTCTGATACTCTGTACAGTATACCCGAGCAAAGTAGCTGACGGCCGTTGCCGTGCCAACCACCTTTCACCCCGACGATCCGCCGTGTCAACATCGCTCCCGAACCAGCATCATCCACACCACAAGCTCTACCCACCCCAACAACATATAAATCTCCTGCCCGCAGCACTATCGATCTCTTGCACCCACCTACATACGTCCTCGTGCAGCGACACAAAAAATCACAGCTCCAGGCCACATGGCCCGTCTCAACCTCGCCAGCCCCGTCAAGGGCGACACCGCCCAGAAGAAGCCCAAGAACTACCGCAAGATCGGCCTGAAGACGCCACTGCAACGGCGATTCCGCGATGCCTCGCCTGGCTCATCCCCCGAAGACGACAACGCCTCCCGGTCCACCAGCCGAGCGCCCCGGACGACCGACATGCTCTCGCAGGTGAAGAGCCGCTCGCAGCGCACGGGGAAGAAGCCCGCCGGCGGGATCTTCGACATTTTCTCCGACAGTGACGGGGCCAGTGATCGCGAACAGCAGAAGAAGACTAGAAAGCACACCGGAACGTCATCCCGTGCGGCCGCCGAGAAGAGCGCGCTCAAGCTGGCGCCTGTCAACTCCATGCTGCTCGCGCCGTTGCAGCAGCAGTCGCGGGGAAGACAGGCGCGCAAGTCCGAGACGTACGACTACAGCAAGGAAAACGACCCCACAGAGCACCAGCAGGATGACGATGAATATCACTCTTCTATCAGTCGGAATCCGTCGGACGCTTCCTCGCGTCGGTCGCCTACCAGACGGACTATGCGTCAGGATCCTGCGGGAAATGCGAACGAGGACCGCCGCAGCTTGTTCCTCAACTACCGGCAGCCGGAGATCCACCTGGACGACGGGGAGAGTGAGGACAATGGCTTTGATTCTATGGACGACTTCATTGTCAGCGACAATGAGGATCCTGACTGTGAGACATCTGGCGACGAGCGGGCAGAAGACGAAGATGTCACCATAAAGAACCTGCCTCCACCTAAACCCAAGAAGCGACTGATAAAGGGAAGACGACCAAGCCCAGAGGAGGAGTTAAAGAAGGCGTTACAGAGTTCATCACAAAAGGGCACCTTCATTCTGGAGCCGTCTTTGCCGGCAGAGATCGTCAAGCTGTCTCCGGAGAAACCCAGACGATTCTTTCAGAACAGGAACAACATGCCGGAAAAGCAGGACACGCAGGACAGAGACATTATTCCGGAAAAGACGGACAACCAGAGGCTAGATGTCCACATTGACAGCGACGACCCCTCTTCACAGCTCCAGCAGGACCTGTTTGAGTAAGTCAATGCGCTACGGCATTCACCTATATGTACTGATACACTGACAATATCCAGTGCAATCACCAAGTTCAACGCCCTCTCCACAGAACCACAAGAGCCGACTCTGGAGACACCACCGTCCAGTCCCTCTGGCAACAAACTCCGCTCCCCCACCAGACCCAAAATTCACATCCCTCCAACACCATACCGCGAAAGCGTGGACGCCTTCTGGAGCCAGGAGGCTACCACGGAGTGGATTGATCAGCATTCTCCCCACAAACTCGACCAGTTCTTGAAGGACTTTGCAGAGGATTCTGACGACAAGGAAGCTGATAGAGACCTCATGCCTCGCCATCAGGTGACCAAGAAGGGGCCCAAGGGCCCCAGCAAGACGGCGTTGAAGAAGGCCGAGGCCGAGCAGCGCAAGGCCATGATGGCCCGGCGTAAGTCGTTTGACGGCAAGAAGGCAGCCCTTGCAGAGGACTTCTTCAAGACCCTGGACGACGCGGTCACGGGTGGCAGGATCCAGCAGCTCGCAGAGGAAACGGGCGGTGTCCAGATCACATGGAGCAAGACCCTTCAGACCACGGCTGGACGGGCTAGCTGGAAGCGCGAAAAGCAGGCCAAGGCCGAAGATACCCCCAGCACGTCCAGGCACCATGCCACGATCGAGCTGGCCGAGCGGATTATTGACAGCGAGGACCGCTTGCTCAACACCCTCGCCCACGAGTACTGCCACCTGGCGAACTTTATGATCTCCAACATCCACAACAACCCGCACGGAGCTAGCTTCAAGCTCTGGGGCTACAAGTGCAAGGAAGCCCTAAAGAGCCATCCAGTTTACAGCGGACGGGTCGAGGTCACCACCAAGCACAGCTACAAGATCGACTACAAGTATGTGTGGTGCTGCGTGGACTGCGGCCAGAACTACGGACGACACTCGAAGAGCATCGATACGAGCCGGGCGCGCTGCGGCAAGTGCCAGGGTCTGTTGCAGCAGATCAAGCCGAAGCCACGAAATGTGTCGCCCAGGAAGAAGCAGTCGCCGCAGCCGCAGCCTGCTGTGGATGATGTGGTCGAGGTGCTGGGGGCTGTTTCTTTGGGATGAGAGATGAGAGACTTGATTACTTGCTGGAGTTTGGTTTGGTATTAGCGATATACTGCACATTTGGCTAATGGAGATACGAGATTGCTGTACATATATCGTCTGCTGATGTAGATAGAGACGATAATTGATTGTTCGTTGACTATTACTAAAGCTATCTAGAGCTATCTAATTCTATCTATATACATGATGATACCAGCGGGTATCCATTCCATCATCATCGTCATCATCCATATAACCCGTAAACCCATGAATCCTACCCAACCCAGTCCAAACACCAAGAACCAAAGAACTCAAACAAACAACCCCCAATCCACCACCTCCAACCCCTCCACCAACCCCGCAATAGCCTCCTCCGCCAACTCCTCCTCAGCAGCCAACGCCCTGGGATCCCCACTCGCCTCAAACTCCTCCTGCGGCACATTAACAAACACCAACAGATCCGTCTCCTGCGCCTCCAACCGCACAAGCAAATAATGGCAGCTCGTGCGCGTCGTCAACGCCCCCTCCGCACTCGACCCGGCCGGCGCGCCGCCCACCGACCCGCCGCGCTGGTGTCGCGCCCGCTTCGGCGTCGTCATCGTCACCACCCCGCGGTACGCGGTCGCCGCGGGCACACGGCCCAGCGCCACGCGCTGTGGCGCCACCACCTCCGTCAGCGTGTCGTTTTCGTCGCACAGGTCGTGCACGTGGTACAGCGCGGCGGCTTTGTCGAGCGTGGCGCTGTCGGCCGTCGCGGTGGGGGTGGAGGGGTGCAGCCGGGCCAGGAGCGAGGCGGTCTCGCTCGGCGTGACGCGCTGGTTGATCTCGATGATTTGGCTGGATAGCGTCGTTGGCGAAAGGAAGAGTTCTTGGTGGTCGGGGACTTCGCGGAGGGAGCTTCGGGTTGTGTTAGTGGGCTGGTCTGCTTGGGTACTTCGGTGGGGTGGACGGACCTTCCGTCGATCCAGCCTTGGGGGATTATGCCTTTGATGGCGCCGCCGTAGAAGGCTTGGGGGGTGAGGTGGGAGCTCATAGCGTTTCTTTTTGTATGTTTCTTGTATTGTTTGTGGTGGGGTGACAAGAGGAAGACGATGAGGGAGGGAGAAAAGATCCGCGAGCGACTGTTGATATGACGTTTTGCCCCGCATGGTTTGATTGGTGGGTTGCTCAGGTACCTTAGGCGCCTTAGTAAGCTGTGTATACGTCTAGCTACAGGTCTAATAATTCTTCCATATAATCATCCAGCAAGATCAACCGGAACTGCGCCCCCCATTTCTCTCGAAACGCCTTCCGCCGATACGCATAGCTGGTGCCCTGAGAAAAGCTCACCAGCTCGACCGTCCACCGTCGCTGCAGCGCCCGTTCCACCATCCGCATGAACCCGCCCGAGAACTCGGCTTCCGCCGCGTCCCCCGAGGCCAGCACGATCGTCGCCGGTTCTGCCGTATCCAACAGGCTCTCCAGGATCTTCAGGTGTAGAATTTCGTCCACGCCCTGCTCGACCCATCGCTCCGCGGGGGCATCGTTCGTTTCTGAACTGCTGCCTGTATCCTGAGTAGTGCGGACCCGCGTGGCCCGTTGCGCTCGTACCGCGCGACGAGAAGGAGTTTTCACCTTCTGCACACGGTCGAGGATGTTCGTTTCGTAGCCGAGCTGCTCGCCTTCCTTGATCGCCGCAAACCGATCTGATCCGACCAGCACGCGCTTGGCGGCCGGCCGACCTCGCTCCAAGATCAGAGAGAAATTCTGGAAAGAGAGAGGCAGGCGACGGGTTCGGGTTTCGGCGGGAATGTTCCGTGCTGATTTATAGCAGTTGTGAAGTCCAACCATGATCTAGAGGGGTTAGTCGCTGCGCGTCTGTTGGGTGTTGGTACACTTACATTGGAGATATCCACAAAGACGTGGATAGGGCGTGAAGCAGCGGATTTCTTCTTCGATCCGCCATTTTGGCTACCGACAGGTCGTCCGACCTGGGCAACAAGATCTGCGTAATCAGGGAATTGATGGAGAAGTTTGGTGAGAAGACCGACACGCCGATCGGTGCTGGATTTGTAGATGGTCGGACTGGAATAAAGAGATCCCCTGTCGGGAAGAGGCGTGGCAGTCACAGGAGGAGGAAAAGAGCTCTCTGCGAGCTCATCGTACGAGGTTGGTGGAGTTTCCGTGTCGTTTCTCGAAGTTGCGATGCCGACCTGCGGGGGGACAAACGTGAAAACGCCCGAGTTCCGAGAAAAAGACGGATCGAAAGTACTGTCATTGCTGTCGGATTCAGCTTCGGTGCTGCTGTCTGACGTGGCAGATTCGTGTATGGTGCTATCAGTGGGGTGTGGTGCAACTTTCGTCGATCGGACGGTAGTATCCTGGGTGATTGTGAAAGACGCAGCTGGGGGTGAAGGCCTTTGTGAACTGTCGGTTCGGCTTTCCTGGACCGGTCGTTTCAATATCTTGATGGGTTTAGATCGTGCAGAGGGTTGATCAACAGCGGTTTCCTGCGTGTGTCGACTCTGCCGTTCAGGCAGGCTGTTGTTGTCTAGAACTCCCCATAAAGACCCAAAATCCCCCAGCTTTGGAGAGCCGGCATGGTCGATTTTCTGTTCACATTTTGAACTGGACTTTGGGGGAGTTGAAGTAGTAGTAACATCCCTGACCGGTTCAACGGAGGCAGACGATCCTTGGTTTGAGTCGCGGCGGCGACCATGAAGAGACTGGTCTTTTCCCAAGGTCGGTGAGTGTAGAAGATTGATCACCGCAGTGAAATCCCAGTCTGAAGATGTCGAGGTCGATGATGGCATTGAAGGATGGTCTATAGGAAGGACATGAATGGAGAATACAGAGTTGGAGATAGATGTGGCGGAGGGGATATAAAGCAGTCACTAGAAATCGCGGTCGTAATAGTGATAGAACGAGAGAAAATAAAAGGACTATCTGAAGATGTTGAGCATGTTGGTCATAGAGACCAGATCAGAGACCGACAACGCATCAAGCCAGTAATAGAAGACTGTTGTGGGTGATGGCGCCAGGCATGAGGCAATACAGAGTGACTCGAGGCGGCGGTGTGCGTTCTGCCTCTCTACACCGCCTGATGATACAGACACAACGGAAGATCGTTCGGAGCAAAGATGATCCGAAAGGCATGCATATGTCATCGACCGCTAATCCATATTGGGCTAGTATGGGGTCATCTCGACGTCATGATCCTTACCTTCCTGATTGGGAATCGCCATCTAGTTTCCATGGACTCAACGTCAACTTTAGGACATCATCGGGCTCACTTGCCACTCTTTCTGCGGATCGAAGGCTCAACGTCATCGCAGATCTCTCGTCATAGCATCGTCGTCATGTATGGCGTAGCTGTGCTCCCGGGGTCTTGGTTGTCCACGTCATTGAGGCTTGCGCTGGTGCTCAAGGGATATAAAAAGGGTCTAGATTCTGCCCTCTCGACTGGAAACAACAGCCGCATCACCATCGTCTAAACTATACATCCACAACATCAACATCTACAACTTTCTTACAATCTAACTCATCATGTCTGACGCCGGCCGCAAGGACTTCACCACCAGTATGTTCGCGCCACTCCTCATCAGAATTCCTACTCACATTGTATACAGAGGCTAAGGAGGAGCTCACTCCTGACTCCGCCAAGTCGACTCAGGACAAGGTCAAGGAGAGCTTCACTGATACCACCGACCGCTTCGCCCGTGGCGCCCAGTCCGACGACAGCAAGTCCGCTCCCCAGGAGGCGTGGGACAAGACCCAGCGTACTCACGACAACAAGGCACATGGAGGCGCCGCTGAGTCTACGTTAGTATTCCCATTTGCCGTCTGAACAACATACAAAGAGACTAACCCCTCCGCAGTATGGACAAGATCAAGAACGCCGTCGGTCTCGGTGACCACTAGAGCAGAGGTCTGCTGCTAGTACACCGTGAACAAGATTGACTATGATTCACGACGATATTTCCTCAATAATGTTTTCTGTTTATGACATGTACTCTGTTAAACCCCTGTATCTATACTCCAATTGATCAAGACATTCATCTCAATCTCGCTCCACCAGATACTCAAACAGAGAGTCTCGCTGTTGTCTCAGCGTCTCCAGCTCCCATTCTAGCTCTTTGTATTTCGTTCGAGCTCCCTGAACGTCTTTAGGAAGATCGTGAAACAACTTGATCTTTGACTCCAATGATTTCACTGTTTCTTCCAACCTAAACACCTCCTTCTCCTGGGTTTTCAACTCGCTCAACGTAGGACCAGGTCCCTTGTTTCGTTCCAACGACGTCAATCGGTCATGATACTCGCCGACTTTCGCGGTAAGCAATTTCGTACTCCTCGACCACTCCGCCGTCAGCGCCGGCAGATCTGCTGGTGTCTCATATGCGGGATCGCATTTGAAATCCTCCAGCTGTTTCCGTAGTGCGTCGAGCTCCGTCTGGAGGTAATTTTGCAACGCTTCCACCTTTGACAACTGTTCTTGGACGCTGAATTCCTCTTTGGTAAGCTCAATAACAGACGACCCCAGGTCTGTTGGCTCTGCAGTCAACGCCCCCAACACGGCGGTTGTCTCCGCCAGATCGTCGAGGTTCCGCTGGCCATTCTCGTCGAGGCAAACCTCGAGCTCATTCAAGAGTTCTTCCTTTTGAGGGTCCTCGGCGCCCTGTCGCGCCTTCAACCCCTGAACCGCTTGTTGGCGCGCGTGATGCAGTACTGCGGCCTCCTCGTCGGCCGCGTCGTTCGCTGCGGCTAAAGCCAGAAGAGTCCGCAGAGTGTCGTCGTTTCGTTCAAATGGTGGAACCGGATTGGGAGCGTACTGACGGCTGAGCCATGAATTCACATACGCCCAGTCTTTGGCTTGGATGGCGGCCTGGCGGGCCTTGGTGGGGGACGCGAGGGGGCTGTCCATTGATAAAAACCGAGCGTAGTAACGCAAATGTAGAACGCCCAGACCTGACTAACGGATTGGCCGTTTGCGATAACGTACGCGACAATTGGTGGTGGTTACAGTTGACTTGCGAATGGTAGAGGAGTGCGCGGACCGACAACAACGCCGGCTCGGAGGCCGAAGTATTTCTCCGCCTTCCCGCGAGTTGGCATCCTCACCTTCGTCCCTCTCTGCCACGCCGCAAACATGGCCAGCTATTTTCCTCCTGGCGCCGCCTCCAGCCACGTCTCGACTCGATCGTCTTCGCCCGCGTCCTCCCCGCTGTCACCACCCGCTCAACAGCGATCCAATGCCTTGTCGAACCGGCTGACAAGTGTGCTTTCGGCTTCGTACGCCGATTCGGACATCCGCGATGCGCTAGAGACACTCAGCCTCAGGGGCATCCATAACACGGCGGAGGTGAGACGACAGCTGCGCTTGGATGTGCAGAAGGAGGTGGTCGATTCCAATGCCGAAATTGTGCGAGACTTTGGCAAGGTTGCGGAGGTAAGAGAAGCGAATCCATCTACAACTCATGGACATTTAGACTGACTCCTTTCCCGGCTAGCAACTAAAACGAATCGGGACCGTGATATCCAGTCTGAACCAGACATGCGAGGAGATGAAAAAACATATTGTCCTGGCGAAACAGGACACCACCCCTGTGCTCGAGGAAGCGGCCTCGCTGATGAACCAGAAAAGGGAGGCCGAGACGAAACAGCAGCTACTTGATGCCTTTACCAAACACTTTATCGTCTCGGAGGAGGACTTACTCATTCTGACATCGGCTGAAGAGCCCATTGACGAGAGGTTCTTCGACCTACTCTCCCGCGTCAAACAGGTCCACCGGGATTGCGAAGTCCTACTCGGTGGAGAGAACCAGCGGCTGGGGCTGGAGCTGATGGAAAAGAGCTCCAGGAATCTGAATTCCGCCTATCAGAAGCTGTACAAATGGATTCAGAAGGAGTTCCGATCATTGAACCTTGAGGACCCACGAATCAGCAGCTCCATACGTCGGGCTCTACGCGTGCTGGCGGAACGGCCGAGCCTGTTCCACAGCTGTCTGGACTTCTTTGCCGAAGCTCGCGACTACGTGCTGTCCGACGCATTCCACTATGCCCTGACTGATGCAGTAACCGGTGCGGGTGGTGACAACGTCAAACCGATCGAGTTCTCTGCCCACGACCCCCTGCGGTACATCGGCGACATGCTTGCCTGGGTACATTCCACGACGGTGTCGGAACGTGAGGCCCTGGAATCTCTCTTTGTCGCCGACGGCGAGGAGCTTGCCAAGGGTATCCAGGCCGGACTGAATAGCGAACCCTGGTCTCGCCTCGACGAGGATGAGACTGTCTCCTTCGACGGACAAAAGGCCCTGAGCGACCTCGTCAACCGCGATCTTACGGGCGTCTCGCGTTCTCTACGACAGCGCGTCGAGCTAGTCATCCAAGGCCATGATGACCCGGTCACCTGCTACAAGGTCGCCAACCTGCTCTCCTTCTACCGCGGCACCTTCTCGAAGCTCCTGGGGCCGCGGTCCAACCTCGCGGATCTGCTCGAGACCCTGGAGAAGTTCACCCTCCGGCATTTCGAGACCCTCATGCGCAACCAGGTCAACACGCTGTCCGCCGACCACGCCGCACTCATCCCGTCAGACGATCTTTCCGCCCCGGAGTTCCTGCAGGACGCCCTGGATGTGCTCACTGCATTGATGAAAACCCACGAAGCCTCGTTCGGCGCCGACGTCTCCACTGACGACGGCGACAACGACAGCGTCAACCGATTCGCCCCTGTGCTTCGCGCCGCACTCGACCCATTCCTTGAACTGGCCAAATCCACCGCGGACGAGCTTCCCAATCCCACCGCCCGCGCCATCTACCTAACCAACATCCACCTGACGACGAGATCGACCATCGCCGCGTACCCGTTCGCCAGCGCCACGCACCTCACCCCGCTGTCTACAGCGCTCTCATCGCTCCGCGTAGACCTTCTCGCCATCCAGCACCGCTACCTCCTCGACGCCTCCGGCCTACAGGTCCTCCTAGCGGCGCTGGAGCCGTTCTCCCCATCCTCGACCAACGGCCCGTCCGACACCGCAAACGACGGGCAACAGCAGAAACAGCCGCAACCCGACATTGCCGACATCGCCAACCTCCCGGCCTTCCAACCCGACGCGCTGGTCGCCACCAGCCAGCAGCTGGATGACTTCCTGCCGTCGGCGCTCATGGACGCAACGGACAACTTGAAGCGCGTACAGAACGCGTCCTTTGCCAAGAGCGTCACGGAGGAGGCGGTCGAGGCGTTCTGTCGGGACTTTGAGTTCGTCGAGGGCATGATCATCGGCGCCGACGAGGCGCGGGCCAAGGTGGATGTTACGCGGGACCGGGCGGTCGAAGACGACAGCGCCAGCGATAGCGACAAGGACAAGGACGAGGACGGAGATGAAGATGAGGACGCGGAGAAGGGGCTGGGGCTGAGAAGACTGTTCCCTCGGACTACAGGGGAGATTCGGGTGTTGCTGAGCTAGGTCGGACACCAGTATACATGGGGTTGGCGCCATATATGCATTTTATTTCATTCGCATGTATATAGAGTTGATACGGAGCGTAAGCATCGTCATGCATTCAACCAATGTTCCACGAAAGATTCACCCCGACGCAAGCTACGCCTGTCGGATCATAATCCCGTACGGGTCACGATCGCGCTGACTCACGCCCACCTCGAACTCCTCATTCCACTCCTGCCGCAGCGCCTCCGTCAGCTTCTCCTGCATGACCGCGCGCAGATACCCACGCTCGGTGTTGGAGTGCGACAAGGCGACGACCGCCGAGCCGAGCTCGATCGCCGCAAGCGCCTCGTGGTGGCTCAGTTCACCTGTGAACAACAGATCGGGGATCTGACCGCCGGGCGGCGGGCGGAGCAGCACGCTCGACCCGGAGCCGGGACAAACGCCGACAGTACGGATGGTCATGTCATCGGCGGAGCTGTACGACTGCGGCATGGCGATGGGAATGCCGGCCGGGTAGCCGACACCGGCGGCGATGCGGTCGACCACGGCGGTGAGGGACTGGGGCGTGTCGAAGGTGACGAGACGGCCCATGCCGGCGGATTCCATACCCTCCGGGACGGGCTGCGGGGACGGGTGAATGGTCGAGCGAGAGTGGGGGACAATGGCTGATGCGGCGGCGGTGACGATGGGCCCCGGTTGCGGGTATGTCGGCTGGGAGTATTTCTGGATGGATGAGGACTTTTGGATGCTGGGTGCCGTGGTGAGGGGGAAGATGGAGCGGGGGCGGATGGAGCCGGTCACGATGTCGCAAAGCCAGTCGGCCATGCCGCCGGGGGTGGCGTCCACGGCTGTGTGCGGGGAGTAGACGCTGATACCCTCCTGTGCGAGACGGAGGAGGGATTGTTGCTGGGGGTCATTGAGGGTGAGCGATTTGAGGCCGCGGAAGATGATCGGGTCTGGGATTGTCAGTATGGTAGGTAGGTTGGCGGGGAGGTTATGCGATGCGTACGATATGCGACCACGACGGAGTCTTTGCGGGCAATGGCCTCATCGGCGACGGCTTTAGTGAGGTCAATGGTAAGAAGGACGGAGTTGTTCTGCTTTTGCGAGGGGTTAAAGGGTGCCTCGAGGAGGACTGCGTGAGCTGTGAGTGGGTAGGGCTTCGTTGGGAGGTTGGGATATGGGGAGCGTACGACCGGTATTATCAAAGCTCTTTTCTGCGAGAGACTCGGGGTAACTGGAGGTGCGTCAGTGCGCTGTATCTCTGACAACATTGTCACTCCACTGCATCGTAATAAGACAATGACGAGAGTAGAGGGAAGCGTACAGCTTCCGCATGGAGCTCACCACAGCGCGAGTGAACGGTGAGGATGACGCAGGGGCGAATGTCGACATGGTGGAGATCAGACGGGAGGAGGAGCGAAAGATAGGATTCATAGAAGGAGAGCGATCAGGATGGACACAGTGAAGCCTCAATGGTGCAGTATAGTTATATGTTTTGAAGAGGCAGTTGAAGCAGCAGATGAAGTAGAAGAACACTGGAAGAGAGCGAGCTTGTGCCACACACCAGCCACAGCTGACTAACCCACCAGGCGGTATTGGATACCCGCACTCCGTAAAATACCGACGTCTGCAGATGATTAATTCCGTCATTGAAATTGTCATCCGGCATCGCAGCGCAACTTCTGCCCCCTCGGACGTTTACTGCCTGATCGATTGACCCGTGTTTACTTCAGTCTCTCCTCGTCACCTTCTTTGCGCGGAACGGAACAGAACCGGCCATACCCTTGATGTACTCCCGCACCTCCACCCTCCTGCGCAGAAGCTGCCAATATCTCCTCCGCTCGCCCATTCACCCGAAGTCGACGTTTTCGCTCTCCGCACGTTCCTACTCGGCTATAAACGCAGCAATGGCGGATGCAACTTCCGGCGTCACGGCTGATTTGCTGAAAAGCAAACTCATCGATCAGTTGCAGGCCGAGCATGTCGAGATTGAGGATCTGTCGGGTATGATTGCTTCTTCCCAAGGAGAAGACCGCAAGAGAAATTACATGGGAATATCCTCAGGTTACTGGATATGCTAACGGAAATGCCCGGTGCAGGCGGTTGTGGGCAGGCCTTCCAGGCTATCATTGTGTCGCCCCAGTTCGACAAGAAGACCATGCTTGCTCGTCATCGTCTCGTGAACTCGGCTTTGAAGGCGGAGATTGCGGCCATCCACGCGTGGACGCCAAAGTGCTACACGCCCGAGCAGTGGCAGGCGCTGCAGCAGGGAAGCGCCTAAGCAGCGTTTGCGGTGGAGGATATGATCGGGGCTTCGCATGTCGTTGGATACGAGAGAAGCTGTGCAAGGGAGATTTGATACCTATCCCTGGGAATTGATATACTAGAACCATGCAGTCCGGCGTTGGAGTTTTCTAATATCTGTACGTTTTTGTTGCCCAGCTGATCATGAACTGTGAACTGGGTCATGTTGGTGGGAACTTCGATGGATAAATTATACGAATTATTTTGCACATTCATTTTTCGTACTATTGACGAAGGTGCGTTATATGAGGCTTAAGCCAACACCTTCTCGGCAGCGGAGACTATGGATCTGCGTTAGTTTCATTCTCCTCGTACGGCGTAGCTCCATACCGTTGACACCGGTGTTGTCGGGCTCCACAAAAGCCTCCTTGACCTTGCCGTTTTCAACGAGAAGGGCATACCGCTTGCTGCGGTTGTTTCCGAAGATTGCAGAGCTGTCAAAAGTCACGTCCAGAGCCTCGGAGAACTTGCCGGTAGGGTCGCCCAAGAAGCGGATCTTCATATTCAATTAGTCTCATACCATGCAAGCGGGTGGAAAGACGTTATCCATTCTTGGAGAAGATGGGATACTTACACCGCTCTTGCCTTCGGGGTCGAGGGAAGAGGCCCACGCCTTGGTCCTAGTTGAACGTTCAGTCCCCGCACTTCATAGCAACGACAGCGACTCGCAAGTACTAAGGTACTCACACAAAAGGGTCGTTGATGGCGACCACGAAGACCTGACCGGCTTCCTTCAGCTTAGGGTGACTGATATATCCGGGGACGTGGGTGCTGGAGCAAGCGGGGCCTGAGATTGCATCAGTGATTGCCCTTCCATTTCCGGAGTATCATCCCCCAGGACGCGGGTGTGGTGGACGAGTCGGAGAGACGTACTGAAGGCCGCAGGAACACCGATGATAACGGCCTTGCCCTTGATCTCCTTGGCGAGGTTGACCTTGTTACCGGGGGAGTTCTCGACGAGCACATCGAGATCGGGGATGGCGTCGCCTTTCTGAACGAAGGCGGGGGCGGTGTTGTGGAAGAGGGCACGTTGCGACAAGGCGCGGGGAAGACCGGTGGTGAGACGGCGAGCGGCGAACATGGTGGAAGATGTCGAGGAAAACTTTGGGAAAGAGAGCCTGTGTGAGAAGAGGTGAATTGGAAGATGAGGTTTATGGAGAAGAGATGGTTGTACTGAGTACCTGGCTGCAGCTTTGTTGACCGACGACGGACCTCCCAGGTACCTTACCTTTCCTATTTCGGATGTACCTGGTGGAGCCGGGCTGATTGGCCGACGGCCGGAGGATTATTTCGTCATTGCCCCCCCTCATTCATTGGGGAACCTTATTGTCTCTCCCGTGGATTGTTCAATTCATTCAGTGGTTAGAAGAGTAATTAAAGAACTGCTGATTGTGTTGTTGCAGTCTGTCTGAGTCAGTGACGTCTCGACCAAACACTGCTTTACGGAGCCCTCAGAACTCAACGACATCATCTCTCCTCGTCCTCAGATCGATGCTGATCCCGGCCATACGTAGCAATTGGTGCGCAGCGACGTTGACGACGTAACCGCCAAAAGTCCCGTCTTCCTGCTGGTTGACGATGGCCTTACATGACAGGAGGAGGACCGTACACAAGGTTGATCCAGTCCGATGGACAGGTTCGACCGGGGTGGATCCCACCCTGGTCGGATCCTGGACAGTTCATTCAATTAATATTAATTAATATAAGTAACCGCCGGATAGGTTCTCAACGGGTATGATCAAACACCACGATCGGCTGGATGTGGCGTCGAGCTCCCCGGGACCCCGGGTCTCACCTCATGGTGGTGAACAGACAAGCAAAATGATGCGAAATGGCCGATATCATGGCGCTGGTGCTCGGTTATGGGAGACTGGGATCTGCGGTGATAACCGAAACGAGTATGAGGGTTGGGAGGGACTCTGGGGGATGGATCCAACCCTAAGCATTGCCCATCCTCATAAGAGCCCTCCTGGAGATAATTTTAGGTTGGATGTCTACAAGTATAACTGGTCGTTTCTCTTCTATTACCGTCAAGTCTCTGAATGTCATGATTGATAGGACAGTCTCTATTGTGGATTATGTTATATTATATAATTTTTTGGTTTCGCGATTCCATTCAGGGTCATCCGCACGAGGCGTCCCCGTTGTCCATGCGATGATCACGGCCCGGTAGTCTCCAATGGAGCGGCTTCCCCTCCATCCTGTCTTTTGACGATCTGGGTCAACGTGCATCAAGGCTGCCGATGACGGGGGTCAATGGACTGATAAATGTACAGGTATTTCGGATTGAGGCCGTGAGTAAGTGTCTATCTTGTTGAGTTAGAATGTTGAATAGTTAGAGAAGAGCGTGGATTTGATAATTCATGAAGAATAAAATATTCATTATTCCTCGATTATTTTAATATATTTTTATTTTATTAAAAAAAAGGTGTGGCTAGTGGCTCGCAAATAATGTGATTCAAATTGGAGGACTCTGCTCCACTGCCGGAACTAGTGTGGTAATTTTCCCTCTGTAACTGCAAACCACCACCGCTGGGTAATTAATTCACCGTCCTCTTTTTCTCTTCCTCCCTCGCTCTCTCTCCCTCTCCTCTCCTCGCTCATTTCTTCCATTTCCCTTTCATCGTCAAAGGTCTCCGGTGCATTCACGGGTTGTTCCGACCTTCGACGGGTTTCAACCCATCCATCCTGTCCTCTCCTTTCCTTCTTTCCCCGTTTCTTCCTTCCGTTGTCCAACTCCGCGGCTTCCAACCTGGTTGCTTGTTCGATCGGTCGCGACCCATCTAGCCCACGATGGACGGTGGCCAGACCACAACCAACACCGCCCCCTCGGGCAACTCCAGCGATTTTGTATGTCCTCCCCTCCTATGCAACTTGGCGATGCATCCGACAAAGAATCATCTGCCCTACTGCTTCATTGTTATTTTCCCTTCTATTTGATAGCATTTTGTTCTGGGTCTTTTCGCCACTACCCCCGCTGACCAGCATGACCTCAGGTGCGCAAGCTCTACAAGTGAGTCTTTTACCCCTCGCGCCGTCGATCGCGTCCTGCTCCCCTCTCGCATGGCCTGCACAATGCATCGCTCCCCACCAAATAAAAACCTTACCCTTACTAACCAACGGCTGAAGAATGTTGGAGGATCCGTCGTACTCTGAGATCGTACGATGGGGTGACGAGGGGGACAGTTTCGTCGTCTTGGAGGTAACCGAACGCCCCCCAGATCCGCGCAACCACCACAACTGACAGCTCCTGTAGTGCGAGAAATTTACCAAGACTATCCTGCCCAAACATTTCAAACACAGCAATTTCGCCAGTTTTGTGCGACAGCTCAACAAGTATGATTTTCACAAAGTGAGACAAAACAACGAAGAGAATGGACAGTCCCCATACGGTCAGAATGTAAGCATGCTTCCAGCTCCCCCAAACGCCCCCCGAACCTTCTGACCCGGATTTCAGGCATGGGAGTTCAAACACCCCGAGTTTCGCGCCAACAGCAAGGAATCCCTCGACAACATTCGTCGCAAGGCCCCCGCCCCGCGCAAGCAGGCCCAAAATAATGACGACTCCGTCCCCACGCAGCAGATTGACCTGTTGAACCAGCAGGTTCTGGCGCAACAGCAACAGATCCAACAGCTGCACGACCGTTTCGCTCAAATGACCGTCGACCACCAGATCATGCTGCAGGAGGTCATGAGAGTGCAGAAAACAGTCCTCAATCACGAGAACGTCATCCATCAGGTTATGAACTACCTTCTGTCCGTCGATGCCCGCCAGCGCCGCGACAGCAAGTCCACCGCCCCTTTCCCAGCGCAGGGTCAAGGGGGCTCAACCCTTAGCCCTTCCCAAGTCGCCTCCATGGATGATGAGCCGTCGTCTCCCTTACAGCATGCGTCCAAGCTTCTCAATGATATGAATGCCGAAATCCAGTTCAACTTGACCAGCCTCGATACCCTCGGGGAGGGCCCTAAGACCGCGCCGGTGGTGTCGACCCCAGCACCCATGGACGCCGCTGCGCGAAATGGCATGGTGCGTCCGCCCACCGCGGCGGGCGCTCCCCCGAATCCAGCCCTCGTATATCCGAAGGTGAATGGCGAGATCGAACCGGTGGTGTATCCGGTGGGCGCAACAAACGGAATCGATCCGATGTACCCAGATCATGTGAACAATGTGCCGTATCCGATGCCACCGAAGCAGGAGGTGGACGATACTCGTCGTCAGTTCCCGGACAACCGCAAAAAGAGCGCCAATGTTGACCCGGGATGGATGCGCAGCCCTCATATCTTGCTGGTGGAGGACGACGCTACCTGTCGGCAAATTGGTGGAAAATTCCTTTATTCTTTCTCTTGTGTTATTGATACTGCGGTACGTTCTCCTAGCCAGCTGAAATCTCGTGTTGTGACTAACATGTCTGCAGTTCGATGGATTGGAGGCCGTCAACAAGATTCAAGATGGCTCCAAGTATGACCTTATTCTAATGGACATTATTATGCCAAATCTGGATGGTGTCTCTGCCTGTCATCTTATTCGCCAATTCGACCGAACTCCCATCATTGCCATGACATCCAATATTCGAAGCGATGATATCCAACTTTACTTCCAACACGGTATGGGGCTTCAACATCCACTGTCATTGAGCCAATTCTGACCCTATACAGGAATGGATGATGTGCTTCCCAAACCGTTTACCCGCAAGAGTCTACTCGACATGCTGGAGAAACACCTCGTTCATCTGAAAACCAGCTCACAGAGCATAGACGCGTCGCAACCACCTACGGCGGTTACCATGGCTGCTCAAAGCTCAGCAGCCCAGTCGGTCAAGGAAGACAGCTCGCCTGGCCAATCGCCGGCTAATTCGATGAATAACTGGCAGTCTCCCGGCCAGTTCCAGGGCATGTCTGCCGTTCCCCCCAATCTACAGCAAGTTCCCACACAGTATGTGCCGGCGACGCCAGCGGCAGTTGCTGCATATGCTGTGGATCAAAATGGGGTCCAGTACTCCACGGCTGCCCCAGTCGCAATGGCTGCCGCTGCGCGCCCGCAAATGCGGCGCCAGATCTCGGAAATGTCCAGCGCCGCCGAGAACCCCAACATGGCGAAGCGGCCGCGTGTGTACGCGCAGCCGATGGTCAACCCGGTCCAGGCCGCCCGGACCGGGTAGGGCCAGGTATCCTTACTGTACTCTCTCCACCCGCCTCCGTTGTAACCTCATCTACATCGGCATGACGAGTTTCATTCTCATCTTCTTGTCTTTAATTAATGAACCTTCTTTTTATACCGCACGATACCGGGATCGTTTGGGCGGGCTCCTTGCGTGTGCACTACATCTGGCGTTTTGTGCTGTTTGGTGAATCATCTTGCATCCGTCTGCGATGGGGTATTTGGGAATGCGTTGGGTTTCTGTACGGTGGGAATGGTCGGTTGGTCGTCCATGTGATTCCCATTCACTCTGATCTACTACTCTGTACACATTACTTTCAAGAATGGACGAGCCTACGAATACACTCCACAACTCCATCGGTTCCCATGTATCCTTGAACCTACACCACATGGGTAATGGGAGGTATTGACATGCGTATAATATTATTAACATGCGCATCAAATCCCAGGTTAGATAGGGCAAACATACTCCACGGAACAAGGACCATCCATGGACGACGCGCGAAGCCATCGAGACAAAGTGGATTGAACGCATCATATTGTTACACCATCAGGTGATTGCGGCCCGCGATTGATCGGGCGGTTCGTCCCAACAGATCGATCAGCGTCCCAAGAGGGGGGTGCGGAGAAAAATAAGAATCAGATAAACATGGATAAGGTATTGCGATACGAAACAGCCTGCTGGGTTCTAGACCGTCAGGCCTTGAGCAAGGGATTGCCTTCAGTCCAGGAGGGCCTGGGCCCGGGAGCTGGTTCTGGACTTTTTGCGGCTGGTCGGGGATTGTGGCGGTGCCTTGGATCACGTGTATGTATCCTTGCCTTGGTGTATAACCTCGCAGCATTGTCTGTGATTGTGCTTTACTATATAATAACGGTCGTGCAGTAGAGTATATGTTTATAGCATGCACTCTTGTGCACAAGTAATTATAACAGACAATATTGCGTCCTGATGTCCCATCTGATGTTGATTTATCAGCCCATAAATTAGCTTGTAGGGACCGCTCTGGAAAGATACTATGGTAATCGACCGGCTACACCTGGAGCAGAAGATAGCTCCCCAGCCCAATATACGCTATCGCTTGGTTAGGGCTCAGGTTGTCATCTACTTTGCTCTCCGCCATCTGTGTCAGTTTCAGCTTCTCCAGTGTCTGACATCGTCATCTCTATTGTCGAGCTGAACAACCCACACCCCCTAATATATTATCATAAAGCAGTTCAACGCACGGAGATTGTTAAGGTCACCAGTTTGTAGCAGATAGCCAGAAGCTGCCGTCTATTGAGACGGTTGGGCACTTAAGTGTCCGCCATCGCGAATCATGGGGTCCATCGTGAACTTTAGGCTATAGAGAGAGCCTAAATAGTTGAGGAATGATCTGTAGGCTTGTTTATGACTCTAATCTTAGAGCACGTTTGCATCCGGGATAATCACAAACATGTCGCGACTGTACTGTATATATATCTAGGCGAACACTAGCGAAGAATGATAGATCTAAACTTGCGCATATCAACCCACCACATGCGTCATCATGCAACAACTCAAGTAAGTACATATACAACACATCTTGATTCAATCTGTCAGACGAGGGGCATTTACAAACTGGTCTGAGTCTGTATATAGCCCGGCCACCAATCACGTGACCATAGAGGGGTGGATGACTCCTCCGCCGCAATAATTATTGCTTGGCGGAGTTTTTGCGCGACAGCGGGATACGCAGTTGTCAACGGATCGGAATTCTTATTTGACTCACCAATCGTTTCTTGTCTACCACCCGGTTTTTCGAAGGACTAGATTCATATCGCCTGTGAGCTCTTTACCTCATCGCTGATGCTACCCAAAACTAACCTCCCCGTGACTTGCAGTGATGGGCCCGAAGAAAGGCGGCGCCGCCGCAAAACAGAAGGGGAATGCCACCGAGGAGGTAGAAGAGACTCTGCAGGCTGTTGTATGTCATATTCACACTGTGAACGGCGTGATTGTCGGGGGATGAGCGCAGTGCTCGGATGCTGACTTTGTGTGATACGACTAGGTCCTGGCAGACACTTTCGAAACGCGATTCGAGCCGTTCACCCTCGACAAGCCTCGGGTATGAGCTGCCGATGAGATTCCATACTGGAGGAGGTTTATGGACGACGGTGTAGGGGCATCTCCGCTGACGATCACCTAGTGCCTCCTGCCCCTCGCGAACACCCCGCTTATCGAGTATACGTTCGAATTTCTCGCCAATGCCGGCGTGGAGGAGGTATTCCTCTACGGTGGTGCCCATTCCGATCAACTGGAGAAATACATCAAGTACGTTGTCAGACCGGGGTGATTAAGAGTATGAAGGGGGTCGGACATGTCGACTGACTACGGGTAGTGCTTCAAAATGGAGGGCTCCGTCGTCACCCTTCAAGCAATTGACCTTCCTGAAATCGACCTCGACGTCCGTCGGCGACGTGATGCGTGATCTCGATGGAAAGCACCTCATCACAGGAGATTTCATCGTCGTGAGCGGTGATGTGATCAGCAACCTCCCCATCGAAGGCGCTCTGACGGCCCACCGGGCCCGTCGCGAGGCGGACAAGAACGCCATCATGACCATGATCCTCCGGGAAGCGGGCCGGAACCACCGCACCAAGTCGACGTCGGTGTCGCCGGTGTTTGTCGTAGATCCCACCAAGGACCGCTGTCTACACTACGAAGAGATCGACCATCACTCGTCCGAGTCGTCGCGGCTGAACATCGACGCCGAGATCATCCTGTCGCACGCAGAGCTGGACATCCGCCAGGACCTGATCGACTGCAACATTGACATCTGCACACCCGACGTGCTGAGTCTGTGGTCGGACAGCTTCGACTACCAGGCCCCGCGGAAGCAGTTCCTGTACGGCGTGCTGAAGGACTACGAGCTGAACGGGAAGACGATCCACACGCACATCATCAAGGACTGCTACGCGGCGCGGGTGAGAAACCTCAAGGCCTACGATGCCGTTAGCAAGGACATCATCTCGCGGTGGACGTATCCTCTCTGCCCGGACACGAACCTCCTCCCGGGACATTGCTACGAGCTCCGTAACGGAAACCGCTACCAGGAGCATGGCGTGACGCTGGCCCGCTCGTGCGTGATCGGCCGCCGCACGGTGATCGGCCAGGGCACCAGCATCGGCGACAAGACGACGGTCAAGGACACGGTGCTGGGGCGAAACTGCAAGATCGGGAAGAACGTCACGCTCGAGGGCGCGTACGTGTGGGACGGAGCCGTGATTGGTGATGGCACGACGGTGCACCAGGCGATTGTCGCGGATGAGGTGGTAGTCGGCAATAGCTGTACGATCCACCCCGGAGCCCTTCTCTCGTATGGGGTGAAGATCGCCGATGGAGTCACCGTGAGCGAAGGCAAGCGGATCGCGAATGCGTTCCGGGAAGAAGACGGTGGAGTGCCGGATACGGAGCCCGAGGTGGTCGGCAAAGATGGCCATGGGTACGAGTATGTGCCGTATGAGGACGAGGATGAAGACGACACCGCGAGTAACGCGTCGTCCGGACTGGGTATGTATTTTTCCATCCTGCTGCGTCGATGGATTATGTATGGCTAACCTGGCCCGACAGTGTACAACATGGCGCACCTCTCTCTGTCGAGCGAGTCGATCTCAACGTTGTCGTCGGATGTGTCCGACTTCGGGGACAGCCGCAGCTTCGGGACGTCGTACTCGGATGATGAGGAACAAGATCATTTCGTGCATGACGCGGCGACGAGCGTGTATGACAGTCTTCGGGATGGTGTTAGCTGCGATGTGGTGAACCTGGAACTGGTCAGTCTGCGCATGACGGCCAACGCGTCGGACCACGAAGTGCGACGTGCGGTGGTGTCGGCGTTCATGAAGCGGACGCAGCAGCTGATGGAAGCGGGCCGGGCGGCGGGCGACGTGGTGAAGGAGATATTCGGCAAGTATGGGGAGATCATCGAACGGGCGTTGTTCGACCGCGAGAGCAGCAAGAAGCCGGACCAGGTGGATCTCCTGCTTCTCCTGCAGCAGGACCTGGCGCACCGCAACCGCGGAGACATGGTGCTCTTGTTTGCAGCCAAGGAGCTGTATGACCTGGAGATTGTGGAGGAAGAGGCGTATGAGCAGTGGTGGGCGGATGAGCGGTCCAGCACCAGCGAGGAGATGCGCAAGGTGCGCAGCCAGACGCAACAATTTGTGGATTGGCTGGCAAATGCAGAGGAGGAGGAGAGCAGCGAGGAGGAGGAGAGCGACGATGAGTCGAACTGAGTAGGACGAAAAGTCGATAACCGCCTTGATAGAGATGAACTATACATGTCATGGTATTCACTGGATGCCTACTCCAGAGCACAGCCTGGGTAGGATATAAATAGACCATTTGCCGTCTTCCTCTTCCTCTACAAGGTACAATTACAATCCACTTTTTTTTGTCCACAATACCCTAGTATCTCCATGACTCTGCTTCCAAAAGCCCCCTTACCGACTGAGTCATATACAGAGTAGTACATAGAGGCAGTGCTGCGGCTCTAACAGGACTTGGGCGGCAGATCCACCTGGATTTCCCCGTGACGTCCGCAGTTACACCCTACACGCCCCTCTTTTTTCCCGTCCATCGATAAGCTCCAAGCTTCTCTTCTTCCATTTCCACACTCCCTCAACTGCTACTGAGTCCTTTCCGTTAGCTTCCTCTCTCTCCCTCCCATCTCCCCTCTCCATCCTTCACCACGCCGCCTCTCACGAGAAAGCGAAAGGCGGCCGAGGCGGCCCTTGCAGACCACGAGTCCGCCACCAAGGCTCCCGTCGCCCGCTCGCGAGCCGCCACCGGGATCTCGTCGATAACCCCCCAGAATCCATCGCGTGCCGACTCCCCCGTCTTATCCATCTCCGCGGGAAAAAAGGTCCCTGATTTGGCTACACCAGCCTCCACCAGCATGGAGTCGGACGAGGATTTCATGAGCGTTGGCTCGAGCCCTGATGACTTCATGGATCAGGGCAGTGATGATGAGAGTTTAGGTGACGGTGCGTTCTTTGTCGTCGTCCTCTGACTTCCGCATCATATGTAAGAGTGATGCTGACTCCTGACTCCTTAGATTTCGGCGATGACTTCGACGGTGGCTTCTCCAAAGACAAAGATATCATCGCCACGTCACGAAAACCCTACGAGGTCGAATTCAAGGTGTTGAGCCCCGAGGATATCGACCGGGAACAGAACCAGCAGATCAGCGAAGTCTCCTCCGTTCTCAGCCTACCGCCCGAGTCCGCCGCCATTCTCCTGCGCTTCGGACGATGGAACCGCGAGAAGCTGATCGAATCCTACATGGATCACCCGGAGGACACGTTAGAGGAGGCCGGTCTCGGCACCAACTTCCAGGGCTCGCCGAAGACTGAGAAGGTGCCGGGGTTCATGTGCGATATCTGCTGCGAGGACGGGGACGATCTGGAAACCTACGCGATGCGTTGCGGCCATCGCTTCTGCGTCGACTGCTACCGACAGTATCTCGCCCAGAAGATCCGTGGCGAGGGCGAGGCCGCCCGGATAGAATGCCCCGGGGAGGGCTGTCATATGATTGTGGATTCGAAGTCGTTGAGTCTGTTGGTGACGAATGATCTGAAAGACCGGTGCGTGCCCTGACAGGCTCTTTGGTGGTAAGAAGGGTCATACTGATGGTTGTAGATATAACACGCTTCTTACGCGGACCTATGTCGACGACATGGAGAATCTCAAGTGGTGTCCGGCGCCGAACTGCGAGTACGCCGTCGACTGTCCGGTCAAGCAACGCGACCTGCGACGGATCGTGCCGACAGTGCAGTGTGTCTGTCGCCACTTTTTCTGCTTTGGATGTACGTTAAATGACCACCAGCCGGCGCCCTGCACGCTGGTGAAGATGTGGTTGAAGAAATGCGAGGACGACTCGGAGACAGCCAACTGGATCTCGGCCAACACGAAGGAATGCCCCAAGTGCCATTCGACGATCGAGAAGAACGGCGGCTGTAACCACATGACGTGCCGGAAGTGCAAGCACGAGTTCTGCTGGATGTGCATGGGCCTGTGGTCGGAGCACGGAACCAGCTGGTACAACTGCAACCGGTACGAGGAGAAATCCGGGTCGGAGGCGCGCAGCGCGCAGGCGCGGTCGCGGGCGTCCCTGGAACGCTATTTGCACTACTACAACCGCTACGCCAACCACGAGCAGTCGGCCAAGCTGGACAAGGATTTGTACCTGAAGACGGAGAAGAAGATGACCAGTCTGCAGTCGCAGTCGGGGCTGTCGTGGATCGAGGTGCAGTTCCTGGACACGGCGTCGCAGGCGCTGCAGCAGTGCCGGCAGACGCTGAAGTGGACGTACGCGTTTGCGTACTACCTGGCGCGGAACAACCTGACAGAGATCTTCGAGGACAACCAGAAAGATCTGGAGCTGGCGGTGGAGAATCTGAGCGAAATGTTCGAGAAGCCGGTGCCGGAGCTGGCGAACCTCAAGGTGGACATTTTGGATAAGACGGCCTACTGTCAGAAACGTCGGGTGATTCTGCTGAGCGACACGGCAGAGAACTTGAAAAATGGTACGTGTGCCCGACGAGAAGCCACGGCTGATGCGGAAACTGACTTTGACGCAGGAGAATGGACTTTCAATGTGGAATGGTAAATCTAGACATGATACATAGAGAGTGAGATGTTGTGGTGGACATTTTCTCTAACTCTCTTTCGCTCTGCTACTTCGGTCACGGAGTGGACGATATTCATGATGTGCATGATTATAGCGTATATGATTTTGACAATCGCCTGAGTACAATGGGATTGAATTATTGTTGGCGGGGGATGGCGGTTCTTGTGTATTTGCATTCGTACTTAGCCCCAGCAGGTATCTAACATACGTATTACCAGCATATCTGTCTCGTTCTAGGAGGCGTGAGCATCTTGTACTCCTGTGTCTATGGCTCATCCTCGCTTCCACGTGACCCAACGAGGTCTGACTAGTTATCGTGATCGGTGGATAATTAGGAAACTCCATCGTAACTACCCAGAACAGGAGAAAAGCCGAAGTGCCGAAGCGCGGAGGAAAGCAAAAAATTCTCTTTCTTATCAGATTGATTACTTGCCCCCCTGTTGAACAGAAGCCTAAACGAACCGCCGGTTCTCCGAGGAATCCACTGTACCCAGAGTACGTACGTAAAGGATTCTCTCATTCTTTCTCGGCGATAGGGAGCCCACCGGGTGTTCGGAATCCACATAAATAATAATTCCTACCTAACAGCATATTTATGCTCGATGACTCCGAAAACATAGATATCTCCGTAGTTGTGACCGAGGCCTATCTGGTCTCCGAGCTCCGTCATCGGAAGGATGACTCAGCCAGGCCTTACATAAGTTAAGCGGCTGGACCCCTACGCTTTGTCAGGACTCTATACAGAAGCTGAACGCTCATCCACCATGGAAACATTCTCAGAACCGCAATAAATTATTAGAATAGACTGTAGTCAACTAGTGGACAATATATCAATCGACCCGAATCAAAAGGTAGAAAGGCCAAGGAAATCCACCGTGCAAACACGACCCCGAGGATCTCCTCCCATCCCGACCACCAAGAAATTATCCCCAGTATTTTTTTTCTTGTCCTCTTCCTCTCTCCCTCACTCTTCTCTCCTGGCTCCATCTCCGTCTGCTACTTTGATTTCTCGTCGTTGGGCGTCTCCTCGTCGGGCTTACTTCTCTGCTCTCCTCTCTACACCTTCTTATCTTCATTTTATCCCGACCTTTTCCTGTGGGTCGACCGGTGTCTGGTTGTTGTCGCCGAGGAATCACCACCGCTCTACCTGTTCGAACACCCTCTCTCCTCTTCACCACCACGAAGTTCTCCCGCCAGCGACAAGCCATTGACCTCTCGCCGACGCTTTCGCCGTTGCTCCCTCCCTCCCTCGCCGCTTCTCCCTCCTCTCCCCTCCCCGACTTTTTCTCGTTTTCAGCGCCCACGGCTGTGTCCGAGAGCTCCGACAGCTCCATGGCGATTCCCGAGCAGGTTCCCGGGGAAGAATATGAGTACGTCCTGGCCGACCCATTGTTCATAACTCGGTCGCTGCAACTTTGCCGACCGTCCTGGAGGCTTCCCGGTGGGGAGCGCATCGTTTGCATGCCGATACATCGCTCCCCGTCGTGTTCTTCTCCATGGTGGTCGGTGTCGGTGGAATGCGCTCCGGGATACATCCACTCATGCTCCATGCACCGCAGCCTCCGCTGACCATCCTCCTCTCTAGCTACGAAGCCCTCCCTTCCAACTATGGCCTCGGCCGGAACATGTTGGCCGGTGCCTTCGCCGGTATAGCGGTATGTCCTGCAGGGTCCAACGCACCGACCCCAATCTCCGCCAATGCAAGCGATCATGGATGGTGACTGACTGAGCGCAAAGGAACACGCTGTTATGTACCCGGTGGATCTATTAAAGGTACGACTTTCCTGGGATTTTACTCTGATGTCTCCTTTTTCTTTGTCCCGCAGTCCTCTTTCTACCCTGCTGGACAACTCACTGACGGTGGACCTTCCCCGGCATTAGACTCGCATGCAAATCTTGCACCCCACAACCGGAGGTCTCTACACAGGCCTCACCAATGCTTTTTCCACAATCTACCGCATTGAAGGGTGGCGAACGCTATGGAAGGGTGTCTCGAGTGTGATTGTTGGTGCTGGTGAGGCACACCCCCGGACCGGAGATGGAAGAGACGCAGGCTGATGCGATGCAGGCCCGGCCCACGCCGTGTATTTCGGAACATATGAGGTGGTGAAAGAGATGGCAGGCGGAAACGTCGACGATGGCCACCACCCCCTTGCGGCCGGTATGTGATCCCCTTATCTGGGCGGATGAGAGAAAATGAGGCTAACGAGAAACAGCGCTGAGTGGCGCTTCCGCGACCATTGCCAGCGATGCCCTGATGAACCCATTTGACGGTGAGTACCGCGATCTGACAGCCTCCTTATACAAAATGCTTCAGACCCTGACTCTTCTCAGTGATCAAGCAGCGGATGCAGGTTCATGGCTCCGTCCACAAGACCCTCCTCCAGTGTGCGCAGTCAGTCTACAGGACCGAAGGTCTCCAAGCGTTCTACGTCTCCTACCCCACCACTCTGTGCATGACCGTCCCCTTCACCGCGACGCAGTTTGTCGCCTACGAGTCGATTTCCAAGGTCATGAACCCGTCGCAGGATTATGACCCCTTCACGCACTGCATCGCCGGTGGTCTGGCGGGCGCCGTGGCTGCCGGAATCACCACGCCACTGGACGTGGTGAAGACTCTGCTGCAGACCCGGGGTCTGGCGCAGAACGAGGAAATCCGATCGGCCAAGGGGCTGTTCAACGCCGCGGCCATCATCAAGCGGCAATTCGGCTGGCGCGGTTTCCTGCGCGGCGCCCGTCCCCGCATCATCTCGACCATGCCCAGCACGGCCATTTGCTGGTGAGTTGACGAGAAATCCCGACGGAGAGTAAGACATAGAAAAGCATGCTGACTCGTTGTAGGACATCCTATGAAATGGCCAAGGCGTATTTCAAGCGCCAGGTCGATGTCTAAACTACTCTTCTGGTGGTTTCCACTAGCCCGATCGCCTTAATTCGACTCACCGATGCCGGCTTTGAAGCGTCCCATGATGAAGGAGAAATGGAAGAAACGAATCTAAGAAATTTCACTCGACATGAAAAGAAAACAAAACCAAACGAAAAAAGCAACCCCCCGAATAGATGAAAATTGTGAACGACATAAAACGAAGAAAATCCGAATGCTGGGCCCTCCACATCACATGCTGAACAATCCTCGATGGCCACCGACACAGCAGAACCATCAACGCCAGGCACAGTGGAGATTCTGTCGCTCCAGAGTCAGTCTGCCGAGTCTCTTCAATGGTGGCGGTCGCCTTCGGGGCGGATTCGTCCCTGACGGGGGTTCTCTGACTCCATCTGTTCCCCCGGTTTGGCTTGCCCTATGTCTCGGAAGGAAGCGAACTGTCCAAGACATGGCTCCTATTTTTGGGATGGAGACTGAGACTACCTATGAACCAGCGGATGCATCCTCTTCTTTTCTTTTCTTTTCTTTTCTTCTTTTTTTCGCCCTCCGTGAGGTTGCGGATAGGACTGGGACGTGGCTGGATGGATCGGTGGCTTTGGCGCATTATTGGGATCGGGGGAGGATCCCCGATTGTGTTATATCTCTACAGTGTCTTTCGGCGTTGGCATTTGCCAGGGAATTGATGGATGGATGGTTGTGCGTATGTACGGATAGAGGCTCTAATCATCTTTCTTCTCTTTCTATGATGTGTAGATTCGCCATCTCGTGGGGCTCCGACTGTCTCATCCAGAGTTGAACCACCAACGACGTCACGCCGTTTCTGTCCACCCGAACCATTTTTTCTTACCACCACCGCCTCTTTTCCTATTACCACCTCTTCTGTCGTCTTTGTCTGCCTGCCTTCTGTCTCTTCGCTTCCTTTCGGCCAACATCTCTCTCTCCTGCTAGTGTATGGACAGGCTGGTCCCGTCCGCGGCGTGAACAATGCGCCCCAAACCAGCGTCTTCCTTGCAGAAGACTTACGACGACTGCTACTTGATGTGTTCCACTGCCGTCTATTTCGAAGGCCAGGTGTGTAGGATCCTATGATCATCACCTTTGAAACGGCATACTGACCGATTAGAACAATGAAGAAGAAGCCCTAAAGTCGTGGCGCTCTGCGTTGGAGACCATCTACTACCACAACGCCTACCGCGTGCCCTCCAAGTACACCCCGCGCAACGAGACCGAAAAAGCCCTGCAGGAGTCTATCCGTCAGCTGGAACTGCAATGCCGCGAGCGCGTCGATCTCCTCGAGGCCCTGCGCGAGAGTCGCAAGGATTCCCTGGGGAAGTCGCCCCCGCCCGCGGCGTTCTCGACGAATAATTCCACCCCCGGCTGGATTGCGGGCGGAACCGTGCCCGCCGTCGGATACACCGATCTCTCCAAACCCCCTTCCATCCCCGGGCGCCCTCCTCCACCCACCCCTTCGTCCTCCGCCGCGCCCGAGTCGTCGTCATCTGCGACCGCTGGCGACGCCTCCCGCCGCCCCGCCCTTCGTCAGCGACATTCCTCCTCCACCAAGCTCAGCGAGCGCGCCTCCAGTCCCGAGGGTCTCAAGATGATGCCCTCCACCCTGCGCTCCTCCGACTCCAAGAAACTTTCCAAGAAGAAGAGCAGCCCCCGTCGGAAGGAGCTGCGGCCGGCCGCGGCCTCCCAGGCCGCCGGCCTGGCCTGGGGGAGCATCTATCGCTCGTCGTCTGACAAGACCGTCAGCGATGCCGCCCTCGCCTCCTCGCGGCATACTGCTGCCGCCGACCCCAGTTTCCGCAAGAGCCCAGCCCTGACCCCGCGATCCAAGTCCGGCGACGCCATCTCCAGGACCACGGCCGCAGAGGCACGGCCATCAGCGAATTCGTCCAGTCCGTCCACCCCACGGCCGCCGGCGCAGACGACGCGCCCGCAATCCGCGCCCCGAAGCCCCGCACGACCACCCCCGTCTTCGTCCTCGCCCAGACCGTCCGTGAAGCCCAAGCCCCAAGCCCTCCGATCATCGTACCCGTCGCCGGGCGCATCCCAGACCCGGGGCAACAACTTGGATCGGTCGAGAACGCCACAGGCAAAGCCAACCATCTCCCACAAAGAGCACGATGCGGTGAACCACGGCATCAACCGGTTGGCCGTGTCGGGGAGCAGTCTGGACCGGCGCGGTCCCGTCAAACGCACCATCACGCCGCCGTCCAGCGATCCAGAGTCGTCCGGGCCGCGGTCCACGACCGAAGACGACGACGATCCCGACGTCGACCCGGCCGACGCCGAGGACGACTACATGGCCATCCTCAACAAACTCCCCAAGGGCATTGACCCGACGGCGGCGCGGCAGATCCTCAACGACATCGTCGTGCGCGGCGACGAAGTCTACTGGGACGACGTGGCGGGGCTCGACGGCGCAAAGAAAGCCCTCAAAGAAGCGGTCGTGTACCCGTTCCTGCGGCCGGACCTCTTCTCGGGCCTGCGTGAGCCCGCCCGCGGCATGCTCCTCTTCGGCCCGCCGGGCACGGGCAAGACGATGCTGGCGCGCGCCGTCGCCACCGAGTCCAAATCCACCTTCTTCTCCGTGTCCGCGTCCACGCTGACCTCCAAGTGGCACGGCGAGAGCGAGAAGCTCGTGCGCGCCCTGTTCGGCCTCGCCAAGGCCCTCGCCCCCTCCATCATCTTCGTCGATGAAATCGACTCACTCCTGTCCGCCCGCTCCTCCGGCTCCGAAAATGAGGCCTCCCGCCGCTCCAAGACCGAGTTCCTCATCCAGTGGTCCGACCTCCAGCGCGCTGCCGCCGGCCGCGAGCCCGCCCGCAACCCCGCCCGCGGCACCGCCGCCGGCGACCCCAGCCGCGTCCTCGTCCTCGCCGCCACCAACATGCCCTGGGACATCGACGAGGCCGCCCGCCGCCGCTTCGTGCGCCGCCAGTACATCCCGCTGCCCGAGCCGCACGTCCGCGATCAGCAGCTGCGTCGCCTGCTCAGCCACCAGAACCACGAGCTCTCCGACCAGGATATCCATGCCTTGGTCCAGGTGACAGACGGTGCGTCCCCCCCTCGTCTTTCTTCCTTTTCCATTCATCCCGCAAGCAGAAACTAACAGGTGCCAGGCTTCTCCGGTTCGGACATCACCGCCCTCGCCAAAGACGCCGCCATGGGCCCCCTTCGCAACCTGGGCGAGGCCCTCCTGCACACGCCCATGGACCAGATCCGCCCCATCCGCTTCCAGGATTTCGAGGCCAGTCTAGTGTCCATCCGGCCCAGTGTGAGTGCCGAGGGCCTGCGTGAGTATGAGGATTGGGCGCGACAGTTTGGCGAGAGGGGTGGGTAGTGTGCGCATGCTCGTACCGTTCTCTTATCGTGTTTGTCGGAGGGGTCATGTTGTATGTATTTGTATTTTTGGGATGGTTGGATTACGCGATGGCTGGTTGGCTGGCGAACGGTTGGGTCATTTCACGGTCTTGCATGGTTCGGATGGATGAAATGGATGTCTGCATGATGGGACAGGAATGAAATGAATGCATCTTATCTACGTATCTCCTACAGTCGGATGTGAGGATCAACTTCTCAATATCCTACACGGAATCGTTTAAGTATATAGTACTAAGTAGATAGGGATAAATCAGGAGCATAGGTATATCACTCAAGCAAATCGCACTGGGAGAGGCATCATGCTGCTAGAAGGGAAGGCCATAAGGGAGGGAAGAAGAATAGTAAAAAAGAGATACAGACAAAAGACGATGACTGATTTCCCTGGTTCTCAATGCATAACACCCCAGCCCAAACATGTAACAAAGGAAAAGGGAATAAAATGACAGAAGATCTTCGTCTACTCTAGACAAAGTAGACCCGTAGGGATCCATCGATCACCCTACAGATCGATCAGGCTGCCCCCGGCTTGTTGTTGCTGCTGTTGGAAAGCTGGTTGGCCCGCTCCCCACGGATTGTTGTTGGACACAAAGCCCGTCTGCTGTGGCACGAACTGCTGCTGCGGCTGTTGACGCTGGCTGAAGAATGGATTGTTGCCCGTGTGCGTGGCCCGCAACCGGTCCAATCCCTGGCCCGCAGAGTTGACAAACGTTCCTGGGGCCGTGTGCTGCGCCGGAATCCGCAGGTCGCCGACGTTTCCGAAGGTGTCCTGCCCTTCGCCCGTAGCGAGCAGCTGGTTGAGGCGCTGGTGGTGAGGGTCGTTCATCTGCGGCGGGGTGCTCTTCGGCGGAGCGAGCGACGTCTGCTGCGGCGCCTGGAAGTTGGCGATTGGGTTGTGGGATGTCGCGGTGAACTGTGTGGTTGCGCGCTCCTCGGCCAGCGTGTTCAGCGACGGGGGACCGCTCGTGGAGGGTCGGGGCTGCTGGAATTGCTGACGGGCAGCAAACGGATTGTTGGAGCCCGTGGGCATCGGTTTCAGGGCGTCAGCGGTAGGCTGCGGGCTGGGACTGGCGGCCCATGGGTTGTTGGTGCCCGCCGAGGGGAAGTTCTCCTGGTGTTGCGGCTGATGCTGGCCGTACACGTCGGTGCCGTACGGGTTATTCGTGCTGAAAGCCGTGTGTTGCGGCTGGAGGGCCGCCTGGGGCTGGAGGAAGTTGTTCTGCGGCTGGCCATAGGGATTCGGATCGAAAGCGGACGGGCCGAAACCGTTGGTGTACCCATTAGGCATCCCCGTAGCCTGGGCCTGGAATCCGGTTGGCTGCGCATACTGGTTGTTGAGGTATCCGGTGGTGAGGGGTTGTTGGGGGTTGATCGGGTTGCCGAACCAATCGACGGCGCTCTGCTGCTGGTATCCCTGGTTGTAGCCAGTGGCTTGCGCGGGGGCAGGTTGCACGGGGGTATCGTCGAAGAGCGACTGGGCGTTGCTTTCCTCGAGCTCGCGCTTGCGCAGTTCCTCCTCTTCCTTGCTCAGCTTGATCGCCTTGGCCAGATCCTCGTCGTCCTCCGCGGCCATGGCCTGCTTGGCCCGTCGCTTGCGCTCTTCTTCAGCTTCGGCCTTGCTGGCCTCGATAGCCAAACGGTATTCGGCGTCTTCATCATCGGCGGGGCGGCGACGCTCTCGTCGGTCGGGGCGACGGGGTGAGGGCTCATTTCCGTACCCGGGGTAGTCGTCCAAGCCACTGACACGGGATTTCCACAACTTGCGATCAGAGCGTTCGCTGCGCATTCGGTCTTCGTCCATGATCAGGGCGGTGAGTTCCTTCGCGGCGACGCGGACTGCAATTCGATTAGTTTCGGCCGGCGTATCCCCGGGAGGAAGTCCACATACCATTCTGACCGACATCGCGACCATCTTCATCGATATACTGGAACTCGCGCAGAGTCTTGATGATGTAGACGTTCTTGCGGGCCCATGTGACGACGAGCTCGGAGCCTTCGTGGAGACAGTAGTCGAGCACCTTGAGGGATTTGAGCACATGGCGCCAGTTCTTTCCCTTATCGTTCAGACGCTTGTCGAGCATATCCATGATCTCGTAGAAATCGGTGGGACTGCTGAACGTTAAGGCAGCAATCTCGGCCATTTCGGTGCCGGTCGGGCCCCAAGGATCATTGCTGGTGGCTGCGACGGAAGAGACGGGTTAGCGATATGAAGGAACAGGACCCGTCCGGCCGGCGACCGCAGGTAGGACAAGCGTCGCAAGTCAATCGATTCGGCGATGGGAGTAGAGGAGAAACGGATGAATGTGACGACGTACCATTTCGCACCTTGACCTGGACGGAGGAGTAACCCTTGGTGACATTTTTGACGCTGCGCACGACCTTGGACATCTTGACGGCAATTAAAAGAGGACACGATCGACGTCACCCGGATAAAAAGGACGGGGAGGGGAGAAGGCGGTGGCTTGGGAGGTTCTAAATCGGAGGGTTTGAAACATCCACCGGGGAGGGGCACGAGGGAGGGAGGAGGAAAGGGGAAGTAAGGAGGAACCAGCCGGTGGTTGTCTCCTGAATGCGAGAGCGAGTGAGAGAGAAACGATAGTCTGAGAGAGGAGGGAGAGAGTACGGAGTAGTGGGAAGGGTGAGAAGGAAGGTTGGTGGCGGTGGTGAGTTAGTCAGGTACGGTAAGGTAATGGAGGAATGGCCGGAATCGTCAGGGATGGATAGGAGATGGAGGAAAGAGAGGGAAAAGCGAAGGGAGAGAGGAAGAGAGAGAGAGAGGAGGGACGAAGATGGAAGATAGAAGGGAAGATGGATGTAGAAGAGAAGAAGAAGAAGTTGAAAAGAAGAGAAAAAGAAGATGTTGGTTGGGTATGGTGGTGATTGGGTGGCACCCGCGCTGACGACGCCATCGCTGGTAAGTACTTGACTTTGTATAGTCTCTCCCACCGTCGGGCGGGTACCCTCGATGCCCCTCAATCTTGGCCTCTGCTCTAAACGAGATTAAGTCAATTCGATGCGGAGAAGAGCGACGAAGGATGGTTCATGTCATGTTTGACTGATTATTTCCTGACTGATCTAGATGGCGTTGTTCTGTCACAGACAAATATAGTACAACCCCTGATGTCATCACGGAACACCGAAGTACGGAGTAGAATAAGGGTCCAATGCCCTCAGAACCAGAACGCTGTACTGCAACATGCAATACTCTTCTGATTCTAACACGCCTAGTAGCGGTATGACGACGTGATACTAGTGTTCGCCGTGTAGGCAGCACCATTCTCCCGAAAGATCCGTCGATATCATATACAATACTAACTAGCCGACCTTCTATGATTTGTTCAGAAAATCCCATCCTGCATTTCGCCATCATCCAAATTAGACACAAACTAACCGCGTAAATAACAAGCATCACCGGTCATGAAATAAATCATAGTCATAACGCCCTTCTTATTTTCCCTCCATGCTCAGATACTTCGCTTCCGCCCCCTTGATGCAGGCAATGTTGGCGCCCAGCTTGTTCAACGTCTCCACGTACTCATCGTACGGGTCCGAGTCGAACACAATGCCACCGCCCGCCTGGAGATACGCCACCCCATCCTTGACCAGCATGGTTCGCAGTGCAATGCACGTGTCCATGGCGCCCGGGTACTCGATCTTTCCATCGGCGCTGGCGATGTTGTACCCAAAGTAACCAACCGCGCCAGCATACACGCCACGCTTCTCGCCCTCCAGCTCGGCGATCAGCTGCATGGCTCGCACCTTGGGCGCACCCGACACCGTTCCAGCGGGAAAGATCGACCGGAAAGCGTCGAACCGCGTCTTGTCCGGCCGCAGGATTCCCGACACCTGGGACACCAGATGCTGGACGTGCGAGAACTTTTCCACTACCATGAGCCGGTCGACCTGCGTCGTGAGGGGATCGCACACCCGATTGACATCGTTGCGCGCCAGGTCCACCAGCATGACATGTTCGGCGCGGTCCTTGAGACTGCCGCGAAGCTCCTCCGCCAGCGCTTCGTCCTCCTCGGGAGACTTGCCACGCTTGACAGTACCGGCGATCGGATGCGTGATGATCCGGCCCTTCTCCTCCTTGGCCAGCAGCTCCGGACTGGCGCCCACCAGCTGGAAGTCTTCGCAGTCGATGTAGAAGAGGTACGGGGACGGGTTGACGGTGCGCAGGTGGCGGAAGAGGTTGAATGGGTGCAGCGACGTCGGGCGCGACAGACGCTGCGACGGCACCGTCTGGAAAATATCTCCCTTTCCGATGTGTTCCTTCAGCCGCGTCACATGGCGCTCGTAGCCCTCGCGACCAATGTTGGAAGTGTACTCCTGGTCCCTCTTGATCGGACCTTGCGGCGGGAGGGCGTACTCCGGTCGAAGCAGCTGTGCAATGGTCTGTCGGATGACCTCCTCACCCTTCTGGTATTCCGCCTGGAGCTCCGCGTCTGTCGCCGGGATAGGGATGTAGGTGATGATCTTGACGACCTGGAAGAAGTGGTCGAAGGCGATGATGGTGTTGAACAGCATGAACAGAGATTCGGGGATCTGGAGCACATCCTTCATGGGCCGGGCCGTCTTGGGTTCAAAGTATCGCACGCAATCGTAACCGACATATCCGATGGCACCACCTGTCAGAGGTGGTAGGACCAGGCCGGGCACGGTTGCAACCCGATGTTTGCCTATTTCCTTCTCCAGCAGCGGAAGCGGATCGCACTCAGGGCCATGACCGGGGCCGGTTTTCAGCACATGATGAGGATCTAACGTAGAAACAGGGAGTCAACATCCCAGAGACTTGCTGCACAGGCGATGCGATGACCATACCAGCACCAACAAAACTATATCTCCCAATTGTCTCCGTCGTCGCCGCACTCTCGTACAGAAACGATAATTTGGACCTGGCGGGAAGAGAGGCAGTCAGCCCTGATGGGTTCGCAGCGATTGACACCAATTGATACCGAAGGATGCATATGACAGGTCATATCATCTCATCTCGGAGCAGCGGGACTCACTTCTCGGCGATTTTCAAATAGGCCAACGTGGGTGTCAGAAGATCGGCGGGGATGGATGCGGTTAGAGGGAGGAGATTGGGAGGGTATGAGGAGTTTTTGGACTGGGCGACCACCTCGTGGGCCGTCTCCAGGGACGGTACAATGGTGATCTGGGTTGACATTTCGGTCAGTGTCCTGAAATGACGGCGAAGGGGAGCTGTTGAAGGAGAGAGAGATGAGTCAGGGACATACGGGAGGAGGCACCATGAAGAAAAAGTGACGGGTTGCCGGGACTAAGACCGATTGGGCTGCGGGGAGGAAAATGACGAAGCCGCAAGACTCAAGTCGCTGCTCTCTTCGAACTTATATAGGGACTGCCCTCGTCAGAGAGTCCTGTGCTATCGACACGACAAACATTCTTTCCAAGACAATCCGACCGCTGACCGGTCTCCCGTGCAGAACTATTGGTTGTCCTGCAGCAGCCACGAAAGTCGTATCCCTCGCGTCCCCCTGCGATTGATTCCGGCCGACTCGACCATCACCGCCACCACGAGCGTTTTCTTCCAGCCCAAACGTGTACAGATTACAGAGAAGATTCTGCGATACCGCTTTTCGGGGTTTGAAAAGAAGAAAACAACACAAAATCAGTACCCATTGGGGGAGAAAGAGACAGGAAATCCCGGATAATGACACCGACAGATCCGCCCTCCCAACCTTCTTCCTTATCTATATCTCCAAAGAGCTCACTCGATTTTCCTTCTCCCTCACTTGTCTTTGAACCGACTGGCGACTCCACCAACCTCCCAGATCGTCTCGCAAGAATCGCACATCGGATCGCCTGCCAGGCTGTTGTATCGCCCGAAGAGTCCACCACGCTGCATCACCATCTCGACTGCATCGAGTCACTCCTGGATCCCACCTCGGCATTCGCCCAAGAAGGCCCTGTTTGTCATCCTGCTGCACGCTCGGCAGCGGCGCTCACCGGGGCTGCCGATATCCCGCCACCTGCAGCAGCTTCCTCGTCACTCGCTCAGCTGACGTCTCTCCTCGACGAAGCCACAGCTCTCAACGCTGAATTGCGACAGCGTCGCGATGAATCTTTCCAGCTCTATGGCCGGTTAACTCGCGAATGCCGCCGTCTGACGCGAAGAGTGTCCGAGCTGGAATATGAAGTTCATTACTTGTAATCTCTCCCCGCGCCGACTCTTCCCGTGAGCCGCTTCATATCGAACTAATCCATAGCACAGGAAGGCTGATATCCAAGAAGAATCATCGGAGCGCGAAGCTCTTCATGGGACCGTACAGGGCTTGCAGACGTGGGTTACAGCCTGGAACGCTCAACATGGTCAGATCGTAGCCCGGAAGCTAAGTCAACACCGCCGGCGGTGGCCTAGGCCAAAAATGACCTATAGTCATGAGAATGAGGTCGAAGCACTTCTCGAAGGCATTGCGGCATGGATGCGGGGGTGGAATGACCTCGAAGAGGGGTTTCGTTCCCGGGAGAGGGCCCGACGACGAACAAGGCAAGAACGGCAGAGACAATGGTCCAGGGATGTAGTCAACACAGTGATATCCATTAGCTAGATAGTAGGGAGGAATGGGCTGCTGTCGCACCCGTCCCGAAAGCATCGCACTTCTGAAGTAGAAATGCGCCAGACAACAAACCGCCGGAAAGATCACACGACCATGTTGCCCAAGCAAATGATACAGTTGAGTAAATATAGAGACAACGCAAACGGATAAAGCACAGAAACGAAGGGCAGTATACATCCACCAGTAACCCTATGGTATCCGCCAGCCGCCATTTTTCCCAGAAAAACCCCCGGTTTGCGCCGTTTTGTATCGTCTAATGCGATTATTCGTCCGATGACTGAAGATGAAGATGATGGGAGAAGGATGGTGTTGATGAGAGCACCGCTGTGACCCAGCGCGCACAATCTTGATCGAGCCTGGTAGTACCATCAGGCGGCCGATCGTCGCCGGAAGCTCGCGGGAGGTCGTGCTCCCAGGAGTGTCTCAGCGGACCGGAGATGGGGGTGTTATTCACAGAGCTTTCAGGCCGTGTAACAAACGTCTGGACTGGGCTGATGCTAGTCGTGTACTTATATCTTCATTCACGAAAGCATCACCGTTGCATATTCACGATCGCCAACTATTCCCACACGGTTAGCAGGTGTCTCGGGCTCAGAAAAGCAGGGACGCATACCTGTCCGCCGAATCCGAACGCGAGTTTCTTCCCATCCGTATCCCAAGATAACGAACGATCCGGAATAGAGTCAACATGCCCATTGTGTCCGTTCACCGTTCTGGCAGATTCGTCTTCATTTTTTGTCTCATCAGTCCCAGGAACTGACCACGTGGCCATCGCCGCGCCTCCTCGTTGAGCATTCCAAATGAACAATTTGTCTTTACTAGCGGCCGCAATCGCATAGCCATCAGGGGAGAAGCACCCGGCGAGAGCAGGGGATGATGGGCCGAGGAAGAGTCGGTGAACGCATTCAAACCGTTTCGAATCGAGATCGACGTGCCAAATCTTCACGGTATCATCGGTCGAGGCCGAAGCGAGAACTAATGGCTGATTTGTTTGGGTTGGGTCGGAAGCATTGGGCTTCAACTCAATCGCGGTGATGTCCCCTTCATGCGCTGCGTCAAGGTGCATGTCATGAGTCGGGATCCAGAATTCCCGGTCTGAAGCAGAAGCCGCCACGGCAACGGAGGCTGGTCCGACGTGAGTGCACCGAATGAAAGTCCACGGTTTGTCGGGTCCTCCTGGAAACGTATATGTCTTGGTGCGATTGATGCTAGAGTCCACTTCGCAATGGTACACGGAGCCGTTCCCACACGCAAACGCCTGGTTACGCCCCAGCCAGCTGAGATCGTAAATAGATCCATCGACGACCTGCGGGGGAGGGAATTCGTCCGGCCGTAAGGAGTCGTCCCAAAGTACCAGCTCCGAGACTTTGCTATCCGATGCCACGACAATCAGGTGCGGCCGGTTCTCCGCCCAGTGGAGGCCGGTAATCATACGGGGCACTTCGGGCAACAGATCCACTGCATTTCCGGCCACATCGTACATGGCAATGGAGCCTCGCATGTCGTTGTAGGTAGCGACAGCCAACTTCTGGCCGGTGGGGTCCCACGCGACGGCGGAGACACATGTGCCATCTCCTCGACTCACGACCAGCTTCTCCTGCACTGGAGGCGCCGATGAAGACAGCTTCCAAAGACTACAGGAGGACTCCCCGGCGGCGGCGACGATGGTAGGATCGCGGGGGCGCCACAGCGTTCGCGTCACGTGGTCATCCTGCGCCACATCCAGGATGGCGGTGTCAGGGCTGAGGTCAGCCGCCTTGGCGGGGGTGATCTGAACGCCAATGCTATGCCCGTTGGTCAAGGTGAAAGTCGGGGCTGGGGGTTCCTGCGACGCCGGGCGGATGCCCATGCTCACGTCGCCATCTGCATCCACGCCGGGCTCTGGCGACATTGCCGATTTGGTGTCGGGGACCCCATTGGTGTCGACTTCCATGGGGACTTCGTCGCCATTGGCTTCCCCACGATCGCTCTTGCGACTCTTCTTGCCGTTAGGCGCAGCTGGAGGGGCCTCGGCCGTCGCCAAGTGACCGTTGATTGCGGCACCGTCTCGCGCGACTTTGTTGGTCGGCGACACAGGCGCTTGGTCTGTGCCAACACCGGTCTCACCTAAACTTTTCTGTGGTGGTTCCGGTTCCTCCAGGGCGGCTGGCCCAAAGAAATAATTTGAGGGGGAAAATGCCGTTCGGTTTCCATCCTATTTTGTATGAGTTTTGAATTCGCGACTGGCCTCCCCGCGCCTTTCTGCAAGTGGATCAAATCGTAGGCATTGCAAAAACATACCTTATCAAGAGATTGTTCCAGCTCGTAATATTGGAGACCTTTCTGAACCAGTGACACGAGGGCATGGGTTTTGATGTAAGGAGCAAAGGGCAGACTCTGCGGATCACGATTCCATGCGCGCTGCAGTGTTACTGCAGCTTCGCCATGACCTGAAGGGGGATGGGTATTAGATGGATATTTTGACCTTTTTTAGTGTAAAAGGGGGCGCGAGAAATGGGTCAATAGGGCAGAAGATGGAGATCTCCAAGAAAGAGACCCAAAAAGAAAAGGAAAAAAAAAAAAAAAATGCAACCAACCTGATTCTTGGAGGTACCTAAGGCCAGTCAGCAATCGCGTTGACGAGGGTGGGTGGGACGGAGAACGGGTTGCGGTTGAGGGTGGAATTCTTCCCACGTACCTCCATATTAAGTAGTTGACATGATGCGAGGTGAGATCGGGGTGTGCCATTGTTACATGTATGACAGGAGCGAGGGAGGAGGGTCGGCTCGCATGCCAGGAAGAATGAAAGCCACCTCCACTAGACGAGAGACCGGACGGGAGGCGTTGTCTGGCGGATGGAGAAGGGTGACAAGACAAGAGACAGGAAGGGATTCGGCTGGGAGGATAGGACGAGATGACCGGTTGATGAAGATGAAATACCGAAGGGGAAAAAGAAAGTGACAAGGCGGTGAACGGGGAAGGGGGATCAAGAGACAGAAGAAGACGGATGTTGTTGGTAGGTAGAGAGAGTTGAAGACGGTAAGGTAGTGTGAGGGAGTGGACCGATCAAGCCGATGATTGAAGAGGGACCAAGAGGCTAACTAAGGCAAGGAAGGAAAATCGACAGCGGAGTGGATCCCAGGGAAAATTGTAGCGGCCAAGGGAACAGGTGGAAGGAAAGGGTGGAACATGCTCTGATCCACCCGCGAGGAGACCGAAGACGACGACGATGAAGACAAGGAAGAAAGAATGTTGAAGAGAGTCCAAGAAGAGGAAAATCGGGACGGGACGAAAGACCGCAACGTGTGGCTTTAAGATACAAGACCAGACAGACCCGACCAGACCAGACCCGCCTCAGTGCCGCTAGACCGGGAGGATGTGAGTCGGTAGCTCAAGGGAAAGGTACTTAGGTAGTTAGTAGTAGGTACCTAGGTACCAAGAGCCAGGGATTAGGAGGGCAGGATCTGGAGGGGATTGGATGCGAAATTCGGCGTGATCTCTGTGAATCCAGCCCAAACTCGTCTTTTGTCTATTCGAACGAACGAACGAACGATCACTGTGAGAGGCAGAACAGAAGAAGAATGAAGGATGACTGACTAAGCCCAGCCCTTGGATCCCCACTAGTCCCGTTTCGGGGTAGTGGAGGGTGGATCAGGTGATTGACAGCCACTGCAGCCACATCTAGATAAATTCCACCGTCGCGATAATTTACGAAGGACACTGGAGTCATTCCATGGCAGTCAAGACTTTGAAGCTTGGTTATTATGACTATTATTTATATTACTATTAACTTATTGAAATATTCAAATCAATACTGACACCATTCCAACCTATCTCCTCTGCCTCTACCGATCCCAGTCTAGATCTCGAGTACCCGTCCAACCCTACTCGGTACGAACGTCATTGGTGTCCGGACACCTGAACACCAGTTCCTACATTCATCCCGATAAGAGATGATCACCAATATCACCTATCCCATACCCAAGTACTGACTGTACTGACTATACCATTTTCTACTCTGTACTCTTAAAGTACCTTCATACTAGGTGCCTTACCAAATTGGACATATGCATGCAAGGATCCAATCAGATCGAGATCATCAACCTTAAACCCTTTTGGGGAACAACGAAATTCCTCCCGCTTCCTCCTCCACCACCACCTTCATTCTCCCTCTTCTTCTCCAATTTGTTCCTCCTCCAGACCTCATTCCACGCTCTCTCCCCTGCTGGGCGCCTACGCAGCCAGCGGCCTGCATCCTCCCTCCAACGCAGCCGCTATCTCTCAATATTTCCTCCCACCATGCGGCCTCGGGTCAACATCCCCCCAGCGACCCGCATCTGCCTCATCTCTCTCCTCACCCTCTCCTTGCTCTACAACATCGCGCGATGGCGACAACTTGACAACACCACCTCCCCCACTTCATCCTCCACTACCGGGACATCCACTCCCATCACCCCCGTCGTCCCCTACCTGACGCTGGTTCCGTCGCAGCTCTTTTATTATCCCTGGACGCTCCTGACCGCAACCTTCGTCGAGCAGAACATCTTCACCGTTCTGCTCAACGCCGCAACGCTCTTCTATGGAGGGAAGTACCTGGAGCGCGCATGGGGGTCGCGCGAATTCGCCAAGTTTATTCTCGCCGTCGCCGTCATACCTAACGTGGTCATCGTCCCCCTCTACTTCCTCTCCTCGGCCGTCAGGGGCACCCTAGCCAAAGACGGGTACGTCTTGTTCTCCTCTGAAGACGATTGCGCCGCATGCACCTTTCATGCTGACTCTGTATCCTCAAGCGTGCTGGGGGTCGGGCCACAAATCTGCGGTGGCACCTCCATCCAAGCCTCCTTCCTCGTCGCGTTTAAGCAGCTCGTCCCTGAGCACACCGTCACCATCTTCAAAGGGCTGGTGAAAATGCGCGTGAAGCACTTCCCTGCCCTGTTCCTCCTTCTAAACACCATCAGTGGCGTTCTATTCGGCACCCATATCGCCGCCGTTCTCGCCTGGCTGGGCCTCCTCACCAGCTGGACATACCTGCGCTTCTTCAAGCGCCAGCCTGACCTCACCGGGACGTCGACCGATGGTCTCGGCATCAAGGGCGACGCCAGCGAGACCTTCGCCTTCGCCTGTCTATTCCCAGACGCGATCCAGCCCCCAATCGCATTCGTTGCCGACCAGATTTACATCCTCCTGGTCACCTTGCGGATCTGCACACCGTTCTCGGAGGAGGAAATCGATTCAGGCAACCAGCAGGTTCTTGCGCGTGGCGAGGCCGGTCTCCCCAGTCTTCTGAACCACTCCCGCGGCGGTATGCGAGGCATGGGCAAGCGCGAGGAGGCAGAGCGACGACGAGCCCTTGCGCTCAAGGCCCTGGACCAACGCCTCCAGGCCGCGGCGGCGGGCCGAGCCCCGTCGCACTCGCCGGCGCTAAATCCGCAAGCATCGAGCCAGACCCAAACGGCCACGCCGACGGTGGCGGCCGGACAGGGCATGCTGGGGGAGACCAGCTACACGCCGGACCATGCTTAGCGGTGGACGTACCGTGTGTTGCATTGCTACATTGCTTTAGGAGTTTGGTTGGTTATGATGTTTGGGATCCGGGGCAGTATACGACTACCGCGTATGTGCGCGCATCGGGATAGCATATAGCGTCGTGCTTGCTTTAATATCCACCATGATCTTCCTGGGGCCACCCTGCCACCATTTGTTTACTAGCGTATTTGAGCATGATGACGACCTCTGTAAATACCTTCGGTTCAGATTGCACACCATAATAAAGTTCTCTAAAACTACATGAAAGAAAAGAGGCTATGCTACAATCAACCGTCGCAACCCAACCCAAACAAATCAGCGAGCATATATACCTAGCAAGATGACAGAAACCCCAGTAACCCATGAAAGCGCAAAAACCCAAACCGCAGCACTAAAGCTGCTTCAACTTCTCCACCTCACCGCGCGCCTCCTGCAGCATGCGCTCCTGGTCCTTCTTCGCCTGCCGAATGCCAAGCACACGGGCGCGATCCCGCTCCGACTGCTGCTTCATCTGCTCGAACCGGGCGAGCTGCTTGAGCTCGTCGTCGGACGCGGCGACGTCCTGCGCGCCCGTCACCAGCGCCACCTTGTTCCAGATCTCCTTGTAGTCGAGGTTCTTGAGGTCGACGACGGCGGTCTTTTCGGCGTCCGTCGGCGCGGGCGCGTGCTTGTCCTGCACGGCCGAGCCGTTCAGCGCCGCGGCCTTGCTGGCCTGCTCGGCGAAGTATATCGTCAGCGCCGCAGGGCCGTCCTGCTCGTCTGTCTGCTTCACGCTCATCGCTACCGACGGGTTGTGGTACTTCAGCCGCGGCAGGCAGTTGCGCCAGAAGTGGCGCGCCCCCTGGTGGCCGCCGTAGATCTTGCGCGCGTACGTCAGGTGCAGCCGGGTGATGGCGGGGAAGTCTTTGGTTGCGGAGGGGGCGGTTGGGAGGATGGCGGCACCGGTTCCGATGCGGATGTTGAGGAGCTGGAGACGTTGTTAGTGGGGGTTTGTAATTGTGGTGTGGTGTGTGATGGTGGTGGTGGTGGTGGTGCTGCTGCTGCTGCTGCTTGGTCATGTATGGGTTGAGAGGGCGGTCGCGGTCCAATCTCAATGGAGGTGGTCAGGGATGGTAGTTTTGGAGAAGTAATTACCCTCTGTTATAGTAGTCAGTACTGAGGCTCAGATGTCAGTCTGGTTATGGGGAAGGCCGACGTACAGTTTGCAGCTTCCGCATCCGCTTGAAGAGGTTCACCATGGTGACGACGGAGAGGCCCAATCTGCGCTCTCAGGTGAACAATGCAGAAAGAATTAGTCAGTTCTATGACCCCAGCTGGAATCGTAGCAGATTTTGGCGTGGTATGGTCGTGAAGAGGGTGGATTGAAGACTGGTCGGGTCATTGAATTTTGGTCGTCGGCGGAAAGAAACATCTCCGATAAGTAGTCACGTGATATCTCCATACCCCGTACAACTGTCTCGTTCAGTGCAAGTTTCCTCCCTAGGTAGTATCCTACTGACTCCCTGAATGACTTCCCTGAATACTTCCTTGCCAATACCGAATACTACATGAGATAGCTGTGTTAATTAGGTGTGTGAGTTGAGCATCTTGAGTCTTCAAACAACATCCAGCATTATCCTACCGAGCAGCATGTCTGTGACGCTCTGGCCTTGAGCTCTAAATCAGCAACAAACCAAGTCGCCTCCAAAGAACAGGATGCGCCCGTAGACAACTTTTATTCATTCTTCAAGCAAGTCAAACCACTCTGGAATCTCCCTAATGAGTTTCCACATGTACTTCTCCAGGCTGGCCGCACACTTGGCGTATACCGTCGTTGCGTCATTATATTGTCGACAATTACTGAAAATCAACTTAAGATCGCTGACAAGGTCTTTCGGAGCAGTATAGAAATCCTGCTCCAACCTTTCTTCCATGGTCGAAAGGTCTATTGGCGATGTAATAACGTTATAGTAATCAGGGACTTCGTCTTTATTGACCGGGTGGAGGAAAGGCCATGCTTGTTTGTGATTTTGTATTTGATTCAAAAAACGTCGAAGTTCGTTAAAGTGAGGCCCGTGGCGCGGTTCACGGGCTAACTTGTCCATGTCTGGAGACCAGCCAGTTGCCTGGATGGCAGTGATGGAGAGCGGATCGATTGGAACGATGATGCCGAGAGCCCATTGTTGAGGCGGTGGGTGAATGATGTGGTTTTTGCTCAAGATACGCATTTTGGCTCGAACAGTTTCCTTCTGCTTCAGAAGCATACGGCCGAGCTCGAGATACCGTATTCGGGGAAGCACGGAGCATTGCATGAGTGTTCCTCCTTCGTAGTCCTTGATATACCCCATCCAGATAGACTTGTTGAGTGTGATCTCTTTGGTGAACCCCTGTTTTTGGAAATATCCCGTGGCATAATTGTCGGCGTAGGTTAGGAAATGCATTACTGGGGAGGTAGCTCTGACATAGTCCTTCAAATGGGCCATGAGATGCGCTCCGTATCCCTTAACCTGCTGGTGAGAGGAGACTGCGCAAAAGACGATTTCAGCAAACCTGCGGTCTCGGAATTCTCGAAATGTTATTCCGCCAATGACTTCCCGAGGCATTTTCACGATGGCCAAAGACAGGTGAGCGCGATCATAGACGAGACGTGCGATGTAATCTTTGGGCATTTTGGGGAGTTGCTTTTGGAACAGGCATTTGAGACCCGTAAGGATAATCGTACTCTCTCTGGAGGCATCGTTGTTGACCACTCGGTATTCGATCTCACCATTTCGCTCTTCCACCACTGCAGGCTTTAGGACAGTTGGAATGCTTCCCGATGTCTGGATGACCTATCATACCTTCTCTGGGAAAGGAACCCTAGGGCGTGCAGCTGGAGCTGAAACATGAGGTCCTGTCAGCCCTTCAGGGGAGCTTTTCATGCGTTTGGCATCAGGAGCGGTAGTTGGTTCGTCGAAAGTCGTGCGCTTCGCGTCGAGATTTCGCTCGCTGGTTGCTGGAGCTTGTTGCGACCCTGCTTTGTCCATCTGTGTCAAATGCCAGTGACTGGACTTTCAAAGGACAATACGCAAGCTAATGCAGGTTATTCTCGGGTTCTCTTGACCCCTGGAATGACGGAGGTTACACACAGATCATAGATGTTCGTCTTTGTATATTCACGTGATGATTAACTCCTCCTCTGTATATGTCCCACCTCCCTAATCCAATACTTTATTAATATGAAAATTGCCTACCAAGAAGGTCATCAGGCACCTCATCAGGGCTTGTACTAATCACGAACCCTGATCCATTTACTCTCCAAAGCGGGGGTCCAATCCTGATGTCTGTCGATGACCTTTGGCGTCTTGGCTATTTCACCTCCAGCAAGAACGACACGGGATATCCTTCAGCCAAGACGGCCGCGTCTTTTCCCCGCGCTCATTACAGCTTGCAACCTTGGGATCTTGGAGAAGGAGCATAATGAGACTGCGAGACAAGGACTGGGCTCGTTTGCGGCTTCTGGGCTTCTGTTCAGCTTCTCAACTCCACCGCAGTTGAGTCGGCATATCAACTACTAGAATCCCAATGGATGGCTGAACTGCCTCGGGAGACCACGAAGATCTGCAAGATACTATAGCCTGTTTAAACAAGGTCCCTTGAAGATTTAGTCGGCTGTAGAAACCCAGGTCATCGGCCATGTGAAAGCCCAAGGGCCTATATCATCCCAGCTCTCGCCTTCTACCTCTTCTTCAGTGAACCCCTCTTACTGCCCCCAAGCAATCCTGATGATCGCCTCCCGTGCCTGCACTATTCTCTCGCTGGCCCTTGGCGCCATAGCGGTGCCCTACAACACCTTCGACGGACCCGGATATCCCGCCTGTCGGGATGTCGCCGCCATCCACACCCCAACCAGCGTAGACGAGATCCAATCCCTCGTCCAAGATGCGATCCGCGCCGGCCAGAAAGTCCGCGCGTCCGGCAAAGGCCACATGTGGTATGATACCATGTGCTCCGACGACCCTAACACAGTCATCATTCGCACCGAGGAGACCAACCGCATCTACGACTTGGACCTGGAAGCCGGCACCGTCATGATCGAGGCGGGTGTGACCTTCCTCCAGCTCGCGGACTATCTTCATGCTCATGGAGCTTCCGCCGGATACACCTTGGTCAACTGGAATATTACGCTGGCCGGCTGCGTGGCCATGGGCGCCCATCGGTCGTCGATCCGTGAGGATTCCATGGTTGCGGCGGGTGTGCTGGCGCTGGATATCATCGACGGCCATGGGAATCTGCGCCATCTTGAGCGTGATAATGAGGATGACACCTGGTTGGCGGCATCGACGTCGCTGGGGCTGATGGGTGTCATTGTGCGAATGAAGTTTAAGATCTATCCTGACTTCAAGGTGTACGCGGATCAGAAAACGTGAGTCGCCGCCGTTTGATACCATGAAGTATGGCTGACCTATGACATGCAGACTCGACGAGGAAGACGTCCTGAATGGAGACATCTACGGCATGATCAGCCCGTATGCCACCGCCAACTTCTGGGTACGTACTATCCCGTTCAAGCGTGCCATAAACCAACAATGCTAATCGCAGCACAGTGGTGGCCGTACAAGAAAAAGTTCCACTGGCGATACTACGACGTGGTGCCCACAAACACCAGCGACCAGCAAGGCTTCCAAAACACCTTTTCCGTCACCAAGCTCGAGGCGACCGCCATCAAGGGGATCTGGGAGAGCGGCCGATTCCTGGCGACATCCAACATGCTTGCAGAGGAGATCCTCTTCGGGCAGTGGGAGAAGCCCAATTTCCGCGAGAAGACGACCAACAAGGCGATTGACGAGTGGCCCGTGTACGGGTGGAACTACGACGTCCTCATCGGCGGCCTGTATCCCGACCAGCGCCCGGTCTGGGACTACGGGCTGCACGGGCACACCCTCGAGCTGGCGTTCCCGATCCCACAGGCAAACGCCATGCTCAAGCGCGTGCGCGAGCTGTTCGACGCGGAGGCGAAGAAGGCGCTGATCATGACGTCCACGTATCGCAGTGGGATCAACATCAAGTTTGGGCGGCCGTATTTCGACCTCTTGGGCCAGGTCACGTACGGCACTGCCGACGGGGCGGATTGGTCCAAGGGGGTGATTATGCTGGATTTTCCGAGTTATCGGCCGGATAATGGCAAGCCGCGATTCAACGAGCCTTTCTGTAAGTGTGCCTTGGTTGCGCTGTGGAGTGGCTGACAGGTTGGTCTAGATGAGAATCTGGCGAAGACCTTGGTGAACGAGTTTCCGTGTCGTCCGCACTGGACCAAGAACACAAGAGAGGTGTTTGCCATGGCCGCTAAGAACTTGGATCCTGACGTGAGTTGGACTCCTCTTCACCACAACAAACCACTGATGTCCTGTAGCATATTGCCCGGTTCAAGGCTGTTCGAGAGAAGTTCGACCCCCAGGGAGTGTTCCGCAGCGTCATCGGGGAGACCATTGGTGTTTATTGACGAAGGTGCCGCGAGTATGGACTGGTACAAGTCTCACTGCTAGTAGTTTTGTGTCTCTATTTACAGCTTGTTCCAGACACTTTGTAAGATCCTCCATAGTGACCTTCAAATAAATAAGCTATGGGGGTTGGCTCAAGCTAACCTACGGATCATCCAACATGAGCCTATCCCAGCCATCCCGGCTACTGAGACGAAAGATGAGGAATATATATTGCCAATATACCAAAGTGGTGGTGGCACACCGTGTTGTACGGAATGGACTGTAGCCACATCCAACTAGTCTATAGGTGAAACTGCCCTGTTTGAAGGGGTATTACGCTATGGACATGAAGCTCGTAGCAGCGCAATGTTGAACTCGTTGAGGCAGAATGGAGCCGTCTAGTGATCTATGAAGTCATCGAGCGGCTGTGCGGGTCACCACCCAGGCACATCCGGCTACCAGGGACCTAGGTATAAGTATCCCTCGCAGACCCCGCAACCAAACCCCTCAAAGAATCCAGGCAAACCATTTCCTTCGGCATCAGCTCCAGCTACTCCCAGCCACCATGTCGGGCTCCTCCAGACGGTCCTCGCTGAGCGGCCTGTTCAGCCGGCCGGTGCGCATGGCGCTGAAACCGCCGGACCGCCCGCTCGCCCTGCGGCAGGAGTCCATCACCGCGACCAAAACCACGCTGGTGGTCAAGCCGCTGGGCGACGCGCAGGCCGAGGTGGCGTATGCGGTCACCGACGCCGACGACGTCCCGCAGTACACGGTAACCGGGCGCAAGTTCGGCGCCCGCGCGTGCCGGGAGTTCCGCGATGCGTCGGGGCTGCCGCTGTTTGAGATCCACCGGCGGCTGGCGCTGAAGAACGTCTGGGCGATCACGCTGCCCGGCAGCGATGCGACGACGCTCGCGACGGGCTCGCCGCGCGGGTTCTTTGGGGCGCCCGCCTTTGGGAACTTCAATGTGACGTTTGAGAACGCGGCGGCTTTTGGGGCGAAGCGCGTCGAGGATAGGACTGTCACGCTGGAGGTTCACCGGTTTGGGAATGTGTTGGCGTCGTTTGATGTCGTGGATGGGGATCGGAAGGTGGCGGAGGTGCGCGAGAGCATCGTGCATAACCAGACGCTCGCCTTACGGCCTAGCTCGAAGAACCATTCGCATCGGCCCGCGTTGGATATCATAATCACCCGTGGGGTTGATACTGCATTGGTAGGTGCTGACGGTTGTTGGGGAATGGGTGTGCGTCGTGGCTGACTGGGTGATCTAGATCTCTGCCATTGCGGTGATTGCTGCGGACTGGGTGTTCAGCACGGGATAGTCTTTATATGGAGACAACACCTAGACTATGCATATAGCCTTGAAGGTTTCTAGCTAGGAACATCTTAGCTCTGTACATAGAGATGCTGGCCGTTCATAATTCGTATCTACTAATTTACTAACATGACCGAACGTATTCCAACTACATTCCCTTCGTATAGACATCAGGTACGTCGTACTCATCCCCACCTCGCCCCCGACCAAAGAACTCCCTCGCTCCGACCCCGTTCTTCCACGCGCGCATGTCGACCTTCTCCCGCGCACTGTCCATCGACACCTCCCACAGCCGCTTGGAATCGCGGCATTGATGCACAGCCCCGACGCCGTGCACGTTGAAGACGGTGCGACCGTTTATGACGGTCTTTTTCGGCTGTTCGATGGTGTCATCCGCCGCGCAGATAATCGCCTACACATCATATCGTCAGCCATGGCTCTCTTATCCTGCAGTATCTGGGGCACACACCTGCGCGATGTAATCGAAACAATGCGCCCAATGGAACCGGTCCATGTCCGGATTCTCCGAGTGCGGGAGCAGCGTCGAGTTTACTTTCTTGTGGGAGGTTTCCGGGAAGATCAGGCCGCGCAGGATGATCAGACAGTGCAGCTGGTGGAACATGGAGATCCCGTAGGAGATGTTGAGGTCTTTGTCATTCGTGTCTTCGTGGGCATCGCTTTCTGCATCGGGGGGCGGTTGCTGGGCCAGGATGCCGCCGCCGCTGTCGGGCATGAGGAGGTCCTCCCATGACAGTTGCTTCTGAATCGGGGTGGACTTGAAGGAGTCTCGTTCGAGGTCATGGTTGGGGTCGAAGACGCGGCGGTGGGTTTGGTCTTGCCGAGCACATGACGAGGGATAGCGAAGGACGGGGAGGAGGTAGTCTAGCGGGGCTATCAGGATGAGGGTCAGAGTGACGGTGAGGAAAGCTGTGAATAGAACGGTAGTCAATGTGGCCCTGGAGTGGTGCTTGGGTCTGGACATGGCTGGGTTTGGTGGCCATTGGTACTATGTATGATGTATGTATGTGGTGCTGGTTAGGTAGAGATGAGTTGGAGGGATGGAGTATATAGGCACAACGTAGGCTCAGGGAAATAAATTACTTGTTCAGTGGCTCAATAGACGTGAAAACACTTGGCATTAGGACAGACATATGGCAGACCGGTCAAAGGGTGGATACTGGATGCTGTTATTGTTTCCCCGTTAGGCGGACAAAGATGGGCGGACAAAGAACATCTCCGTCTGTAGAGACAAGATATAGGTGATGTCAAAGATGGTACCGACATAAGTATTCACAGATTCACCCACAATGGCTTATATTGATAAACCACATACAACTGATTTTGACACCAATTCTCCCCTCGAACCCAAACTTGGGGTCATCTAGACAATTGTCATTGTCTGTCCTGAGCCTGTGACACGTCTGCTGGCGCTACTGGTTCTTTGTGTCACCAGTTAGACCAGGGAGTGTTCTTCAAGGATAAGCCATTCCACACAGTTAAAGTACTCTTGTTCATAGAATCTCATAAGACATACACTGGTGATGCACTCTGAAATACGGAGTACTCCGTAAACACAGTACCTCTTGGTGGGTCTAGCAGTGGGGTGGCAGCGGTGGAACAAACATAAATAGGCGCACATCCCCTCCGGCGCCTGTCCTCGGTAGTCAATTTGACCGCTCATGGACCCGCCCCCGGGCGCTAACCACAGCTTACTTATCAGGACAGACCCCATCAGTCATTGCAGTCTCTCCGCCGCAAATTCCACAGGATCCCCAACACACATAGACTCGACAAACATATATTTCCCAGTTCGGTCGTTTATCTTAACAATCGGACTGGTAGCTCAATTGGTAGAGCGAGCGGTTTGGGACGTCTCTGCGTCTATTTATCCGACTGAAAAGTCAGAGTACCCTGCAGGGAATTGCCTTTCAATAGAAAAGAGTATAGATATGGCCTAGGAACCATCTAAAGCACCGCGGTGGGTGGACAAGGAGGCTTCCAAACCGTCGAGGTCGTGAGTTCGAATCTCACCCAGTCCCCCCTTTTTCTTTCCTTTTTGAGATCCTTTCATTCATTCATTTCACCTTGTTTCTTGCAGCATCAGTACCTACCTATGAGAGATGCCAATATGAACAGAATAGCCTGAAGACAGCCCACCTTCAGGTGTTCCTCTCGTAGTTGGTGTGGATGTATCGCCATTGAGAATTTCAGATGGAAAGCATTAAAGCGTCATCTACCAAGCTATCCCGTCTATAACGGTGCTCAATCAGTAGAACATTGTCGCTGCTTCTCGAACGGTCGGCCCAATCGGGTAATGAACCGGTCATGGATATAAGCTGACTCAGGCACCAAGGCACCAAGGCATGACCGTCCTCAGCCACATCTCACCCCCCCGATTCCATTCCATCACTGCAACTTCATCTCTTCTCAACCTCCTTTCGTCTCCCGTCGTCAAGCCCGTCCATTTTCTTCCTTTTTCTTCACTTTAGTTGGGTTTCTTTGCCTTTTCTTTGCTGTCTCTCTCGCCAGGCCCCTCCTCTCCTTTTCCGACCCTCCCGCCCTCGCTCAGCTCGTCATGAGCTCGCAGCGTTATCAGCGGGTAAGTCATCCCGACCGCATTTCTGACGCCTCCGAATCCCCTCGTGGCCGGATTCGTGCATCGCAACTCTCCCACAAGATCGCTTTTACTGATCTGATCTGCTCCTGGCAAATAGGTGAACGCCCACGATGATGATGAGCCACATTCCCACTCGTCGATCCCTCTACACTCCAACCTAACGCCTTCCTCTCCTCCCCCGTCCTTCCGCTCTCGCTCCTCCTCCATCTCCTCCAGACGCCTTCTCCACGATCCTTCCCGTTCCAACGATGAAGACCAGACCCTCGCCGACGCCTTTGGTGATGGCAGCGACTCGGAAGCCGAGGACGAGCCCGATGACCGTCAACGGCTAATGCGGGCTCATCCGGAGCCCCGGACAGCAGGGGACAGCAGCACTGAAGCCGCTGCGTCTTCGTCGGGTGCCAGCAGTGGGCAGTCTGGATCGCAACCACCTGCAGGGATAGTGAGAAGACAGACGCTCCTCCCATCCTTTACTAGTTCTCAGAGTTCAGGCGGAGGCCGGGTCATCCATTCATCTAATGACGGTGTCTTTGCAAATCTGGCAGCAAAGCCGGAACGGGGTGAGAAGAACGAAGATTTACCACCGGTACGTGATTCCTTTTATTTGGAGGGTCTATCTCTGAAGATATCGCTAACATCGAATGCAGTCGTATGAAGAGGCGGCCGCTGACGCCACTCCCCCCTACTGGGAGACTACGATTCTCGCCCCTGGAATCTCCTCCGATGAAGTCTTCGTTGACGGGCTTCCCGTGGGATCCGTCTTCTCCTTTGTATGGAACGCTATGATCTCCATGTCCTTCCAACTAGTCGGCTTCCTTCTCACCTACCTTCTTCACACCACTCACGCCGCCAAAAATGGGAGCCGGGCTGGACTTGGCCTCACCCTGGTGCAATACGGGTTCTACATGAAAGGTGGCAGTGACACGGGCGGGTCGGATGACGGCGGCTCCGGGCAATATGCAACGCCTCCCGATCCCAACAGCCATAATTTCGATCCGAACGCGATGGGTGACAATGGGGGTGATGGAGGCGGCGGTAGCTCGAGCATCTCGACCAGTGAATGGATCTCGTACGTCTTGATGATTGTCGGATGGTTTATCTTGATCCGTTCCATCAGTGATTTCCTCCGAGCTCGTCGCCATGAGCAGTTGGTCTTGCAGAGCCCCGATCGCGGGCTCGGAGTCCCGGTCATTGCGGAAGGCGAGAGATCGGAAACGGTTGTCTAATCCGCACCAAACCAACGCATGGTCGTTCTATACATAGCGGGATTCATGGTGACTTGGTTGGAGCTCGGGAGCGTCCGGCGTTCATTTGCTTTTCTTATGTCTTCATCTTTTGTCCGGATAATGGGGGTCTTTGGACTGTACGACATGGGCTTTCTTTGTGATACTCGACACATCCCTTTTCTTGCCTCTCCACCAGCATCATGCACTTTCTAGTTTATTTTGTTCTTTAGAGATACCAATCTGACTGCAATAGTTGGCATATCAAATCGTGTGTTCTGGATGGTTCTCGTGGTTCTCGTATTGTGTGGCATGCGTCATTCGCCAGGCAACCTTTTTTCGGCGCTCATTCTTTTGCCGCCTCTTTCGTCACAGCCACACTCTCACCAAGAAGGCTTCTGTCGCGTATTCTTTCGCCACTTGTCCCTTCTTTTCTCGCTCTATCCACGGTGCCAGCATTGACGGGTGCCTGATACGAAGTCAGGCCGTCTCGGCGACTCTCCGCAACCGTCCGGCTGGGTCCGCGTGGCTTTGTTTACCGTCTCCTCGGCTGGTTCAGCTCCCTTGTCATCCTCTCTCCTCTCTCCCCTCAACCTTCTCTATTCCTTCCCAAAGCTCCTGTCTTCGACACCACCGGAATCACCTGCGGCAAATGACCAAGGCCGACCCAGGGGCGGATGGGGGATCCGCCTCGCTGAACCACGGATTGCCCAGCGGCCCTGTGGAAGCCCGCTCTCTGTCCGCGATCACCGCAATAGCCTCCAATCCCCCGACCTATCCTCGCAATCCGACCCAGAAGAAACTCGATCCCCTCGTGCTGTACATTGTCCGAGTCCCTGGAAGTCGAGGTAAGTGCAGTTGGACCTCCCTGGACCATGCCTCCATACCCCGCACACCCGAGCGGTGGGAGCATCCCGCCCAATGCGATCGATAACGGGGTGCGATTGGTATGCATTGCATGGTGCGACACGAATCAGTGGATGGAATGCTGATTGAGAGATCTCTGCAGATGTCTTCCTGTCTCCACTGAAGCCGCCGACCAAGGCCAGCGTCTCCGCTGAGGCCATCAACTCCTCTCTCTATTACCTGCATGCCGCAACGCCCGACGATGAGATCCTGCTCCAGGAATGCGAACAAGAGCGCGAGGAAGAAGCCCGACTGCGAAAGGAGAAGCTGGAGAACGACCCCGATGTCCCACAGGAGTTTGCGCGAATGAACAAAGTCCGCCGGAAACCGGTCCCTGGAGTCGCAGCGCCCGCAGGAGGCAATACGATACCCGACCCCAGCATCCCCCCTCCGCTTCCTGTGCGTCCTCCGACCCTGATGCAACCACAGGAGGACTGTCCTCCTCCGATGCCGCCTCGGCCGTCCGCTCCCCAGCGATCGTCATGGAGCGGCGTACCCGCCGAACAGAAACCTCCTCTACGGCGACCCCTTCCCTCCGTACCTAAGGATGAGCGATCGTTCGCGATACAAGATGGCTCTATGCAAAAGAGGCCCAACCGGTGGAGTGCGCTGTCAGGCTACATCTCTGGCCGCGGTCTGGAGGGCCTGAGAGACAGGCATGAGATGCTCACGCCCGACCGCCACAGTTTCGACTCGCGGGAGCCTCCTCGGATACGGCCGCACTCGTCTGGCGGCCGTCCATCGTACAGCAGCAGTCGGTCACCCGCGCGAAGCCCCGGTCAGTCACCAACGAGGCGATCGTACGATACTCGACGCCCAGAGCAACCGGGATTCCATATCACTCTCATTCGTCGCGATCCGACGCATGGCGTGCAGTGGAATGTTGCGACAATGTCGACGCCGCGCATGGATGGTAGTGCCATCGATATCGATATTGCCACCCCGGGATACAGCCGGTTCATCTCGAAGAACGAACCCCTATCTCTTGCCGACTTGGGGGTGACTCTGTCGTCCAACGGACAGCCCATCTCCCTCACATCACTCAAACCCCCCGTCCCGACGGAACCAACATCAGAGCCCTCCCACCCCCGACAATTCAGTCGCAAACTCTGGGTATCAAAACCCTACCAGCCAGACGAAGCCCGCTCCTCCCTCGACACGCCGGGGCGGGCTTCAATCGACAGTCTCGGCGGAGGCAACAGCCCCCCAAAACACCCGCACGGCGTCAAGCTCAAAAGCGGCTACTACACCTTCACCTCGCCGTGGAACGGCATCTGCACGTTCTCCACCAGCGTCAACGGCCGCAGCCTGAAATGCAAACACATGATCCCCGTGCCCGGCTTCTCCAACAACCCCACCGGCGGCAGCAGCAGCCTCGATAATCCGGCCGTCACTGTCGCCGAAATCCGCTTCAACACCCCCTTCCAAGCCGGCCACCTACACCACCATCCCAATCCCGCCCACGTCTCCCCCTTCACCCTCAGCCAGACCCCTTCCTTCCCCGTCCACGACCCCTACGCCTCCGCCGCGTCCCCAGACCACGCGCAGCCCGCGCGCACCTCAAAACGCGCCTCCTTCGCCCAACTCCTCAACCCGAACATCTACGCCCGCCCCGGCTCCAGCGGTAGCGGCGGCGTCGTACCCCTGCCCAGCGGTACCAGCCGACACCGTCGCAACGTCTCCACTAGCAGCACTAGCAGCGCCGACCTCGAGGACCGCCTTGATCTGTCGCTGGCGCGGGAACGCGCCGGCGGCGGCATGCGCGGCAAGAGCGCCAAGCTGGGGAAGTTGATCATCGAGGATGAGGGCATCAAGATGCTGGATCTGGTGGTTGCGGCGTGCATGGCCGTTTGGTGGCGCGGGTATTACTACTAGCCTTTGCTTTGGCTTTGGCTTGCGTGTGGATCTGGAGGGTGAGATTTTGTATGCATTTTGGAGCCGATTTTGTATTTTTGCATATCTATATGCTTGGTTATGTGTGCTTGGGTATTATATAGGGACCTCGCTAGCGTATGTACGATTCACGAGTGATGGATGAATGGATACCCACTACCATTGTTAGCTGTCTACAGATTCGTGCGTAAGACTGTCCGCTATTAGATTTGATGAGGAATAGCTTCATTTACAATCTGCACTGCACATCTATGCGTAACCGGTCTGCTTCAATGCAATATCTCTCGACCCAGTCCAGCAGTAAAGAAACAATATCTATGGACCGCTGCGAACGAACACGACAACAACTCAGTACGAAGTATTCCATTGGGCTGGGGAACAGACAAGGGGTCACAATCACAACTTTCACCAATGTACGAGGGTCGATATACTGACAGTCGGGATGGAAACGCCCGGCGATTTCCAGAGACAGAAATAAAAACAAGACGAACAGGATGGATATGGATAGAGATATAAAAAAATTCTTTGCACAGCATCACATGTTTACGCACCCCCTATATCAAACAGCACCTCACATCATACCCATTCAGTCACGGTCTATTGCACATCCATACCCCGCTGCAGCGACGATTCCAGATCGTTCGGGTGGCCACCGCCCGCGGCGAGCGCTTCCTGGGGCTTCGGTTCCTCCTGTCGCCAGACGCCCTGCTGCTCGGCAGGGATGGGGACGTTGTTGGCGATCTGCTGCTGTTGGGCGGCGGCGGCGGCCTGCGCCTGGGATTGCTGCCGCACGAGAGAGCGGAAACGCACGACCTCGTCGTAGATCATGCGACGCATCTCCTGAACGTCCTCGACGACCTCAAAGTGGAAATCGAAGGTCGTGGGGCAGGTGGGCTCGTCGGAGGCGTCATGCCAGATGTGCAGGTACGGGTGCTCCAGGGCTTCTTCGACAGAGATACGCGACGACGGGTCGAAGGCGAGCATGCGGTCCAGGAGGTCAAGAGCGTCCGGGTTGGCATTCGGGAAGAGCCGCTGGAAGGGGATCTTCGGCATGTAGGGCAGGTTGCGGACGTACTCCTGAGCACGCGGTGAGCCGATGCGGCTCAGGGTCTCCTCGTTGGGTGTACCCAAGTAGTGCAGGATCTGGTTGAGCTGGTCGACATAGTCGCGGCCCTTGAAGAAGGGGCGGCCGCCGAGGAGCTCGGCGAGAATGCAGCCTACGGACCACACATCGACTATTCACGTTAGAAGGGTCCGAGGGTTCAGATGGGTCAGGGTGAGGGGTGTGCACGTACTGGCCTTGGTGTAGCTTTGGAAGCTCAACATAATTTCAGGGGCACGATACCATCTCGTGGCGACGTATTCAGTCATGTAGCCGGCATTCTCCTCGGGATCGATAGAGAAACCTCGCGCGAGACCGAAATCACAGATCTTCAGTTCGCAGTCGGCATTGACCAGCAAGTTTCCGGGCTTCAGATCTCTGTGCAACACATTGGCCGAGTGGATGTACTTCAGACCGCAGAGGATCTGGTAGATGAATGATTGGAAATGAGCATCAGTCAGAGGCTGTCCGGAACGGATGATTGCGGCCAGATCGCATTCCATCAATTCTGGAGAGAAGAAGTGTTAAGAGATGATTTATTTCGTTGATCGGCAGGCTGTTCTTACCTTCGTACAGATATGTCTCATTGAAGTTTTCCGGTCGAGGAATGTCCATATCGTACAGACAAGTGATCTACATTGAACGGATCAGCCTTCCGTGGACCCAGGTGATTGCGACAACAGCGACGTACGTTGCGGTGACCCCGGAAATGCTGGAGCAGCTTGATTTCTCGCAGGGCACGCTTGGCCAGGATCTTCTTGCTGAACACATTGGTCACCTTTTTGATGGCGACACCCTCACCGGTCTGGGTATTCGTGGCGGCACTAGAAGCGAGAACAATCGATCGTCATTAGCTACGTTCAACCGAGTGAGAGGGAGCTTGCATCGTGGTCATCTTTATATGCGACCGTCGCGGGGGGTCTGAGAGGAACATCGACAATCACCTACCAAACAATACCGTATGCACCCTGACCAAGCTCCTTGGTCACGTTGTACCGTTCGTCGACAATAAAGTCCTGGTTGAAGACCTTGAAGATCTTACGACCTTGTAAATCGCCCATGATGTCGAAACGCGACGTGAGACGGGTTGACAAAATACCACCGGAATGGGGAAGCGACCAGCGAAGAGGAGGAAAAGAAGATTATATGCAGGTGTCGCCCGGGAGAGACGGGGTCTGACAGGAGGAGGGGCAGAAAGGCAAGGTGGTTGTTTGTGGTTGCGTGCGGTCCACCAGGCGAGCCACCGAGTGGGGGAGAGCGGTGGTGATTAATGTGTGATGAGGGTGGCTCCTTGTCGTTTCGTCCTGTTCTCCCTTGTGGAATTCTTTTGGGCTGGTCGAAAGGGAACGCGGAGCGAAGAGCAAGAGAGGAAACGAGACGATCGGGCTGGGTAGTTAGTGGGAGGCAGCAGCTTCGAATCGACGGAACCACGCAAGCCCCGCAGTCTCGTCACAGCAAGTGGCACGGGCTAAGGAATAGCGTCTGTCAATCTTCCGCTGTTGCGGCTCAACCCGATTCCCCCTGGGAGTGAGTCGATGAAAAGAAAAGAGATATCGATCGATTGAGATGGATTGTAGGTCGATAATGCAGAGAATTCCATGCAGTGGCTCAATTGAGGTTGAGGCGATAAGGAAGAACAGACGCGGTCGAGGGAATTAGTTGATGGGAAGACGGAAGGTGGATGGATCTCTGGTGGGACACCCAAATCTTGGGCCGGCCCAGACGAGAGGATCCCAAGAGTATACAGTACTGATTCTGCTTGATTCATCAAAGAGAAACCGGGCCAGGAGTTTTGCACAAAGAATGTGCGGGCGGCGCGGAGGTGGGTTGTTGATAAATTTATCGAGAAGAGAAAAGAATACACAGAGATCTAGGATATACCCATGGCAGCCTGAGGCACCCTGCTTATGTACTTCACGTACTTGTATTGATGTACTGATGATATCGACCGACTTCGCTGAAATGCATAATCTCATTGATAAATGAAATATCTTTTTCTCAGAACACATCATCAATACAGTCATCGCTTCATCCACGGCCCTTTTTCATATATCATCGTGTATGCATGCGGAATCTCGGTCTACGCATGTATCTCTAGACTGGAACCAAACGCAATACGCAAATCCAAAACAGTCGTATCTACGGTTCTAGAGAGTGTTGGCCAGGCGGCGTTCCTTGCGCAGCACGCGAAGCTTCTCGCGGGCCTCCTCAAGGGGAATCATGACGCCCTGTTTCTGGGTGGCCGGGTCATCACGGTTGCGAATGTTGACCGAGCGGGACTCCTTCTCAGAAGCACCGACAACTATACCCTCGTTAGTATTCCCGAAACAAACCATTTCAAAGAGGGAAACGTACCAAAGATGAAGTTGTACTGCGCCAGCTGTCCATTACGGATCTTCTTCTGCATGGTGTTTCCGCTGATGTCAATATCCACATTCAGCTTGTCGCCCCGAAGGATGGTCTGAAGCTCCTCAACATAGTCGTTCACAGCAGGCATGACAGGTACAATCAGGATCTGGCGAGGACTGATCCAGAAGGGCCACTTTCCGCCAAAGTGCTCGATCAGAATACCCAGGAATCGCTCGAAGCTACCAATGATAGCTCTGTGAATAACAACAGGACGAGCACGGCCAGGACCTGGCTCACCCGGCTTGGCGGTCTCGCCATCCTTCACGTCGGCCCGCTCGTGGGTCATGTACTCGAGCTTGAAGTTGAGGGGAGCCTGGTAATCAAGCTGAATGGTGGCACACTGGAACTCTCTCTTGAGAGCATCGGCAATGGTGATATCAATCTTGGGGCCGTAGAAAGCTCCATCACCCTCATCGATGGTCCAGTCATCACCCTTGAACTTTGTCATGGCGGCCTTCAGCTGCTCCTCGGCGTAGTTCCAGGTCTCCAGCTCTCCGAGGTACTTCTCTGGGCGCGTGGACAGCTTCAGCTTGAAAGTGAAACCAAACAGTCCGTAGATGGACTGCAGGAAATCGAAAAGACCCTCGATTTCAGACATGATCTGTGACTTGTTAGCCTGGTGGGAAACTTATCAGACATAGATGGTGAGCTTTACCTGGTCCTGGGTACAGAAAATGTGAGTATCATCCTGCTGGAACTTGCGGACACGAGTGAGACCGCTCAGAGCACCGGATGCCTCGTTTCTGTGGAGCACGCCAAAGTCCGCAATTCTCAGCGGGAGTTCTCTGTAGCTGCGCTCACGGTGGCCGAAAAGCACGAAGTGACCAGGGCAGTTCATAGGCTTCAGTGCCCATTCCCGCTTCTCAACATCAAGCTTGAACATGTCGTCCTTGTAGTGAGCCCAGTGACCTGAGGTCTTCCAGATCCCGACGTCGTACATATTCGGGGTCTGGACCTCCTGGTAACCCCGCTTACGATATTCCGACCGTAACAGCGTCTGCAGAGCGTTGAAGATCTTGGTACCGTTAGGAAGCAGGAAAGCACATCCGGGGGAAACATCGTCGAAGAAGAAAAGCTCCTGATCCTTTCCGATCCGGAGGTGGTTGCGCTTCTCCGCCTCCTCCAAGAACTTCAGGTGTTCCTGCATCTGCTTCTTGTCGGGGAAAGCGACACCACGGATACGCTGCAAAGAGTCGTTGGTCTGATCACCAAGGAAGTATGCGGAGGAGTTCTGAGGGGCAATTAGCATATTAATCGCAAAACATCCAGGTTTGCCCCGTTCGTACCTGCATGATCTTGAAGGTCTTGATTTTACCAGTGTTCTGGATGTGAGGTCCCCGACAGAGATCGACCAGGGTACCACAGCGGTAAACCGTGCTCTTCTCACCCGTCACCAGCTTATCGATATAATGAAGCTTATATTTGCTGTAGGCGAACATCTTCTTGAGGTTCTCCTTCGAGACCTCGAGGCGATCGAAGCTCTGCTTTTCCTTGAAGATACGAGAGGCCTTGCTGTCCAGGGAAGACCAATCGGATTCACGAACGACGCGGCTGTAACGAAGTCAGTCCCATCCAACCCAGGAAGAAAATGGCTGCTTGAAGTGTAAAAGTGACGTACTTATCGGGCATGGCCATGTCGTAGAAGAAACCCTGAGGGGTGGGGGGACCGTGAGAAAGCAGACATCCATATTGGCATTCGCAAGCCTCGCCCAGACAGTGAGCGCTGGAATGCCAGAAGACTTCTCTTCCTTCGGGGTGTTCGAACGGGACGTATGCGACGGTACACTCGCGCTCCAGGGGACGGTTCAGGTCGAAGAGCTCGCCGTCGACCTTGGCGATGACCACGGAGGCGCTCACCTCCTTGGGAACATTCTTGAGAAGTTGGCCAGGAGTGGTCTCCCAAGCTTTGGCGGGGACAACAGACGTGTTTCCGTTGCCGAGATCGAGAGTGACATTGATCTCGGGATGAGGCTTGTTTTTCACCTCTTCGAGATACTGTTGCCACAGTTCCTCAAATAGCTTGTTTCGTTCGATAATAAAATCGGGCAGCGAATCTATAACCATGCGATTGACAGGTCAGGAGGGGCTATCGCAATATTTTCGGCGGGGTAGCGAAGAACTCACCTTGAGCCCCCGCCGCAGGGCGAACGGGGAGATCTTTGGGAGCTTCAGCAGCCATGGTGTGTCCTTGTGGTCCCGAAAAACAATCCGGGAGCGAATGACCGGTAAATACGAGAGGAAGGCCTGAAGCGATGACTCCTGGATGGCAGTGCTGGCTTGACTCAACTTCATGCAGAATCCCCGACACAATGCACGAATGGACAGACGGCGGATCGCGGGCGGTGAGTCACGTGGCTTCAAACTGCCCTGGGCGGCAAGCGACACTTTACCGCTTCGAGCTTCCCACTTGAAAACTTCTCCGTCCGATCCAGCTCCATCAATCGCCAAACCACAGTCAACATGTCTTTCCGGGGTCGTGGCGCTGCTACGGGTGCCAATCGTGGGGGTAACTTCGGTGGTCGCGGTGGTGAGTCATTGCTGCGATATTCTTCGAGTCGTCGTGTCGAGAGGAAATGGGTGGGAGTTGGCTAACGAAATTTTTCATCGGATAGGCCGCGGAGGCTTCCAGCAGTCATTCGGACCCCCCGCGCAGGTTCTAGGTATTGTTTGACCGTGTCAACGATATCTTGAGTGATATGCGACTAATGAATAATTTAGAGATGGGATCGTTCATGCACGCTTGTGAGGGTGAGATGGTTTGCGAATCGATCAACCCCAAGATCCCTTACTTCAACGCACCCATCTACCTCGAGAACAAGGTATGCGACGAGGGCACTGCTGAACTAGAAAAAGGAACAACGAGGCTAATGGATTCACCCTGGTAGACTCCTATCGGAAAGGTCGACGAGGTTCTTGGACCCATCAACCAGGTCTACTTCACCATCAAGCCCCAGGAAGGAATTGTCGCGTCTTCGTTCAAGCCTGGTGACAAGGTGTACATCGGCGGCGACAAGCTCTTGCCTTTGGAGAAGTATGGATTGTCTCTGTCATCTTTCTCACCTCCACAGCTGCTAACTGCGCTCTTAGGTTCCTCCCCAAGCCCAAGCCCCCGCCGGGTAGGTTCCCTCGTTCACCTGTCCCATATCGCGCAATGTTCTAACATAAACAGGTGCTGCGAAGCCCAAGAGAGCCGGTGGTGCGGCCCGTGGTGGCCGCGGTGGCAGAGGAGCTGGTCGTGGTGCTCCCCGGGGTGGCCGCGGTGGTGCTCCCAGAGGTCGCGGAGGTCCTCGTGGAGGCTTCGGAGGTGGCTTCCGCGGAGGTCCCTCTCGTGGTGGCGGTTTTGGCGGACGTGGAGGTGGACGTGGAGGATTCCGACGTTAGACAGCCCCCGTCTTGCTTAGTACTGTCTTATTACGGCGTTTTTGGGAAACCGGGAGCTCTTGCAGGAAATTTTTGTATCTATTGTTGAGCATGCTAGAAAAATGGCTGCCAAGCAGAAGCCTCAATGGACGTCTTACGATAACCAGCGTGGTGTAGAGTCCGGAGGTGCCTTTTATTTCTGGGACCTACGTAGGTCACGTAGCCGGTAGTTATTCGTTTGTAGACAACACAACCAGCCATAGAACCCGTGGGCGCATCGGAGGCGCTCATGGGAGGAAAAAAGTGCCCCGTGTGGCTGGGGAAGGCGTGGCGCAGTTCCCAACACCGCCTGGCAATGACGTCTGGAGGCACATGCCAACCCGTAGTGAGAATCTGTGCGTCTTGTCAACACACTCTAGGCCAACAACGCCCTTCACCGTCTTCACCAACCCTCTTCCCCCCTTGCGCTTAGACGGCCATTTTTACACCTTCCTCTTTCCTATTTTCCCATTTACCATCATTCCAACAATTGAGCATGTCTCGTAGGACATCCGCCATGCCGTCGAACGCCTCTCCGAACAACGGTGCCTCACAAGCGGGCGATGGAGGTAAGCGCCTGCCTGCAAGAGGTCCGCAATCGGGTTGCTAAACGGACATATTGCAGGCCAGGAAAAGCAGAAGATGCTTCTTTCGTCAGAAACTGGCCATTTCAGCATGATCAAGTCAGTCTGCGCGGTCCCCATCTTCACCATTAAATGCTTCGAAAGACGGGTTACTGACTTGTAGTGTCTCTACTAGGGCTTTGCACCTTGCGGATCTTGTGACGGAGCTTAATGGTATGTGTGCTCTGAGTCTGTATAACGTACAAGTGACGCTAAGTGTGCTGTATTCTAGGATTTTGCGGAGGCAAGCACACATTCCCCGAAACATCGCAGCGTGCCGAACGATTCGTCGCTAACTAACTGCGAAGTGATGTCTGTCCTCTCGTCGATGCGCTATTGCCTAGGTGACCCTCACGAATTTGGTGCGATCTGGGCCGCTCTCGCTTTCATGCCGTTCGGACTGTTCTTCGACTTCATGGACGGAAAGATCGCTCGGTGGCGGAGGAAGTCTTCCTTGATGGGACAGGAGCTTGACTCGCTGGCGGATTTGGTACGGCCTCCGATCTCTCGATTTCTTTTCTATTGTTCGCGGCGTGTACCCCGAAACGATATGACTAACATGCCCTGCGTTTTCGTCGATAGATCTCGTTCGGCATGGCACCCGCCGCTGCAGCCTTTGCGCTGGGCGTTCGCACCCCCGTTGACCATCTCTTCCTCTCGTTCTTTGTCCTCTGCGGACTGACGCGCCTCGCCCGGTTCAACGTGACTGTTGCCGTGTTGCCCAAGGACAAGACCGGCAAATCGAAATACTTCGAGGGTACTCCGATTCCGACGACTCTGTCGATTGCTTCGTTGATGGCCTACTGGGTTTCGCAAGGGTGGGTTCAGGACGATCTACCGCTGGGCTTGATCGCTGGGGGCACCGCGTTCGAGTTCCACCCGATTGTGCTGTTGTTTGTGCTGCATGGCTGCATGATGGTCAGCAAGACCATACATATCCCTAAGCCTTGAGGAGAGACGTCGGCCTTTGGGTTTTCCTGTATAGGCATAGCAGGGATGAATTGCTTGGCTGGATCATGACTCCTTTGATAGAGAAGTTTTTCTTTTTCAATGAGCATATATAAAACATGGATGAGGTGAACACGAAGAAATAAAATACTAAAAAAGGATGATGAATGGTATGAGCTCTTTGCTGAGATTGCATGGCTGTTTGAGTGAACTACGAAGCGGAGGCAGGACGAACTGCATGGGATTGGAGGGTGGTTTGGTCATTGATACCCTGGATAGGTGCTGTGTCCTGTATTCTATAGCAAGGCCAACGAGTTCCAATGAAAGTCAGATGTCTCCTCATGAGGCTGAAGTGCGGCTGTAAGAGAGATGTTTACTGTACAAAAACGGGTAGGTATCTACGGAGTAGATACAATAGTCTTCTGGTACATCTAATGCTGCTAGCAGATCCAATTCTAATGGAAAGACCGGATGTAATGGGTTTAGAATTACCTAGGAAATGAAATATCTGATACAAGCAAAACAAGCAAACAGGCCTATCAAGCAACCCCAAGCACAGCTTTTTTTTTATAAGCCTGTTTAATCGCTGGGGCATATTGAAGAACCAAGATAGAACTCATGCTAGGCTCCTGATAGTTCTGACAGATTTCTACCTCGCCTTCCGCACAAACCTCTCATTGCCGAGTGCACAAGTACCGTACAACTTCTAGGCCTTCACAGACCGACGTAGTTTATGCTCGATTGCTGGCTGGCGCACAGAGTATGTAAGCAGGGAAACCCTGGTGCGTGGGTCCTGGGTATGTCGGACAGGTTCTAGACCTGGCGACTCTCGTCCAGCCCGAAAGACCGGAATAATTGGAAATTAGATGGACCCTGTCAGGTTGCTAGTGGATTTTGTTGAGTATCTGCCTCTCCGAAGGGAAGTTTTCTTGGATCTATTGTGTCTCTGATTGTTGGGTTTGTTATGAGTCGACGGGCCCTGTGGATGCATCGAGTGAACAGGTGACAGGTACTACTCTCGTGGAGTCGAAGACGATCCCCTGTTTGATTTCCCTGCGTATGGATTGCAAGGCACGATTGAGCAGTCGAATCAGTGAATTCGTGTTACGAGCAAACTGTTCTCATCCAGTGGAGTGCGCAACGTGTCTGGCGGAGAGTTGACCAAAGTTAATGGAGAGTCTGTCGATCGGCAGGGCGAGGGTCCTTGCTTGGATTGAGCGCTTACGGACTGATCGGAACAATCAACTACGAGCGACTCCAGCTGCTGTAACAAGCCTGAAGGGGTGTTATTTAAGCACGAAATGCGAACCATGGGGTGGATAGCACCGTGGGAATACTACATGATGTGAACAAGATTCGATGATTGTTTGACATGGTCCTTTAGTGATTGCCGAGGTGATATATCTCGACGGGAAGAGGTTCCTCTGAAGCGCCGATGTAAAGCGCTGGACATGAATCATCAGGTTGGAAGTGGTTCCTGGGCGGCGGGTCGGGAGTGTCCGTGAGCCACCCATGGTCGTCTGCGTATTTGCCACAATGATGAAATGGGCAGGAAAGAGCATGCATGACGATGTGAAGGGGATGATGAGGAAAGCCACCCCAGAGGCATGTCAATCATTGATCCTGCACACGTACCAGGAGTACGTTGTCGCTCGAACCCACTGGGGAGGATGGTCAGGAGGGATTTAGTGGGTAGCTAGCTGGACTAGCTATACTGCCTTAGGTTTAGGTCCAGGGATGGGAGGCGGCAAGTTGCGTCCAAGAGAACGGTTTCATTTCATTGCCAGACTTCGGCTTTGAGGGAAGTCCCTCAGTTCCCACCTGAGGATATGGGGAGACTGAGGAGGGTTTCAGCATGAGGACGTACTGTCTGGCATGGGACCTCTGGCAGTCGTCGGGAGTTCTCGTCACCGGTGCTCTGGGGATCTGAGGATTGGGAGATTGTCGGACAAATTCTGTGATTGCCGTGGGTCATGATCTTCGTTCTCTCCGCGTGTCATGGCACATGATTGGTATCCAGGACCGAGGCCTCTAAGAGTACACGGGAGGTGTCCTGGCTGACTCAACTGGGGATAATTTGCGTCTTTTACGGAGTACGGAATAGGTACTGCTTATATGCCTCTCTGTATGAAAATGTACTTGTGTACTCTATTCCGATCATGCTGCCAGAGAATTCTCGAAGTCTTGGACGGAGTGAGACCGCCGGCCTAAATATAAACAAAATGGGATGTTTATCGTCCCCTCTTTTCATTTGGCCGTCGCCCATTGGGAGAGGACCGAGTGGGGCGGCCAGGGACAGACGGGACCTGCGGTGTCTGATTGGCCGCAGACACGGGATAGAGGCAGGCTAACCGGGTTGGGAACCAGGGTCCGCTGCCGTTTGGGAACCAAAAATACGTGCTAATTATTATTGTCTTTCCCCTTTCTGCCTACTCTGCTCTACTAGTACTCCTTCTAAGTATTGTGGCTGTCAGTGCACACAACCACCACCACTGCCACCACCACACTCCTTATTCTACTCTCGTCCTCACTTGTGCCCGTTCTCTCCTTGTCTCACTCTCCTTCGATAGGGTACTTGTCATCCGCTTTCTTTGTTCTTTTCTTCTGGATTCTTCCCGACTTCCTTTATATTATCCACCTCCTATCCCTCCTTTGGTTCCGCGCGGGTGAAATCCTCAGACTGCCTCATTTCCCCAGGACGACTAGGAAAGGGGCGCCACCGTGAAACGTCCGGTTCTCTCAAAACTCTTCCCCGCCAGGGACCGTCGTCCTCCATCCGTCTTCTCCAGAACACCCTAACCTTTCATCCCAACAACACTCTTTCCATCCATCATCATCCCTTCGACCACCGTCTCTCTTTCTGTCATCTCTTCCTCTCTATCGACCCTCGCTGTTGCTACCCCCCGGTCGCGCAGCTCATCTCCCTCTCGCTTCGAGGGTCCCAAGGGTTACGCCGGTCGTCCCTTGTCCATCGCTTGACTGATCTCGCTCTTTGCCAACCGTCGTTCCATCGTTTCCGTCTATCCTCCAACCCACATCATCGCAACCATGAAGGTCTCGCTCACAGCATCCCTCTTTCTCCTGGCCGTCGGGTGGCCCGCCGTCCACGCTCAATCGGAAGTCTCAAAGGGTTGTTACAAGAGCGTGTCGCCCTTGTCCAGCCAAGGAACCTACACCTTCCAGAGTGATGGATATTGTCAGAACTTATGTCTCAAGAGTAATTACAAGGTCTTCGCCTTGCACAACGGCAATGAGTGCTTCTGCGGTAACAAACTCCCGGCCGACTCCGACGAGACCGATGATAGTGACTGCAATACGTCCTGTACCGGCTGGCCCAGTGTCATGTGTAAGTCTCCCGTGGCCTTTCAGTGCCATTATTCCTACTCACAACCGGTGTGCAGGTGGTGGTAAAAGCGCCTATTCCGTCTACCTCACCGGCCTGAGCCAAAACGTCGACACCGTGGGCAGCAGCTCCAGCTCCAGTTCCACCCAGGATTCCTCGACCTCAACCACCAACGGCCATACCGCCACCGACACCAACGGAAGTACCGTTGTTGTCACCGCTGCCAGCGAAACCGCCCCCGTCAACAAGGAAGACACGAAAAAAGACGGGAGTCCCAACACCGCCGCCATCGCCGCCGGTGTCGTCGTGGGCGTCGTCGGCTTCTGTGCCCTCGTTGGCGCCATCTTCTTCCTCTGGCGCTTCCGCAACCGCAAGAACACCGACAACCAGTTCCGTGGCAGCACCAACGAGAACCACTTTGGCAAGCCCATGTCCCAAAGCTCCATGTCTGACTCGCGCTTTGATGGAGACTTCATGGCCCAAAGACGTCAGAGCAACGGTAGCATTGATGATGACCAAGACTTTTCGCGTCGGATCTTACAGGTAAATATTGACCGTTATGCCCGACCGCCACGCTGCTGACAGTTGTATGTAGGTGACAAATCCCGATCGTTTCTATTGATCCAGCCATTTTGGATCAAAAGATGTTCCTATGTTTTCGACCGACGCCCTGTATACTCCTACCAATCTTCATGTCTTCGACCTTCATCCGCTCCTTCGTCCTGATTTGCTCCTGATTCTCCTTCCTGCGTTTTATTTAGCGACCTTGCGATATCCAGAAGTATACCCTGCAGACAAATCATGATTGTCGTTGCCTATCCGTCCGAGCCCGCCGCTGTCGAATCACTCTGCTGCAGTTCGAGATCCCAGCTGCTGTGTTCCGGGAATAGTGAGGGGGGTTGAGGCTCTTATATAAGTCTTTACTCTTAACCCTCTTGGTGCACGGTTTTGGGGAGGACAGGGATACTACTGGTGGCGCCCGAGGTATGTCGTCCGGGATTTGTATTTCGTAAAAGGCGTTTATGGGTTAAGACTGTCCTCTGGACCGCCGGGTCTTCACCTTACACTTCGTTTGCTGGGCCTTTCGTTGCGCCTCATGTTTCTTTCTGTGATATCTGCTGGACTTGCTTCACCATCATCTCCCTAATGTGGTCTGGTCAGCTTGGGGAATTGTAAGTACGGTGGGTGGGATCTGTAGTTAATGTGAAGAATGAATGGATACCATCTATGATTATTGTGCATGAGTGCGTCATTGTATGCGTGCGTTGGAATGTGTCTTTGGGTACCTTCTCACCGTATACAAGGCTGATATGCATAGAGTTCATCAGTCTCAGTTGACATGCGCATTATCCACCCCACTGTAAGTGGCTGGTTGCTTTCTTACTGTCCATGAGGCTAAGAATGTACTGGCAAACTCTGGCCGGGAAAAGTACCATTCATAACCGAAGACAAACTCTCCATCGCGAGGAGCCTTATAATGCCGATTGAAAGTGTCCCCCTCCTGTCATGCAGTGGCAATATGAGCGCGTCATTGAACAGAAGGTCGGTGCTGTATCCGGTAGAGTTGAGTGTATGCGTTCAGAGCTAGATACTGAAAACACATTGCCTCTGAAGAACGCAATGCACATCAGGTCATGTTAGGTCGTCAGCGGAGCACAGATACACCGACGCCCAGCTCTGTCGGTTGTTGTGACAGGCTAATTAACTCGGTACCTTGACTTGTTGCGGGTTCAGATCGTCATAGACAGTTGTGATGTTAGGGTTTGGGGCCTTTGACAGCCACAATGTTGTCCTGTGAGATGGATGCGAGGGTGAACTACACCAGTCAAGTAAATGAATGGGGACAAAGGTATGAATGAGTTAAGACGAGACTGCGATCAAGTTCTGGATTGTAGATGATGTTGTTTACTTATGGTATGAAGGGCGAGTTACTGAGTACGAGTCTAGTTGTTTGTGCCTAGACATGGTCGTTTTACACTCTACATTATATATCCAATGAATTGGGTGGTTTGATATCAGGACAGAAATATATAGAGGCCTTTCCAACTATCACAATTTTTAGATCCATAGTCCAAAACATAGACAAAATTCACTGGTTCATCATTTGTGAAATGAGGCTCTTTGAACCAATTTCTGTTCTGAAACAAGACATCTTCAGAGCTAGGTCTCCATTTGCCTAGTATGTTTCCAGTTGGACCTAGTGAGACGCAGTAGCTGTCCTCTATAATAAAGATGATTATACTCTCAGAATCGTATTTATAGCACTAAACTGCGGCTGACAGTCTTCACCTATAATTAGACTCTTGTTGCATTGTACATCTCCGCAGACGAACAAACTATACTTCAATATACTCCCCATCCATCCACCTACATGACAACATGCATCAACAGCAGAAATACGACCGTAGCACAAGCTTATTCTATTTCTGGATATACTTCAAGATCAGATCCTCCCGTGCCATGTGGTTGGCTTGCATGCAGGCTGTTGACTTCTGCTCAGCCACCCACCCTACACCATCATCATCATACCCTTGTACTCTGTACATGTGCGCTGCACTGTTAGCCGCCGGGTGCGGCGGTCCACATTATTCTAATTCTGGAGAAACAATGCAAGATGAGAGTGCATACGGAGGAATAGTGAATGGATAGCATCGTATCCGAGCTGTGGGCTCATCAAACAACAACCGTCTAAAGCTAAGCATGCCGGTAATGCTGACTACTACTCCTCAGTCGAGCAAGGTAGAAAGACATGAAAGCGACGAATCGCGATTGGAGAGTACACCCACACCCTCATTGTCGGGTCACCTGACACCAAGACCCTGCGGGAGTCGTGAAGGAAACTAACTGATCGCCCGGTGCACGAATCTGGGCTGTCCCAACAGCTCGCGTAGGCTGTCCCGACAAACAGATCCGGGCGTGTGCCGGCCTTTGCACGCCCCTCCTAATCAAAGGCCGTTTCTGGGCGGACCGTCCGACGGGGGAAGCTGCATCGACTAGGATACCTACTATAGCAATGGGCAGGGGTGCGGATCCTTCTCTGCAGTAGTCGGACAAGCCCTAGTTAGCTGTCCCAAGGCACCATCATTCTTGTCCATCAGGGGCGGTGGGATTCAGTGATAATTCCATTGAGGATGGTGCGTTTGGTCGAGAAGACGATCATGAGTCTGCGGGACGATCGACCAGGTGCGTACGGTGTAGGCAAGTTGGATCCGCCTAGAGTGGACGGTCTGTCAAACGAAGGATGCTCGACCTGCAGGTGGCTTGGCTCGACTCCTTCGTATATACGTCCTCGTCGCTACCGGAATAAGAAGTACAATACAGAAAACGAGCGAGCCGACAATCAGGCCATCCGACACACGCGCTACGCTATGCTTGGCCAACCAAGGCATACTAGCCATACTACCCTGTGAGCCGACGGAGATAGGCAGGGAGTAGAAGTAGCGAGTCGCTGTGAAGATTCAAGGGACGTCCTGTCGGGTGGCGGCATTGACAGGACTGGGGCATGGAACGTGCCAAGAAACCCAATGGAAAGAACGTGGAAATGAACTTCATGTCCGGTAGGATCCGCGCAATGATAGTAACCGGTTTGACGACCCGAGCCACTAACCGACAGCGCATCGAGCTGGCGGTTGTTTCCGCCAGGTATCTTGACTCTTGTCGCTGCACTTGCACCTCATAGGCGTAGAGAATGCGCATCAAGACTGAGGAGAGTAGCAAGATCCGAAAAGGTGAAACAAACGAAAGGGGGAGTCTAACCGGCGAACCGAATCCATGAACGTGGGCATCCATTTGCTTGGGACTCGTCACTCAAGGGCATCTGAATCGGTGGTTGCGTCAATCGGTCCGTGTCCCAAGCGGGATGTGGCACTCGCCGCTTGGAGAGACAACAGTTTAGTTTGGGGTGATTCCTACGGAGCTCTGCCTTCCTACCGACTCCTCTGTCAGCTGGACAGCCCACAGTGGGAAGATCAAGACAGCGGATACACCCTAGAATCGTCGATCGCGGTCCACAAGGGGCGTGAGGGCTTGAAGTCGGCATCACCACCGTTTGGCCTCTTCCGGTTTGGGCCGGGCTGGATATCGGAGAAACTCCAACGACCCCTCCCTGCGGGACGACGTCCCAGGATCCGTTGATCAGGATGAGCAAGGGCAGGCGGCCCCGCGAATGAAGAAGGCCGACCGGCGAATTAATCGACCAAAAGAATTTGACCGAATCTTGTAGCTTCGGGTGGTGCACAAACAAGTGGCCCTTAGCCAGGGTGGTGGCCCAATTAGGCAGGGGAAAGGAAAGGCCTGATACGGTAAAGCGAGACACCACGGTCATTTGCGGGTGAGCATCAATACCGCCTCTAGTGGGCGATGATCGGACCCGACAGTCGGTGCCATGAAGAGTCGAGACCACCACTAGTCAGTCAGACGGGGTTCCTCACGTTAGTGATGGCGGTGGACTGTCAGGACACCATGCATTTAGCGGGTTAGGCGGGCCTTCCCCATTATTATTGGGGTGGTGAGGGTCTCCCCACTTATAACATCGAGGATGGGGACGTGACGGTTGAGGCACAACGTGCACTGTATGGAGTGGAGGGTCTGGCTGGTTGAACGTGTTGCCACGAGATTGTTTGAATCGCGAGTTACCGTTGATGCGAGAACTATAGAAAACGACACCAAAGGGAATATTTTGGCCGTGATGGGGGATTGGAGCTAGACCCTTAGCGCCTGTGGTCATTACCCAAGGAAGATTGGCAGATAGATGGGAATGTCGTTAAGAAATGAGGATTCAGGTTCATTTCGATTGACAATCCATCACGGATTGGGTAAGCCTGAAGCGGGTGGCGGAAACATCTCCGCTGTCGCTTCGAGAGTCATACCACGGTACCTGTCTGCAGGAAACGTATCTTTGCGCATGGAACGTGTATCCATACCCCAGGATCTGAACATCCACGGTCTCACGGTACTGCATACCGTAGCTAACCTTTGTCATCCTTCTGTTTCAGACACAGGTCCGCTGTCTGCATGGAACATGTCTATGGAGTACGATGCCTCACAAGGGACCGTCTAGTTCTCCAAACAATCCAGCACTGTTGTACGGAGCACGGAGTGCATAGGCGGAGTCTGTCACGAAACAAAATGGTTTGGTCATGGGATCCCCTGAGTCGATCAGCGAGACCACCATGCTGATTGCGCCATTGTCTGACCAGAGCATCATTGGAAGAGGATTAGAGATCCGTTTCACTTACGCACCTGTCGGGTCGATGTCCTAGGATTGCAGTCTGGACAGACCAGATCCAGAGGATCAGAAACTGTAAATCCGCCCCTAAAGGACAGCTTCTGGCTCCGGCGGTGGACCCTGACATCGGGGCCAAGTTAAAGCCGAGAGGCCGATCGATGGGGGATTACTCCGTAGGGATGCGAGGCGTGGATAGCTCCCTAAGCAGTTAAGTGTTGACAAGGAGGTCAGATGTCGGAGGTTGGACGGAGATTGGAGGAATCGGCTGAGGAGTTTGGTGGAGACCACTCATCGGAACCGAAATGACACGGAGGCAGTGACTTTCTGAATAAACTTTTGTCTTCTTTTCTTTCTTTTTTGTGATCAGGGGTCAACGGTTAAGTCGGTGGCATCACAGCAGTGCCGATGGTTAGTGTAAATAGTTAGGTACCTGAGTTCTTAGCGATGGGGAGGTGATGAGTTTAGTCGAAAGAGCCAATCAGCATGGCTACCGACAACACCGCCACTAGCCCCGATCCCGTTAGCGCAACAAAGATGTGCCAGCCACATGACACAATGACTAACAGACAATAGGCTGGATCGGGACTAGCATAGATAGCGGGACTGTTCCTGATTGGACAAAGTTTTCTACACCACAGGAAGTACAAACTCCGGCATCTCGTCTTTTTTGCAGTAGCGTCACGTTCACAACACCTCGAAAAGGAGATGTATGGTCTTTACGACTCTCGCTGTGTACGGAGTACACAAGAGATTACTTCTTCCCCACAAATCACGTCCGACCATCGGCTTGAATTCGCTATTCATTGCGTCACGTTGTGCGACATTGGCCTGGACACAATCGTGCCCCGCTGGATGGTAACTATCTGCTCCGTAATTTCTCTGCCAAAGTTCGACTCCTGTATCGCAGAAGATGCTTAATCTTGTTGTCCATCTGAGAAACCCTGCACCATCCCTGCCAAGATCCTTGGTTGACCCAATGACTTGTGCTCTGTCCCCAGGATCAGGATCCTGGGGAGAGGTGTTTACCCACGTGAAACGGTTGGTTACTTGCACCATCAAGCTCTCCAAGCGGACATTCTCCAGGTCCGTCGGTATTGGTATGCTGTGACAAGTTGAGACATTACCTTGGTCGATATGCCGGAGCCCTCGGTATGTCAGCCCACCGAGTACCATGCACTTGAACCAGCGAGCCTCGGCCAAGAGTTCTCCGCGACCGGTCCCATTAACCTGGCTGTGCTTGTGAGCTTTGTATGGAGTAGTCTAGTCGACGGAGTGGGCTGCTTGTCGCCGTCTCTGCCCACTTGCCGGGTTCTTTCTTCCGGAGCCCCTGTCCGACCCTAATGCACGCTAGTCTGAGGGGGCCCATTAGAAATGCAGACGATCCCCATCAAGCAGTGTCTGGGCTGAATCAGTGGACGGGGTTTGCCTCGAGGCTCCAACCGTTGGTGGCCTGCTTCATTGGACTTTTGCTGTTAGCTGCAGTACCTTGACGAACTGTTGAACACCGTAGAAAGCCATGTGTTGGTTCCATCATCTGCACCCATCAAGATGCGGGTTTTTCTCCCCAATCATTGCACGGGTATGGACCTTGCATGACTTGGAAATTAAAGATCATACCATCGACTTCAGGGTCCCAGTATTAGCTCTGATCCGATGACCATTCTCTGAAAAGAGATACCTAATCGACGACCCAAAGGAATCGACATGAATGGTCGAATTATGGGGCTACCGCGCTGCCAATCCCTTGGGAAAGATTCCCCAGAAAATACGCTTGTCTGTTCTGATCCCGATACCTCCCTAGTGTTCTCCACCTACGGTTGGCAGTCCACGGTCAGGCGTACCGCCATGCGGCTGTGGTCTCCGAGGCGTCTCTGTTGTTTCCTCTTCTGCGTGAACAAACTCTGAGACGGGGACGGAGAAAGTTCGCCTTTGTTGTGGACGGTCATCCTGCAATTTCGAGACTTCCCGAACAACACAAACCGAGTACTGATCAACAGGATGAAACGAGCTAGGTGCACGTTGTCCTCTTCTGCGATGGCAGCGCCCCGACCAGGGGCAACGGGAAAGGAAGCCCAGGGCCCCACAGGGCTGCAACCGTGCTGAACTACGGTAACGAAGCGGTGGTTGAACTCTTCGGCTGGAGATGGCCATAAACTTCGAGGACATGACTCAATACGACGGCTCGATTCATCTCGTTTACCGCACGGCAGTGAGATCGCCTTCGAGAGTGTCCTTAGGTATTGTTCACGGCGGTGAAATAGATTTGCAGGAGGGAGGATTTGGATGGAGTACTCCGTACGGCGATGTCAGGAGCAAGCAAGGTGCTTATCTGACGGGCGGACGGGTCGATTGTCTCCCTCCTCCCGCATGCTAAGTACTCCTGATCCTTCTAGGTTTAGGGCCATGACCACCCCCTGGCCTCGAGAATCGGGCCTCCGCCCGGAGAACCGACCAGTGGGAAGGCCAGCTTACGATCCAAATATGCTGCATAGCCGTCTCGGCAGGCTGACTCCCACCGGCTGGGAAAATGCCTTGGTGTTTCCAGGATCTTTCCCCATCGGCACGTGTCGAGAGCATGTTATGCCGGGGAAATCTATCGGGTGGGGTTGACTGTTTATGCCTGAGGCCTTCTACATATGAAGTTTTACCTACTTACCTAGGTAGAACAGGTACCTACCTACAAAGGCTCTCTGTATAATGACTTCTTTTAGATGATGAAATGAGATATCGCCGACGACGAGAGAAATCCGAGATCGATCGCGGTGTGGACAGAGTGGGCCCTCCACTCCGTCAAAGGCTATTGAGCTCCCAGCACCTGTCGGACTCTGCCATTCTGTCCGAAGAGTGGGAAAGGCGGCGGCCGAACCCACGCTAAAGGGACCAAGTGAGGGTCAAGAGAACAGGGTGTACCATCCCAGGTTAGCAGTGGATCCCACCGTTGTAAGGGAGAATGAGGCTTTGCAGGAGGGGCAGGCATGACAAATTTTACTACTAGGTAGGGACTCCGACTGTGCGGGAAAAAAGAATACGAACCATCCAGACACCTGAGGATCTATTATTAGCCCATATTGAACAGTTTCATGCAGTGTCTGTTGGGATGTTTGCAAGATGAAACAATCCCATTCTTTAGGATGACTGCGCAAGGGTCAGGCAGTCCAGTCGAAGAAGAATGCTCGCTGTGTGACGCCCCTTTCTTGCCACTCTGTGAGCATGGAGGCTGTCTCGATCAAATAATGGCCGACGGTTGGTTCCACTGAGACATGGTCCGTAGCTTTACTAGTAGATGAGAGGGTGGAGGAAGGTCCAGAAGTACTAACAGACTAACGGACCTAAGGGCCTCAGAGTAATGCTGGTAAGGCCTCTTGCCAGAATACACGATCCGACCAATCAGCAGATTCCCCGAACCAACAATTCTCCCACTGGCCAGTTGCTCTGCATGACCTCCATATTAATTATCATATTATATTGCTATTTCTGCAGTCTGACTGCTATGATGCCAGTTCCAGACGTCTTGTCCTGTTGGCTGTCTCCTCCACTTATGCATGGTGCGGACAAGGTTTGCAGCCGGACCGCTGACGACACCAGAGTCAGAGAGTTGGAGTGGGAGACGACCCTTTCGAGAATTAATCTATTTGGTCATGAAGATTCATCCGCTTTGATTAGGATCATTTGATTCTCCTAGTCGGCTGGGTCTGTGTAGTCCATGCAGGGAAGAAGAAAGCCGTTGAAGGAATGGACCATTGTGCTTAGTGTCAGCCCGTATGGGGATTTTTGTTACGATCACAAGCAAGCAGGGACCCTCGAGTCATTAATGTCAGATCCGAGTCGAATCATCGGGGTGGATATCTCTGCGAGCGCCTCAGCCGCACGCCTTGGTGGGATTCATGCTATCAAATACCTGCCCCGTCGACTTATTGGTGAGTATTTTTATACTTGTATAATCTCGTTGTCTGAATCCTCGTCCGATGCAAGAAAGTAATCTTCAGACGCGGCAGGTTCTATTCTTGACTAAACCAACACGAAGGGCTAAAAGTCCAACATAGCCATCATGCTTGTCGGATCGTCGTGCAGACCGATCATCCCCGTGGTGGTTCGCTTACTCGAGGTCCTATTTTTAATTCCAGACTAAATTGCTTGGATGAGATTAAAAAATAAAATAAAATAAAATGAGTTAAATACAAAAAAATAAAAAAATAAAAGAGAAAACATTTTCATACGTTTTTGTAATGCTACCTATAATTTTACATATTTGCTCTTATTGTTCCTTGTTCGCCCCATCGCTGGATCAGCCTTGTGCTCTCCATTACCCACTCCGACGGTGCCAGTATAAAGTATACCAACTGCGCATTCTTCCAGCTCACTCACTCACCAACACCACCACCACCACAACCAACAACAACCGCCCCATTGACCCTCGCTTGTTGTTCCTCCCGTATCTCACTGCATCTGCAGATGCGTGGCTCTCGCGATCGCTCCCGTCCTGCCTGATCTTACCCTCCATCTCTTGGGGCCTGGTACACCACAGCCCACTGTGATCCCCACATTCGCTCGTCCTGACAGACCTAGTCAGGAACCAAAAAGTTGTTATATCTATCTTCTCTCTTCCCGCAATCCCTCACTGCTCAACCGCCCATTCCTACTCAATTGTCCTCCTATTGTCTGTCGCGAACTTCTTCCACATACACATCCTACCGGAACCATGCGTCGGACCAGTGCCTCCGCGGATATCCCTCTCCCCATTACCTATACTCCAACCACCCATCGCATCAGCAAAGCAAAGAAGGGCAAGCGCGTACATGCCTGCGAGTTTCCCGGATGCACCAAGGTTGTCCATCCCATATGCCCTGTACTTGAGATCTCCAACTGACCATGTTCAGGTGTTTACGCGCGCAGAACATAGAAGGTAGTGACCACCGAACTATGTCCATGTATACGATACTTACACTCATCGCCAACAGACGCCACGAACTGAACCACAATCCCGAGGCCTGTTTCCGCTGCACGTACCCCAGCTGCAAGAAAGCTTTCCACCGCCCAGACTTACTATCCCGACACATGGAACGACAGTGAGTCCCTTGCGCAAGAAAACGAAGACAGACCGCATTCTTACCAATTCCCCAGTGAACTCGAAGCACAAATGAATCAACCGCACTGGACACAGCAACAGAACCACGCTCCTATAGTCTCCGAACCCGCCCCGTCATACGCACCCAAACGCACACCCACTGACACACACCCCTCGTCCTTCCTCACCGCGTCCTCCACGCAACCGCAACACACCATGTCCATCGGCTCGATCGTCGGCCCAGCCATTCACCCAGATCTTGCCAGCGACTGCGGCCTGATCTGGAACGGCATGGGCGCCGCCGCAGCCTCGTCAGAACCGCAGCCCTCGCTCTACCACCACCCCCACCAGCATAGCATCCACGAGTCTGTCGAGGACACCCGCTTCTACACCACACCCGACACCTGTCCCTCACCCCTTTCTGACGGCCGCTCGACGCTCTCCATCCCCTCGCATTCGCGGTCGTCCGTCTGCTCGACCCCCGTGGCTGTCGTCGACGCATACCCGGACGTCAACATCATCGAGTCTGAACTGACCTCCTCGCCGGTCCCCATGCATGCCAGTGTGCGCGGCTGGGACCACCCCGAAGGAAGCAGCATGTCGCACATGATCCCGTTGTCGCTGAACGAGAGTCTTGTCCAGGCGGTAAGTTTGCTGTCGCGACAAAGCGCGAGAACTCTCTGCTAACTTGAGTCATTAGCCGATGAACTGTCAATACCCATCACAGAGTTGGTCCGCAACCCATCATATCAACTACGATGACCACTCATTGCCCGTCACGACCGAGTACCCCGCCCCCACATCGGTGGCTTGGAAGTCTTGGTCGCTATGAACTACCCTTTATATCCAGAACCGGCCACCGTACGAACTCCATGATGATACAAACAAGCCTGGTGGCCTCTCTTACTCTCTCCCGAATGACTGACCCCATCACGGGTGCAGTCAACAAGATATATCTCCTACTCTGTGGGTTTCTTTTGTTGGTTTGGTTTGCATCGAGGGCTAGCGATATACAGAAGGTGTTTCTCGTTGGGTTTTGTTTGACTTGTTGGCTAGGCTGTCCGGTTTGACTTATTGCGCACCATGACTATTACTATATACCCATATATCCAAGTTCTAGGAATCGATCTGAATGCATTGCGCCATGACACACGTTGAGTTGCATATCCTAGGCCGTGTACCCACCTACTACCTACCGTAAAGAATTCCGGCACCCAGTTACCAAACCGTCCTATAACCCAGCTCACAGAAGGACGGTCTTCTTTCGATCATGCTTTCCAAAGAGTACCCCGAACAAAACCGTGGTTACGGCCATGACACCCGCCAACGACGAATACATGATGACCAGATGAGGGTCCTTGGTGATAGGCGTGAACGCCATCGCCAGGCACGCCCCAACCCCAGCCGTAGCCATCCACACCGACTGGACCACCGACTTCATCGACTTCGGGGCTTGGTTGTAGGCATATTCGGTCCCCGTGGTGAAGCAGAAAATCTCCGCAATCGCACCGAGAACATAGATCGGCGTCTGCAGAAACATCGAGATCTGATTGGGAATGTGGCCATGGTCCGACGCCGGGCAAGTCAGCGGGTGATCGTAACAGGGGCCCGCGGAATAGATCAGCTTTTGCAGGACCGCGGTGTAGACCATGGCGAGAGTGAGAAATAGGAATCCAACCGTGATGCGGGCCATGGGGCCGAATCGGATCCTGCGCCGGGTCAGGAATGGATATAGACCGCGCGAGATCACCGGTGTCAGCAGAACACTGGAGATCGGGTTAAGCGACTTGATGGTGTCGTTCGGGACTCCAGAGTTGACCATCTGTCCGGCCTGGGAGATGAGGTTATTGAAAGTTTGGTTAAGGCACAGCCAATGGAGGGGGAAGAGAAAACTGGAGGAGGGTATCATGTCAGTTGTCTATGCAATTGAATAGGTCACAAACGCTGGGAGACATACAAAACACGGCAAGCAAGCAAGCCACTTTTCAACTCGTCAATGAACGTATCGGTCCAGGGCACCTGTCGCTGGTGCTTCTCTTGTTGTGTCTCTGCTTTGGCGCCGTCCATCTGGAACCCTTCGCGAATGCCATACACCATTGCTCTGCCAGCCTGTGGTAGGATGGAGCCGCTCGGGGCGCGGCGAACTTGTGAAACGGTTGGTATCTGCTTCTGTAGCGTCGGTGTGAGTCGTCACTTACCAAATGTATGTCGCCACGCCAGCAACGGCACAATTGACAGGGCCATCATGCACAGGGGAACCAGATACGCCACCCAGTATCCCACATACTTCTCTAGGAGTGTGGTGATTAGGGCCGATATTCCACCGATATTCACCATCCTATACATTGAATGTCAACAGATCCTAGATGTTAAAGTGAGGTAGATGGGGAAGGAATACCAATAGTATACATTGTAGATGTACTGAATCGTGAGTTCTCGATCCGTGATGACCTTTCTTCCGTTCTTTAGCACCTTGACCTTGGAGTTTGTTTCGGTATATTGCTCCGCTGTGACGGTCAGCTCGAATTATCTTGGTGTGATCCGTACTTTCATCTCGAGACATACCGATAAATGGAGCCACGGATGACCGGACACCTCCCGAGCCCAGAGCGATGAACACAATGGCAGTAGCCAATCCCCATTCCGTGGCACCGGCTTCAACGGCGCGAGGAAAGGAGGTTGCAAACAAAAGCAGAGAGCCACAGAGTTGGATGCTGTCCGATAATTAGCTCGACAAGGCCTGGAACAGCTCAACCCGAACCATAGGATCATACATAGCGGAGATGAGAATCGTTCTGTACCGACCCAGCCAGGTGTCGGCCACCGCCGCTGCTGGGATAGTTGCGAGATAGCCCGCAGCCATCATCGCGTTCACGATATTGGTCGCCGTCGCTTCACGCAGGCCAAGGACCCCGGGAATGCTGCTCGACGGAGAATGCTGAATGTAGTTCTCTGCTAGATGTTAGGGTTCTTTGCCCGGCCATTGAGTGGATTGGCAGTAGGGCTCACGCAAAGGGCTGGTCGCTCCATACCAGACAAAGCGCTCAGCGGCGCCCACGAACGCGATCAGCCATACCGGGAAGGGTACGTCGTCTACCACTGGAAGCAGATCTTCATTTGAGTCCAATTGGCTCTGTTGCGGTTCTCTCTTATTTTCGTTGGATGTGACCACCGTCTGTCTTTCGATGTCATCTGAGGTACTCATGATGAGTCTGGCAGGCGACGACGGGCGTCGCTATCTTTGGCACTGACGGAGGGCAGAACTCAGGGGAATAACGACAAGTAAGATTGGTAGCCATTTGATTAAAGTGGAAAGTATAGAAAAGAAGAAATAGAAGCGGTTTAGGCAACCGGAGGCATCATTCACCTATACATTTTCATTCCGACGGTTCTCGGAATAGAGGTCTGGGGATGTCTGAATAACCCGGCGGCAGTCCGAGCGGAGTAAAACTAGAACTCCGGCTTTATGTTCTCATATTCTCACCACCTCTTCCACCTCGACCACCACTACCGTTGCCAAGCAGATAATATGGCTATGGTTAAGACCGCCGAACTTATTCAACATGGACAACGTTTCAAAGCTCATGGTTCGAAGGAATGGCAAGCCAACGTCGTGCGAACCGTGCCGCGTGTCTAAGATCCGGTGTGACCATCAACAACCAACATGTAGACGATGTGACATCCGGGGGTTAAGTTCCAAGGTGTGAATCATACTCCACCCTGGATCTGGAATTAGATGGTCAGGATCGCAAGGTGTGGGCTGACCGAGAGCAGTGTTACTATCATCCGGCCCCCTTGACTCGATCACGGAAGAAGGCGCAGGCGGCTCGCTGCGCATCTCCTGTCAACATATCGCGCGAGGATGACGAGGTCCCCATTCCCTCCACGAGCTGTGGTGACAGCATCGTGCCAGCTGAGCCTCAGATGGGCTTGCCGTCTACGTCGCAGCCAACCTACTTGGGGTCCACCAGTTTCATGTCAGCATTCCACCATGATCAACAACACCTGAACCTCTCTACACCCAAAATCTCTCATGCATCCACTTTGCGTAAGGAATGGAGTGCCGAATTCACCCACGTGCTTCCCCGGCTGGTTCAGCTTCTGCGCCCCCTCAAGCTCTATGAAGACTTAGTGACCGGCGAGTATCATCAGAGCCCGTTCACAGTCGTCCCAGCTCCTCTTGTGCTAACTCCCTTGAGGCTGCTTCGAGGCCACTGGGAGAAGGAGAGATGGCCGCATGAAGGGTTGGCGTACCGCATCACCCAGAACACGGCCACCCAACTGGGCAAGATTGAAGCAAACATGACCGCCGACCAGTTTTACCATTTGTTCACGGGGGCGAATCTGCGATGGGACTTTGTCGGTCTCATCTTCGCCCTGGCAGGCCTCGGTGCTAGCGTGTCATCCCATCGCTCTCCATTGTTCTCTCTGAACGGCAAGGATGAACTAAGCGCAAGTGCCTTTGCCATGGAAATGGCTGCAGCAAGTCACGCATGCATCGAAATCTGCAGACAGCACGACAATGTGACCGACTTGATGCTGTGGCTGAACTACACGTACTTCGTCCTGGCGTCGAATATAATGGGAGAGACAAGTAATGCCGTCCACCCCATACGGTTGGCCTACAACGCACAAGTTTGACAGAGAATAGGCCACCATATGTACTCACAATTTGGGGAGATGGTCTCCTGCATCCATGCCATGGGCATACACCGTACCGATCCGCCCGAGTCCTCCGTCCCATTTTTCCTCTCGGAGGCCCGTAAGCGGGTTTTTGCAGCGTCGTATCGCGCCGACAAGAATATCGCTACTTTTCTAGGGCGGCCGCCTCGACTCACCTACCATTATTGCGACGTGGGACTGCCCTTGGATATCGATGACGACAGTCTAGTCCTGGATCGTCCTTCCCTCGACAAGGTCATCAGCCAGCTTACGCCAGATGGATGGGGTACTTTCAACGGTGGCCTTCGCCCTGCCACCGTCATCCGGCTGCGATACATGGTAGCGATGTTGCGAGAGCAGATGGTAGGACTGTCCTTGGGGCGCGGCTCGGCCGGTTCCACACAGAATGAACTCCAGTAGGATGACCGGCGCAGATGACTTCCCTCAGCATGGTGAAAGCTAATGTGCTTCTAGGACTGTCTATCAACAGTGTAAGGGATTGTGGAGCACCATCCCCAGCGATCTTCACTACAGCAATCACTCCTGGAAGGCCTTGAGCCCGCACCTGGCAATAGTAAGTCTGGTCATCCATCTGGAATACCTCCACACGGTGTTTCAGGTCGAGCGCCTCCGTTGCAATGTATCCGCCAACACCACGACCGATCTCCTGGACTCGGCTATGCAGATTGTCTCGGTGGTCATGGAGTTTACGAAGCACCACGATCAAAGAGGCAGCATGCGGGACCAGTACACATGGATTGTAGGCCGCTGCAATTGCCTCCATATCTGTCTTCCCAATTACTAATCTCGGGATCAATTAGTTTCTCTTTTATGCTCTCCCGGCAGCAGGTGTCGTGGCAACCGAGCTCCATCGCTATACGGTGTCCAGCATGCCACTACCGGGGTCCAAGTCCAAGTCCAGAATTATCCGTGACCTAAGCGTGCTTATCTCCTGGTTTGAATGTTCCAACTCACCTACTAGTCACACGTACCAGGCGTGTGTGGAGGTCACAAAGGTTATCGCCAGGCTGTTGAATGATACCTTGGATTATCCGTCCGGCGGGCAGATGGCGGATGGGCCACAGCACGGTTCAGGCAACGGCCCTGCGCCGACCAGCGATAGCCATAGCTCCCATTCAATTCCGATGCCCTTGGACGCCTGCGAAGAGGGTGGGATTATACCGAACATGGATGCGCTTGGAACGAGTGAGGATTTCCTAAACTGGCTGGACGAGTTTGGGATGGACACAAGTGTGCCTGAATTCTTCGGGTGTCAATAGCATGTTGACCATCGCTGAGGTCCATTTGGGCTCTCTATGACAGAATATGCGGCATGACATGAATTTGTTCTGTCCACTGATATTTGGGTGCCGTATTACCCAGTCTCCACTTAAGCTACTTAAGCTAAAGTATGACCAGCATGGGAACATGCCTGGCTCCGACCGGATCCAACTTATATCCAGATAGCATTGTCAACATGGAACAGTTAAATTGATACTAATTCCATGCCGCGTCAACTCAATTCTGCTCTACTAGCCCATCAAGTAAGAGCACTCATCATTCAATTGTGTGACGCCATTCACGTCGAATGATTGCCATATTGCGCAAGAGGCCTCCACGTCCATGCTTCGAACAAAGGACGAGCACGGACAGAAAAGGTATAGTTGGCGCGTCAGGACCCGGCACCAAGTCTCCCCTGGCAAACGGCTCTCGTCGCAGGAGAATATCGTCCATGACTTCTGGATGCTGTTCCCTGAACTTCTCCGCGGGGTCACCGGACGCGAGAATTCCTCCTTTCTCCGGGATGATCAACATGAGTGCCCCGTCGTACTGCGGTCCGCGCATAAACGGCTGGGATAAGACTCGCATGCGGACTTCATCCCCCAGTGCATGGAGTACATGGAGAGCAAAGTAGTCGACCCCGTAAGTCCACGCGAGGGACATGAGGCCGTAGTAGCCGGGAGGGCGGGCGTTGATCTCGATGAGGAATACGCTCGGCTTTGGCTGTCGCTGCTCATCGCTTGTTGCGTCGTAACGCAGGTCCACTATGCCGTTCTCCCGAGCGTATTTCATGGCCGAGTTCCTGACCCGCGCTTCAACGTGGAAGACGCCGCTTCGGAATCCCATATGGAGAATGCGATCCAGCAGCGCCTGGCGCAGGAGGTCCTGCTCGCTGGGGGGCAGCCGCGATGGATGCACAAACGCAGTCTCTTGGAATGTATCGGAGCTCGTGGCTCCCGGGCTATCTGCGTCACTTGGAAAGTCGTCGGACACCTCCGAGAACAGGATCTCGCCGTCCCAGAGGACAAAGTTGACGTCCACCTCTGGACCGTCAACGTAGGGCTCGATAAGAACGTCCGAAGGGACGGGAACGCCTCTTTCATGCCGGATAATGCGACGCCCTACCTTTTCCACTGCTTGGAATAGCTCCGTCTCTGTGAACACCTTCGACACGCAGTGGCTACCGTCGCCCTCGCATGGTTTCGCCACCAGCGGATACTGGAGGTTCACCGGCTGGTTCCCATCAGACGGGTGCAGCTTTTCTCGGAGCTCCGAGGGCCCCGAAACACACAGGGCAAAGCCGCGATCGATCTCAGAGAGTCGCGTGGCATACTTGTTCGTCGCCTTCTCGAATGCTGCCGCCGGCGACGTGGGCAACCCAAGCGTCTCCGCCACCCCAGCCACCGCAGTGACCAGCCTGTCGTTTCTGGTGACGACGCCATCAACGCGGAGCGGTTCAAGTGCTCGCATCAACCGGTCAGCAAAGGAGGCGTCTACGTTGGTATCGAATGGGACAAACGCCTCCCGTAAGTGGGCATAGGGCCCATCATCCAGCTCCAGCCAGTGGCCTGGCCGGTCGAGGACAATCAGCTGGATCCCAAGACCAGAGATGGCTCCAACGGACTTGTAATCCTGTCGAACTTCCACCATGGCAAGACGGCGTGGCGGCACCGGGTTCGGCAGGATCCAGCGGAAGCTCAGCCGTTCGATGACGGCCCTCCTCACCTGGTTCAGCGCCTCTGTGACGTCCACACCTGGTACGTCTCGCGCCTGGATAACCCCAATCGCCCCAGTCAGTACCTTTTCTAGACAAATGTCTCCTCCGTTAGTCCCCTGTGTCCAAGGCAACACTTTCTGCCGTGGTTGCATGAGCCCGGCCGCAGCAGCGACCCAGTCGCAGCCCTGCATTCGAAACTCGATGATGTCTGACCGGGCTACATGGCCAACGTACACAGGTAGGAGCAACTGGAACCCGAGGGGAACACCGTATTCAGCATGGCTGGCTGCTTGCACTATGAACCTTTCCAGGGCGGGGTTGTTCATAACGATCGGCCCCGGGATAGATTGCTCGTGTATAGGCGCGCTTGGATTGCGCAGTACCATTTCGACAGTAGCGAAACCGAACGCTCCAAGTACTGGATCAGAGGTGCGGACACTCCACCGGCAGAGGACTGAGGTGGGCTGAAGAGATGCCTCTAATGCCTCCCTTTTAGCACTCATCGGCATTTCGTAGTTTGGAATGAACGACATACCATCCTGTGATTCTAATGAGAAACGGAGCCCCAGTAAGGTCTCTTGATAAGCCATGATGATGTACACAGTGGCGCCCTCGTCTGTAGAAGGGACTGCGTGGATGGATCAGGACGAGTCTGGATGCGATGGTGAACTCTACTGAGCAAGTTATATAGCCCTTAATCTCGGAATGGCCTTCATTTAGTGCTTATGGTATTACCTACGGAGTACATCGGGGAGGTATAGGGTATGAGTAATCTATTCCGTACGGAGTAGTCCGTAACTAGTCCGAAGTCTGCACAGTCATCGCCGCGGGGATCCTAACACCTGGAAGGCAGCTAGCCTGCTCTCTGGAAGAATACGATCGCTTTCAACTGGAGCATGCTGTCGTCTAATTCTAGTTCGTAGATTTCGGTTGCTTGCAATTCATGTATCGCGTTAGCGAGCGACGGGACACCACTTCTATATATATACTACCGGTTGCTGAATATACAAGGGCTACTATGAGCAAGACTACACTCCTATAGGAAATAACGGCTACGTGGGTAATGACATCTAGCTGAAAGTCCCCCTTCTTAACCTTGATTTGGGTAGAAAATCAAGTATGGATATTGAGCTTCAGCAAATAAACATGAAAGCGCTAGTTAAACCGCAGCTAGAACTCGTCTAATTACTTCATTAGAGACTGAATACTAACACACGACTGGTCTACCCTAACACGGATCAGTCCTCCACGAAGCCTGATCGACTTAGCTAACTATCTAGACCATCCCATGCAAAATCCAACCCTGCAGACAAACCAGTCATAAAAGAACAAAGCACAAACGCCGACACGTACAAGAGAAAATTGAAACTTGGGAATCAAAAGACTGAAAGAGAAGACCATAACCCGCTTAGGATGACTTCAGCTTCTTCCCCTTGGGCACACGCACAAGCCAGTAAAAGAAAATCGCTCCGGCGGTGTTGAACACAATATACGCCCACACGATGCCCAAGTCGCGCCAGCGGTTCTCGAAGTTCAGATTGACGTTTTTGAGGAACTGGTTTGTGCTGTCCATGGCGCAGAACTGGCAGTTCTCGGTACCGCCGCCCTTGGTGTCCGGGTTGACGAGATAGCCGCCGGCGGTTTCCATGTAGGAGGCCATGTACTGCGCGCACGTCTGGTTCTGCGGGGCGGCAAAGGAGAGCATCTCGGCAGGGGAGCAGTACATGGGGGCATTGGCCAGGGCGGTAGTCAGGAAACTGTTGACAATATAGGTGAAGGGACTGACACGGTACATGAAGATCCAGAACCGGGGCAAGGTGTCGGGACTGGCCAGGATGCCGCAGAATATGAAGCCCATTATGTTGCACAGCATGGAGACACCGCCAGCTGCTTGGTCGCTGTCCATGCCGGCAATGAACAAGTATGACGCGGAGGTGGCGTAGAGGAAACCCTCCCATATGACTAGGAAGGCTAGCATGCTGCGGGAGTTTAGGGCATCAGTGTAGAGCGCGTTGCGCCACACCCCCATAGGATAATACCAGACAAGAAAGGAACCGACGGCCATGAGCTGTGCGAGGCGTTAGTCTTTCTGCTGCGACAGCTGGATCGGAAGTGTATCGGGCGACTTACGGTGTTCCAGGCCAGCTCGACGAACAGATTGGACAGGATGAAGGACTGCCAGCAGTATGTCTTCGACTGACGTTCTCGTGCTTCATACAGAGTTCGCTGGGTGACGAACATCGGCATAATTTGCTGGATGAGCTGGACATAAATTATAAGGAACAGGAATGTTCCAAACATCTGGTTTTGCAGACCCTGAGCAGTGTTGTTGCTGTTGAAGAACGAGAAGCCGATGAAGAGAGCCTGCAAGAGATTAGCACAGGAGACGACCATGTTTCCTCAAGGGATTTACATACGCAGCCGAGGCAAAGCAGTATTTTGGAGTAGATATATGATGGGGTACGCCACATTTGCTGGAAAACTCGGAGAGTAACGAGGTAGGCCTGCGTCGTGAACGGGGCAGCAAACTCCTCATAGATTGATTTGTCGTTCGGGTCAACCACCGCGGAGGGATGATTGGCGAGCTCTCTGAGCCTTTCGAGCTCGCGATGGACTTCGCGGTACTCCTCACTCTCACGCCAAACGGTGGGCCAGTCAATATCGGACTTTGCACCCGGGGCCGCGCCGATGACTTCCAACATATGCTCGGCAGGGTTGACGCCGGGGGGACAGGGGGCGCCGCCCTTCCGGACAAAATAGTCCATGAGTATCTTCGAGTTCCGCCCGATCTCCCCGAAGTAGACAGTTTTACCGCCACTGGCTAGGAGAAGCAACCGGTCAAATCGCTGGAACAGCATGGCCGATGGCTGGTGGATGGTGCACAGAATGGCCTGACCGTTGTTCGTCAACTTTTCCATGAGATTGCAAATAGACCATGACGTCTGACTGTCTAAACCGGATGTAGGCTCATCAAGGAAAAGAAGTAGCTTCGGTCGTGCTGCGAGCTCGACGCCGATGGTAAGACGCTTTCGTTGTTCAACATTGAGACCTGAGCCAGGTACGCCGACGACAGCGTCCGCATACTCCTCCATACCCAAGAGATCGATAACAGTATCGACATAGTCTAATTTCTGCTGGTGCGTGTAGTGACTCGGCTGGCGGAGAAGGGCACTGAACTCGAGCGCCTCACGCACCGTGCATGTCGAGAGATGGAGATCTTGCTGCTGCACGTAGCCCGTTTTCCGTTGGAATGAGCCATCGCGTTGTCGCCCATCCACGAGCATGTCCCCGGTAATAACTCCGGTTGTCTTGCGGCTCGCAAGGACATCAAGAAGAGTCGTCTTTCCTGCACCGGAAACGCCCTGGGATCCTGTCAGTAGCAGCTCATACCAGGAGGCCCAAGTGCACCTACCATCAATGCTGTCAGCGAACCTGGCTTGATCCATCCATCTACATTATCAAGCAGGCGCTTCTGTTCTCCATTGGCAGTGATATCATAGCAGACGTTCTGCCAGTGGAACACCGCAGTCTGCTTCTCCACCTGAGAAAATTGCGCACTGGACTTTTCAGCCTTCTCACTGAATGGCGAGCCAGGCTCAGTCTGTTCTTCGTCGACTTGCTGCCGCCTGACCCGGTTGTGATGCATGTGGTTCCGACGGAAGACGAGGACCTCTCCTTTGGAACGCTCTCCAGTCACCAGTTCCGACCCGATCAGGTAAAACATGGTAAAGAAAACGGTGAATCCAACAAGGATACCGAAGTCTCGCCAGCGGTGACTCCACGCGTATTCGTAGGACTGTTCGAGGAAAGCATCTCCACTAACATTGGGTGACCCAGGGACCGAACCAACGGTGGAACAACTACGTCCCATGGGATCGACGTCTTCATAACCCGGGCCCGAGGGAACAAAGGATGAGCACGGCAAGTCCAGGCCATGGAGTTCGTTGACCATGATTGCCTCGAACGCGTACGAGATCGGGTTGATGTACTTGATCCACTTCGACCAGCCTAGGATATATGGAGTCGGAATCGCGAACCCAGTGTACAGAGAGAGCCCAAGATTGATAATGGCCACTGGGGCCAACGCCTGCGCGATAGTCTTGGTGATGGAGGCAAAAAACCGAAAGAACATGGACATACACATCAAGGTGGTGAATGCCGTGAGCAGATAAAAGAAAAAGGCCTCGGGTGTCCGACGAAGGTTCGCCATGAAGTAGATGACAATGTTGGAGCAGACACATGTGAGAATCTTGCTTGGGATATCCGTGACCGATGACGCGATGGCCTCTGCGCTTGGATGATACAAGGCATAGCGACTGTGCTTTTCCACAACACTCCGTTTCTCATAAAGGGCCATGATCTCTAACATACTTGAAAGGGCAGTCATCACGATCATCATGAACATGAGTGCTCCGCGTTGGGTTAATGACGCGGTGACCGGTTGTAGGTTATAGAAAACACTGGCGATAATCGTGAATTGAGCCAGGCTCAGCACCATGCTAAATATGCTCACCCCGGGGTCAGCCTTGAGTCGACGAAACTCTCTCCATATACAAAGTTGAATTTGTCGCCAGTAGGAGAGGGTATACGGGGACTTTTCCCGTTGTTTCGTAGATTTCTCGGATTTCCTTGCTTCCGCAAAGCGGCGCATATCGGCATTGTCAAACGGATGATCGACCGTATATCGTTGGATCTGATTCAACAAGTCCCTGCGCTCAGGGCTGTCTCTCCATCTTTGAGCAAACTCATCAGCCGTTCGCGGCACCAGATGTTCGTAGCCTGGTTTGACGACTCGTTCCGTCGGGCTCGTCATGGAAGTCAAAAAGTCTGGGGTCGTCTGAGACTCGGGACACTCGAAGCCGAGGGCCTCGAAGTAGGCTTTTGCCTCGTAGGCCCGACCGAAGTAGATTTGACGACCCTCATAGAGGACGATGACTTTATCAAAGAGCTCGTACGCCGCCTGCGGGGCTTGGTAGATCGCAACGCAAGAGGTCGTACCAAAAATATCGCTTTGCAGACGCAGGGTCTTGCAGAACTCGATAGCGTTGGCGCTATCCAGCCCTCGCGTGCTGTTATCCCAGCATTGCAAGGGAGCGTAGCTGAGGGCCGCCTCGGAAATGGTCACCCGTTTCCTCTCGCCTCCACTCACTCCACGCACGAAGTCATTGCCCACCCGGGTATCTTTGGTATGGCTGATGCCGAACATGGCCATAATGACATCTCGTAAGTGGGTTGCATATTCTTCCCGACTGAGACCACCGGGGATCGTACGGGGGGCGCGCGCCAGCGCCGCGAAGTACAGGGTCTCACCCACAGTGAGCATGGGGAAGTGCTGGTCGACTTCGGCCGTATAGATCGCCTCGCCCCGAAACCGGGTCATCATCTGCTTGGCGGTTATGCCATTATAATTAAGGAAGGTCTCTGGATCAACCTCCAGTCCCAGCGTGTCACCGGCAATGCTCTTCAAGAAGGTCGAGCAACCTGATCCAGGAGGACCTAGCACACAGAGCTGTTCCCCGGGCAGGACCAGCCCATCGAGCCCCTGAAGGATGTTGACCCGCGGTTTCTTAGTAATTCCCAGAAGATTGGCCAGGTTGGAGCCCAGCTTCAGGGCCGCGTTGCCCACACTCATCTGGTAGTCGGTCGCCGTGCCATAGCCGTGCACGTTGAGGTTGCGAAAGGCAAAACCGGCCATCCGCGGAGAGAGCCCCTCGGCCGTATATCGGATATTGTAGAAGGCTTTGGCCCAGTCGCGAGCTTTGAACTCTGGACTGTTGGGATTCAGGCACGTTTGGTTGTTCGGGTCGAATGGGGAGTCGCAGTCGGGGGATACAGATTGCGCCGTGAGGACTTGGGCTAGGTTGTGCACACCGGCTTCGTCCCACGGTAGGTCTCTCTTTGCACCTCTTGTGGCTCCCTTCACGGCTGAAGACCCCGTTGAATCGAACAGCTGCGTCTGGGAATCGATCGTGTCACTGGACGCGTGCATGTCGGACAGCCGGCTGCGCCAGCTGTTCTCCTTTGGTGGTAGAGGCAGCGTCATCGTGGCGGTGATTTATGATGGACCCATATACTTGTCGCTGAATTGGCACTTCTTACTGTCGTCACTGGTGGTTGTTGAGGCAGGATGAGCCCTGGACACCACGGGCCTGGACAACGAATCCTCTCGAGCGGTCCTTGAACTCCCTCCTCGCCAACCCACGCGCGTTGAGATTCAGTCTTTGATGGGAGATGTCACGGGGTTTCAATAATTATCGTCAATAGACGTCAGATTGCACTCCAAAATTGCCGAAATCAGGGGGGAAGAAGCAAAGCAGAAGAAGGGGCGATGGCCTAGATCGGCAGCCCCTATAGCTATAAAGTCGGCAATGGGAGGAAGGGGCAGATGGGCTACAACAAACAAATCGCGGATCCCTTGCCGGGCATCAGATCCTCGCTGGGAGCTCGTCAACAGTCATGTCCGGCGTGTTTGCCCCGAAGCATGCCTTTTTCCAGAAAAGAAAACAACTGAGGTCATGGCTGGAGCCGGCAGCCAGTCAGAACCTGATTCTGGACGATTCTCTGGCCAACCCTCGCCTTGGTTGAGAGAATGTGACATTCCTGCAATGCGAAAAAACATGGACGTCCGACCTGCATCGCCTCTGTTGGTTGTTGTAGCACAGGGAGCGGCGATCGTGTCTCGGCTGATGTTCGTTCTTCTTCCCGACGCAAGGGCGAGGCCACTAGTGGAATGGCCGGGTCTCCGAGGCTGAGGCGATCGAATGCATCATTCTGATGTATCTTGTTTCTGCCCGCAGTCAGAGAGAACGAGAGAGAGAGAGAGAGAGAGAGAGAGAGAGAGAGAGAGGCTGGAGCCTCGCGTTGAGTGTCTGGTGGTTGGATTCAGCCCCCTACTACTAGTAATACAACAACCACTCGACACCGTACATAAGGGCGTCGGGGCATCCCAACCTTTCTCGCCTGGCTTACTCTTGCAGGGACAGACAGTTGCATGTGAGCCTAGCGCATCTCTGTTGTTGCTCTCGCCCCTCGCGCGGTTTCGTCGCGGATGCTTCTCGTTAGCGGAGAAGAACTGGCAAGTAGATGACCCGGGAGTAGTTAATCCATTATTCACGGCTCAGGACACCATGGACATCACGTAGAGGAATGTCATCAGCTACTACACATAGAAATTGCCACAAGTTTTTCCAAGCTATGCATAGGAAGACAGTCTACAATATGATTCAGTATCTGCACCGGTTGGACGATACGCCGTTGCCCGTCCAAGAAGCCACAGCGTTGACCAAATGATGTGCTTTGAAACAGATGTCTAGTAGTAGTGGCGAGAATACATACAGGATGGCACGACGATATGGATCAATCCAGGAAACCAAGACTAAAGCCGACTCCAGATCAGATGACTCAAAGCAGTCTGGACTGGACTGCCTTCAAGCCATGCTCGCAGAGCGCCACTTACATACATCCCTTCCGGGACTCGGACACCATCATATCCGAATGTGAATACTAACACCCACCGCAGGCACTTGTTTTGATGCCCCGTGCATGGCCTGGTTAACCATCTTAAACCGTGTCGCAGGAACGTTGGCCTCCGTGGAACTCCGTATTCAGAGTATGCGCAGCTCATCGGAGACAACCACATCCGAAGTGTCAATGTCCAGAGGATGTGTTGACCACCGGCGTATGAATGTACGGTGATGGTATGTGTAAGCAGTGTCTGGGTAGAGTCCTGTCCAACCCCGAATGAATGATCGACTATACATATCCCGGCATTCAGTCTCAGAGGGCTGACTGCGAGCATGTTGGTACCTGCGAACACAATTCGATCCTCGTAAAGGTTCGAGAAAGCACCACGCAAGGGAGAAGGCCAAAAGGAGCAGGGGTTTGCCCATCCGAGCCACGCAGAATTCGAGGCTTATGCAGTAGGATGATCAACCGGTGGTTTGGTTCTGTGCATGGCTGGGGTCTCTGGTCTTACCCAGGCCAGCGGTGTTGGTGCATACTTTGTCTCACAACCTAGTGTCTACTGAGTAGCCCATGGACAAGAGTTCGTGGTGTTAGCTGAGATGCTGATGTGATATCTCAGCTGCATCACACTCTCACTGCCGTTCAAGTGTTGGCAGGGATACAAGCCTCTGGAATGGACAATGTGGTCTAACAGACAAGTGTAATGTAGGCAGATTCTTGGTCGTCATGATTCTCTCTCTGGTATTTGTAGAGGTATGTAAGCAGCCTTGAACTCTCCATTCCTTCCAGCATGCATATCCACCATTCGGATTTGAGCTATGGACTAGGATACTCCCATGCAACTCCGTCTCCAGAGCATTGACTAACTCGCTCAGCGGTCTCGATCTTGAGTAGGCAGAATTCTGGAGAAGGAATAATGTACGTACTGCGTACTACAGACAAATTTCACCGAGTTCTGACCATTTCTCACCAAGGACCCGACTCGGCTGCTGCATACTACCGTAGCAATGATCTATGCATCGGGTTGACTTGCACATGATCATAAGTCGACCATCTCGTGTTTTGCGGGAATGACCCTCCAACACCACCCGCACCAGCTTCGATGGAGTCCCTCTTCTTCTCGGCCCAGATACTGACCGGTGTCCCGTTCGTCCTCATGTTCCACGACACACGCCCCCACTGTAACGCGCTTTTTGGCCTTTTGCTTCACGCGGCCTCCGATCCCGATAATCTCCTGGCGGTAGTATCCGGGCTCTTCCTCCTCGCGGCTTTCCAATCGATCACTGGGGTGGTTGTGCGAGTCCGAATGCCCGTCGCCGCCGAGCCGGTGACCAAATCCTACATGCGGGTGGTCCGGCGAGCTGCTGGCCGACTCGTCCGCCTCGCATTCCACCTCCAGCTCGATTTCTTGGGCGGCGAGACAGTCTCTCCCCCGTCCGCACTTGACTCCCTGACAACCCTCACCAATCCCAGTCCCAAGCCCACCCAGATATGTACTGTAACGAGTGCGCCATGTCCATACGCGACGGTAGGTGGTATCATTGCTCCGTAATTTCTGTCCACATTGATGACAAAGCCACACGGCCGTCTGACACGAGCATGGAGAGCGGAGAAACGCGGGCGCGGTAAAGCTGTCGACCCGGTTGGACGGGTCGGATGGGGTGGGAGTGAGGAGGTCGGCGAGGGGCGCTGTCCGACAAGTGGTACAAAGGCGACGGATACGATTCTTAAACACGTTGCTCGTTACGGGCTTCGCGATACAGTTCTAGACGCATGGGCTTCAGTATGTAACGTGCCAAGACATGTAGGTGCAGCGTAGATCTGAAACCTGGGTACATACGCGACACACAACTTTGGAGCAACCCCGACATTCGGCGACCATGTCGCGCGCGCATTTCGCGACTTTTCCACGGGTCAGGCGGCCTGACGACGTCGCACCCTGGCTTAACAGCTGGATGACGGACTTGACGCTGTCTGGAATCGCTGCACCGCTACCCAACAGATCCGACAGCGTCTCGATGTATTCATTTTCACAACGCAAGGTTTGTTTCGCCAGCTGTTGGCGATAGGGAGCTAAATTTGCGTGGAATTGGCGGCAAGTTCGAGATAGTGCGTGCAGTGTATTCAAGTCCACCGATCGTGCAATTTCCTTGACAATTCTAGAACTCCGACGTTAGCACACAGTACTGAACCAGGACCAATAATGGCCTGGTCCGCGAGTGTTGCATACGGATAGCAGCTCAAGGCAGCTGAGAAAGCGGTTTGACTCGGAGGCGTCTGCTGAGTAGGAGAGGGAGAAGGGTTGCGGGTTGCATCAGTAGAAGGGGGATTCGCGTCATTCGTCGCCATATCAGCATCGGCGGAGCGAGTCGACAGACCGAGTGTGGTCCCCATTAACTTAGACAAGGAACTTTTTCTCGGCTCTGCAAAACGATGAAGAAGTGCATCCTGCGAGACAGAGAAGTGATGATTATCGAACGCATCCTGATCGAGGTCCACGAACACGACCATCGTGGCGTTCGAAGCAAGCGGAGAAGGAGATCCACACAGAGCTTATGTAGAGTCGCAGGATCAGTGAGGTAGCGAGAGTATTAAACAGAACGAATTGAAAAACACAGCCCTGAAGACAGAATGCTTCAGCATGGATCTTTCATGCTCTTATACGAAAATCCTGAAGATCACGGCCTCTATACGGAGCTCCGTGGGATGATACGGCTAGCAATGATCCTCCTCCGTCTTCGGCGTGGGACCGGAGGACCACAGCGGTGATTCGTCTCGGGGATGGAGATGCCGACGTCGGCACCAGACGGGTCTGATGGGTCTTTGGATTGTCTCTGGGACTGTGCCTGGGTCTGAGGGAAGTTGATTCAGCGGGGAGCGTCCACTTTGACGACAGAGAGGGGAACTTCGATCTTATCGCCGTCGTCAGCTTGATCTGATTAAGTCATGTGATGCCAAAGTCCCGCTGAGGTAAGCAACCTCTCAGATCACGGAAGTGCTAGTCCCAATTGGGAAATAAGTCACCTGACTTTATTCTCCAACTCTCCCCGCGCTCTCTCCACACTGCCATCAGAGGCGTCAACACCTCTCTGTTTTTCTCTTCGTGCTGATGCAATCCCTTTGGCATGTGGAACATTTCTCTCCCCTTCAACTATCTCCAATGGCGCTCCTACAGGGCTGCCACAGACTATGGACACCTCCCGGCCGATAGACGATAGCGTTATCTCCCCCAGCGGACATCGCCGAGGCAATCAGTGGGGTAAGTATGGGAAGAGTTGGAGCACCCTATATATCCCGCTCAGTGTCTCCCTCCCCCTCGCCCCACTAGCTGTCAAGAGATAGTCGTCTTGACTCACCCTCTCCCACTGCTTCTTCCTCTTCACTATTCCTACTGCATCGTCCGGGACTCTGTCAGTTCGTATCTCAGCCAGCATGCCTCTGAATTCAAAGGCCGTCTACGCCAAACTGAACCCGGACTTTGTTCCGTTCAGCAGTCGGAGAAGCACGGTCCATAGTACCAAGGGGATCGTCTCGTGTACCCAGCCGTTAGCCGCTGCAGCAGGTCAGAAGATTCTCCAGGAAGGCGGAAATGCCGCGGTATGTTTCGAAGCCACCAGACTTGCTAACTCGGCTTGAATGTACTGACCCCGTCTTTAAACAGGATGCTGCTGTTGCAGTAGGTATGTACCCAGTTTAATCACCACTACCACCAGACCAATACACCGAGTATCAAAGAGAAATAAGACTAAGTCTGAGCGATTCGCAGCCGCCGCCTTGAACATGACCGAACCGGGCTCAACCGGTATTGGAGGAGACATGTTTTGTCTCTACTACGATGCTAAGACCAAAAAGGTCCATTCGCTGAATGGCTCTGGTCGATACCCCGCCAATGCCACGCTGGAAACCGTGAGAAAGGACTTGAACGTCGGTCCCAACGACGCAGGCAGCATTCCTATGAAGAGTGTCCTGGCGGTGACGACCCCCGGTGCAGCTGCGGGATGGGTCGATACCGTCGAAAAGTTTGGCAGCGGAAAGCTGTCTCTAGAGCAGATCCTTCGGCCAGCTATCGAACTGGGCGAGGAGGGATTTGCCGTGTCCGAGCTGTCGTCCTATTATGTGAGTTGACGCTTTGATCCCATCTGCTGACTACGGATTTTCTCACAATATCCCCTAGTGGCACCAAAGCGAAAACCGCATTCGCGAGGCGTCGCCCAATGGCCACGAGATGCTCAAATCAGACCCCAAGGCCAAGGATGGCGTCCGACCCCCTCTGGCCGGCGAGATCATGAGGAACCCCACACTCGCCCAGACATTCCGGACTCTTGCTGCGGAGGGCAAAAAGGGTTTCTACGAGGGCCGGGTTGCCGAAGAGATCGTCAAGGTGGTGCAGGATCTCGGGGGATATCTGACCTTGGAGGACCTGAAGTACCACGCCGAAGTTGGAAGCCAAGATACGGAGGCGATCTCTCTAAAATTTACCGGCCAGAACATCGCCGAAAACCAGACCGCTGGCACCGACAATGAGACAAACCAAGGAGTTGAGATCTGGGAGCACCCGCCGAACGGACAGGGAATTGTGGCGCTCATGGCCCTAGGTATCTTAGAAGAACTCGAGCGCGCAGGCAAGATCCCGAAGTTCTCTCCCGACCAGCACAACTCCGCCGAGTACCTCCATGCTGTGATTGAGAGTCTGCGGATTGCTTTTGCGGATGCCTCGTGGTGGGTCACGGACCCTGACGTGGAAAAGGTCCCCTCCCAAGAGCTGATCTCGCGTGCCTATCTGGCCGAGCGCGCCAAACTGTTTAATCCCAACAAGGCCACCGATATCTTGGACCACGGCAGCCCCGCCCATAACCACTGCGACACCGTCTACTTCGCAGTTACGGACAAGGACGGCAACGGTGCCTCCTTCATCAACAGCAACTACGAAGGATTCGGCACCGCCATTGTCCCTAAAGGCTGTGGTTTCACACTGCAGAACCGCGGCGCCAATTTCTCTCTCACTCCGGGCCACCCAAATGCCTTGGCCCCGCGCAAGCGCCCCTACCACACCATCATCCCGGCTCTCATCACCAACGTGTCGGACGGCTCGCTGCACTCGGTGTACGGGGTGATGGGCGGGTTCATGCAACCTCAGGGCCATGTGCAGGTGCTGCTCAACATGCTTGCCTTTGGCTATCACCCTCAGGCCGCGCTGGATTCTCCCCGCATCTGTATTGCCGCTGGCTCTCCGGAGATTGGCAAGCCCCTCGACCGCAATGTGTACGTGGAAGAAGGGATCAGCGAGCAGGCCATTGAAGGTCTAAAGAGACTGGGACATAAAGTTCAGGTCTTGACTGGCTGGCAGAGAGGCATGTTTGGGCGAGGCCAGATCATCCGTTGCCATTACGACAACGGGAAGCTCGTATACAGTGCCGGAAGCGATCCCCGAGGTGATGGAATGGCTATCCCGGTGGTATGATAGAATATGATGGGCATTGTCTACGGCTGTATTCAGTGTTGTTTTATACTCGGTGCAAATCCCGCAGAATGTCAGTGTTCGACCTTCACAAATAATAGATTGCAAACATAGTCTTACACAAGTCCGCCCAATGGATCATAATTCATAATGAAGAAGGATAATGAAATCAATGGAGAGGCGACCGAAAATGAAAAGCAAAGAGACCAACATTGAAAACGTATTGGATAAACACATGTAGTTGAAGTTCATTTAAAAAAAAAAAATAACACCATCTCTTCTATGCTTCCTTCTCATGCAAACGTAACGTCCATTGATGCAAAGTCCAACCCTTGTCAGGAAAAAAAAAAAAAAACCGAAACGCAAAACAAACTAAAAGAACAAGGGGGGGAATACAATGAATATATAGCACGTAATGAAGAGTCTGACGGCAATGGAACAGTGATCTCTCACCATCAATGGGCCACTATGGCCGACTTGAAAATGTTCTTCAACTTGGTTCCCGCGCTGGGAGAAGGCTCCCGCCTATGCCGATGGTGACGATGGCGCCCCTCGCCGCTGTGACGGTGGCGACGACTCTCAGGCGATTCTTCTTTCGCCTTTGCTTGCTCATCTTCGGATGTCCGTCGGGACTTTCGCGCCTCCCGACGCTTTTCTTCTTCATGGCGGGATCCGCTGGAGCGTTCGCTGGACCCCCTTCCTTCATGCGAGTGACGATGGCCGTGCGAATGACTAGTAGATGATCTCCGACGTTCAACAACGTTGGCGGCGGCCTTCGCACCGTTGATCTTCAACAAGGGCCCGTTCGTGTCCGATTCACCCGCCGTCATGTATCTCAGGAATGCGCGGGGTTTCGGTGCTGATGTCGTTGCCGATCCTTGTTTCGAAGAAGAAGAGGCTGGAGCTCCCTTCAGATCTCGGCCTCGGTCACGGCTGCCTGAGTGCTCTGAGCTCCGGTGACGTGTCTTCACGGGGACTGTATCATTATCTTTTGAAGACCGTCGTCTGGACCGCTCATGTTCTCGACGCTCCTTCTCTTTCTCCAAGGATAGTTGTTCCCTTTCCTTCTCTCTCCGACGTTTCTCTTCCTGAATTAACTTCTCCCTGTGTTGCCGCTTCGCCTCTTCCAAGGCTTTGGCCCACCGGTTTGTTAAGATGCCACGGTCACTCTTCTGTCGTTGTAATTGCAGGGACCGACGCTCTTCAGAGGATACCTTGGAGTGACGTCGTTCGCTCTCTATGCCGGGAGACCGTCTCTTTCGCCTCCTAGAACCAGAAGCAGGTGCTACACCTCCTTGGGCCTCTTCAGCAACATCCTCCCCTCTCGGGAGATCTTCGGGGATCGGTTCTGCAGGAATAGGCTCATCAGGTGCGACTCCTTCCTCAATGGGCTCCACAGAGGGCTCTTCAGGTAGCGGCAATTCTTCTGCAGGGGCAGCCGGTTCATCAGCTATGGCACATTCGCCATCTGGAGTGGGCTCTTCCAGGGTTTGCTCCGGCTCTGCAGCAGGTTCCTCAGCTGGAGTAGGGGGTTCTTCAGCTGGGGCAGGAGGCTCTTCAGCTGGGGCAGGAGGCTCTTCAGCTGGGGCAGATGGTTCTTCAGCTGGGGCAGGTGGTTCGACGGGAGCAGGGGTTTCTTCGGTTGGGCTGGGGTCCTCGGACGGAGCAGGTTCCTCAGCAGCAGGAGGGGCCTCAACAGGCGCAGACTCATCAGAAGGGGCCGCTTCGTCAGTTGCTACGGGTTCTTCAACGTCTGCTGCTTCCCCAGCAGGGGCACCTGGTTCTTCCTCTATAGCGCGTTCGGCATCTGGCGTGGGCTCTTCTGCGGGTGCGGGAGTCTCGGACGGCGTAGGCTCCTCCTTAGCAGGAGGCTCTTCCGCAGGGGCCGGTCCATCCTCTGGAGTCTCGGCCGGAGCGGCTTCTTCGGGTTGAGGTTGGGGAGCCTCATCTGCCTCATTTGCTGCAGGTGTTTCTTCTGCTGGGGCTTCAGGGTCGGCAATCTCCTTAGGCGGTTCTTCAGCCGGCGACGACTCCTCAGCTGCAGACTCTGGTTGCGCTGCTTCCTCTGCTGGAGGGGTTTCATCCTTTGCTTCCGGCGCTTCCTGTTCATCAGGTGATTCTTCGGTAGTTTCTTCGGCAGAAGGGATTGTCTCGGGCTCAACCGCCTTGTCACCGGCATCAGCCACTGCAGGGGCTTCCACACCAGAAGGCCCAGCGTCTGCTTCACCACCAGCTGGGGCTTCCTCCGTTGCTGGTTCAACAGGTGCAGGCTCTTGGGATGGCTCTGCCTTATCCTGAGCTCCTTCATCCGGAGAAGGCTCTTCGGGCACTGGCGCTTCCGCTGACACCTCTTCGGTTGCCTCTGCTGGTTTATCGACAGAGGTCTCCTCTGGATCACCTTCGACGGGCTCTGCGACTGCATCTTCTCCAGATACCGGTTCTGGGGCGGCTGAAGGTTCTTCCGATGTATTTTCGGCGGCTGCTTCTGGAGCAGATTCTGTCTCTGCCGGAGCTTCCACTGCATCTGCCTCAGCAGGGCCGTCGCCAGGAGACTGCTCAGGAGCATGTTCCTCGGCAGCGCCTTCGCCTGGTGTTTCTTCCTTTGAAGCTTCCTGCAACCCTTCTTCCCCAGCGGCTGTTTCAGGTTTGCAGTCCTGAACAGAGTCGTCCCCGGGCGCGGCATCTGCTGTAGGTTCAGGCTCATTACTAGGAGCGGTTGGTGTTGCCGCGTCTTCTGTTGAAGCGTTTTGCTCTTCGGAAACCGTTTCCGCCTGGTCCTTCTCTTCATCGTTGGAAGGATTGTCGGCCTGTTGAGGCTCATCTTCCCCCGATGTGTTCGCTGCTGGGGCAGGTTCAGGATCCTCCTTGTCATTCACCGTCTCTTTGGACGTCTCCTCAGGAGGCGTTTCGGGTGTGTCCTCGGCGGCGGCTTCTGGCGGACTAGGCTGGGGATCAGCTGGCTCGGCTCCAGGGTCTTCGGCAGCAGGGCTTTCGGGTTCCGCAAGAGGGGAGTCGGATTCTTGTGTCTCAGCTGCCTTGGGTTCTTCCGCCGTGACATCGTTTGCTGATACTTCTGCAGCTGGGGCTTCCGGTGCCTCTGGAGCCTCTGGAGCTTCTGGAGGCGCATCACCCCCCACTGTCCCTTGTTCATCAGAGGCAGAGGTCTCGTCATTCGTTTCAGCGGCAGGTTCGCCAGCCACATCAGAGTCTTGTTGTGGGCTGTCAGTGACAGCATCGGGAGTGGCATCTGATGTTCCCGCTCCATTGTCAACATCAATGAGTTCCTTCTCCTTGGCGGCTTCTTCTTCCTCCACTTTTGCATCTTCGGCCGCTTGTCTTTCGGCCTCTGCCTTTTCGGCTTCAACCTTGTCAATTTCTGCACTAGGATCACATTCTGGAAAGTCATCCTCTGAGTGTAAGGTTAGTTGACTTTGTGAACTGACGTGTTTCATTAGCATACCGTTACTAGGTGCTTCAGTGTGGTCTACTGCTGTTTCAGAGTCTCCAGCGTCTGGAGTCTGTGCAGGCTCTGTATTTTCAGCCGGAGTCTCTGCTGGGTTTTCGGCTGGGGTCTCTGCTGGGGTCTCTGCTGGGGTCTCTGCTGGATTCTCGGTGGTTTGTTCTTCTGCGGCCGGTTCGTCCGACTTGTCTGGATTTTCATCCTCTGGCTTCTGCGCAGAATCGTCCGTTTCGGGGGCAGCGTTCTCTCCTCCATCCTTTGATTCTGCGGGCGCGTCGGCAGGGGTCTCTGCAGGATCAGGAGGGGCTGTGGTGGCTTCAGAAGAACCTACAGAAGTTTTTAGTATATACAAACTTCAACCGCATAGGATAATGATAGAATGTCTCATGGCAGTAAGACAAAACAAGACGTGAACATACCTTCAGCATCCGGAGACGACGATGTGTCAGCAGGGGAAGAGGTGGAGCTTTCCTCGGGGTTGTCGGCTGGGGGAGAGGCTTCTTCTGCCGCGGGAGGGTTGTTGTCCTGATTCTTTTCGGGTGTCAGAGGATCCGAATCAAGAGAAGTAACGGGATATAATGAGGATTTCAAAGAATGACGATCGAAGGTCTGATAATGAATTTCAATAGATTGATATTCATACGCGGGGAGCTGGGCATACTGGATCGGGTGGCCCATTTTCCCCAGATGCAACCGCCGATTCCGGGGCGGGATCGGCCGAAGGGTTGTTCTCTAGGTTGGAGAATTGATTGTTGTTCACGGGATTTCGTTTGGCGTTGTTATTGTTCTTCTTCTTGCTACTCTTTTTGTTTTTGGCCATGGCATCGAATCAACCGTATCGTATCGGACCTTCGTCGTTGCGGTCGTGGAATGAGGAGGGGAATATAAACTCGACGGAAGCAAGTATAACGGGAGATAGTCGGGCTTCGGACAGGGGTTGTGGTACGTGGAATAAGCAATAATAGAAGGGAATCCAGGAAAGAAACGGAATAGAATGGAACGCAAAAGGGGGAGAGATGTGAAGGGTCAGGTTTGAGTGGGATGAGAGGACGGAAGGGCAAGGAAGAAGCAGCAGATGTCCGTCTGTCCGGCCAACCGTTCTCAATGATCAACGTGAGGCGACGTATCGCAGCCTCTTGTCTACCCAGCGGGATGGGATCATATCGAGCTGCAGTTCGGGGCTCGGGCTGGGAACGTCATTCACGAACTGCCCAACGGCATCGGCGTTGATTGGGCCACGTCTCATGCGGTCCAATAGTTCCGGTGGACAGGGCTAGGGAAGAGAAGTCTCCGCCCCCGACACCATCACTGGACCGCACGACGACCATGGCGGGGAGGCTGCCGTCTATAGCAAAAGCTTGCAGTAGCAAAACAGTGGCGGGGGCCCAAGAGGAGCAGACGATCCTGACAGGCAAGCACCATCGCAGAGAAAATTGGGTACAATCTGGATACTAGTTAGTGAGTGGGGGTGGTGCCACCGATCACTCCAAATTAGGTCTTGGGTTTCTTTTGCTTTGTTTTCCACCCTGGCTGGTGCGTGTCCGGCCACGCTTCATGTTCGTGGAAAGCCGGGATGGGAGGCAAAAAGAAGCCATCAACGTGGATTGTGGTGGGACGGCTCCAGAGGATGCCATGTCAGCTATTGCAAAAGTTGTTGGTCAGGCCACGATGAACCGATCGACCTGATATGGCTGCCCTGCTATTTTTGTCAGTAACCCAGGTGCCTTGCCATCAAGACATTCTGGACGCAAGCACAGTGACAATAACGACTGCCAGAAGATGAACATGGTAGATCAGTAGGGGGTAGGAATTGAAGAGCTGTATCGGCCTCTCATCATGAAGGCGGATTTCTGCCCAACGCCTGTTACGGCCAGCCGCAGCAAATCGGCTGCATCTGGCGTGGAGTTGAGACTGGGTCCCCAGCCCTCGGACTAAATTGGACACCATCACTGGGATTACGGGAGCAACCGTGCATCGGAGGGAAGTTGTGCAGCCAGCACGATGCGTCGAGGGTCTAACCGGAAAGAAAAGGGAGACACCATGAGACCCAGTTGTGGTTGAAGGAGAGAGACCGAGTGTGAGGGAGAAAGACAAGAAGAGAGGGAAAACAAAGTCAGGTGCCGATCACTGGACCCGTCCAAATCGGTTAGATGGTGTATTGGTATTACGGTAATACCCCACCAACAATCCAGCGGATTACCGAGTTTGTATGGCCAGACGAAATTATGATACACTCCATACCTCCCGTCTTCATTCCAGTCCATTCTCCTGGCAGATCAATGGATCGTACTACTGTAGAGCGTGGAAGCAGAAAAGAAGATTGAAGATTGAAAAAGCAAAAAACCCATCAACCCAACGCAGTTACCCATGAACGGATCGCTGCGTTCCAGGAGGGGGGAAAAAAAGTGAGGCGGGCATGCTGTTCTGGCAGTCGGTGAGTGGCTGCTGGAGACGCAGACCCATCTTGTCCATCTCCAGGTGGCTTCCATCCCTGCCATCGCCTATCTTCCGCTGTACTCCGTCAGACGGATCTGCGGACCCCTAATCCATAAATACAACCGACTCCAATCATGATAGATACAAGTAGATCTTGGGACCGGTACAGCCGTGCCTGGTGGCATTGACACTACAAAAGGCGATTGGCGCCATACGCGACAGTGGCCGTGGGACTTTGCCAACAAAACAAACGAGAGCGATCCACCTAGTGCTGAACTGGTCGTTCCTTGACACTACTCCATACGTCTTCGCACTAACCAAGTCAATATGAAGCAGGGTAGGCGCTCATCGGCTCTACGGGGTAGACGATGTATCGACTCGATCAGCCAGACGTCATGGATGAAAAATCACAAGTGTGCAAACGAAAGACAGCTGTTGCTATTAATGGCCAAAGAGTGTCGCATAACCGCTATGTACAATATGCCGAATCGTAAAGCATGAAGGCCGGCCAATGTCTGAAGAAGAATCTTTTTCGGGCCTTGTTAACACCATCATCACTCAAGTCGTAAATCCCAACAAACGCAACGTCTAGCGTAATCAGTTGCGCAATGCTGCATCCATGGATTTCCTCCAACGTGGTCCAAACACTTTCATGATAATCAATACCGAGCTGCTGGCAAAAGCAGCGAGGCCTAGAATTGTAAAGAGCCAGCCGTTTCCAATGGCATCGATGATCGGAGCAGTGACAAAGGACCCGACGCAGGAAAAGATGTTCCGCATGAAGTTATTCAGCGCGACCCCCGACGACGATTTCCTTGGCATGAACTCGGTCAACATCGTGGTCACCATACTAAAGATCAGCATAGACCCAACCCCGAAGAAGACATTGGCGACCATCTACACAATGAGCATGATTAGCAGGCTTTTAGTACATGTGACATGTGGTGTACAAAATCTTACCGGTGCTAGCCAGTAGACGCCCTTATCTGCAGTCCAACCATACCAAATCAGTGCGGCGGGATAGAGTGTCGCTCCAAGCCAGGCATTCTCACGCATTCGGTCTTCCGGACGATAGATAAGCTTGCCGTGTTCGTCATATCTTTCTGCCTTTCTGGCCTCCCGTTGCATGATATTGTCCATCCAGCGGCCTCCAAACAAACTCGCAACAATATATCCCACCGAGTTGGGAATATAGAGCAGACCGACGATGAGCGTACTGTAGTTGTACGGATCACTTCCGAACGTATGTTCAATACTGACATTCAACACATAGAGCGATCCGAAAGTGATGCTTGCATAATATACCGTCAACAGCACGGGAGGGAATCGCAGGTAAAGAACGATCTTCAAAGGATCGATAAACACCATCTTGAGATGTTTCAACCATCTTGCCGTAAAGCTGACGATCTGGCGTGAGGAGACTCGGCTAAGTCGCTGTCCAAGGGGTTCTTGCGGCTCATCATTCGTGAGAGGTGCGGGTGCTGGCTCTTTGTGGACAACGAGGGTCTCTGGAAGGGCCAGAAAGATGAAAACAAGGGCTATCCCTCCATAGATAGCCGAGAACCATAACGTGCTCCTCCATCCCCATTCTTGGGCGAGAGCACCTCCAACGATAGGAGCAAATAAGGGGCCACACAAAGGTCCGAGATAGAAGATACCCATAGCACGTCCCCGTTCATGCGGGTCCCAAAGGTCTGCAATGGTCCCGGCACCGACGGCTTGCACTGACGCTGATGCCCCACCGCTCAACATTCGCATCACAATGAGCATGGCTATCGAATCCGAAATGGCGCTGAGGATGTTGAAAATGGTGACGAGGCAGAAGGACACCAAATATATGGTCCGACGGCCCAGCCTTTCGCTGAAAGATGACCACCACAGCGGAAAGATGGACATGCTCAACATGTACAAGGAAATGGACAGGTTTGTTATGGTGGTAGTTGTATCGAGATCCTTGGATACTTGGGAAAGGGACGCTAGACGTAGGAAACCAGATAAGCATGAGTACTGGGGTCCGGGGAGAGTCAACTTACGGAAAAAGATCGAACTGCCCATGGGGGCCGTGATGGCAGCCACGGCAACTATGAATGTGATGAACCATTTCTTCTTTCTGGAATAGGCCTTCGGATTGTCAACCTCTGCCAGCAGCGTGAACTGACCGAAAAGCCCTCTACGCTTCAGTCTCGGTACCATTATCGGCGGATCATATTCCGGGTCCTCTGAGAGGGAGTGGTTTGGAATCCCAACGTCCTTCTCATCCATCACTGGTGGTAGGTCCGATTCCTGGGATATGCGATCAAGATTGTTGTGGACCTCTGATCCTTTGCCTGTGGATGATGATACAGATGTCGGTCGACCATACTCCGGAGGGAATTCCGGTGATTTTGATTCTGAGATGGTATCTTTCTCCATAATTCTTGGCGATAAGATCTGGAGGGACGTTCCTCGGAAGGTTTATTGATATGGACCGATGTTTAGGTCACTATATCCAGGATACAGGTGACCAAAGATGGGATGAGTCGATGAGTTGCTTGTGCATCAAGGACGTCAAGCGACGGTGGTACACCGTGTAAGAAAGTGGTTATCGAGGAGACAATCGAGTCCAGAATACCAAGAGTGTAAGAAGATAAACAACAACTGGTGCCAGTAAGGTGACTATCACGCGTCGAATTGAAGCGAACTCGGGATTAAGAGTCCTGATAAGCAGAGCATCCACGGACGATCATGGAGGGGCACTCTACACCTTCCTTCTCTCAAGTAAGAGTGAACAAGAAAGAACGGAGAGCGAAGGTTGGTACTGTGTAGGTAGTGAGGGCAGGTATAGCCTTGGGGCGCTCTTCCCTAGGCGCAGAATCCGAGTCTCTTGACAGTCACAATCTTGGGGGAAGCGTAGAGAGAGACTGGTGTCATGGATGATGATCATATTACAAGAATAATCCTTCTAGTATCTCCCCACTTTTCTCCAGGGCCGGTTAAGTCATTTGCTAAAATCGCTTCCCAATCATGAGTGCATCCCGAACAAGCGCTGGACTGGTTGATAGGCCAGTCAGAAATACTTCGGATATTAACCCGAGTCCTTCGGAACCCACTGTGGACTTCGGTTATCAGTTGGTCGAGTCCGAGGTGTTGTCATGGAGAGGGTGATCCAATCTCTCATCGTTATCGCGACAACTGTATAGCACCTCATTGTAGCGAGGACTTCTACCCCTTAATGGAGCCAACAGGTCCAGATAGAGACGGCTGGGGAAGTTGGGGTCCTTTCAAAAGATTGGTACTGCGGTGCCGATTCATCCGGTTTCCCCAGTTGGAGGGCGGGCAGTTCCGTCCATCATCCACTTTACCGAGGTCAAGCTTTGGCCTAGGTCGACTTTTTCTCTGAAACAAGTCTTCAAAATCGAAGAGAAGAATCACATACACGGTTGATTACGACACCGGTCCCTAGAAGCGTTGAGGACATATCGGCTATGAACTATGAATGCTCGAACTGGGCGAATCGGCCCGACAGTATTCTAGGCGCTGAAAAAGAGCCGAGCCCTAAATACTAGCCCAATCGTGGACACCTGGTATGTGGAAGGGCAATGGGTGAACTTGCTAGTTCTTCGCTTCCTAAGAGCTAAATGAGTGTTTTTCGCTCTGCGTCGAACTGCGCATTCATGCTACGGGCGTTTACTAATTTGAATACCCACGAGTGACATAGGTTTCTCCCTTCGGTCTTCAGCTTTGACTTCGATGTGAACCTCCGTCAGACCAGAATGACACAGGTTCTTGGATGTGTTGTCAGCCAGAAAGACCCATCGGTCACATTCTCATCAATTTGCAACATACTGATATTTGAGCGTGTGTCAATTGTTTTTGTGAACATGGCAAGACAGGGGAAACGAGAACCTTTGCAAGCATGCTCGACCTCATTGAATTTGCTGTCCCATACGCTGGGCTGGTTACACTGCCGGAACGGTATATCGATACGGATCGGATACTGATTGCACTTTATGCGGGATACACCAACTATAACATGGCAGCAATACACATCCAGCGGGTATGTCCAGCTTAATGGACCTCGCACCCTGCTTAGCCAGTTAATGTCTCTGATTCCACTCACCCAGCGCATTATAGTCTGCTCATTAGGTCCGTGGAGGAGCGGCTTCGTCGGCCGCGCGGAGGCCACCAACCCCGCATTGTTCGGAACCGATCCTGGACAGCAGCTGAGTCGGGCCAACTCCGCCGACGCAGTGACATAAATACTCTCCGAGTGGCCAGAGGAGAGAATGTAGCCACCTGAGCAGCGGTTTTCCAGCACTGCGTCAACGGAAAATGGCAGAGATGATGAAAGCGCTGGTGTACACCGGCACCAACACCCTCACGATCCAACAACGCCCCAAGCCCAGCGTCACGGCCCCGACAGATGCCGTAGTCCGCATGCTGTACACCTCGATCTGCGGGTCCGATCTGCACATTATCAAAGGAGACGTGCCGTCCATCACCCCAGGGAGAGTCCTCGGCCACGAAGGCGTGGGCGTCGTCGAGTCGCTTGGGTCCGCCGTCCACGGATTTAGCAAAGGAGACCGTGTCTTGGTGGCGTGCATGACGTCCTGCGGAGCATGTGGGCTCTGCCGCCGGGGCATCGCGGCACACTGCCAGTCCGGAGGATGGCAACTGGGGAACAAGACGGACGGCACGCAGGCGGAGTATGTGCGCGTCCCGCATGCCATGCTGTCGATGTACAGGTTGCCCGAGACGATCGATTCTCGCGCGGCGGTTGCGGTGTCCGATGCGTTACCGACGGCCTTGGAATGCGGCGTCATGAACTCGAACGTACAGCCTGGGGGGTCGGTGGTTATCATCGGCGCGGGGCCCGTGGGCATCTCTTGCGTGCTCTGTGCGAGGTTGTATTCGCCCGCGTTGTTGGTCGTGGTCGACCTGGATGAGAATCGATTGGAGACAGCCCGGAAGATGGGCGCCCATGCGACGGTGAATGCGGGCGATCCCAATGTCAAGAAGATTCTCTATGAGTTGACTGCCGGTCAAGGCTTTGACTCGGTCATTGAGGCTGTTGGGATCCCGGTCACGTTCGAGCTGGGCCAGGAGCTGGTGGCGGTTGGCGGGTCTATTGCCAATGTGGGAGTGCATGGCACCAAGGTGGATCTCCATCTGGAAAAGCTGTGGGATCGCAATATCAGTAGGCTCCCTCTTTCTTGCTGGACCCTTTGTGTGTTGACCATGGGACAGGTATCAATATGCAATTGGTCAATGCGACGACGCTACCAAAGCTCCTACGGTTGGTAAAGTCAGGAATGCTTGATGTATCGGGTCTAGTAACACATTGTAAGTCCCGGGATGGATGCCAGTGATTGACGGCAGATGATGATATGCTGACCTTCTAGGTTTCCCATTCTCTCAAGCCACGGTTGCGTATGATACATTCCGTGCTGCAGCCAGCACCAAAGCGTTGAAAGTTGCCATTAGCTTCAATCCGGAAGATGAGGAGGCCAAAGAACGCCTATGATTTGTGTCTATCCCGTCGAATCTGGCTGCGGGTCTGCCTAAAGAAATCTAGTGTTTTGAACGCAATGTATATTCCAAAAGTAGTGATATCATCGGAGACTATGATCGCCGAAGTGGGACGGGCTCCAGAATGTCTCCGAAGAACCCCGCAACCACCGAGTAAAATAAATATGAAGGTTGTACGAGTACAGCATTTGATTCACCTAAAGTCTCATCCCAGTCGTTAATAAAGGCAATCTGCATACATCCCTGTCCAATCTTACACCATGCCTCCCAAAGCCGTCGCCCCGCAGGAAATGCTTGACACTCTTGGTAAATACCAGGGCGATAGAGTCTTCGATGGGTGGGAAGAGCTCTGGCAAAAGGGCGGCGACTGTCTTCCCTGGGACCGAGGAGTCCCCAATCCTGCATTGGAGGACACCTTGCTGCAAAAGCGTGCAATCCTAGGCGGACCGACTACCACCGATGCGCAGGGGCACATGCGCCGGAAGAAGGCCCTGGTTCCTGGATGCGGGCGAGGCGTGGATGTGCTTCTGCTTGCGAGCTTTGGCTACGATGCCTACGGGCTGGAGTATAGTGCGGCCGCCGTTGCGCATTGCAAGCAGGAGGAGGCGAAGAATGGCGATAAATACCCCGTCCGTGATGCGGAGATCGGGCGCGGCCAGATCGTCTTCGTTCAAGGGGATTTCTTCAAGAACGACTGGCTGGAGGCCTTGCAATTGCCGCTGAATTGCTTCGATTTGATCTATGACTATACGGTAGGCCAAAACATCATCCCGGGTCCTTGTGTGTGGTAGTGGAATCTCTATGTTTGGATTGCATGCTATATACACTGTCCAACGCTCAATTATGCATAAAATGCCTTGACTCATTCCTTTCTTTTGGTAGTTCTTTTGCGCATTGAATCCGTCCATGCGCCCCGACTGGGCTCTCCGGCACACCCAGCTTCTCGCTCCCTCCCCGAACGGTAATCTGATCTGCCTCGAGTTCCCGCGTCACAAGGACCCGTCAAAACCAGGGCCTCCATGGGGTTCGTCGTCGGAAGCCTACATGGAACATCTGAGTCACCCAGGAGAAAAGATCCCTTACGACTCCAGCGGACGATGCAAGAGCGATCCGCTGAGGGAGACTAGCGAACAGGGACTAGAACGGGTGGCGTACTGGCAACCTGCTCGGACACACGAAGTCGGAAAAGACGCCGAGGGAGAAATCCAGGATCGGGTGTCGGTGTGGCGTCGGCGATAGTATCGGCCTTTCTGTAGGGCAGGAAGCCGGCAAGGGTTTCGAATGGTCTGAAATAACACCTAGCTTGGAAATCCAGAATCTTCGACGACCGATCGAAAAGCGTCATGGCTAGCGTCGGCTAAGTCCTTTTCGTGAGGGCATTGTAATGCTCTCCAAGGCCGTAAGTATGTCGGTAGTAAGCCAGCCAGATCACCCGCCGGGCCCGTTCTTCAGCCTCGAGGTCCTGAACATCGCCGGCTTCAATTTTCTCAATCCGTCCATCTCCTTGAATGACATTGATATCAACACCATATGCTCGCGCAATCGCCTGCAGCTCTAGCTGGCCTCCCCACTCCGCAGTCAGCTTGATTTTGTGTGTGTATTGGTCCAGAGGTTCCTCCATAAACGGTTCGAAATCGTCCTTGTGTTGCGTAATGAAGTCTGCCGTCACGGCTCGGACGGCTCTGTACCCGTCGTGCTTGGGTGAAGCCACGGTCTCGATGCGGGATAGGGTCGAAGGATTGAGGACGATGCGGCTTGCGTCGGGCTTCAGGCCCAGACCTAACTCCTCCAGCTCATAGGCAATAGCCGAGTAAAGGCAATGGCCATCTGGGTTGATTTCCACCTGGCTCAAGTCAAGCCGCTTGAAGACACCATCCATCACGTCCTTCTCATTACCTCGATGGTCCGTCTGTTTGGCGGCTTCTTCGGCGGCTATTTCAGCCTGAGCAGCCTGCTCCGCAGCCCGTCGGGCGAGGCGAGCCTTTTGGCGATTGGGTTTCTTCTGACGAGGGGTGTCGGACGGTTGAGAGGCGGTTGATGTGGGAGTCGATGTTCCGTTGGTAGATGGAAGGCTTGGTGAATTGTTTGTTTCCTCAGGGATATCTTTCACTTCATCCGTGCTATTCAGAGTCAAGTCGTTGAGGTTGTCGACCGGGGCGACTGGTTCGCCGTTCAACTGAGCAATCTCCAGCTGATGGCGGTCGGTAAGCTCTCTTTGCAGTCGATCACATTCATCGTTGATTCCCCGCCGGGTCTTCTTGGTGGCAGACTTTTTCTTCTGGGTGATGCGTGCTTGGAGATCTTTTTGTTCCTTGCGGTGCTTTGCTAGCAGCTCGTCCATTTTCAATGTTGCGAGTAGCTTGGAAGAATATAGGGTAAGGTGGAGTAAATAATTGCAGCAGTAAAATAAAGGAAATCTATCCGTCTAATATCAACAATAGTGCAAGAGAATAGGGACAAGGCGCGGTGCCTAAGAAAAGACGATGACGACGGGAAGAGCCTTTGCCCCGCGGGCAGCACCCGAGGAGGAATAGTGCGGGCGACGGTTCCTGGCGCCGGAAGGTGGTTTCTCCGACATATCATCCAAGTCTTTCTGCCTAAGGCACGCACCATCATGGTGGACGATTCCCTGTGGTCTCTCCGCCTAGCGTTATGCACGTCTAGTCCTTTGTCAATCATCCCTACCTCGAGTTTGCGATATATGAACTATCCTCAACTGACACCTCCTTTGATTTCCTGGTTCGGTTACACCTAAGCACCAATGGAATGAAGCTCAGACAAAGCCACATTGAATCTATATCACGTGTGGAACTAATCCCAAAAAGTCAATATGTCCAGTCTCCATCTGGTATGCTCCGGGGACCTCGGTATCTTTCCCTTTCCCGGCTCAGTGATCGCTCGGCCGTCGGCCTGGAAGGAGCTCTGATCCAGATATTTCTGGGCTTCGTTCTGGCCATGTTTCTTCCCCATCGCCCTCCGTGAACCGACCGTACATCGACCAAGCCGTTAAGTCACTCACTAAAGAAGAATCTTACTCTCTCCAAACTGTCGCCATGGACTCTCAGAGCCTTTTCAATGTCGAGGTAAGCCGACAGACTCGACTCGATTGTCCGCTCCGTGTTTTTGGCTGTTCGCTTACGATGCTCCTAGGGGAAAGTGGTGCTGGTCACCGGTGGTGCCAAGGGTATTGGTCGTATGATTTCTGAGGGCTATGTCGCCAACGGTGCTACGATCTATATCTCGTCTCGCGATGCCAAGGCTTGTGAACAGGCATGTAAGGAGCTCAATGCTCTAGGAAAGGGCAAGGCCTACTCCATTCCGGCCAACTTCTACCAGGAGGAGGATGTCAAGAAGCTGGCTGAGGAACTGGCCAAGCGCGAAAGCAGTATGTCCCGGTGTGCTTAATTTCCATGCATCTTGAAACTCACGTCTCATCAGAGCTCCACGTCCTCGTTAACAACTCTGGCTCCAACTGGGGTGCGCCGTACGATGAATACCCGTCTGCCGCCTGGACTCGCGTCCTGACCTTGAACCTCCACCGTGTTTTCGACCTGACCAAGCTTGTGACGCCCTTGTTGGAGAAGGCGTCGAGCCCGGAGGACCCCGCCCGCATCATCAACATCGGTAGTATTGATGGACTCCGGGTGCCTGCGCTGGATACTTTCGCCTACAGTGCCAGCAAGGCCGGTTTGCACCACCTGAGCCGCCACCTGGCCAACCATCTCGGTAGAAGAAACATTACGTATGTGTACTCCATGAGATGAGCATATGTCAGGCAAAGTCATCTAACTATCTTTAGATCCAACTCGTTGGCATGTGGTCCTTTCGAGAGCAAGATGATGGCCGAGACGTTGAAGACTTTCGGTGACCAAATCAAGAGCGGCATCCCGCTGGGCCGGATCGGTAGCCCGGAGGATGTGGCTGGTGCTTGCCTGTTCTTGAGTAGCAGGGCTGGTTCGTATGTGAACGGAGCGACCATCCGGCTGGATGGTGGGAGCTCTATCAGTGCTAAGATCTAGAGAGTTAAGGGGTTGACAGGAGAACTGGGGAACTAAATTGCTTCGTACATATACATTAGATGACAAGTTTTGTGCATATACTCTGAGTGATGGATTTACTGTATACGACATGGTAGACATTCTGACTATTGCATATAGTTGAATCTCCTTGATGTGGAATGAGCCGTCTCAATATTCTGGCTTTATGGCTTGTGCATTTGGTACATGGATGTGTCGGAATTTTCTTGCAATGAACTGGTATAGGTTGGCTCCCGGGATTTCCAGAACTAGCATGTCCCGGTCAATCGGCTCTTCCCATCGGTATTGACAGGTTGTCATACATAATCCATGTGTTGACAAGGGCTATGCAAGATATAGTTGATGCAGATGGCGAATAGGGTCGTAGTCCATATTACGGTTGGCAAATAGTATTTGCAACTGTCTGAAGCCGGTAGTCAGTGCTCGACAGATGCAAGTTTATCATGAAACACTTGGCGTGGAGGCAGAGACCTGGTGATCGTGGTGATACGAGGCAAACAAACATCGATCTACAGATTGATAGAGTCGATGAGGTAATGTGTGCTGATTATTAGGAGACGAATGCATGATATGGTTAAACTCCTGGCTTTGACAAAGGTCAGCCACCGGTACGATTGGTCCAGATAACCCCTCGAAGCGTGAGAGGACGCGATGATGCCAGGATCATTATTCTTTCACCTGTGATTCGTGCAGCATAGACCTCGTGGGCGTGGCCCATGTGTCCTGTAGTGGCGATCAACCTAAACGAGGCATCCCACGTATTAGACAAGGTGGCTGTGTCCAAACGCGAGATGGGCCTGGTATGTCTGGATGAGATAAATCCCTCGTATATCCCTGAACCTCGAAGACCACAAGCGAAAAATTTCGAGCTGACGGGACTGGAGATGTCATGGTCATTTCCGTGCGGTGATTGGACTGGGTAAATCCCTCATCCAAATCCGGAAGTGTAGATAGCGCACTGTCACCACACCTTAAAACGTCGACCCGACCAGCATCCATGAGTGAGAGATTAAGCAAATCCAATCCGTGCTGCCCGACTACATCGCCAGGATCACAGTCGCATCATATCTGTGTCTCCAGATCCGTGGACGAAGGATGTGGCCGAAGCCGCAGCTGAACTTTATCACCTTGCATTATGCGTATATAATTTTCCTGGGGCTTCTCGCACTGCCTGTACTATATCCCTATGGGAACTTGAGGGCGATCGATTCCTACTTCTTCGGAGTCAGCGCATCTACCGAGTCCGGTCTTAACACGTTTGTGGTCCTTGACTTCCCTGTCATCCAGGACGAAGCTGATAATCTCGTCTAGCGTAGATGTGAAAGAGCTGAAGCTCTACCAGCAGTTGTTCATCTACTTCATTCCGATTGTGAGCAACTTGGGCTTTGTGAATATACTCGTCGTTTGTGTGCGTCTCTGGTTCTTTCGCAAGAGACTAGACGAAATAGGTAACCCGCCATTTGATTTTATGATGGTATGGATTCGGAACTAAGCCGAACGTGATCCGCAGGACTGGCCAGTCTTAGGCAGAAACCAGTCGCATCGGATAGGGAAGACATTGAACCTGGTCTTGTAACCTTGCAGGGAAAACTCCAAGATTGCACACCGGATCAGTCCACCATCCATGAGAAACAGAACCCAGACCATGACCGGAACGAGCAACCAGAAGAGCCTAATACAGACCACGAAGCACCTGAGTAAGTCCTACAGTTCAAAAGACGTCTATCCATCATTAGGCATACGCTTATATCCTCCAGGGATGAGAATGCAAGAAGTACAAGCACCAAACCTCTACAGCCGGGGGACTTGAACAGGACGATCTCGTTCGCCGATACAGAGAAGGCGCTGTATATTCCATCGCCACAAGAGCGTGACAGAGGTAAGGCAGACATGATCGACTTCTGTCTTGAGCCCTTACTTATGGCAAACAGGACATCCCATCATCGAAGTGGACAGAGACACGATTGCAGACGGTAAATGACTTGACTGTCCGATTTGTCAAGAGTAAGATCTGACCTTGGCAAAGATACCGGCAACTTTGAAAAGTCCTATCCGCGATTAAGACGTTCTTTGAGTATCCGAAATGATACTACTCTCGAGCGTGTTGCCTCTTCCATGTTCGTGCTCGGGAAACAGCATAGCAGATCTCAAGGCCCGCGAATGAGCCAGGCCATCTCACTCTCCAAAGACTCAAACCTCCCTGGTCTTTCTACACAAGCAACCCTAGGGAGAAACTCACAGTTCCACAATCTGACGGCTGAAGATCGTGAAAGACTAGGCGGGATCGAGTACCGCAGTCTGAAAGTCCTTTTGAAGATTGTTGTCGGTAAGGGTGGAATCTCTGTGTTTTGTCGTGTCGCTAACCGCGATGCAGGCTATTTCTTCGGCTTACATCTTTTTGGCATCATTTGCTTGGTTGGCTGGGTTCAGTATGCCCCGGCGAAGTACCGCGACTATATCGCTAGTTGCGGACTCAACCAGGTCTGGTGGTAAGACGAGGGTTCTACACGAGCGTACCTATGCCCGGACTCATTCTTCGTACAGGGCATTCTACACTGGGCAGACTATGGTGGATAACTTAGGTTTGTTGAGACGTACACCATGTTGGTTGTCAAGAGGTCTGACTTTGTAGGCTTTACACTCACGCCGGATTCCATGATTTCATTCAACGATGCCACATTCCCGATGTTGGTCCTGACATTTCTGGCGTTCGCCGGCAACACGCTGTATCCGTGCTTCTTGCGCCTCATTATATGGGTTCTTTTCAAATGTGTGCCGAATAACTCATCCCTGAAAGAACCGCTGGATTTTCTGCTGAAATACCCTCGTCGGTGCTACATGCTACTCTTCCGCAGCCGTCCTACCTGGGTCCTTTTCGGCATCATCTTCGCATTGAATTTTGTCGATGTCCTATTCATCATCACGCTGGACCTGGACAATCCCGCAGTCAATAGCCTCGCACCCGGCCCACGGATTCTGGCAGCCCTGTTCCAAGCTGCTTCGGCACGACATACGGGGACGGCGACTTTCAATCTGGCCAATGTTAATCCGGCCGTCCAGTTTAGCTTACTGGTCATGATGTACATCTCTATCTTTCCTATCGCGATCAGCGTTCGCGCGTCCAACAGCTATGAGGAGCGCGCCTTGGGGATCTACGATTCCGGTGACGAGCTGGACGAGAACAATGGGAGCAAATACGTCCTGGCGCACATGAGGAACCAATTGTCGTTCGACTTGTGGTACATTTTTGTCGGGCTATTCTGCATCATTGCGACGGAGTCAAAGCGCATCATGGACCCTGCGGAGCCGGTACGACTGCTGTTCCTGCGCCGGTTGATACATACTTTGGCTGACACCCCTCGCAGGCATTCAACGTGTTTGCGATTTTCTTCGAGACAGTCTCCGCATAGTAAGCATTCGGACCAGGCCCTTCTGTGTTGCAAAGTTTTGACAGGCTGTAGTGCAAATGTCGGCCTGAGTTTGGGGTACCCTACCGTCTCGACGTCTCTGTGCGGACAATTCTCAACGTTCAGCAAAGTTGTGATCTGTGCGATGATGATCCGGGGCCGTCACCGAGGCCTTCCCAACCAGATCGACCGGTCCATCCTCCTCCCTAGCGAGCGTCTGGTCGAGGACGACCACATTGATGCGAAGCCACCCCCTTGGCATACCGCGGACCGCGTGACTTGGATGGACAGTCGGCAGCCGAAAGTCCGGCGGTACTATACCAAATAGGACAGTTGGTGATAGTCAATGGGTGGTCGTTATTGGGTTCAATAATTGGGGAAGGTGAAAGTATCTGCGGCTATATATTTGCTTGTAAATCACGGGGTTCAGGGTAGACAGGAAATATATAGTCAGGTGACTGTCGGATAGATGAGTGGGCCATAGATAGAGATCAGAAATAGCAATGAGCATGATATAACATGCACAAATCAAGGGGCCAGATAAGACGCCCCAAAATAAAGAAAATATCCAAAAGAAATCATAACAAAGAATCATTTCGAATGACTGACTAACACTCGCAGAACCCACGGATGAAGTCAGTCAAGCCAGTCCTGATTCCCACTGGAGGCGCTTGACATCATCCACGTCATTCCTTTCTATGATTTTCAATGCCTCATCTGAGCGCTCTCAGCAAAAAAACAACCACCAGGAGAGAAAAGTGTCCTTGCTTTGAAATGTATGAGAGGAAAGTTAACTGAAAATTTCCGATCTGATTTTGGACCCTCAGACAAACAAACATGAGCGCCACCAAAAATCCGAATCATACACCGCTATCTGGGGGGTCCATTATCTAGCTTCTTCGGGTGTGACGTCGCTCATCCCGCGGGGACCCAACATCTTTTCTCTGGTTCCGCACAAGGCTCGATTTCGTTGTTCTTCGACATCCTCGTCTGCTGCCTGTCCTACAACAAGAATTCTGGTAGTTACAATCCTCTGTCCCCGTCTCCCAATCAGTCCGGTCCGGATCCCTCCACATAGTTGGCAGAAACGCCACCAAGGCACCGTCTTCGGCTATTGGTCTCACTCCCATTACTTCGAGCCAGTCATCCCTGCTCGACTTTCTTTTATCTAAGGTCTTCCCGTACTTTTTGTTCCCTCTCCTTCCTACTCAGATACGTCTCTTCTCCCTCACCACTATACGATGAGCTCGTCAAATGGCCAGCATCGACGGGCCGGCTCGCTCGACCCTTTCTCCCATCCAGACGTCTACTACGGCGACGATGAGGCCATCGCCCGCATCAAAGACCGCCGCCGTGCGTTTTCGTCGGTGAGTTGCCGCGATTCCGATCTTACAAAAGAAACTCTTCCGCTGACACCCACGAACACAGACCTTGAAGTCCTTCAATCGCCAGGATATCCAAGACATTTTAGGCGGTAAAACGACTCGCAGAGGCAGTCATGGTGCGCATTCTCGAACCTGTGACGAAACCCAAGAATCTCGACGACTAACCCATCGCACGTGCTCCAATAGACGAAGTGCCCGCACAGCCCCGCAAGTTCCTGATCGATGTCAACGAGACCCTGCAAGCCCTCCTAGACAGGGAAGATACGGACAAGAACATGCAGATTACCATTGAGGATGTCGGCCCCAAGGTGCGTCCTTGTCCTGCGGACTACACAGAAATTTTCGGGCCCATTCGCCGCGCAGCCGATTGCTAATGCGCGTCTTGCAGGTGCTTTCCGTGGGAACAGATGCCTCATCGGGATACAACAAGTTCGACGTTCGCGGAACATACATGCTGTCCAACCTCCTGCAGGAGCTCACCATCGCTCAAGACTACGGCCGAAAGGTGATCGTCTTGGATGAGGCTCGCCTGAGTGAAAACCCCGTATCGCGCCTCTCTCGACTGATCAAGAACTCATTCTGGAATGCTTTGACTCGCCGAATCGACGGTTCGAACATCGAGATTGCTGGTCGCGACCCAAAGGATTGGACTGATGACCCGCGTCCGCGCATCTATATTCCTCCAGGCGCCCCCGAGCAACTGGAGTACTATCGGGGTATTGCAGAGTCCCATCCGGAGCTTCGATTGGACGTGCAGGTCCTGGACTCGAATATTACCCCGGAGTATGTCACTAATCTCAACCATAAGCCCGGGCTCCTCGCCTTGGCCATGAACAAGACATACAACGAATCCACCAAGAAAACCGAGTATTCCGGGGTGCCTTTTGTGGTACCGGGAGGCCGGTTCAATGAGCTCTATGGCTGGGATAGTTATATGGAATCGCTTGGCCTGCTGGTCAGCAACCGGGTCGACCTGGCGAAGTCCATGGTGATCAATTTCTGCTTCTGCATCAAACACTATGGCAAGATTCTCAACGCGAATCGATCCTATTACCTGTTGCGGTCTCAGCCTCCGTTCTTGACCGATATGGCCCTCCGCGTATACGAACGGATCAAGGGTGAGCCTGACGCCCTCGAGTTCCTTCGAAATGCAACTCTTGCTGCCATCAAGGAGTATTACAGTGTTTGGACGGCAGAGCCCCGATTTGACCCCGTTTCCGGGCTGTCTCGGTATCGCCCTGAGGGGTTGGGTGTTCCCCCCGAGACCGAGCCCACTCACTTCCTTCATATTCTTACCCCCTACGCCGAGAAGCACGGCATGTCGTTCGAGGAGTTTGTCCAAGCATACAATACTGGCAAAGTCAAAGAACCGGAATTAGACGAATACTTCTTGCATGACCGGGCGGTTCGAGAGTCGGGTCACGATACCAGCTACCGCCTGGAGAGAGTGTGTGCCAACCTGGCGACGGTAGACTTGAACTCCCTTCTGTTCAAATATGAAGTCGATATTGCTCGCATCATTCGTACTTATTTCAAGGACCGGCTGGACATCCCGCATGAGTTCAGGACCCCCGCGTCCAAAGATATCTCCACCGAGTCGTCTTCCGTCTGGGACCGACGCGCGCGGAGACGGAAGATGCGGATGGATACCTACCTGTGGGATGCGGAGAAGGGCATGTACTTTGACTACGACACCGTGAAGCAGGAGCGGACCTCGTACGAGAGCGCGACGACGTTCTGGGCCATGTGGGCCGGCCTGGCGACCCCCGGACAAGCTGCCGAGATGGTCAAGAAGGCTCTGCCTCGATTCGAAGTCTTTGGCGGGCTGGTCTCCGGAACGGAGGAGTCGCGCGGCGTGGTTGGTTTGGACCGGCCGAATCGTCAGTGGGATTACCCCTATGGATGGGCTCCTCAGCAGATGCTGGCCTGGACCGGATTCCTGCGGTACGGATACCAGGAGGAAGCCGAACGGTTGGCATACAAATGGCTGTACATGATCACGAAGGCCTTTGTTGACTTTAACGGAGTGGTGGTGGAAAAGTATGACGTGACCCGGCCGATCGACCCTCATCGGGTGGATGCCGAGTACGGCAATCAAGGCGTCGATTTCAAGGGCGCGCCTCGGGAAGGGTGAGTTTTTGGTTCTTGTGTGCTTTATTGGGGGATGCGGAGGTCTTGAGATATGCTAACGTATGCGCTTTACTGCAGATTTGGCTGGGTTAACGCCAGTTTTGTGTATGGGCTGGAAATCCTGAATGCGCACCAACGACGTGCTCTTGGCACGATCACTCCCTACGATACCTACATGAAGGCCATTGCGGCACAGGAGGATGTCTTTTGAGGTTATGATACGACGTCTCTTCTGTCGATTGGGTCCCTTGGTCTGATCCTTGAGCATTGCATGAAGCTTACTGTTTATGTTCTCTCCTTGTTGCTTGTTTGGTTGATTTCTGTCATTGGCGTAACTTCTTCACCCTGAATTGGGGTGAGGGATAATATTTCAGGTTCTCGTTCGACGACACAAAAGAAGAGAAAAGACATAAAACTTGGCATACCCACAATCCAGCGGGTATATATTGGCGTTGGTCTAGAGGCGAGATTGCTTCGAGGTTAATCTCCTGGGACTCTGCCAGGAGAATGGCAGGACAGCTTCATGAGAATATATACTGGTTAGTGTTTCCGCGTGCTGCAACATACCCTAGCTATGTATGGGGTAAATGCTAGTAGATGCTCCAATCGTAGGAGTATTACGGAGTAGTTAGTCTTCCACCAAGCATATGACTCAAACAACAAGCTTGAGCAGGCTTGTACGAACCCAAGCATGTGAAATTGATACTTCGTAGACTATTGTAGGTGCTAGGTCAGGAGGTACCTACCTTATCTGGGCGGGTCGGTAGATCTCTCCCCTTACCAGACCATGCGGCATTATTGAGATTATTGGAGGGGGTCTGCACCTCGGACAAGCGAACAGGCGTGAATCACGGCTGTCTAGACTGCAGTTGAGCTGTAGCGTCGACAATGCGACGGAACGAGCGCTCCTTAAAATCCCGAGTGCGATTCTCGTGCGTTTCAAATGAAGTTATCCAGCCTGGGCCGGTGATTGGCCAGCGGCGAAGATGCCGAGGTAGATTCCCTCCTGGGCATGGTGGCGGTACCGTAAGTAACACTGTGACACCGGTTCCCCGCGAAGACTCGGAAGACACAGGGGGCAGTATGGTCATGTATGGTCAGCACGCACATGTGGTCGACGTCATCGGCGATTGACTCGTTCTGCAGCATCGGGATTGTCTATCAGCACGAGCAAGAGAGTGAATCTAAAGAACCAGAGAAAGAGAGGTAGAGGGAGAGGGAGAGAGTGTGCATTCTAAAGACGAATGCTCTCCTCTGCACTTCCACTCTCCGCCTGTCTTGCTCTTCTTAAAACTGGTGATATAACCTTTGGTGGCAACCGCAGCGGTCCCTTTAGACCGAGGATCATCCCCAGGACTCGATTCCACTCTCCCGAATGCAGCCTACCAGCCTTCGGAACTGGCTTGTGACTTTGCATCACGGTTAACCTAAGCTAAACCCTGGTGGATTCTCCCCCGGTTGTTGCTGGCCATGCCCCGGCGGATAGTCTAGCTGACTCCCTCCTTGTCCCGCTGAGCCGAGCCTTTACCGACCAGAACTGCTGGTTCTGACGCATACGCCATGGCGCAAACATTCTTAAGTACCCTGGCTGCTGGCTTGTGATCGTACTCGACTTTGGTTTTCTTTTCCTCCAACCTCCTTTTTCTTTCTCCAGTTGATCCCTTTTCTCTGGGTCTCTTGTTGCGTCGTGTAGTCCGATCTTGCATAACTAGAACTGGACCATCGATCTGTATTATATATCCCACCCTCTCCCTCCCCGCTGCCTCCGTTTGCATTCCCCCTCATTGAGTCATAAAAACGCCACCATGGGTTTCTTCGAAGACGAGGACCAGAAGTACCAGCAGGATGTTGAGGCCGTCAAGGCCTGGTGGAAGGATGACCGCTGGAGATACACCAAGCGCCCCTACACCGCCGAGCAGATCGTCGCAAAGCGTGGAAACCTGAAGATCGACTATCCTTCCAATGTCCAGAGCAAGAAGCTCTGGAAGATCCTCGAGAGCAACTTCCAGGTTGGTTCCGTTCCAACTGCTCCCCATTGGCTCTACTGACGTGGTTGGGGATTAGCAAAAAGTCGCCAGCTTCACCTATGGCTGTCTGGAGCCCACCATGGTCACCCAGATGGCCAAGTACCTCGATACCGTCTATGTGTCCGGCTGGCAGAGCTCTTCCACTGCCTCCTCCACTGACGAGCCGTCTCCCGATCTCGCCGACTACCCTATGGTAAGACACGCTTGCGCTGCTACATGATGGCAGGAAGCTAACCACTGTCGTGTTTAGAACACTGTCCCCAACAAGGTCAACCAGCTCTTCATGGCGCAGCTGTTCCATGACCGGAAACAGCGCGAGGAGCGCGTCACCACTCCCAAGGAGCAGCGTGGCAAGGTGGCCAACGTCGACTACCTCCGCCCCATCATTGCGGACGCCGACACCGGCCACGGTGGTTTGACCGCCGTCATGAAGCTGACCAAGCTGTTTGTGGAGCGCGGTGCCGCCGGTATTCACATTGAAGACCAGGCCCCGGGTACCAAGAAGTGTGGCCACATGGCTGGCAAGGTGTTGGTGCCCATCAGCGAGCATATCAACCGTCTGGTCGCGATCCGTGCGCAGGCCGACATTATGGGTGAGTGCAACCATGGATACTGTTGAAACGTTAGCTAACTTGTGACAGGAACCGACCTCCTTGCGATCGCGCGTACCGACTCCGAAGCCGCCACCCTCATCACCTCGACCATCGACTACCGTGACCACGCCTTCATCGTGGGCGCGACCAACCCCAACCTGCAGCCGCTCAACGACCTGATGGTGGCGGCCGAGCAGGCGGGCAAGAACGGCGATCAGCTGCAGGCGATCGAGGACCAGTGGGTGGCGCAGGCCGGTCTGAAGCTCTTCAACGACGCCGTGATCGACGAGATCAACAAGGGCAGCCTCCCCAACAAGCCGGCCGTCATCGCCGACTACCTCAAGGCGGTCAAGGGCAAGAGCAACAGCGAGGCGCGGGCCATCGCCAAGGGCATCCTCGGCGTGGACATCTACTGGAACTGGGATTCGCCCCGCACCCGCGAGGGCTACTACCGCTACCAGGGCGGCACCCAGTGCGCCATCAACCGCGCCGTCGCCTATGGACCGTTCGCGGACCTGATCTGGATGGAGAGCAAGCTGCCTGACTACGCGCAGGCGAAGGAGTTCGCCGACGGCGTGCACGCCGTGTGGCCCGAGCAGAAGTGAGTTTTCATGTCATCTCTAGAGTCAAGACGCATTGCTAACCCTGGATGATTAGGCTGGCGTACAACCTGTCGCCCTCGTTCAACTGGAAGAAGGCGATGCCGCGCGACGAGCAGGAGACCTACATCAAGCGGCTGGGTGCTCTGGGATACTGCTGGCAGTTCATCACCCTGGCCGGTCTGCACACCACGGCTCTGATCACCGACACCTTTGCCAAGGCGTACGCGAAGCAGGGGATGCGCGCGTACGGCGAGCTGGTGCAGGAGCCGGAGATGGAGAACGGGGTGGACGTGGTGACGCACCAGAAGTGGAGTGGTGCCAACTACGTGGACAACCTGCTGAAGATGGTGACTGGTGGTGTGAGCAGCACTGCGGCCATGGGCAAGGGCGTAACGGAGGACCAGTTCAAGCACTAGGCTGGGATCTGTGGATGTGGATGTGGATGTGGATGGTGTTTCTTGTTCGATATAGTACCCCTGATTTGGCATTTGGAGCTGTGTGACAAATTGAACCATTGCATGTTTCTTGGAAATAGTCATGTATACATAGTCTATTGATCTATGCTGGATGTCTCCGTTACCTCCTAGTCTACTATAAATACCATCTATTATAGTAGTACCTGCTCCTAATATTCCAGGTCGGAAAAAAAGAAATCCCGACTGCACAAATCGAGCACTGCTTGCGAGAGAGATCGGCGGATGAAGGCGCAGTCGATCCGTGGGACTCTCCCCCTCCTGAGAGCATCGCTGACTGGTTGTGACCGGTGAAACTGAAGACCCCGAGGCCTTAACGGGGCCGTTTAGGGGGAAGTTTAGAGCAGTTTAGAGCCCCGTTAGCTCCGGCAGAGCGTCAGCATGACAAGATCCCATCCCCTTCTGGGTAATGCCGCGGTCCAACCGACTGCGCAGACCATCATGAGGGGGAGTCTCTTTCTCCTTATTAATGCACGTGGAATCGATTCTTCATGGCCAACCTTGTTCTTCTGGACTTCCTTCCTGTCTGCTATTCTGCTGGAGACTTTTTTGTTGGGTCGTACGGTGTCTGTATATCCTACTGCCTGTCTGTCTGTGCGTCTCCGGGCTTCATCCGACCTCCTCATTCCGACCCCTACTTTTCTCCTCCTACTTTGTATCTCCCTCAAAAAACCCCCCCTAATCAGTCACCTTCACCATGGGCGCCATTGAAATCCCCCCCATCCAATTCACTCCCATTGAGGAGATCCAGGGTCGCGTGTCCCAGCTTCGCAAGACCTTCTTCGAGCACAAGACCCGCGACATCGAGTTCCGTCTGGTCCAGCTGCGCAAGCTCTACTGGGCGTAAGTCGCCTCCCCTCGCCTCTCTCTTCGGCCCAAATAGACCGAAAAACAAATCAACTGACCCGGCCGCTACGTTCGCAGGGTGAAAGATCGCGAGGCCGAGATCGCCCGGGCCCTCGCCTTGGACCTGAATCGGCCCGAGTTCGAGACGGTGATGGCCGAGAGTGGTTGGATCGAGAATGATATTGTTTTCGTCACGCGCAACCTGCATAAATGGGCCAAGGATGAAAAGGCGGAGGATATTGATCTCACTTGGAAGTTCATGAGCCCCAAGATTCGCAAGGACCCCCTGGGTTGTGTTTTGGTGATCGGGTTGGTATTCCCCGAGTTATTTCCGGGCCTCCGTTGCTCCGAGACTATGGAGTAGTTGACTGACCGACTGTGGTAGTGCTTTCAACTACCCCTTCCAGTTGACCCTCGGCCCTGTCATTGGTGCCATTGCGGCCGGTAACACCGTTGTTATCAAGCCTAGTGAAAACGCCCCCAACAGCGCCGTTGTTATCCAGCAGATCGTCGAGGCCTCCCTCGACCCGTCGTGCTACACCGTCATCCAGGGCGGTATCCCCGAAACCCAGGCCCTTCTCGCCGAGCGCTGGGATAAGATCTTCTTCACCGGCGGCGCCAATGTCGGTCGCATCGTCGCCAAGGCGGCCGCGCCGCACCTCACCCCCGTCGTGCTCGAGCTGGGTGGTCTCAACCCGGCCATTGTCACCAAGAATGCCAACCCCCGGCTCGTCGCGCGTCGACTCCTCTGGAGCAAGCTGATGAACGCCGGCCAGATCTGTACCTCCCAGAACTACATCCTGGTGGACCGCGCCATTGTCCCCGCCGTCGTGGAGGAGTTCAAGAAGGCCTACAAGGAGTTCTACCCGAACGGCGCCAAAGCCTCCCCCGACTACTCGCGCATCATCAACGAGGGCGCCTTCCAGCGCCTGAAGGGCATGATCGACAACTCCAAGGGCAAGATCCTCATGGGCGGCACGATGGATGAGAAGGAGCGCTTCATCGAGCCCACCCTCGTCCAGGTCGACTCGACGGACGACTCCATGCTCGTCCAGGAGAGCTTCGGTCCGCTGATCCCCATCCTTCCCGTTGACAACCTCGACGAGGCCGTCAAGATCGCCAACGGCATCATGTCCACGCCCCTCGGAATCTACCCTTTTGGCACCAAGGCCGAAACAGAAAAGAGTACGTCCTTCCTCCCCCCTGCTTCTCGAATCGGCAGCGACACTAACCACACCTAGTCCTGTCCATGACTCGTTCCGGCGGAGCCGCCGTCAACGACTCCGCCCTCCACATCCCCACCCTGCCTTTCGGCGGTGTCGGCGAGAGCGGCAACGGTGCCTACCGTGGCCGCGCCAGCTTCGACGTCTTCGTGCACCGTCGCCCCATCACCACCAGCCCCAGCTGGCTCGAGTCCGCCCTGTCCATCCGGTACCCGCCCTACGACGGCAAGATCAACCCCTTCAAGGCGGCCACCACTCTGGCCCCCGACTTCGACCGCAACGGAAAGAAGGTCACCCTCGGCTGGCTGCGGTATATCCTCACCCTGGGCGGTGGCTCTGCCAAGGCGGGCGCTGGCAGAGCGACTGTTGTCGCTGCTGGTAAGTGAGACCGTTTTCGTTCCGTCCTGCATCTGTGATTGTGCGCATGGCCTTCACCTCTCTTCCGTCGCCACTGCATTGCCGTCAGATCTCTTACTCTCCTATTCTTCCTCGCCAGACGCAGAAGCAGACCGGAAATAAGCCCTTGCTTCGTCCCTCTGCCATCACCCTGGATATGATTGACTATCCGTGCATGACCTATTTACCAACCTTCCGTCTTTGTCGATTTCTTTCTTGTTCCCCCCATGTTTCGCTTCTTCGATACCACTCGGTTTTCTTTTTTGTGTTGATTGACGCCATTATACCCTTCGATTTACCTTCTCATCTTCTGGTGATTTTTACTTACATTCTCTTCTTGGCAGTGGCCTACTTAATCATGCAGGTCCTCGAGCGACGAGCCTCGAAACTTTAATGTCATGATCTTCACTTCTCTTCGATTTATATATTGACTGAGCTTCTTCTCGAGTACTGCCGCTACGACCGGATGCTTGTATAGGTATAAATTGTATCATTATTCGTAACATGTCGAATGATGACTCCGATGCTATCATCTATTGCCAAGACCTCGTAGATTCATGCATGTGCGCCCAGATGTCAGGTAGATCGCCAGCCAAAGGAGAATAAAAGTCACAAGTAGAAAACAACACTAAACCCTCAACACCGTCGCTCCACGCCCTTCCGACTAATGCACAGATACTTCACCCCCTTGTAGGGCTTCACGCCTTCTCCAAGTCCCCGACTTCGTCGCGTGTCGACATTCAGACTGTCTACTTTGATGCCGGATGGGAGCCACCCTTTCACAGAGAAGGAAACCGCGGCCGAGTTGGGCATGAGGCTGGCGTTCAGCTGCGTTTTGGTTTTGCGGGGCGCGGCGTGGAAGATCGAGAACGGCGATGATGGGGAGGGGTCAGCGGGGGGTTGCGAGGGCGTGGGATCGACCGGTGGTGTAGAAGAAGGGGGAGGAGGTTGGGCTGTCGGGGTGTGCGATTCCGACTGGTCGGGGGAGGAGCGCGGGCGTTGTTCTTGTGGGGGCTGTTGGTCGGAGTCCTTGCTTTTGGAGGACTTCTTGACCTTCTTCTTCTTCTTTTTCTTGGTTTTGCGCGTGGTGGTATCGGGCTCGCCGGTGTTCTGGTACGAGGTCGAGGCATCGTAATACCCCTGGAGGAGGTTGATGTCCGGCTCTGCGTCGAGGTCTTCCACCTCCTCGTCGAGATCCTCGTCAGTCGGGTACCCCGTCACCGTGCAGCGGAGGGTCGCGGTGCCAGAGACCGTTCCGGCGTCTTTCGTCGGCACGCGCCATTCCAGCACGTCACTGCCGGGCGAGACCAGCGCCTCTCCGCGGCTCGCTTGCATGTCGGTGATGCTGCGGACGGATTTCGGAATCGGAACAGATACGACGACCTCTTCGAGGATGGGAGCGGAGGTGTTCCCGCCGCTGCCGCCTGCGAGGAACGACGGCGTTGACGTGCCAGACCCGCCGCGGCCTGCGCCTGGCCGAGGAAAGGCCGAATGTCCAGGGAAGTTGGTGTTGAGGATAAGGCGCACTTCGAATTCAGAGCCCGTCGGGCCCAGGGACTTGCGCAGGTCGACGATTGCTGGGAGGAAGAGTTTCTCCATGTGGGTTGGGGGCTGGTCGAGAGCAGGGTCCATCGGGAGCAAGTCCACCTCGTACCCTGCGAGGATAAATCGTCCATCGGGAGGAATGAAGCTGAGTTCTCCTGGTCGCTCGCGCCACTTTGCAAGCCGCACACAGGGATGGAAGACCGGCAGCTCAATCTTACGTGCAATGGCCTGCTGTCCGCCGGGTGTCGTCAGAGAGAGAAGCAGATCGGGGATGCCGGACATCTTGGCTGTGAACGCAATAGTGCCCGATGCTAAAGCTGACAATATCCGGCCTGATGGCGCCATTGTAACGGAAAGGGACTCGATTATGTCGACATAGAGTTCGTTGGAGGTGTGGCGTACATTTGGCCGTCTCCAGGGTATTGCGGGACCCTGGGCTGCCGATAGGGATTGCTTTAGAGGATTGGAAGGGCCGAGGATGGGAGTTGACGAGCTATAGAGGCGAATCGGTCAGTAAGAAACCCACCATGGAATGCATAACTCATAAAGTCTTGAGAGTACTCACCCAGTTCGCCCAACACCTCCAAGCAATTTCCCCATCCACCCCGGCATCTCCACCACCTCCTGCAAGGCATTCTGTTCCGTATTACAGACGATACCACCATCGCACATCTCATTCAAAAGCTGCGCAACTACATCATAGTTTGCCTGCAGCTTGGTGGAGAGCAAAGGCGCCCCGATAAACTCCTCCAGCACATCGACGACGCGGTGGAGAAACTCCAAGACCAGAAGCGGATCGGTGTCGACTTCCGATAGCGCGAGAAACAGCAGATTTGACTGGACGACCGAAAAGACCGTCACAGGTGGCAATGCGCCGGGGAGGTACAAGAGCGAGGGGCGCGGGGCCGGATGCGCCAGATAGAGGGGTAGGATAGCTGCTGCGGAGGGCGGCCGAGAGCGATAGACTTGCTCTACCAAAGGATTGCTGGAGGGGGTCTCATGTCAGGGAAGGCATTCAAGCAAAGAGACGTCGGACATAACAGGAGCATACTTGTGTTCATCGTAGATGTAGAGGGCATCAATCTCGCCGCTCATCGTGACGATGGGAGGATGGCAGGACAGACGCTCGGAGAAGAGAGAATCACAGAGCAGACACGCATGATCGATCGGTGACGGTATCAGCGATGTCCGTTTCTGCCGCCGAGCGCCGCCCGCTGCTCAGTTACTTGCCTATTCGGGTTGGGCTTCACCTTATTTTCTTCCGTCAGTCGTTCGTGTCTGACGGGACTATAAATACTAGGCTGTTGAATTTAGCTGGCTCAGCTCATTTCCTTACTCGTGTGCGTTCCCTTCTCTTTCCAGACCACCTATACCACTATACAATGGCACCGCCCCCCGACAACCAAGGCGCCTGGGATGTCCAGTCGAAAGATGCGAAACGCCTGCTGGCCGAAGACCAATACGATGACTGTCTGGCTTGCAGGGTCACAGGTAAGTACCTCCGCATAAGTCCCGTCGTCGAGACTTATTCTCCGACACTGACACAACTGCCGCGCATGCAGGTTCCGCGGCATTCATCGGCCTCGGCGTTTACAGCTATTACACCGGCATGAGCAATCTCCGGAAACAAGAGAAGACAGTGATGCAGAGTGCGACAAAATACAAAATGGGATCCCGAAAACTTGGCATCGCCTCGATCTCTGCGACTCTTGTGGGCATGGGAATCTACAGGGCGCTCAACTGATACCCTTCATTACGATCATTTGTATTATATCAGGTCCATGCATTCGTTCGAAGCCTGGCGGCGTTGAAACGGAAGAAAGCATCCAAAGGAAATATGTGTATAGGAGTTATATGCAAGTTAATAAGCAAAGACGTATACGATGCAAGTAGTGCAACAGCTCCCCACCGGGTATCACCATGTCTGATAACCTCTATGAAATTTAAACCCAGTAAAGAAAAAAGAAGGGGAAATAGTGAAAGAACAGGATGCATCAAGAAATAAAAGCAGACGGAAACGCAACACCACATGCGATACTCCCACTAAATGCACCGAGACCTCCAGTTGGGGAACAAAAAAGAAAAACAATGACATCAACCGCTGCGTGACTTTAAGAATAATATGCTCGTCCAATCGTCGATAATATATTCTCTAGGCGAAGCGGCCGCGTTTGCCGCCCCCAAACATATCTCGATTCCCCAGTCCGGATAGATCGAAGAAGTCGGGAACCGTGAATTTCCGCTTGGAACCCATTCCTGCAGAGGGTTCTCGTGTCGAGCTTCGCGCGGTGGTTCGGGACAGGTTGTTATGGCGGTTCGGTTGTCGAGGGTTCCGGGACAAGACAGATACACTGACGGGAGCACCGTCCTGAGTAGCATTGGACAGACCTTCCGAGGGTTGCATATCGATATCCGACTCTCCTAGCGATGGGAATGTTGGGCCAGCGGTGAAAGTGAAGACAGCGGGTTCGTTCATCGGCGGGGGTGTCGACTGCTGCGGGGCTGGGTCATCAGACGTCGGCTTGGAAGGCTGTCGTGTAGATTCCGACTCATGATGGTCCTTGCGGGTTGCCAAAGGGGGCGTGCTCCGCGCCTGCTTCTCGCCCTCGTCATCACTAGGAAGAGCAGTTCCGTCACTTCTTTCCGTGGCCCATTGACGAACTTTCCAACCTTCCCCATCACCCAAACCAAGGTTCTCTTTGTCTAGAAACTGCAGAAGATCTTCGATGGCCTCTTGGTAGCCCGCTTGTTTGGCCTGTGACTGTTCGTAGACGGCATTCTTGTAGAGGTTGGTGACAGACAACGCCGCCGCTTTGAATGACTGCAGGAGTTGCTCAGGAGGTTGTGAACGAGGTGTCGAGCTCGGGAGCGAAGTATTCAATGATCTCATGGAGTCCATATCCCAAAATGCTGCAGGAGAAGCAGCTGTTCCTAAACCCTTGGACAAGTGGAAGGCGAAGGCAGTGCTGCTTAGGAGGGGTGAGGTGAACCGTGCTTCTGCGGTGGCAGGGACAAACGGAGATCGAAAGTGGGGGGAAGAGAGAGAAGAAATGAGAAGCTTGAGGAGCCAGATAGGCTGTTTGTAGAACGGAAGAGGTCGAAGAGAGTGTAAGGGAACGAGGTAGGGTCGAGTCCCGAACAAACGGAGGTGGGATTTTTTTCGCTCTTTGGGTTGATGATGCTCCGGTGATTATTCCTGCTACTTCACTTTGCTTCTGACCCGGTAACGTGACCCACTTCGCGGGGAAACTGCTCTTCCGGACGGCTGATGACTCAGCCGCACCTCTTCGCGTCTCCCGTCCAATCAGCGCGTGGGATGGCCGCGCTGCTCCGCCGAAATTCCATTTGCCCTTGCCATCCCAGCGCGACTGACGCTTCCACGGCTTCTTGATTTCTTTCTCCTCCTTTCATCCTCCGTCCCGCGATTGTTTCCTCTCGCCGTCGCCTCATCGCATCCCGAATCTTCAACCCCAAGCGCTTTTGACTCCGCCCACATCGCTGCAACATCCGCAACCCTTATCGCGTTCTCCCTTCCATACGATTAAGCTCCCATCGCGTTTCGGCACTTCTCTAGGGTGTGCGCAACCAATCATCTATACCACAATCCGTTCGCGCTCGGTGCGCCGTGAACAATCATGGCGCCAGTTCCAGACTCAGATACGCCGTCGCAGGCCGATACCCCTATGACAGACGCGAATGAGGAGCCGGTCACCTCGGTGCCCGTGGATAATGCAGACGCGCCGATGACGGTACGTGAGGCCCAATTACACAACTATCCCCCACACGTCTTCCTAGCTCCGCGCAGGAACGGAAGGAGCCCGGAACTAACAGTCACTAAATAAATAGGGCTATCAGGAAACTCCAGATTACACGGTACAGCTCACTGTCTGCCACCCCTACGTCAGGACCAAACTAACGCGATCCAGGATTCGGACACGAACCCGAATACCACAGCTAGCAGTGTTGCAGGCGACACAGTCCCAATGGATGGCCGGAAAAGACGATCGGAAGCTTTTCACTTGAGAAAAAGTGTTTTGGGCAAGAAACATGGTCGTCTGGATGAATCCAAGGTACGAGCCGCAAGCAGACGCCCCCCTCACCCCCAAGGCCCTGTAACTCACAATAACGCGCCTACAGGAAGAGGACTCTATCCGCCGATTTCGCTATCTACTGGGACTTACCGATCTGTTCCGCCACTTCATCGAGACTAATCCGAACCCGCGCATCAAAGAGATCATGGCTGAAATAGACCGACAAAATGCCGCCGAAGAGGCAAAAGCTAAGAAAGGATCGTCCCGATCAGGAGGTGCGGGTGGTGAAAGACGTCGCAGGACCGAACAAGAGGAAGATGCAGAACTACTCAAGGACGAAAAGAGCGGGGCCGAGACCGGAACGGTCTTTCGGGAGTCTCCTCCCTTTGTCAACGGCGAAATGCGTGATTATCAGATCGCCGGTCTGAACTGGCTGGTTTCCCTACATGAAAACGGAATTTCGGGTATCCTGGCAGACGAGATGGGTCTGGGCAAGACTCTGCAGACCATCTCCTTCCTGGGGTATTTGAGACATGTCTGCGATATTCCCGGTCCGCATCTTGTTGCGGTTCCCAAATCCACTCTCGATAACTGGAAGCGCGAATTCCAGAAGTGGACCCCCGAGGTTAATGTCCTTGTCCTCCAGGGCGACAAGGAAGAGCGCCATAAACTCATCAACGAACGTCTCTTGGACGAAGATTTTGATGTGTGCATCACAAGTTACGAAATGGTTCTTCGCGAAAAGTCGCATCTTAAGAAGTTTGCCTGGGAGTATATCATCATCGATGAGGCTCACCGTATCAAGAACGAAGAGTCCTCTCTTTCCCAGATCATCCGGGTTTTCCACTCTCGGAACAGACTGCTGATTACTGGCACCCCGCTTCAGAACAACCTGCATGAACTTTGGGCGCTTCTGAACTTCCTTCTGCCTGATGTCTTTGGCGACTCGGAAGCCTTTGACCAGTGGTTTTCCAGTCAAGACTCCGACCAGGACACTGTTGTGCAACAACTTCACCGTGTCCTGCGACCCTTCCTGCTGCGACGTGTCAAGAGTGATGTCGAGAAAAGCTTGCTCCCGAAGAAAGAGGTCAATCTGTATGTGCCCATGTCAGAGATGCAGGTGAAGTGGTACCAGAAGATCCTTGAGAAGGATATCGACGCTGTGAATGGTGCTGCCGGAAAGCGGGAATCGAAGACCCGCCTGTTGAACATTGTCATGCAGCTTCGGAAATGTTGCAACCACCCCTACCTCTTCGAGGGGGCTGAACCCGGCCCCCCTTATACAACAGATGAGCATCTCGTGTACAATGCGGGCAAGATGGTCATTCTTGATAAACTTCTGAGCCGCATGCAGAAGCAAGGCAGCCGTGTCCTTATCTTCTCGCAAATGAGCCGTGTCCTTGATATATTGGAAGATTACTGTGTGTTTAGGGAGTACAATTACTGTCGTATAGATGGAACGACTGCCCACGAGGACCGCATCGCTGCGATTGACGACTACAACCGGCCTGGTTCGGACAAGTTCATTTTCCTTCTCACAACCAGAGCAGGAGGGTTGGGTATCAACCTGACAACCGCGGATATCGTTGTCCTTTACGACAGCGATTGGAATCCTCAGGCTGATCTTCAGGCCATGGATCGCGCCCATCGCATTGGTCAGACGAAGCAGGTAGTGGTCTTCCGGTTTGTCACGGAAAATGCAATCGAAGAAAAGGTCCTGGAGCGGGCGGCCCAGAAGTTGAGATTGGACCAACTCGTTATCCAGCAAGGCCGTGCCCAACAGCAGACCAAAAATGCTGCTTCCAAGGAAGAGCTCTTGGGAATGATTCAGCACGGAGCAGCCAATGTTTTCAGCACACAAGGATCGACGGGACCCCTTACTACCGAGAAGCAAATTTCTGAAGATGACATCGATGCGATCCTGCGCAAGGGCGAGGAACGCACGGCGGAACTCAACAAGAAGTACGAAAAGCTGGGTATCGATGATCTACAGAAGTTCAGTTCGGAAAATGCGTACGAATGGAACGGCAAAGACTTTACGGACCGCAAAAAAGACATCGGCCTCACCTGGATCAACCCGGCAAAGCGTGAGCGGAAAGAGCAATTTTACTCCATCGACAAGTACTATCGCCAGGCCCTGGCGACTGGTGGAAGAACTGCTGATCCCAAACCCAAGGTTCCTCGTGCGCCCAAGCAGGTTAATGTTCATGACTGGCAGTTCTTCCCTCCTGGCTTGCAGGATCTTCAGGACAAGGAAACCGCGTACTTCCACAAGGAGATTGGTTACAAAGTCCCACTTCCTGAAGGACCCGAAGAAGAGCTCAGTGAACGTGAGGCAGAACGGGATTTGGAACAACAAGAGATCGACAACGCCGTTCCCCTGACTGAGGAAGAGCAGGCCCTGAAAGCAAAGATGTCCGAAGAAGGTTTCGCAACATGGAACCGCCGTGACTTCCAACAGTTTATCAATGGTTCTGCCAAGTTTGGTCGCACTGACTACGAGGGTATCGCGACCGAAGTGGACAGCAAAGACCCTGACGAAGTGGAAGCATATGCGCAAGTCTTCTGGAAGCGATACACCGAGATCCAAGACTACCCCAAGTATCTTCGTGTCATTGAGCAAGGGGAGGAGAAGCTGCGCAAGATGAACCACCAGCGCAAGATGCTTCGCAAGAAGATGCAAATGTATCGTGTCCCTCTCCAGCAACTCAAGATCAACTACACAGTGTCGACGACCAACAAGAAGGTGTATACTGAAGAGGAAGACCGATTCTTGCTGGTCATGCTGGACAAGTATGGAGTCGACGGGGAGGGACTTTATGAGAAGATCCGCGACGAGATCCGCGAGTCCCCGCTCTTCCGTTTTGACTGGTTCTTCCTCAGCCGGACCCCTGTTGAGATCGGACGTCGATGCACGACATTGCTGAACACTGTCGCCAAAGAATTTGAGGCCCCTGATGGAAAGGCAAACGGCGAGGCCGGCAAAGGCCGTGGACGCGACCGGGACGATGACGATGTTGAGAACGATGATGATGGAGCGCCAGCGAAGAAGAAGAGCAAGAGCGGTGCCGTGGTAAGTTTCTGTCGCCCGGTTTCATTTGTCTTTACCATCCACTGACCAAGCTTCCGCCGTTCCACAGAATAAGCAGGTTAAAGCTGTGAAAGGTGGCAGTAAGGCCAACTCCACGTCGACATCGCGGGCAGCCAGCGTGTCATCGAACCCGGCGCCAAAGTCCAAGTCTCGGAAAAAGTGAGGACCTGGATTCGTGGTCTCTCACAATGGAAGTGTTATGGGTTCCTGTCGTCTGGTTGGGAAAGGAATCGGTCGTGGAAGGGGTTGGCTTATTGTTCTATGTTTGTCGGTCTGGCGTTGGCTGATAGATGCTATGTTGTGCGCAGTTTATGATTCATATTCGTTGTTCATTCTATTCTTTGTAACACAATCAATACTACCTACTTTATTTATTATGCTTTGTTTCTAGAGATGACCAAGCTGGATGTTTCGCTGTAGCACGACCGGGATGTTTGTTCTACTACAGCAGCCAAAGAGCAATAGTCTGCTAGGGGTTACTAGAGAATAAACATCATCTTCTCGACTTGCTAATGTTTCACGGTCCACTCTTAGGGCGATCGTGGGCTAGCAATAGCTGAAGGTGGAATGGTGGACTTGGTTCGTCCAGGCATGTATACGCGTCCGGATGTTACAGACATCCCCGCAGTTACCAGCTCTCCCTATAACCATCAACTGAGAATACCTGGCAGTTCTCAACATTGGCCACACAGACAATCGATATCACCATGGCGTCCAAACTTTACCTCATTCCGAATCCCAACTATCAGAAATCTGGCATCAAATCGTATGTCCATCTGATGCGCAAGTACCGGATCCGTCCTACAAAAGAAGGCCCATATTCCATCGGTCATACCCTGCACCAGACTGGCCGCCCTTTCTCGGACAAGCCGGTCGGTGGCCGAGCTAGCTTCAGACAAGTGATACAGAAGCATCTCCCAGACGGCCAAATAGAAGCAGCGGGGGCGGATGATATACAGCAGGACGCCCCGTGCTTTCTGCCTGTGCAGATTGGTGCACCACCACAAACAGTGCATTTGGTCCCCGACACTGCCTCTCCTGATCTATGGGTGAGGTTCTCTATGCTATTTGATGCATACAGCATGGGAAAACAAACTCTAATGTCTAACAGGTCCGCTCTTCAGAACTACCGCAAGCTGAGGGTCATCACTTTTTCGATCCTTCGAAATCCTCGACATTTCAACCCACCAACCGATGGCCCTGGCAGATGCTAGGACCGGATAGATCATCGATATCTGGGCCAATCGGCATTGACAACGTGACTTTGGGTGATGTGACGATCAAGAACCAGGAGATCAAGCTGGCAAGCAAGATGTCATCCGAATATGATCAATTCTCAGGAGACGGAGTTTTAGGACTATCACTCCAATCTGCTTCGTCGGATACGCGCGATGTCGCGGACAGCATCCGGGGTCAAGCTGATCTCCCACCGAGCGCGAAGCTTTTCACAGTGAAACTAGGCTCCTGGGGCCGCTCTAAACCATTCTGTTCGTTCGGGCATATTGACCAGGATGTCCTTGCAGACTGCACGGAAGATATTCATTACGCCAAAGTCGATAGTACCAGCGGTTTTTGGAAATTCGAATCCACCTCTGCTGTCGTTGGAGAGAAGGTCATCGACCGTCCGATGAACGATGCGATGCCCGACATCAGTGCCCCGCTAACATTACTTGACGATACCGCATGCCAGGCTATCTACGATGCTATTCCAGGAGCACTCTATGATAGTGAATGCCAGGGATTCATCTTTCCGTCTAATGTGCCGGTGGACCAGCGACCTTGTCTCCAGTTGGACATAGAAGGACGATTGGTTGCCATGTTCAAAGAGAATTTGGCATTTGCTGAGGCTAAGCCCGGATACATGTACGGAGGGATCCAGAGCCGTGGACATGGACAGCTGGATACCCTTGGCGCTAATTTCCTCGAAGGTGTCTATGCGGTATGGTCATGATTATAAGCGGTGGCGTCTACACCTGCTGACTGAAAGTTCAATAGATCTTCGATATCAGCGGTGATCGATTCGGCGTCGCGCAAGCGGCAGGACTGAAGTAGGACTTGATGCTCATGCTTGAGCATGTGACATTGGATTCAGGAGAGTATATGTTATGAGTGGCTTTTGTGTTTATGTACAGGGAATATATTACAGTATTAGGTCATTTTAGACATGCATAACTTATCATTCACCGAGAATGTCTTTTCGCTGGCACTTCAGCCACAGCAAGAGGTCCGCGCAAGAACATCTCCATCAAAAGTGCTGCTGCGACACTCACGTTGAGACTATCCACCCTCGCTGGGTCAGACTCGAGGCCAAGGTCACCACCAAGCCTGCTTCCGGGAATGCTCACGATAGCATCAGCGTGTGAGCGAATATGAGAGCTCAGCCCGTCTCCCTCGCTCCCAAGCATTATGACACTTGGTGCATCACCGAAGCCTCCCTTCGACTTGTCCCCGTCTTGGTTGTTGGTCACAGAGGAGGGATCAATGTATTTAGAGGCAGAGCTAGGAGCGTCAGCAGCGTAAAATCGCCACCCGGCAGCTTTGGATCGTCGAATGAAGTCCACCTCGTTGCTGACTTGTAACAGGGTCATGTTCTCCGCCGCACCTGCAGAGGACTTGACTGCTGTAGCCGATAATGGTGCCGAGTTCCGGCCTGCAAAGACAATCGCGTCAACTCCAAGGTAGTACGCAGAGCGAATGATGGCGCCGAGGTTTCCTGGGTCAACCACGCCATCAAGCAGCACAACAACAGGGTATCTCCTCCTGAGTTGCGAGTGGTTGATCGTGATCTGGTTATTCGTGCCATTTACAACTGCTTCTTCACGGGATTGGGGAGCCAATTCCACATAGAAGCGATCGTCCGCAGGTGAAGCCTCTAACAAGCTTTTCACGGGCAACCTCGGAAGAGGGGATGTCTCCAGGACACAGCCGTTGTGAGCTCGACCCATGCTAACCTTGTCAAACAGCCGATCCCAGCCTGCAAAGGCCATCTTGACGGGGATGCCCTTCGACAGGGCCAATTTTCGCAGCACAACTTTCGCTGGGCTAAGTGGTTCGTCGGCAGCCTGGTAGAGATATAGTTTGTAGAGCTGACGCCGACCGCATCGTAGTGCAGCTTCGACTGCACTCGTGCCATAGAGGAACTGTGATGCAGGGGTGGTATAAGGCATGGAGTCTGGGACAGAGACATTGGATTTCACCCGTTCGGGGACCTTGTCCGTGTAACGGTGATGTGGCTGCTTGGGAGACCGTCGCTTCGGATGGAGGTCCTCAGATGTATTTTGAGGGACGTCTTCTTTCCGGGAATATGGCTTCGGCTTGAAAGGTTTTGCGCTGTTCTGAAATCGCTGGTGTTCACGGGGTAATGCGCGAAAGTTGCCTGTTTTGATAAACTCGTCTTCGTCGAAATCTTCCTCGCCATATGACTCATCGGGAGCGTCGCGTTTAGAAAACCTCGATCTAGAATCTCTATTCCATCGATGCCGGTCATCTCTATCTTTCAAAGCGCCCCGTGATGGAGGGTGATCGTCCACATTCCGGCTCTTGCGAATACCGCGACCAATGGCGGAATTGAGGGAGGCATATCTCACGTTACTGTGGCGGGGGAGAGAAACCAGTGAGTGTCGCCAATGAGATCGAAAACTGAGTAACTGAAGAGGAAGAGACATTGCAAACCAGAGCAGACCAGCGGCGGTGCCTGGATGAAGGATGATCGAAGGTCTACGTAAATGCGCAGCTCTACTGGGATTTCTTTTTTAGGCGGAGGCTGATAAGATAACCGCGATAATGTTGTTCCGGGGCTTTTGCGCGTGAAACACCAGAAACGCGTCTTGGGATCGGCGCAATATTACGAGATTGGGAAATTCAACCTTCACTACGATCTCTAACTCACTTCTGTCTCAGGAAGCATGTCACTACCTGGTCAAATTCTCTCTGATGTCTTTTGTCGCTCCTTTATTCATTCCTTTGTTATGATCTAACCTCTGCGGACAAATTCCCTTCACATTGCAGGAGAATCTTGCCCCGACTATGGATTCTGAAGGGTCAAGTGCTCTTGACAAGCAGCTCATGACCGACTTATTTTCCACATCAAAGTCCGAGTCACAGAAGGATTCTCCGGAAGAGCAGGATGCAGTGGTATCACGGGTGGTGGCGGTTGAGCCGCCTTCGATCTCTGATGCCGATGAGTATGAGTGGCTCCCTGGCCACTTCGATGTACGCTGTGTCCTACAGGAGGCCGAGGACACAGACTCCTACGTGGTTAAACTGAAAAGTGGTGAAGTGGAAATGGCACGCCTCCTTTACTTTTCTTACTTTCTACTCATTTCTCTTACTAACGCTCCCTTCTTCTAGATGCCATCCTCGCGACTTGAGACCCTCGATAATGGCCCTGAAGCTTTGGCTCGATTCCAGAACGCTGAAGAAACCTACAGCATTTTGTCTGCTTCTGAACCGACAGCGCCTTCCTCTAGCGAGGAATTGGAGTCCTCAGAGGATGAATCGCGTGCGAGCAGGAGGCGCTCCACCAGAGCAAAGAACACTCGTTTTACAAGCTTTTTTGACAGGATGGGGAGCGATATGGGGCTGTCTGACGACGAATCTAGTGACGATGTCATCTCCTCTGCCGCACCGAAGAAGCGGCGGTTGAGGCGCGGTCGGCCTCGAAAATCCCTATCGAGCACCCCAGACATCGACGGAGGTTACGCCCCAAAGGGGACACGGTTCTCGACTAGACAGCGCAAAACCCTTCGAGGCAACTTGCGCGAAAGATTTGAAGACGACATATCCGAAAATGAAGAGTCCTCAAGGACAACCAAGTTCTTCGGCGCGAGGGAAGTCTTCCGCAGAATACCACATAAAGATGCCTTCAGACAACGCCATCGAAGCACATGTGAAGTTTGCTATGGCCAGGGGGATGACTACAATGCAAAGGGACCCTTGGTCTTTTGTCAGGGATGCACCAGTGCTTTCCACCAGCAATGTCTTGGGCCTCGAGCAACTCGCGAGCACCTTGTTACCAAGGTTGCTGACGACTTGTTTCTCCTACAATGCCGTCGCTGTCTCGGTGTTGGTCATAAAAAAGACTCTTCTTCGCCTCATCAGGGCTTCTGTGCCGTCTGCAATGTCAAAGGGAACATGTCTGAGCCCCTTCGAGAGCGTCTAACTCCGAAACAAGAGCAACAGCTGCGTCAGGACAATGGGGGAAGCGACCCAGCCACACAAGTAGACAGTGACCGTATTAACAACGTCGACAACCTACTCTTCCGCTGCATTGGCTGTCATCGGGCCTTTCACTTCGAACATTGTCCTGACCCGTACGAGTCCACGTGGCAATGTCAAGACTGCTCCTCGGCCCCGGGTGAAGTCGCGGCCATGGTTGCTTGGCGCCCAAGTGATCCCAAGAATTTCACTCCTGGATCTATTGCAGAAGACATCCCGGAGTCACAGAAAGAATACCTCATTAAGTGGAAGGATATGTCTTATAGGCAGACAACGTGGATGCCTGGAACTTGGGTTTTTGGAGTTGTAAAAGGGGCCATGCGCCGCGCCTTCTACAGGTCAGAGAAGAGCGACGCCCCACGAATGACTAAGGAAGAGGCTGTTCCCGATAGCTTCTTGCGAGTGGATATTGTTTTTGATGTGCAGTATTCAGATGATGACGGCTCCCATGAGAGCTATGAAGCCGACCTAGCGCGGATTGACCAAGTCGCCAAGGCCTTTGTGAAGTTCAAAGGCTTACCGTACGAGGAGTCCGTGTGGGAGGAGCCACCGGATCCTAACGACACGGAGAGATGGAGTGATTTCAAGGCCGCCTACGAAGATTTTGTTCGTAGGGATTATGTCTCTACCCCTGCCGCTGATTCGCTGAAAAAGCACCTCTCCCTGGTCAGGAAGCAAAACTTCAAGAAGAACCTAGCCAGGGATAGCCAGCCGGACATAATGACGGGCGGCGAAATCATGGATTATCAGAAAGATGGCATGAACTGGCTGTACTACATGTGGTACAAACAGCAGAATGCAATTCTTGCGGACGAGATGGGCCTGGGGAAGACCATACAAGTTATTGGCCTGTTTGCAACTCTGATCCAGGACCATAAGTGCTGGCCTTTCCTTGTCGTCGTGCCGAATTCCACATGCCCCAATTGGCGAAAGGAGATCAAACAATGGGTGCCTTCGATTCGTGTGGTTACCTATTACGGTTCATCGACCGCACGGAAACTCGCTCAGGAATACGAGATGTTTGCGGACGGGGACTCTGATCTGAGATGTCACGTCGTCGTGACTTCATATGAGACCATGGTTGACGATGCTTCACGCAGAGTATTGTCCAGGATCCCTTGGGCGGGTCTCATCGTTGATGAAGGTCAACGCCTGAAGAACGACAAATCCCAACTGTACGAAGCACTATCTCGGATCAAATTCCCGTTTAAAATCTTGCTCACTGGCACGCCTTTGCAAAATAATACGAGAGAACTTTTCAACCTTCTCCAATTTTGCGACCCCACAATGAAGGCAGAGGAGCTAGAGGAAGAATACGGGGTATTATCGAAAGAAAATATCCCCGAGTTGCATAATATGATCCGGCCGTTTTTCCTACGGCGTACGAAGGCGCAGGTCCTCACATTTCTGCCCCCGGTGGTTCAAATCATCGTCCCCGTCTCGATGTCTGTGGTTCAGAAAAAGCTTTATAAATCCATCTTGGCCAAGAACCCACTGTTGATAAAGGCCATTTTCCAGAGAAGCGGAACAGAGCTGAAGCAAGCGGAGCGCCATAATCTGAACAACATACTTATGCAGCTGCGCAAATGCTTGTGTCATCCGTTCGTTTATAGCGAGGCTATCGAAGAACGGACCGGTGATCCTGCTGCTTCATTTCGACGTTTGGTAGACGCAGCCGGCAAATTGAAATTATTGGAATTGATGCTTCCGAAGCTCCATCAGCGGGGAAACAGGGTGCTTATCTTCAGCCAGTTTTTGGACAACCTCAACATTATTGAAGATTTTCTCGATGGACTCGGTTTACGGCATCGCCGTCTTGATGGAAGGATGACCTCCCTCGAAAAACAAAAGATGATCGACGAATACAATGCCGAGGATTCGCCATACTTTGCCTTTCTGTTGTCCACCAGATCAGGAGGTGTCGGCATTAATCTGGCCACTGCAGACACCGTGATCATCATGGATCCTGATTTCAATCCGCACCAGGATATGCAGGCGTTGTCTCGTGCTCACCGCATTGGACAGAAAAACAAAGTCCTAGTCTTCCAGCTTATGACCCGCGGCAGCGCGGAAGAAAAGATCATGCAGATCGGCAAGAAGAAGATGGTCCTTGACCACGTGCTTATCGACCGCATGGTCTCCGATGAAGACGATGGACGAGATCTAGAATCGATTCTGCGCCATGGAGCTCAGGCGCTATTTGACGATGACGATTCGGGAGATGTACATTACGACTCTGAGTCAGTAGACAAACTCCTCGACCGCAGTCAAGCAGAACAAGCCAAGTCATTGGATGAGAATTCAGAATCCCACTTCAGTTTCGCTCGTGTGTGGGCGAACGACAATCTCGATGATAACCTGCAAGGTGCTGAAGAAGACTCGGGACGCGACGCTAACCCGTCTATCTGGGAGAAGATTCTTAAAGAGCGAGAACAAGCAGCAGCCGAGGAGGCGAGAAGAAAGGCAGAGACGTTGGGGCGTGGGAAGCGAAAGAGGGCGACCGTTACCTACGTGAGTAATGATACGGAAGTATCCCCTCAGAAGGTTCAACGTAATGCGGAGAGCGACACCGAGTTCAGAGCCGCCGATGCACCTGAGTCCGAATCTGAATCTGATGGTGGTATATCTATGGCTTCTGGCGATTTGGAGCGGCCAGCCAAGAGGTCAAAAGGTATGTTCTCTTTCTATGTGCACATCTATTCTCTACAAAAGCTAATGCAGATGCAGTCCAACCCTTCCAACGTGCTCAAGCCGATGAAGACCTCCTGCTCTCCGTCCCCGATCGAGGTCCTGGGATTGTGGATGGACATAATGAGGATCGTCCGGCCTGCATTGCGTGTAATCAGCAGCACGCTGTTGGCTCTTGCCCGTTGAAAAAGGCTGGAGCCGAGCATTGCGGTCTCTGTGGACTGGCGCACTTTGGGATCTCACGCACTTGCCCACATTTAAGATCCGCAACCCAAGTGGCTGTGATGCTGCATGCTCTAAAGTCCAGCAATGAAGATCCTCGGCTTGTTGAGGAGGCTAGAAAGTATCTGCGCGGTATTCGCGGTGATCTGAGTCAAAGGCAGCGGAAGCAGCAAGCTCGCATGTCTGGCATGGGCACCTCTCCTGTTCCTCCTGTGGGTCCCACTGTCCCGACTACCGCCATGGCTCCTACGCTTTCTCGGTCTCCTGCCGTTCAAAATCCTGCGGTTGCTAGGGCTCCCAGTGCTGTCGGGTATCCTACTTCAATTCCTAGTTCTGATGGGCGCCATGGTACGGACAGCATCCCTAGATCTTCGGAGGTCACTCGACCTGCCATCTCACCTCTGGCTGGTATAGCTCCCAATGCTGTCGGGGCTTTTGGTGCCGCTGGTCCTGCCCCTGCAGGATCGGGTCTTATTGGGCTTCCGGGTTCTGAACCGCCAACCATGGGAAGAAGTGTGCAGGCGGAGTTTGATGCGATGGTGCGGCAAATTCGGGGGCCGAAATACGGATATTTCCCACCGAATCCTTTTGGATCTTGAAGGAGGCTTTGTTCTTTTTTGCAGGCGAAACGGGGCGAACAGGCGTTAGGATGGGGTGGGTGAAAAGGAATAGACGGGTATTGCCATGATGAATACTGGCAAGAGGCGCCCACGTGTACAACAGTTTTAATGTCCATACCTTAATAAGAAACAAGAGTGGTCACATGTTGAACATTAAGGTTTAAGGTTATATCCACCACTGTCGATAAAGAGTATGAATTCATCCCACATCTGTCCCACTGCATGCACCGTTTGTTTTGGGCAATTCGCAATGGTGTGGCTGAGGGAACAGTGCATGGTTTCCCGCTGTTCAAACAGGAGGTCAGGCCAGTGATCTGACGACAGGGGATCTGCAGGTGAGAATCTGGAGCCGTGGCAGACAGAGAACATCCCAGCACGCCGTCGGCAAAGCCACCATGGTCTGTACTCCCGCGAGACGGATGCCTCTGGATTCCACGTGGGAGACAACGAGCAACAACGCATGGAAAAGCGGTACAAATATTCTAGAAAAGGGCCGAAAGGGAGCAGCACGATGATAGTGGCTCCGACAGGACCAACTTGAGACAAAAGCGGCCACTGTCGAGCGGAATCTGAGGCGACAGACCGGGCGACGCGAGTGTTTGAAGATCAGAGCGGATGCTGCAGCCATCCGGGCAGACGTTGTACTGACCAACATCATCCAACAAACACTGGCCATTTTATACTTTGGCGCTCCTTTTCCCAATTGTTTTCCCTTTTGGTCTTGTGCAGGACATTTTTCCTCTTGTCGTTTCTTTTGCCTGTGCGTTGTCTGGGGCGGAGAGACTCGTGGGTTTGTCTCGTTGTTTTCCTGTCTACTTCTCGGGGAGGCTTCTTCTGCTTGCGCTTTTAGACGTGGACCGCCTATATATCTATAGGATTCTCTTTCCTTTGGATGCACTATCTGACGCGAATCTGCTCGCTTGGTTTGGTCTGGGATGTGAGCGAATATCCGACATCTGAGGCTGACAAGTCCTGTCTGTGCCAGTGAATCGATATCAACGGGGCTTGGATGCCATCTGCAAATTCGCTCCCTTCACTGACGTCTTTCTTCTCATCTTCTGTTCCTCCTCGCCCCGCCTCTCTTTTTCTCTTCTTTCTCTTCCTCCCTCTCTTCCACTTCCTCTCGTGGGTCGTCTTCTTCATCCACCTCCCATATCTTCCCTCTAGTCACCCACCCTCGTACTGATCTCTCCGTCTCTTCTCCCAGCTACTGACTACGACTCACAACAAGTCAAGCTGAGCTCAATCTTAGAGTATCAACCATGGCTTCTCTTCGTCCCCAGTTCTTCTGTACCCGCCCCAACGGCACTCTCACTCCCCTGATCGCCGTGGATGATCTTCCCTCGCACATTTCGATTCGCGGCGTGCCTCGCATCCTCTCACCCAGCGATACACAGGGCATGACCAGCCTGGGAACAGTGTCCCCGCGGGCTCAGTCTTACGTCGTGGAGGGCATGCCGCCAGCCTTGACCCGTCCCTCGTCTGCCAACGCCGCATCCCACCGCCCTCGCGATTATGACCTGCAGGCTTCTCTCATGAGGATGGCGGCTGACGAATCTGCCCCTGTGAGCCAGCGTATGGCCGTCAATGCGTTGCTCCAGCAGGGTATCGCGCAGAATTGGTGCGTGGCCAGTCCTTCATCCAACGGCTGGATGGTCCCCAACAACGGCGGTGGCGGTGGTTCTAGACAGGTAGGTGTGAGCTTTGCATACGTCTCCCACATTTGACGTGAACATACATTGATTCGTTGTCAGGGCGGTCACTATAATACGAAAAAAGAGTTCTGTTCCTACTGGATCCGCCACGGCGAGTGTGACTACCAGCAGCAAGGTGAGACTTGACGTGAACCATGTATATTCAAACCCTCTAACTACAGCCCCAGGATGTCTCTATAAGCACGAGATGCCCACTGATCCCGGAACCTTAGAAAAGCTTGGCCTGCGTGACATTCCGCGCTGGTATCGCGAGAAATACGGCATCCCCAGCCTTTTGCCCAACGGACATGCGCATCCTCGCTTTCACATCACCCATGCTCAGAACTGGAAGAATGACGAGGCCGACCGTGGCGCCATAAAATCTATCCAGTACCCTTCTCGTCTGGAGCACAACGGAACAATGGATGTCTTCGACGCTGAAAAGGGATCCAAACACAAAGCGGGCAACCATCTCACTTCCCACCACTCCCCCATGGCGTCTGGCCATTCCCGAGGCATATACATCTCCACTGGCTCGCCCAGAGGACCCGGAAACCAGAGACACGGCTCGAAGAACGGAAACAAAAAGATCGACCTCCTGTCGTTTGATCCCTTGCCCGAATACCCGTCCCTGGACGCCATGGGCAGAAACGCCGGCAGTCTCAACTACGCAGACGCCAGAGAAGGCATGTCCATGGAGAACGTCGATCGCACTCAGCGCGAGGACATGATCCGCAACATGCAGTCCATCATGCCGCCCACCATGGTGCCCAGCTCGGACTATGCGTCGGCGTCCATCGAGGGCCCCCCGACTCAGGGTCGCTCCAAGAAAGCGTCCAAGTCTCGTCGTCTGTACCAGCCCCGGTCTCACGGCGCCGTGTCCGACGTCAGCCTGGAAAAAGCTGACCTGGACTCCTTCCGCACCTACCACGCGCATGCCACCGCCTCCTCCAGCGCGGCCTCCGCCGTCTCCAAAGACACCGCTGGATCCATCCACGCAAGCCCGGTCCGCGGTCTGGAGGGCGCCATGTCTTCCAGCTCTCCCGTCCGTGGCGCGTCTCCGTCGGACCACTCGGGCACCTCCTTGTCGTCCGAGTCCAGTCCGCGCGGCGTCCGCACCAGGTACAGCGACAAGGAGTCCAAAGGGCTGCCCGCGCCGATCGGTAGCAACAAAGCCCAGCGCAAGCGGTCTGGCGAATCTTCCTCCGACGACTACTACTCCATGGCCGTGGACTACCCCAAGTAACGCGCGGTCCGGTTTTGTCCTTTGTTATGTACGATCTTCCGGTGAGACGAGAACAGCTTTCGCCAACTGATTTCTGATTTCCGACCTTTCCCTGTCGATACGAGGGCGGTCGATGATACATATGATAAACGGACTTCACTTACGAGATATGAGCTCTCCCAGCCCCTTTCTTTCCCTTTTTTACCTCTATGCTAAATATACCTATGCCCCCTAACCACACGATGTCGTCGATGGATGGGATGGGTGGAGGTTGTCTTGACGGTGCTTGCTTGCTTACCTGTAAATGTGGCACAGATGAACGGCACTTCGTGTACTGGTCATGGCTGCTTGTTGTTGTCTTTTCTTAGTCTCGCGGTTGTTGGATGACACCATCTTCGTTTGATGGATATGATATGACGGAGCCAGGATACAAACCCGCAGCGCGTGATTGAACTAGAGCCATCCTTGGTTCGTCATGGTTCCGCCTGCGTCGCTTGTCACTTGTCACTTATGTGGAATCTCTCTTCTTGTCTCCCTCGGTTCATGTTTTCTAATTAACCCATCTCCTTTGTGTCGTTAATTACATGGACTCGTGTGGAGTGTATTATAGCTGGAAATTATTCTGTCTATACTTCGTCTTTTGCTTTAGGAAACTAGTGAGCGGTACAAACGAACCTCTGATGTACAAGGCATCCCCCAATCTTACATCGTAACGTTCTTCCGTGAGGGTATCCAGAACGTTGTACAGGATGCAGGTGACATGTGCAAGTACCACCTCAACGTCGTCTATCCATGTCGGGAGTAACAAGCAGTAATTGTACCCGTAACCTGCCTGAGCCAGAGATCTGATTTGTTCTATCTTGAGAGTAAGTTCCCAGCATGGGAGTACCGGGTTGGGCCATATTGGAACATACGACAAAAGACAACCCTAGCAGTCAAGGAAGGATGGAGACGCAATGAAATGCTTCAATAGGTATAAGAAGAAATATAATACATTGAGTTAAAGTCTAATGACCTGCGATGCGCCGCCCTGATATTTTGAGATACAAAAAGAAAGCATCCATGAAACAGAAATATACATCCCTTAGCCAGCTGCCGTCTTGACATACTTCCGTTAGCGTAATCTCTTCTTCTGTGCTTTGGCGGAAACCTTGACGGCGACCTTCTCCCGCTCCTCGGTGGCCTTGGCGTTCAACGCCGGGTTCAAAGAGGGCAGGCTCTTGGTGGCCTGGGCAATGACCGTCTTGCCATCGATAACTCCCTGTCCTTCTTGTTGACGGAGCTTCCTTTCCGCTCGTCGAGCCTCGAGCTGCTTCTTCCGCTCTTCGGTCATCACCCACGACTCGGGGAAGCGGTGTCTGATCTTCGGTTTGTGGTGGCGGAGATCAAGAGGCACATCGGCAAACGCGTCGCCTTCTTTGGACTCCTTAATCAGGTCATTGACGATGTCGGCCAGGTACCGCTTGTTCTGGGCCCGCGAGGCGAACTTTTCGCATGACATGCGGACAATGTCCGTGTCGGGGTTGTACCGCGGGCCGACCAGTTTCAGGAAGGTCTGACGCTGCGCCTCGGAGAGATATTTCGGGGTCAAATCCTTGGTGCTCAGCTCGACGACGACCTTGTTCTCGGCCGGATGCTGCTCGCCCATGTACGTGGTGTAGCGGAAACGGAGGAGGTGCGTTTCAGGCGGGAGGGAGAAAGGCTTAGCCAGATCTAAGACGGTTAGCGAACCGATCGACAAGCGCATCCGGGAACATATCGCGATGCTTACTGCTCAAGAATGGCATATCCCAGGCCGCAATCCGGGCGTATTCTCTGATTTCACGGTGTAATTCGACCTCCGCATGGGCCATGGAGGTAATTTCGTCGTCGTTAAAGTCCTCGTCCGCATCCTCCACAAGACCGAACTCATCGTCTTCTTCCTCGGCCCAGAAGCCGGCCCGTTTCTCGCGCACATCTTCGAACCGCATGGGCTCGTCCTTCTCCAATTGCGATACGGATTTCTCAATCTCGGCGAACGCGGCCGCCCGTTTCACCGGGTCGTTGAATTCCTCCACAATGCGACGGTTCTCGGCGTCGAACTGCGCCTTTTCCTCGGGAGACATCATTTCGTACATGGAGCGCTCCTCCTTGGTCAGGAGATCGGGCGAGTACTCCGGCATAGGCGGCAAGTCCTCCGGACGAGGTTCCCGGGGAGCAGGCGGAATTGGCGGGTCTTCGGGCAGGAGGCGCGAGGGAGAAGCGCCAAACGAGCGGAACGGGATAGTCATGGGGCCTCTCCGGGCCAGAAACAGAGCCGACCGGCCCAGGGACCGTGCAACGGAGGCCATTGTGAGGGGAGGGATGCGCAGAAGATCTGTCGGCTGGAGGAAGGATTCGGCGATGTTTTTCGCGGTGGAAGTTGGAGGTTACTCCCGCTAAGCCTGTTTGGGAAAGGGCCGCTCACCGCCTTCCGCACATCTCTATGGATGATGATACTACCTGTACCATGACTTCCATCTTCTTTCTTCAATATAGGTCCTATCCAGGTGCATTTCTTGAGAGACAGTGATATGCGTCTTCTCGGTCAGTAGCCGTTGATTCTTCACAGCTCAAACCGTCTTCCAATCTCACTCATGAAGCTGTGTTTTGTGACGGTGGGAGCTACTGCTTCTTTCCATCAACTCGTGCAAGCTGTGCTGGAGGAGACATTCCTGAGCGCTTTGCATCAGGCTGGGTACACCCACCTTCTGGTCCAATATGGCAAAGACAGCCGGACTGTCTTTGAGGAATGCCTCCGACGATACTCCCCAGGCAGCCCAGGTCTCCACGGCATTGAAATCGATGGGTTCGATTTTAACCATGCTGGACTTGACAAGGAGATGCGGTTAGCACAGGCGAGTACGTCCGAGGGTCGCAGTGGCGGGTTGATCATCAGTCATGCAGGTAAGATGCCCTGAACTTGTTTCGTGTGTATTTGAGCGCCGAGGAACTGACTTGAGCCCAGGATCGGGGAGTATCCTCGCAGGACTGCGGCTGGGTGTGCCCCTTTTGGTTGTGCCGAATCAATCGCTCAAAGACAACCACCAGGAAGAACTAGCGAACGAGCTCCAAAGGCAGGGCTATGTGGTTGCCACCAGTGTTGAGTATGTCCCGATTCACCCAGAGGTCGTCACGAATTGCTTGCTCACTGTATCCCAGGAAAATTTCCTCTGCGATTGGCCGTGTGGAAGATCTGCGGGCTCAGATGTTGACATGGCCGCCTGTGCGCAGTGCAGACCGTAAACAGCCTCGAACTTTGGAGCAGGTCATGTCGGACGAGATGGGTTTTTTGGATTGATGCGGTTCTATTATTTGCTTACAGCAACGACACGAGATGATTCTGGGTGCGATGATGACTTGTTTTACAATGGAGGACCAGAAGGTTCTCTGATTACTGGATATCAATGGCCGGATGGCCTTACAGTACTATATAGTTACCTGGCGCTGTCTAACGTACGCTTCTACTTAACAGGGTGTTGACGAAGACAAAGTATTAGAAAACACTGAGGTATTTCTATGATATCACCAGACAATTGAATATAAAAAGAGATGTAGAAGTTTCCAAGAACTAGAAAGCAGTGTATGTATACTGTGTAGGTACATAGCGGGAGTGATGGGTGGCCCAAGCTCCTCCCGTGTTGATAGACGGACACGCGAAGTTCCCCGTTCTCCGTACTGTAGTCGGTCTGTCTCTCCCACTCCCTACCGACGCACTCTCGCTCACAACCCTCCGTCGCCGAATTCTCCTTCCAGAAGACTCCGCCTCTGTCCTCTGTCCTCTCCGACGACCCTCCCTGTCTTTCTCGCTCCCCGGCCGAGGGGCCTCACAACAAAGCGCGCGCTCCCCCCAAAACATCCACTCCCATCGCTCTCCAGACAACCCCCCACAATGGCCGAGGCCACTCTTCACAACGCTCCCATCGTCATCGACAATGGCAGTGGGACCATCCGCGCCGGTTTCGCAGGAGAGGAAATCCCATCATGCTACTTCCCGTCGTTTGTTGGGCGACCAAAACACCCGCGGGTGATGGCCGGCGGTCTGGAAGGCGACGTTTTCATCGGGCAGCGCGCACAGGAGCTGCGCGGGCTGCTGAAAATCCGCTATCCGCTGGAACACGGCATCGTGACGGACTGGGACGACATGGAGAAGATCTGGCACTACGTGTACGAGAACGAGCTGAAAACGCTGCCCGAAGAGCACCCGGTGCTCCTGACCGAACCGCCGCTCAACCCCCGCAAGAACCGCGACACCGCCGCCCAGATCATGTTTGAGACCTTCAACGTGCCCGCCCTGTACACGTCCATCCAGGCCGTGCTGTCGCTGTACGCGTCCGGCCGCACAACCGGTGTGGTGCTGGATTCAGGGGACGGCGTCTCGCATGCCGTGCCGGTGTTTGAGGGTTTCGCCATCCCCAACAGCATCCGGCGCATTGATGTGGCCGGCCGCGATGTCACGGAACAGCTGCAGCTGCTGCTTCGCAAGAACGGGCATGTCTTGCACACCAGTGCGGAAAAGGAGGTCGTGCGGATGATCAAGGAGAAGGTCTGCTACGTGTCGCTGGATCCGAAGCGCGAAGAAAAGGACTGGATGAATAGTTATCACAAGTCGGAGACTAAAGCGGTGGACTATGCGCTGCCCGATGGGCATAAGATCAAGGTACTGGTTGGCCTGATTGGCGTGTATTGGTGCGGAATCGGAAAACTAACTGAAGACAGATCGGACAAGAACGCTACCGCGCCCCGGAGATCCTGTTCGACCCTGAACTCATCGGGCTGGAGTACCCCGGTGTGCATCAGATTGTTCAAGACGCGATTACCCGGACGGATCTGGACCTGCGCAAATCGTTATACCTCAACATCGTCTTGTCCGGTGGATCGACGCTGTGCAAGAACTTCCCGGACCGACTGATGCGCGAGATTAAGCGATTGGCTGTGGAGGACATGAAGATTCGAATCTCTGCTCCGGCCGAGCGAAAGTACACCACGTGGATTGGAGGAGGAATCCTTGCTGGGCTGAGCACTTTCAGAAAAGTAAGTTGCATCCTGGCATGGATCTACACTGGGTATCTACATCTCTCGGGACATGTACTGACTGGGCCATATCAGATGTGGGTAAGCGCCGATGAATGGCATGAAGACCCTGAGATCATCCACCGGAAGTTCGCCTAGACCCTGCACGTATGCAAGCGTGACAGACGCCCCCATGCGCTGGATCAAGAGCCCGCTCCTTCAGAGGAGGCCGGGCCTCGCGTGATCTGGCCAAAAAGTGTCACCCAGTTGACCGGAGCGAATGGCTGCTGGGTTCCAGGATGAGCAGCAGCATTGATACCCCTCTTTCGACCTATAATCCGACTGCAGACGCCTCGTTATCGCGCTTCCTCGTGATGCAATTTCGCACAATCCTCCCCTTGACTTCCGTTGCTGCCTGACGACCATCTGCCAGGCTTCCTGCTCACCTCATGTCACACCATTTTGAAGTTTTCTTCCACCACCAGCGACAATCGCATAGACTTTGGTGACCGCTGGTCCTACGGAATTTTTGTTTGTTCATGTTGTTCTTTCAGGATATGAATTGGCGGCTGTGACGTGTAAATACCGGATAGATGAATGAAGATCTACATATAAATGTAATGACCGGGATCTGATCCTTGCATATTGCGGGTAGTTTGAACTCAAGCCCAGCTGCATGCCGAGCCTGCGCATACAGGCTACTTCAAACTAGGCTACTAATTGAGGAAGAATAATCCTTCTTGATGCCTCTTAATTCCAGTGATAACTAATAACATACATGGAGAGGTAAGGAAATAAAAAAAAAAAAAAAAGGTGCACATGTAATGCTATCCCCTATTGCCGATTCCAGAATCAGGCATGACAGGAAACGAACCCTGCGAGCAGGGTATGCAGATGAGTAACAGACTACCCAATAGATGCAGGTAGGTAGTAAAAACCAGAAGACAGGGTTCCGAATTGAAGGCCACTTAGGCATGGCAAAGGGGTATCAAGTCGACCATGTCGAACGGAGGACAAAAGGGACAAGAAATGTGGATGACAGGATTACAACGAGATAGATGATGTGTGGAATGGCAATGGCACTTCCAGGGAAGCGCCAGCGGAAACAGCAAAACTTTTTTTAGTGTCGTCAAGTCGTGAGTCATGATCGCAATGCCGGTGCTGAACGGTGTTGAAGCGAGGAGTAGAGATGAAAATAGGAGAAAGAAAGAAGAGTAAACAAGCACCGAATGTGGTTGAAGAAGGGAAGGACCTAGGCCATCCCCCTCAGCTTGCCCCAGCCGCGCTCCAGACCACGCAGGGCCTTGTCGCGGGCCATGGAGGCGGTCGACTGGGTACTGCTGGTGGTGCCCTTGCTGGACGAGGAGAACTTGCGGCTGAGGGCGCTGCCGGAGTCGCTGAAGACCATGTTGCCGGCACCGCCGCGGCCGACGTGGTAGACGGGGGCGGCGCGGCGCATCTCGCGCTCGAGTTCCTCGTCGAAGCTGAAGATGGCGCGCTCGCTGCTGCTGTGGACGTTGCCGGCGCCGCCGCGGCCGGAGGTGAAGGTGCTGGGGACGTTGGAGTCCAGACGGGTGAGCGAGGGAGGCCCCGTGGCGGTCTGCGAGTCGGTGGTCTTGGTGTTCTTCAGACTGATGACATTGCCGGCGCCGCCGCGCGCGGTGTGGATGGCCGGGTGGGAGGAGTGAGGGACGGAGGGATGGGGCTCAATGACCCGGTAGTTGACGGAGGAAGGCATGGTGTGTTGAGTGTGTAGTGAAGCGAGGTGTGTTGTCGATGGTGGTACTGGTGTCAATGGGTTGACACAAGAGAATGGAGGACTGGTCGAAGTAGGTCTAGTTGTATACTCGGGATGGACAGCGACAGGCTGGCGGGCTTAGAGAATGACCCATGCACGCAAAGCAGGCATAACCAGGCAAAGACAGAAGTTTGCAAGGACGAAGCCAGAAACAACAGGCCGACGGATGATATTTGAAGAGAAATCTCTGGACAGGACCACTTTGTATGTCTGGAACGGGGGACCTGGTGCGGTGGGGGGGGAAACCTTTATATACAAGGGCGATGAGCACATCGCCCCCCAGCAGTTACCAGCAGTTACCGGGGGAGGCTGCGCGCAGGGGTGGCCATGATTGCACCATCCGGCCAGGCACCTCCTCCCCGTTCCACGGTCACACGGTGGAGATCCGGTGGAGCATCCAGCAGCACATCATCATCGTCATTTTTTACTCCCTACGCCTTAGCTAAGCGTCTATGCGCGCGGTTCCCTTCGGCCTAGTTGGGTTTAGCGCGGGAGGCGTCAAGGCTCTGCGGCTGTGGGAGCCAATCAGTGCGGCAGGTGCAGCTCGTGACAGACAATTATTGGATGAAAAAACCCCACTTAGCACGATCATCTGACATGGTCGGCGGCAGCAAGCGGCGTGGCGAAACGTAACAGAAACTGGGGATGGAGCCAATCCGAGTTTTCAGGGGGTAAGAGAAATTCTCTGTCCGGTCACGAGTCGTCGTCGACTTGGCTGAGGGCCCAGGTGAGCCATTTTCACGCCTCGTTCTGGGTAGGTTATGACACGGGGTATGGGTTATTGAGAAGTAGAGGCTTAGGGTTTGTGGAATAGGTACTCTAGGCACTCGGAGTATATCTAAGAGAATAGAATAAAAATAAAGAAATAGCAATAAATCTACTTGTACGGTGTATAAAATCTACGGAGTACAGCATGTTGCATGGACCGGGCCGGTCTGCTCAAAAGAAAAGAAGAAAAAAGAAAAGAAAAATCCCCGCAATGAGTACGATTGCATCATTCCTCCTTGACCTTCCCTAAACAGATCCTCAACACGCTGTACAATACTCCTACTAGTATAGATGCACCCCTCACCTACACAACCTATTACTCCTGCCGAGACATTATTGCAACTTAAAAAATCGCTCAGTCCGAGTCCTCCACTTGGACGAAAATCTCTCATGGCTGAACACCGCGATGCGTGTCGGTCAATTTGGGATGCCACGGTTGCAACTTGCTTCTCGGAGGATTGGATTACTCGCTTTGTATCACCATAGCAATCCATTGACCAGGTGAGGTGCGAGGTGTCCTTGATTGGGAGGGAAGAAAATCCCAAATGACTCGGCTGACCGCCGAGGGAAGAATTTCCCCAGACTGACCAAACTGAGCAGACCGACAGGGCTGGACTCGATGGACGGTGGATCAGGAACCACTCGGCCCTGCTGCCTCGCCCACTGACCTCCTGGGAAAATTTTGTCCCCCCGCAGACCCACTTTTTTTTTTTTCCTCCTTGGATTTTCTGCTTTTTTCGGTGTGTTTCTTTACAGAGTAGTTACGTACTAAAAAAATCTTCCCCGGATTCTGGATTTTGGCCCCGGCATCCCTCCCATACATCATTGCGCAGGTACACAGAGAGACTAGTTACCTAACAAGTACTTTGTAAACAGACACTCCTTCCCCGCAGTCCATCGTCTTTCTCTCCCTCGGCTACTTCGGCAGTCCATCGGTCACTACTCCGTACACTATCTACCTTGGTACCTGGAAGAACTCGTGCCTCAACGTGACTGCTGCACCTGACGCTTCTTGCCACTTTGGCGGGCTCTTGGCAATCGCTAGTCGAATTGCCCACGGTCCGGTCACGAACCTCTACTCTATCCGGATAGGTACAACTCGCAAGAATCCAGATCTGATCTATGTAAGATCGGGCTTCCCGTCGTCCAACGTCATCTCCCGTGACCCGTCCGACCATCTGACCCAAGCCATGGACTTGGATCGTTTTACCTTCTTCTAGAACTCTCTAAACAGGCTTCTTCAGCGTGGTCCACGACGAGACAATGCGTTCACAAGATTACTGTCATCATCGTCATCCCCTTCTCGGCTTCTCCAGCCGCGCCATCCGAGACCGGCTCTCAGTCACCCTCGGTTGATCATAATCAGCCATACTCTGATGAAGCTCTTCCGTCCACTCTCTCTGCCAACCGGACACGGCGAAGCCTGAAGGGGCCCCGGAGATTCCACTCATAGTCCCTGGTTCTGAAAAAATCGGTCCTAAAAGATCTGGCACGTTCCGCGGCCATGCCCCAGCTCCAATTGCACAAGCTCTACCAAGTGCACATTCACAATGCCATCCTCTGTCTCGTATACCTTCTTTCCCCGAGTCCTGTTCGAAATTGAACCACCTGGTTGATCACCTTCAACGCAAGGAGATGTAATGTCTCCGGACCTCTTCTGGGACGGGTCCTAGATGGCCCGGGATCCCTGGGGATTTAGACCCTGAACCGGTTGTCGCACGCAAACCATCCCCAACCCCGCCAGATATGATGGCATATCTGAGCTCATCGGACACCCCGTCATACGTCTTTTCTGCTCAGTGAGGCCCTGGACTAGCGTTCGCTGATCCTGCAAGATGACAGTTTCCGCACAACTACGCCTGAAGTTATCATCACCCCAGTAGAGCAGATCCCCCTTGTCGTCGTCCAACTCGCCTCCTAAGCTGTCCCACATACATAATGACACTAAGCATCAGCAGCGTGGTGGACTTCACCCGCTCCAGGTCCCGCTCGACCAACGCAAGTCCGAATTTGCGCGCAGCCCTCCGGATACGCCCTATGGGGTCGTCTGGTCAGGTTGCTCGACGGCATCACTGATCATCTTGAGAACCGTCTTGCACTCATCCAAGACATCCTGTGCGGTGTCCAGTGCCTGTTTCGAACAGAATTGGGCCTGTTCGTCCACTGGAGGTTCTTCCCGAGCCGTGGCACGCTACAGATAAACGCAACATCACTCAATAGGCTCCGCGCCGACTCATTCACATTTTTCACCTAGTGACAGAGTGCAGAGTTTTACGGACATGTGGACGCCTATGTCTGCAATTTGAAGAATGCTGGCTGCGACGCCAAGGACTTCGAAGCCGGACATAATTCACATATTGTTTAGAAGGGGAAAAGATGTAGGACTACCGACACGAAGCGGGTTGTTATCCAACCTAATAGCGTCTAAGCTAAGGCGCCGATTGGCAGTCGTGTGGAGGTGTTGGTGCACTACTCCTACATCCGCTGTACTCTTTAGTAAAGATCAATCTTGTAGGGCATATAACATGTCTATTTGGGAAGTATTGTTGCCACTTGACCAGTTATCGGATAGTACAGGATATTGCAGGATATAGATTTACTCTCTGGGGAGATATCGGAAATCGATTAAGAGCATCTCATTTATCATGTAACAGCCACTCAATCAATCTGTCAACACTGACCATATCTATAGCTTCAGAAGATAATCTCAAAGCCGCCCCAAGTCTTTGGCAAGTTGCGGGCCGAAATTCCGTGAATGAGTCACTCATTGATTGCTCTGGCAGCCAAGACTTCGCTTCGTGTTCATATCGGCACAAAGACTGGCTCTACAGACCTCGTATAGGTCTAGACCATCTTCATCTTCCATCCATCTCTTTCGATAGAGCTTCACAATTCAACACCAGTCCCTTGCTGAGAAATCAGACGCCCCGAAATCCGGGTTTAGTATGGAAACAAGATAACTCCGAAGATGCTGTTCAAGCCTGCGGAGAGCTCATCCACCTCGGAGAGACGAGTGAAACTATAAAAGCCCGGATCAGACAGCACAGAACGGCAAACATTCATCAGACAATCCCAACCAGCTCTCAAATCAACCGAACTCGAACATAATTCATCCTCTGACAATGGCACCAGAGCTTCCTCCCATGCTAAAGGCCTCCAGAGAGGCCACCAAAGTCTCGTACCGACAACTGGGGAAGAGCGGACTGCGCGTCTCCGTCCCTATACTGGGAGGGTTGAGTCTTGGGTCTACTGAGTTTGAACCATGGGCACTCGATGAAGAGAAGGTATGTACTATTACCCTCCACGGGCCTGCATGCACAATCGCTAACTCTGGTACAGGCACTTCCCCTACTGAAGGCTGCCTACGATCGAGGCCTCAACACCGTAAGTATCCCCGTGAACTCCTCAGCGCAGTACTGATCTCAGGCGCAGTGGGACACGGCCAACAATTACTCGAATGGCAAATCCGAAGAGATCATCGGAAAGGCGATTCAGACGTACAACATCCCGCGGCACAAACTGGTCATCCTCACCAAATGCTGGGCCCCCGTCAGCGAGCACGAAAACGTGTATGTTGTCCCGTACGCGGACGAGATGCGCGCCGACAAGGAATATGTGAATCAATTCGGTAAGGCTTGCCGCCTGGACCCAACACAAGCACATACTAACAGCCACAGGTCTATCTCGCCAGGCGATTTTCAACGCAGTGGACGCATCCCTCAAACGCCTGAACACCTCCTACATCGACCTCTTCCAGATCCACCGGTTCGACAAGTTCACCTCGATCGAGGAGACAATGGAGGCGCTGCATGACCTGGTTCGATGCGGGAAGATCCGGTATATCGGCGCAAGCTCGATGCGGACGTACCAGTTTGCGATGATGCAGCATTGCGCGGAAATGCACGGCTGGACCAAGTTTGTCTCCATGCAGAACCAGTACAGTCTCCTCTACCGGGAGGAGGAGCGGGAAATGAACCGGTTCTGCGCAGAGACTGGCGTTGGTCTTATTCCCGTGAGTTGATCCTGGGTGCCAGTGAATATAGCGTGGGACTGACATATGATTTTCTATCTTAGTGGGGGCCACTTGACGGCGGAAAGCTTGCACGCCCTCTGTCGAAATTAAATGCTACTCCTCGGTCTGAAAATGGCGATCCCGACGTGCAGACTGCCGGGGCAACTATCATCAACCGAGTCGAAGAGCTGTCGCTGAAAAAGGGCTGGCCCATGAGCCACGTGGCGTACAGCTGGGTGAACAAGCGGGTTGCGAGTCCCATCATCGGCTTTAGCTCTGTTGAGCGGATTGATGAAGTACTGGCGGCAGGAGATAAGGAGTTGACCGCGGAAGAAGAGGCTTATCTTGAGGAGCCTTATGTCCCACGGGCTGTTTCTGGTCATGATTGATTGCAAGTGGGAAGTTAGGGCTAGTGACTGTAATGAGCTATAAGCCAGTCCACAACACAATTGAAACATGGAAACATGGCTAGAATCAAAAGGAAAGTTAGGTCCGTCAGGACGCAAATTACCGGTACAACATTTTAGTTAAAATGATCTTTCTTGGATCTCCTCCGTATATCCTTATTGATAATGCCTGCGTGCCTCTTCCTGGACAATATTATAGTCTATATAGCCTAGTAGAGGTCTAACTACTTTGAGACTCGTTAGTGAATCTTCCGAAAGTAAGCTCTACTTCACTTTGATTGATTCCCTGCTATTATTCGGCTCAACTGACACTCTTATATCCTAATAAAAAGTAATGCTCTGGTACATTGCTATAGCAGCCTTCTTTCCCGGCCTGGCTGCCTTGAATTTCTTCTTTCCTTTTCGTTCCCAATGGCCCACAGCCGACAGTCTACCTGGCCAGTCCTACTTGCAAGAGACTATGGATGAGAGGGTAGACTGTGTCCACCACTGCCGCCTCGAGAGACGTTTTCGTTTCAGCTACGGGTACGGGCCCGGAATGTAGGACTGCCTGGGTGTCGAGCTCGACTTCCTTGGATACGACCGCTTTGACTTGCCCCGGGACCTGGTCGAGCCTCAACCGGAGGAAGATGAACATTGCGATCGCAGTGAGTTTCCCGGCTCTTCTTTTGGGGCCGAGCTCCGAATTCATATCCGTACTCTGTCTAATGTCGTTTAGTGCGTCGGCTGGGTGCCACCTGGTGGAAACACTACCGGGATGTGGTCGATCACCATTTGCTTCGAAGCAGGGAGCCGGATGAGTTTCTGCATGTGGGCTGGCCGGAGACTGGGGGGGTATGGGTTTTGCACACCACCACCGACGAGGCCAGGAGTAAGGGGGTTGGCCTGTTGAACAACGCCTATACGATGCAGGAACGATGCATGATGATCGAACGTCTGGGAGGGGTCTTTTACGCCAACCCAACGGATTGTCCATACCTAGACCTTCCTCCAGCTACGGGGAAGTAATTTCTCCCTTCAGTAGTAATGAGGCCGCAGCCCGGCGTGGTTCAAAATAACTCCATGATAGTCGTCTCTAGTAATGATAATGACTTCAATCTTGCGTCGAGGTGAAGCAGACCAAACTCCCCAAGCAACATATACCCAAATCCTTAAATCTAAGAGGTTGATGAGCAGGTCTGTTTCAGGGACGCTTTTCCTGCCTCAGGCACCGATCCTCTATTCTGCCACGTATCACCGCCTTGATATCTCCATCGCGAAACCTCCGCCTCGACGTCCTTTTCCCATGCAACTCTTCGTCTCTAGCATTCCAACGAAATCCGTCTCCTACTTTCTCCTATATCACACTCGGTATATTTGCATCGTCATACCTGCAGTATTGTCCCATCGGATCCCTCAATTCGGAAACGCAACGCGCTCCCCAGCGCAAACACTAGCTTCATCGCCGCCTGCAGCGCTTCAAGGGCAGTGACAATCCAGAAGGCCCGCCCATCATGCCGAAATATAAGTACTCCCTTGTCCCCAGTACCACAGCCTCAAGCTAACCGTCACAGCACTCTTCTGTAGGTTTCCCCCACGTTAACCCTTCGCGATACTCATTCTCGCCGCCGCCACCGGCCTCAACCTCACATTGATACTGATCGTCGAATCCGCTAATCTAGGTGACTATTGCGACGTGTACCTCACGCACGACTCGATGAGCGTGCGCAAGGCGCACAACGCCGGCCGGAACCATCTGCGCAACGTCCTCGAGTATTATCAACGTAAGGCGTCGGGCTGGACATCCATCGCGCGCGTGCAAACTAGCTAACGACGAATACAGAAATCGGCCAAGAAAAGGCCCAGTCGGTCATCGACTCGATCACATCCTCCTACGCCGCTGAAGGCCAGGCCGTCCCCAACCCGGCCATGGTGCCACCCGGCGCCTTCCCGCCGCCGTTCCCCTTCCCGGGTACGTCGAGTCCTCCCGCAGCACGCATGTCCGTCGAGCGCTAACAATCCCAGGCCGACCAGGCCAGCTGCCTCCCCCGCCTCCGTTCGGCATGCCTCCCCCAGGCATCAACGGCGCCCCCGGCCTGCCGCCTCGTACGTCTCCCTAGCTCCCTCCCCGAACCGATCGACAGAAAGAGAGAATCTTCGAAACTAACCAGTCAAAGCACCCGGCGGTCGTGGTCTCCCCTTCCCGCCCCCGTTCCCTGCGGGGTCTGGTGCCCCCGCCGCCGGAGGTCTGCCCCCCCTCCCCAACATGCCCGGCGCACAGCCCTTCCCGCCGCCGCCGGGCGGCTTCCCTCCCAACTTTCAGACCCCAGCGCCCGGCGCCCCTGGCTTCCCTCCTGTGCCGCCGCCAGGCCAGCCTGGCTTCAGCCCTAGCCCCGGCCCGGGCATGGCTGCGCCTCCTGGCCAAGATGCATATGCGCCGCCCGGCGCTGGGTCCGCGGGTCTGCCGGGGCCGCCGCCTGGACTGGGTGATCACCGGTGAGATATGAGGTTGTGGGTGACGGTTTACTATGTTTGCTTCTTATTATACCTGATGTGGACTCTTGGGTTGACGGTATGGACTAGATCTTCTTTTCTCCAGCGTGGTTTTTTTTATTCTTCTGGCGTCGTGTTCTGCTTTATGTTCCAGAAAAGTCGGGAATCTGCTTGCGCAGATGTATTCATGGTGTACACATAGCAATTCATGATATCGGTCTCATCATAATGGGTAGTACCCAAACACAAGGACAGAACTACGGTGACGAGTGAATGCCAACACCATGCGTCAGCAACGCAGGCACTAGTATTATGACTTCTTTCCATACATGAAATCAAATAACACAGGGAGACCCTGTCTCGATATATAGCGCACACAGTTCAGAAACCCAGGTCCCGAATCTCCAAATCCAATGCTTCACAACGCCAGGTAAAACAACAAAAAACATCAATGAGTAAGAAAGGAAACGAAAGGAGGGTAATTGTCTGAGTGAGATGACAATGAGAGTGTAAGGGCTCGGGGAAATGAAGAGCATTTTTCAGTATAGCACAGTATACCTCGGAATATAGCCCACAATGTGAGACAGTAGTAAAGGATAGCGCACTAGGTGCCAGGAAGGGAAAGTCCAAAAGAGTAAATGAAAAGAAAATGTAGAAAGCAAGGACGACATGAAAACCAGTCGAATCCCGCGCTAAGAGCCATAACTTCATCTCAAGCAAGGCAAAACACAATCATTGTAACCTTTAGTGCTCGTATCCCGCACCTCTCTGCCACGGGCTGGGGTTGTTCTGTGCCCGGTAGGCCGGCATGCCGTTGAGAGGAGATGCGTTGTAGCCGCGTGGTACCGGTGATGGTGACCGAGCGTCAAAGCCAGGAGGACCCCGCGTAGCAGCGCCATTGTTACTGGGGAACAGCGGCACTGAGGGGTCCACCGGAGAATGCGGCGCTTGGCGGGGCGTATCATGCGGTTCCAGGTTCTGACGGTTGATGCTGGCCCCATTGCCGCTGGAGAATGATCCATTGTCATCGTCAAACGGACTGGATTTGTAGGCCGTGGTCTTCATGTCACCACGCGCAGTGGCGCCCAGCGCATCCAACTCCGTGGTCAGTTGGGTCTGCGACTTGATGAAAGAACCCCGATCATCCCTCATGGGCTGATACCGGGTATCGGGGTTCTTGGACACGACGGCATAGATCGAGGCGATAAGCACCAAGAGCAGGAGGACCAAGGCGAACACGGCGTTGATGACGAAGAAGACGACACCCATAACACCAGTCACCAGACCGGGCTGGTTAAAGACGTCCGAGAAGAAGAGCAGAAAGATGGAGTTGAGGAAGTTGACGGCAGCGATCGAGATGTTGTAGATATTGGTCTTCTTGTCCATCCATGGGCGCATCACACTAGCACCAATCAACATGGCGGCCTCAATGATGACCAAGGCAACAGTCTGCACGACCGGGGCAGGTTGACTAAGACCGATGAACATGCCCTTGACAAGGATGTAGGCCAAGACAGGAATGACGAAGTAGTATGCCGTTGCGCGATACTGCACATAAAGGAAACCCCACTTGTTCAGGCACGAAGGGTCGGAGTAAAGGATGTACGCAGGGTTTTTGTGCATGGTCACCGAACGTTTCGCCAGCATAACGACCTTGCACGCAGCCCATCCCAATGCCGCAAGAATCGACAGGAGCATGATGACAGCCAGGACAACTTCAGCGGCAGAATCATGCTGTGTGAATTCCCACAGGCAAAGCACACACATTTGGGGGAAGCCGATCAGGGTCAGTCGGAATAGGATTCCACGGGCGACGATCTTCCATCCGTTACGGAAGTCCTGGAACTTGTCACTCTTCATCTTACCGTTCTTGGCGAGGAGCTCGCAGACGCCTTTGAAGAGAGCGACAAGGAGCATGACCAGGGCGACGAATACGACGAAGAAGATAAGTCCGGTCAGGAAGATGTTCGTCTCCTCAATACCGGCCCGGAACCCAACACGGGTGATACCCCGGACCACGACAGTATTGGTGTTCGCGGTCTCGGATTCCGCTCCATCTCGTCTGAACAAATGATCTGATGCCCTCTTGAGCAGACCAGAGGCGGTGTCCAGAGATCGCTTCTTCCGCTTGAGCACTTCTACGGATGTTGTAGATAGTTTCTGGAGAGTTGTCGAAGGGGTTCCGCCGGTGGCCCGTAGATACCAAGTACAGATCGTCTCAAGGAATCCAACATGGATAATACCCATACTCCAGGCAAAGTTCTGGGTCCAAGACTGGACGATCGGGGGCATGTGGACGGAGATCATGCCAAACATGGCCTGGGACTGCATGAAGCTGAACAGGGAGAGCGCGTTGGCGGCAACGTGGGCGGCAGTGTTGGAATGGCCAAGACCCGATGTAATGGCAGATGCGGCCAGGCCCAAACCGGAGATGATTGCAGTCGTCCAGCCGACACCCTTCTGATACACGGTCTTTCCATTGGAGAGGGTGGCTTCGACACAGGTGATAGTTTCGCCCGTTTGCGTGGAGTTGATGTAAATGCGGACGGAGGCGTCAAGATCAGGAACCGTGTACGCGATGCCTACACATCACAGTTAGGGTCGGGGCGCAAGGACATGGTGGAGAGTATGGGGGTAGACTCACCGGGAATCGAATTCACGACATCTTGCGGAATCTCGATCTGAGCCTTGGGAACATCGATGGGACCGGTGTTCATAGGACAGAGACCCGGGAGATTCATTTCACAAGGGTCCAATTCCTTCTTCAAAGCAGTATAACCATAGGCATCCAGGACCAGTTCCGCCACGACCTTTCCAGAAATGGCGGCGACTCCGTCGAAACTGAATTCGAGGGTCCGATTCTCCGGGGTGAAGAGGACACTGAAATAGGTGGCAGTGAAGTTACTGCTATCCTGACACAAATTCAGGGCGTTGGATTCGATCATCTTCACCGCCGACACCAGCGGTGTCGACTGGAAGGCAACCAACAGGCTGAGAAAGAGCGTTATTAGCCGCATGATGGCGGTATTTTGCGGTCTCTAGAGGCTCTTCCGTGGAAACTAAATAGGGGACTCTTCGTAATATATGGAAGGTGGAGTAGTGAAGTGGAAGGTAGTACTGGTACTCCAGAGTACCAGCTTGGCGCCGGCCGGATGCGGAAATGGTCGAGGTCGTATTGAAGTGAGAGGTCTCGGAAGAATCGAGGATAGGCGGAGACGAAATCAAGTCTGGGGTTGGAGATGCGGCGGAGGAGCGTTACGATCTCACAGCGTCATCAAAAGGAGCCTAGGGGGTAAATCGAGCGACCGCAGGACCACGATGAAGATCCTATGAGGTAATTATGCGGTAGGGCGGCAGACAGGGAGTAAGGAGGTATGATAGCGATCACGGTCGGAAGCGATGGTAAAAGAGAGCGTCAGATTGTAAGGAACGTCGAGTTTGGAGCGAACGTGGGAGGACAGTAGTTGAAGCGAGTGGGACGGCGACACACAGTATAGCCGGAGAAGAGGGAGGATGGGGGAGGAGGAACCAGGGGATGGGCCTCAGGGTCCCGGATGACGGTAGATAGTCGAAGAGGAAGGAGAACGAGCGAACGAAGAAGAGGAGGAGGAAGAAGAAGAAAGGGGAGAGAATGGGATGATATCAGAGTATCTTCTCTCTCACTCTACCACGACACAACTTCAGGGAGGAAGAGTTGATGGAGAGTCGTGGAGTAGAGAGAGCGCTCAAGGGAGGGAATGAGTTGCAGGGAGAGACGGCCGGAATGCTGAGTCAGCACGATGATCGGGGGGCTTCTACAGTACTAACGTAATATAAAGCTGAGGTTGAAAGAAATCCAAGAGAACAGAATCCGTCTCATGAAAATATTATATTTATTATATTAATATCAAGATTAGTACACAAAATGCAGTGGCAGGGAAAGGATGGATGCTTCCTGACTGGCTTACGGGATACATACTCCGTACATAAAACTGTCAACGACTCTGTAACTTCAGTGCATACTCACAGTATGCACATCCCTTATACTCTGTACACATCAGACTCTATCGTGATCCTTCTTGTCTCCTCTCCCATCGACTAACTATCGTTATTATTGCAGCCTTTACTGCGAAACGGTCTTGCCTCTCCCATGCCCCCCACTGGCGCACGCGCGTCGTTCAGGGGGTTGGGTCCGCCCGCTGAATGCGGATGCGATGCTGACTTTTACCCATGGTTCACTGCTGCCTCTGATTTGCCGTGGACAGCCAAGAGGGAAAATTCTCCCCCCAAACCACCTGCGATGGCGAGATTATGCGCCGGGTCAATGGTGGAGTAGGACCTATGGAGTACTCCGGGTACAGTAAATGCAACAATTCGTCGCGAGCGAATTTTCGCCTTTTTCACCCTACGGTGGATCTCTCCTCTGCCGCTCATCTCAACTCCAGCGCTAATACAACTGGCTCATGGCGTGCGAACACAGCGGCAAGATCTCCATCATCTTCATCATCATCTTCTTCTCCTGGAAGGCAAACTCACTGGGGTCTTTCTTATCCTTCTGCCTACGAGGATTTTGTGCTCTCTCCAGTCTCTTCTCAAACACACCAAGTGTGCTATTAATAGCCATTGACACAAGTGTCTTTCCACGGTTCGCGCCGCGGCAAGCCCAAACTCCCTAGGCCCGCACGATGTTTCTGCAGCCATCTAACTGTCTCTCCCCTATCCTCGACTTTCACTCAGATGGCAGACATGCAGGGTCCATCCGGTGACTGTCTCGGACAGATCAGCATTAGCGCACAATGCCATACTTTAAGCATAATCGCGGAATACGTGTCCCCAACCCATCCCAGTGATGAGCAAGTCGAACCCAGCAGAACTCACAGTCGATGATGCGTCAGATGGACGTACAGTGTACTCCGTACTCGTATGCTCGTCTTTGGCCTAGGCCTCACGATCCTAGAAGAGACGCGGAAAGGTTAAATTGATTGCGAGGGCTGCACAGCCCCCTCGGTCACCGCACTCACCCCCAGCAATGATACGTACTAAGGTCATTACCTAGTACCCCTTCTATTAGTCTGGAACACGTCTGGTGATGGTCTTCTAGGCTCAGTCCTGTCTCTCTACAAAGTAAAGAAAACTCTCCCATCTACCAACTCCCTCGGAGGAGACCGTAAATTCCCCAAATCGCCCCAGAATGCTGTCCCTCCCAGACGACGATCCGTCCACCCTGATCAGCAAGCGATCATCGGCCTGGGCCACTATGTGAATGCGCGGCATGACATCAGCCATCTCCATTGATCATCTGTCTCTTCCCATGGTCAGTTGACGAAATTGAAGTGCGAGAGACAAAGCGCTGTGTTGTACAATATAAGAAAAATTACGGAAGCAATAATGTTAAATTGCGGTAGGATTAATGACGAAGTGGCATGGAACCATGGGCAGCCTAGTCCTATTTTTGGTACATGAGATTTACTCCATAACGCAGAACCAAACTTTCCTCCCGCCGCCCTCCCACTTTGGTCTGTGTTTTAGCTTTTCAGGGTCCTTTCAGGCCCAGATCAACTGGTTCCAGCTAGCGATCGTATATAAAACACATCTGTAACCTTGTCCCTCTGATGTTCTTGTGTCTAGAACGACTCTACTGTCAATAAGCCTATGTCTCAGTCTCGTGCATAATAGCCAGTACCGCTCACTGTCATCCGGCTCCTCCGGCAGTTTTCGACACCACTACGTAGGTATTTTAGCCGTATCTCGCTGACAGATGAGACATTGCAATGTACCAAATGGAAACATTGCATATCTATAGCTATTAGTTTGAGCACAGTTTCAGTCAGATTCCATGTGGCTGTTATTGCCGAGTCAAGTCGTTCACAGCCTCCTCATCAGAGCCCATCTCTTCGCGTCGTCTAGTTTTGCCTGTAATGAGCGCATATCTGGACCGCCTCTTGCCACATGGTGTATTCGCCAAGAGACACTATTTCTATTTTCAAGTTAACTATCGTTCGAAACACATTGCCATTGATATATTCAACCTGACTTGTGGCAGTCAGACGTTTTAGTTCGCTGATAAAGTGTAGTCTGAGGTTTGCGATGCATTTAGAACCTGCTATAATGGGCCGTTCAACAGCGTAGGATTCATCCAATTGTCCAATTCTTAATGAAGAATGGCTATAATTCATATAGATACAGATATAACAACCCTTCATGCACTGCTTTCAAAGCTATCTATTCACGACCTTATATCACGTGATGCGTCCTCGGTATCCTGTCACTCAGGATATCGAAATTCGTCGACTTTTATATTTGCTAAGGCATTTGGGTAACTTCATTTCCTTATTGCTCTCGTCGATCTCTTCCTAATGTTTGTCAGATAATGCAGCAGGGCATAGTAGACGTTGACAGATGGTTCGGATACTGCCTTTCAAGCCAGGCAGTAGTCCACATTAACTTCTGAGAGTCTAGTTGACCGGAAGATCACTGAACCACAAATATGTGTTCTCTTTCCATGTACCTCTCATAAACCTGTTCCATCCTAAGTAGGACCTGGTTACCAAATTTCACCGCACCCATAATCGCGGCAGTCTATGGAGTACAGCAGCTGCTCCGCCAAACCACTCCTAGCTTACGGCAATGTCATGTCGTGTCCCAGATGAGGAAAGTTGGTCAACCTAAGGTTCATATTCTTAAACATGGCGGTATCAGATTTTGTCGAGGACACGGTGGGGCAAGCTTCAACTCCATGAAGCGGTTTATAATAAGCAATTGTCGCTGGTTCTAGTTAGACACGTACGTCTCAAGCAATGGAACATGGTGCTGTTCATACATAGCGGGTGATGTTTAGCTAGAAAAGGCTTACCGAAGCTCAATTCCCCTTCTTGATACCACTATGTGAAAGCCTATGGCTAAGCTTTAGAGAGGCCAAAACAGTTCAGCTGCCAGAGGTCTGAGCATCCTCCTAAAGGGAAACAAACCTCAAAGAATGATATCGAACTGGATGTCTTACGCGGCGAGCCGTCCTCATTTAAAGTGAACCTTACGCTTCTCGTGACCAGACATACAGGGCACCCCGCTGTCGGATGTCTATAACCGATCACAGCTTGTGTGCCAGAACCTGCCTAGTGAATCGTCCATCTCCAACCCTCAATCCTGAATACTTATATTCTGGTATTGCTGCCCGGATACCACGGAGCATTAGCCCATGGTACCATGGGGCTATTCCTCTGAGTAATGACCCGCGAGGACATGCAAAGGTCAAGGAGACCCCAATACTAACAACAAGCTTAAAAAGCCCATCTTATGCTCCTCAAGTCAAAAATATGGTCGTCCGATTCGACTTCCAAGACAGAATCATTGCCGTAACTGGCACGACATCTGGAATGGACTCGAAACCACAAGGCTTCTAGCAGCCAGTGGCGCAACCCTATCATTAGCGGATATCCAACAACCGTCTCGGAGTTAAATGTACTTGGTCGCGCAAGAGCCATCGGATACGTCGACGACGTGTCCGATGCCAAAAAAAGTCGGCGAGTGGATCAACAAATCAGTCACCCCCTTCGGCAAGTTGAACGGCGCAGCTAATCCGGCCGGGGTGATTGGCAAAATCATCAACAAGAGCACTATCGCCGATCTGAGCGAAGACGACTGGGAGTTCGTGTTTGGCGTGAATCTCAGGGGAATCATGCATTGCATGCGAGCGCAGATCAACGTGATGAGAGACGCAGGGAGCATCGTCAACGCGTCCAGTGTTGCCGGGGATATGAGCTTTGCGAGAAATGCGTCCTATCCGGCTGCGAAACATGGTGTTATCGGGCTTCCAAGGACGGCAGTCAAGGAAATTGGGGACTGAGGAATCCGCGTCAGCGCCGTGGCCCCGTAAGATAGCCTGCCTGTGCGAACCTATGTATGTTATTTGCTGGCACGCCTTCTAGAGGTCTGATCGATATTCCGATGCAGTCCAAGTCGGCTGAAATGAGAGGACGGGACTGGGAGTGGACATTTGCCATCAAGGGTAAGGGGAGATCCTCTGAGGTGGCCCATTTGGTTGCCTGGCTGCTGTGTGATGTCTCTGGTTATCTCAGCAGAACAGTGCAGGCGATCGATGGGGCTTGGGCATGCTAGCTGTCTGTCAAATGTTGTTGTCCATGTTTAATGGATGACGTTGTTGAGATAGAGTCCAGGTTCCGGCATGCGGGACTGTGCTATGGCGTGTGAAACGGCATGTCCCATTTTGTCGATGTTTCCATCTACCGGTGTATAACTACTCCGGCCATGCAAGAACCAGTTTCCAAGCAATTCGAGAATCCAGGCTCCGAACAGGCCCAAATCTACCCTGTAATTAGATCCCACCAGAAGTAATATCAAAGGAATCAAACGTTATGCAAGGTACAGCTGATCCCACGCATATTGGCAGCTTTATTGCATGCTGGGAAGATCTTAATTCTTTGCCATCGTGGGCAGTGTTTAGATTAGATCTGCAGAACCAGGGATACGGAGACGTTCGTTCCACGGTACCATCCCCCCAAGATCTATACGAGATCGCAAGTATACCTATTCCGTGGGGGTCAAAATAATACTCTCGTTTGAATAATGGATAAATTAATGCAGCCTGTCATTGAACATTGTGGTTGTGGTTTAGAAGGGGCTGGTCTGATCGATTGCGGTGGCTGGGGACTGGATCCACCACAAATTGCCGGAGATTCACCAACGTCCGATTGAAGGATTCCTGTCGTTAACGTGCGAGATCTCTGTTGCAGTCCGATAATTGGCATATTAATCTTGGACTGCCTTTCCGTCCCAGCGCAGAGCATTGGGCGAGTCGGAGAGAAAATGTGATGAGTTGGCGGACGCACAGCCAATGGACCAGGGGCGATGGTCGTCCCGGAGACATCACAGGGGCCAAGCGTCTTAGTCGTGGGATTCTCGGGCCAGTGAGGAGGGCCGTCACTCTGGGCTTTCTTTTTCCAGGGCACGAGCACTGCGTTCCTGTTGGCGGGTCACCGCTCGGTCCACTGTGGGTTGATCACATCTGTACAATACTCCTACTCTACTCTGAATCTTCGCCTGTCCCTAATCGAAGGAGCCATCAGATACGAGTAGATACTTGTAGTGCGTGATTCTCGAGAGTGACCCTCGTCACGAACAATCGCAGCCATGATGGAATAACGTATGATCAATTTATTACATCCAGTAAAGTGGCTGTCTCATGTTGTGATGGATGAGCGACCAGGTATCACAATGCCGCCCAAAGCAAATCTTCCAGGTTACAGATCACACACTCTTGGGTCGCCCTGGACGAGATGAGCTCTGATGAATGTATAAATACTGCCTGTCGCTCCTTACTTTTCCTTTCAGCCGGATTTCTTGCACGGGCGAACTCATGGACCCCGTCCCAGCCACCTTGCGTGGTGATCGCTGGGGCAATCAGCAACGCCCACCGTACTCGGGGTAGAATCGTAGACTGTAGAACATAGAACGTAAAATTGTAGAGCCGGTGCTGGTTGATGGAGGAATCTATATAAATATATTCAAGATCTGGTATTAAAGCAGTGGAATTTAGAGTAAAGAATCAGCCAACACCGATACTGGGCCCGTATGCTGCTGATTCTTTTCCAACGGGGCTGCGTTTGTTGTCGGCCGCTAAGACGAAAAAGCTCCGCCAGCACATCACATTCGGTATTATGATCACGATCCCACCAGCCTTCGTCTTTTTCTCCCTCTCGTCTTCTCCTTCATCCCCGGCCTCTTCCGCAATCTTCCCTCTCCTCTGCATTCCCCTTGATTGAATTTTGCTTCTTCCCATTCCTCTGTTCCAATCCCCAGGAATGTGGTTCTGATCCCGTCCGGAATGTGTCAGTGGTGAAACTTCCGACTGACTTGCTTATCGCCTTCGATTGAGCTGGACAAGACAACGGCCGGTATACCTAACTTGGGCACACACCTACAAAGGTCACCTCCGACACTGCGAGAGCTGGAATCTCCCGTGCCAGTTTCTCCTCCTCTTCCACTGGTTCCACCGACCGATTCTTCCTCCATTATACCTCTTTGTCTCGACCGCCTCCCGCTGGTAAGCTCGACTCTCTCGTCTTGTATACATCTTCCCCTCTCCTCCCCGCCACCGCTTCTTGAATCACTCCCTCATCCATCCCCCTTTCATCCCCTTCACCGTCCTGCACATCGAGTGTCCGATCGGTAATGACCGTTCATATGTCCGGCAGCATTCTGGATTCGATTGCAGACGCTGGTCCTTCTCCGCATTGAACTTTCCCCTCCGCGCATCCTTCCCCTGAAGACCTCCAACCTACTCCCACAAAGAAGGGAAGACTGGACAGAATCTGAGGGGACTAGATCATCACCAGATTCACCCACACGGAGTATGATTGTGTCTACTTGAGAGAGAAGAACCACAGTCCCCTCATACCCTCCTCCGTCATGGGCGTCGATACCCGCAGACCGATCTTACCCGCCCCCACTGAATCCATTGTCGACACGACTGGTGGCAGCGCAACAGCAACTGATCTGGCAACTGACATCTCGCGGCGCACAGACAAGTCCTCCTACTCCATTCCAGACGACGGGAGTCCTGTCACCATCTCCACCCATCGGAAACACCGCCCCCGCGCGGAGGATTCCAAACTGTCCCACTCATCCCACCACTCCCAGACCTCCCTGCTCATCGAGTACTTCGAGGGCGGGAAGGGTTCTGGCGCTTTAGTCTCGCGACCGAGCGTGCGAGTGCGAGTCACTCCCTCCGCCGGCCGGAAACACAAGGAGCACGTGCAGATCACCGACTCCAGCGGGAAAAAGTCATACTCCCGTCGCATCTCCTTCAGCTCGCCCTCCAAGCAAAAGTCGCAGGGCGAACACGCCGGGGACGACCAAAGTACCTCATCGAGTATCGGCACCGATGAGAACCAGCAGTCCTCGAGTCGTCCGCCAGTGGAGATCGAGCTCATGAACCGTGACCACACCAGCGAGCTCTCCACGCTTTCTCGTGACGCGAGATACATTCACCCCACCTCCGACATCTCGTCGATGCCGGCGGATAGTCTGCTCGAAGCCTCATCATCTGGTCCACGGCGGAAACGCAGCCAGAGTCTCGAACGGGAACAAACCCAGGATTCCAAGGTGTACCTGAAGACCCCTTCGCGACAAAGGAGTCGCAGCCTGAGTACTGAACGCATTGCTCATCGCGTAGCCGAAAAGCTCAGCAACGATCCCCGCGAGGTCGCTACCAGCAAAGACCCACAGTCCGAGAAGTACAAGGGCGATCCCCAGCAGGCCGATCCTAAATCTCCCCGGCGGCGACTATTCCGAGAAGAAGATATGAGTCCCGAGTCCAGTCTTCTCAGCGCTTCGGCGGTGTCCTCGCGGCGTCGGTCTGGCGATCAATACTCCATCCGCTCCGGTACCTCCAAATCCTCCATCAACAATCCGAAATTACTGGAAACGGTCGAAGATGCCATCCGGAGATTGATCTTGCCCGAACTAAAGGAGCTCAAAAAGGACCAAAAAGTCATTTCCAATACGTCCAAATTCGAGCGAGACATGAATGCCTCCTACTCGTCTACCAGCTCGCCCAAAGACGAACTCGGTAGACGCCTTTCCAAGCACGCCAGTGCACCCAACGTCAGGAAACCCAAGGTCGTGCTCAACAAAGATAGCCGCGACGAAGGCATCGTGCTGTCTGGAGAATCAGTTCCGTCGCAGCAAGAGCGAAGGCCCAGCAAAGACACCGACACAACGTCAGATGGAAGTTATGTCAAATGGGCTCAGCGCCCGGAACTGTCTGAGCAAGATAAGCTGCGCCGACAGAGAAGCAAGGGTCTCCGCGATGCTGAAAAGGCTGCAATTGTCGGGTCCGCTTTGACTGCTGCCGCACTCAAGCACCATGACTCGCGCTCCAGCATTGACAAGAACGAAGGCAGGAAGGCCAGTGGCTCCAGAAGCCGCGCTGGAAGCATCAATGAGACCGAGCTGGTCTTCCGAAAACACAACGTAGCGCCCATGCCGTTTCGCAGTGCAATCGAATCAGACATCACGAGGGGTTCCCTTCTTTCCGAGCAGACAGCCGAGCCCACTTCACCTCGCTTCGATTCCAAAACCCAGGACACAACTCACGGGTCACCGAGACAGCTCGCGTCACCCACTTCCCGAACACCCACCCGCACACCCTTGGATTCGCGGTATGAGCTCAAACATAGCAACCTGTCAAGTCACAACTTGTCGATCCATAGCTCTTCTGATCACGATCTGCGGGAGAAGAGCCGCTCGCCAGGGAGTGATGCTTCTGCGGGAGCTATTGCTGCGGCTGCAGCGGCCAACCTACTAGACGTCCACTCTGGACATCGTGGCTTGGATTTCAATGATATCAGCAACCGTCGGCGAACGCTCAGCCCAATCCAAAGTGTTGCTAGCAATCAAAGTGAATCTCACATCAGACAAGACTCCACCCACCAAGGTGAGCAAGGCTCCTTGAAGGACGAAAGGGAACTCGAGCCCCGCCTTTCCATAGATTCGCTTTCCTCCGCGCCCAGCACCGATCTCGCGCGATCGACTCGTGATGGTCCCAGCTTTGCGAGTCAAAGCGAGATTATGCGACACCACAAATCTGGACCCGAGCTGGGATACGAGCAGTCCCCAGGACAATCGCCTCGGCCTAGAGAATGGCAAGAATACTCCGATGTGGAAGGTGAACAGGATTATCGAAACTCTATGGCGGAGACCACCAGTACTGAGAATCGACGAATGACCGGTTACACAGAAGAGAGCGATGTCGACTACATGGAGAAAGTGAACCAAGGTCAACCAGTTGCTGGGATCGGGGCAAACCCCCAGTATGTTCATCCAGTGGCAGTAGAGTCGGCCGTTGCGTCTCTTCTGGATCCGTCTATCCTCGATACCAAATCCAATCAGTCGGGAGGAAACCGTTCTCAGGCGAGCGAGCCTCGCCAGCTTGGAGATCAGAGCCCCAGGCCGATGGAACGGGGCTTACAGACACCTCATGGGAGTCGCCAAGGAAGTCCTCTAAAGCAACGTCAGGATGCGAGCCCGGACGCGACCTCTTTCCCCCGACGAATGGGTGCGACTTCGCCTCCGCAAAGCGTCACCCAGTCGTTGGATGACCAAGCTGAACCCTCGCATATGTTCATGGATCCTCTTCACGATGGCAGCCCCCCAGGTGGCCATAGTCCTGACTCAGAGTCCGAGATAAATACAAACCCCTCCATCATCCAAGGTCCCGCCCACGAATCCAAGTGGACTTATGATCACACTCCTCCTAAGGGGGCGCAATCACCTTTGTTCGATAATGCCAATGTCGCTGCAGGCAGTGCAGGCATGGACCCAATGGAGAAATCAGGGTACAATCAGAACTATTATGCGGAAGATGGCTACGAAAACGATGGTTACTATGATCAACAGTATCCCAGAGGCCATATGTTCGATACGCCATCGGGGCTCAGAGATGAGGGATATGTCTCGGCTGCCAATCCTCTCTCCCCGGGCGCAGAAACGCCTGAAATGGCTGATAAAGGGTTCGGCGGAATTGACGCTAATGGCATGGGCTTGTTTGACAACCCTGCCGGGGCCGATGATCAGTTCATGCCGTCTCACCAGCGACAAGTCAGTGGATACTCCCACGGAATTGGCTCTCCTCTGTATGACAGTGCTACCGGCCGTGGAATCGATCAGATACAGTCAAAGGACATCGTTGCTCTTATGGATCATGTGAGTCTCTAGATGGCAACCAGACGCTGGACGTTTTCACTAACATTATACAGCTTACTGTCCGCGATGCCCAACGGAATGCTCGTGATACTGAGATATTAGTGACCCTAGTCCGGAGTGCGGCCGAAATGCGCAACTCTTTTGAAGAGATGAAGAAATTCATCGCTCAACAAGATGGGTTGCTGATGGAAGCCAGCGATAAGCAGCACGACAGGACATACAGGGCCCTTGGCGGACCGCGTCCCCTGCCGGCCAGCGGCGCAAGAAGCGTTCGTCAGTCCACTATGGACGATGGCGATGACATGCGTTCGAAGCGGAAGAATGTCTTTAAGCGTGCGCTCAAAGGTCTTAGCCTCAAATCCTCCAACGACCTGACAAAGATTGAGGAGATGTTGGAACAGCTGCTTGAAGAGGTCGAGGCCCTACGGGCTGGCCAGGATGATCGATTCCCCAGCAATGGCAACCGAGGCCCCAGCGTGGACCCTGAAGGCTACGAACCGGAAGGCCAGGCTGGAACCGCCTCCTCTGGAGCTCATTCTGGATACCTCTCAATGTACGCCCGTCCAATGCCGGATTCCGGTGCAAAGGCACCAGGTGTCAGCAACTCCCTGGAGACAGGGGAGAAGCTGCGACCCGATGATCGTGGGGCGTTTCTGAGCCCGAACCCAACGGGCAACATTAGTAGCCAACAGGAAAGAGCTGGATCTGAGCCTTTGTCGAGCCCTCCGCGAGTGCCTGTGGCTTCGGGCGCTCTCAGTAACGAGACCACCCCGAAAACAAATGAGAAGACACGGAAGCACAAGTCAAGCAGTTCCTCATTCTTCCCCAAGATATCGCGATGGTCCAAGACCACAGCTTCCTCGATGGGGGACAACATCCGACACAGTATACAGCCGTCCCGCAAAGACCGTGAGTCCTTTGATGCGTCGCGTTCTGGATCTGACCTGGCCCATGGCCCGTACCGGACGGCGGATTACTATGATCCCCAGGGCGATGACAGACTGCGGTCCAACTATACGCTAGAGGATCAACAGCAAGAGAACCGCCCTCCGTCACCTTTGGTTCCGTCCCAGGTCTCGGAGGCCCCGAAATACCGAGCGCACCGGGACAGTCTAGATCTCCAGCATCCCCAGCCGCGCCAAGGGCCTACCGGGCGATACCAGTCGCAATTGGAAAGCCAAGCTCGCATTTACGGCATGCCGGCGGGCGCTACCTATGACCAGTGGGGTTCTAACCCCAGCTTGTCTGGTGCCAACGCCATCCAGGGATACGGCGGCAGCCCTCTGTCCCCGATCTCCGATGCGGACATGTCGGAAACCAGCTCACGGGCAAACCGACAGCCGGGACCCCCGCGGCCTCCCAAGATCAAAGATGACGGCCCATTGATTCCGGAGCGGGCGTCCAAGGTCAGCAGCAATGATGACGAGCGGTCTTACGGCGATCGTGTTGTCTCAAGGGTAAGTCCACCATCCCTCCCTGATTGCGTCTACCGGTGCTAACACTGTCCCAGAGTTCTGCCATGAACGCCTCTCCGCGTAACACACCACCTCCCCGCAAACCGACGGGGCCCCGACCACTGAACTCCGGTAGCCAGTACAGCCCCAACAGACGGAGGAGAAGCCATTATCAAGGAAGCCCTGACCAGGTTGATGATGAGCATTTGTACTAATTCGGTCTCTGATACCCGGCCCCCCTTCTCATGAAGTGGTTGGCCAGTATTTGCCTTTTCTTAATGATGTGATGACTTTTGAGTATTTGCGGTGTTTCCTCGTTTGCCATGCGCGCCTTGCATGAGTAGACCATCACCAGACTTCTTGTTTGTTGATCCTGTGTATCGATACAACGTCACATAGCGATTCGCTTCTCATCTGCATATTTTCGTCTTAGGGAGTATATGAATGCAAGCAGGAGTCGACAGTGTCCATAGTAAGGATGATTGAATGAGTATAACTATCAAAGTTGGGGTTCAGCTGAGTCATGCGGGGAACTCCGTTACCAAAAGTGGGGGACACAATTAAGCTTCATCCCCAGACCTCAACACTCCAACCCAACTCCTCAAACAAGTAGATCAGAAGAAAGTAACCATGACCGACTCTCTAGACCTGGCCATCTGTTCCACCTGCGGCACGCAGTTCTCCGTCCCAACCGTCTCATCATGCAAGATCTGCGATGATCCACGGCAGTATATACCTCCAACAGGGTACGTAGCCTCTTCCACTCTCTTCACACTCTCCCAGCAGTAAAAAGACCTACATACTAACGCAACCAGTCAATCCTGGACAACCCTCCGTGCCCTCCAAACAAGCAAAAACTACCACAACGACTTCGTCCCGGACACAACCCACCCGGACGCGCTCATCGCCATCCACACGACCCCCAAGCTCGGCATCGGCCAGTCCGCCTATCTCTGCCGCACGCCCGCCGGCAACATCCTCTGGGACTGCATCACGTACCTCGACGACGCGACGATCACCCGCATCACCGAGCTCGGCGGCATCGCCGCCATCGTCATCTCGCACCCGCACTACTTTTCCACCCATCTGGAGTGGGCCGCCGCCTTCGACTGCCCCGTGTACCTCTCCGCCGAGGACGACGAGTGGATCGTGCGGCGCGGGCCAGCGCAGGTCCTCTGGGAGGGGCATAGACTGCCGCTGCCGCTGCCGCTGGGACAGCCCCGGGGCGGAGACAGGGCCTGATTTTGAGGCCGTCAAGACCGGTGGGCATTTTCCTGGGAGCGCGGTGCTGTGGTGGAAGTCGCGGCGTATGCTGCTGATCGCGGACACGATCATGGTCGTGCCGAGTGGGATTTATCATGTCGATCGCTTGCCCGGGACGACGTCGTTTTCGTTTATGTGGTCGTATCCGAATATGGTGAGTCTACTTGCTTGGTTTATTTGCTTGATCTTCCATAGGCGAAGGGTGCTGACAGAGTAGATCCCGCTGCCGCCGGATGAAGTGCATGGGATCTGGAAGGCGATTCGGCATACCGAGTTTGATGAGACGAGAGGCGCATTTAAGGGCCAGGAGACGCATGGTGAGAGTAAACGACGGGTATTGGAGAGCGCGAAGATTGTGGTGAAGGCCATGGGGTATCTTGATCATGCAATTCATCTGGAAGAGTGTTGATACCATTGCATGGAACTACCGGCGATTACATACGATGCTGGACAGTGGGTAATAATATAACACATTGCACCTACTATCGTACATCGCCATGACTAGAACAAGAGAGAGAGAAAGCAATTCACTAGAGATCAGAAAACGGTCGCACAGACGTCGCTCCACGACCACGAATGTGCTGTGGCTCAGCCAAGGAGCTATCCCCTGGGTTGTCACTCATGGGAAACTTGCCTGGGAAGCTTTCCGATGAATGGGACCGGGGCAGGTTGTTGAGCTCCAGCACCGCGTGAGAATCGCCCGACAACTGGTGTGCGACGGAGTCGATGGACCACAGCCGACTGGAGCTAAACCACGGCGTCTGCGGGATCATGCACATGTACTGGGCTGCGGACAAGGGAACGGTCTGGCGGAGATGCGCGGACGAGCGCGACGAGTTCCGTTTGCCGGGCGTCGAGTAGACGGAGTCGCTGGTGGCGTGCTGGCTCCATGCGGGGATGGAATCCAAGATGTCGAATTCGTATCCTTCCTCGTCGTGTCTGTCTTCTGTCTCGATCCTCTTTGGAGGGATATACTGCAGCGAACGGAGTGCCGGGCCCGGCCGGATCGGTTGTTTGCCCTGGGCCCGTGGGATCTTGGACGGTCCGTACTTTTTCACAAAGCTGTCTCGCTGTGGGAGACTCTGAGTGCTAGCCGACGAGGGCGACTGGAGCTTTAGGACTGGGACGTCGGGCTTGGTAGCTGCGCGCAAGACTGGCAACGGGAGGATTGCCACGCAGATGTCTGTAATAACTTGCTCCTGGCGCTCGATTTGCCGGCGTGTCCAGTGAGCTACTGGGGATTGTTTGCTGCGCTGGTTGACTCGCAGAATGGCGTCCATAGCTTGCAAGCATTTCAGACTAAGAAGGGATCGTATGAGGGAGAGCGCTTGTCGCAGACTGATGGTCATGCGGTGGTCCTGAGGGAGGACATAGTCGTCGGAGTGAGTGGACATTTCCGTTTGGATCGATAGCATATGGACTATGGACTTGATTGAAGAGTTGAGGTTGAAGTGCCCTTTGAGCAGATGTTGAAGGGTTTCGGCGGGTGCCGGAGAGCTTTGGAAAGTGCGACTGACAACATCCTCTCGTTGTGTATTTGATATGGATGTTGGTATACATCATGTCTATTCCATGAGCATTTCAAGGTGAAAAACAATATACTGTCATGGAAGAATATCCACCGTCTAGCATGAGCAATCTTGGGCGTTAAGATTCATGTCATCAGCCGACTTGCCGCTGTTTATGAGGAAACGGGCAGAATATGATACAGCGGAGACGATGTGCAAAGCCCTCACTGCAGCCGACGACCTGCGCCGCGTTCAGCAGACGCAACAAACTGGTGAGCCAGAGAGCGATATCAAGTCTGTGGAGGTAGATAATAACATTCCTAACTGATATCGAGTAATGATTGAAGTTGAAACAGCAGTTAAGTCACAATATCATATCACAGATTGCACCGATAAATGAGCGGAGAGTAACAGCAGCCCAAAAAATCCATCTGATCTCAACTTCCCTATTCCGTAGTGTCCACTGCTTGAAGAGGGGACGACAATCCGACACGGTCGAGAGTCCGAGTGTATTCAACACCACCATGCACCCGGTCTTCGCGGACAACGAGGTCCTTGCGGTTGGTATCAACCAGGAGGCGGATAAGATCCGGACGCATATAATGGCCGCCCTAGCATGAATTGTCAGCATGTCACTCGAAGCACGAGTCTAGCATCCTTACAAAGTCGGCCAATGACTTGGGAAGTTGGCATTCATCCAGATCAATCTGATCCAATTAGCATTACCCCTCTGGTAGCAATGAGGCATTATCAACTCACATCTACAAACAGCAGACCTTGAAAATCCCGGTCAGGGTGCGGGACGAGACTCTTCCCGTCGGGCCCAAAGATACGGCCGTGCCCGTTGTAGATGCGCGGATCCTCCAGCTCCTTACCAGACGGCGTATTCAGCTTGATGCCTTCTTTGGTGATCATCTGCCAGGGAGCCAGAGTATAGGTGCCCGTCTCAATAGCATACGCTGGAGTGACGAGCTGGGCGGTCTCAATCAGTCTTCAGTCACACGAGTACTCGAGAAGAGACCAGGCTTTAACTTACATCTGCATTAGCTTCGGCGATATTGGTGAAGGGATCGGGGTACTTGAGTGTCTCCTTGCCCGGGTAGAGCGGCCAGGCGGCAACATGGACCTGCTCACCCAGCGAGGCCGCGTAGGCCTTCATGAAGGGGTTCATGTTCTCCCAGCAGTTCAGATGGCCGACACGGCCAATTTCTGTCTTGGTCACGGACTCAGTCGTGTCCCCGGTGCCATCGCCAAAGACCAGACGCTCGACGTGGGTGGCCCGGATCTTACGACGGTGGTTGAGGACTTCGCCAGAGGGCGAGATGAGGACCTGCGTGGTGTACAGACTGGCCAAGTCCACCTCCGAGTAGCCCAGGGACACGAAGATCTTGTTTGCACGGGCTGCCTCGCGGATGCGACGCATCTCGTCCGAGTCGGAGGGCAGACTGTTCTCCCGGTACTTTTTCAGCAACGGCAGACTTTCCTGGTAGTTGACCTTCCACGCCCAGTAGGGGTATCCGGGAATCCCTACTTTATCAGCTAGAGGATCCTAATACATGGTCGTAGCCAGTCGTAGCCGGGACACTCACAGAGCTCGGGGAAGGCGATGAATTTACATCCAGCTTTGCCGGCCTCGTCGATCCAATGGATCGTTCGGCGGACGGACTCCTCAAGGTTGAACCAGCCGGGCTCAGCATTGACGGCCGCGGCCTTGTACTTCTTCAGGATGGGAGACATGATGGTTGATTGACTTGGATCAGGATGGTAGCGGAGGTTGTGCTTGTCTTGTGTGTGTATGCTCTGATCAGTGGCGGGAGAAGCCTGCCTTTTATGTCTTCCTTTTCGCCGCAATGGAGATTCCGTCAGTCTCCATCGTTTGCCATGAATGCATCACGCGATCCGGACTGTAGCACATCGGTCTTTGGATTGTGATTGCTCTCGGACGAGTATCCCGTCGCGATCTGCTTGAGCACGGTATCTGAAATGAGTGGGTATTGACACGGGTGTACGGGGTTTGGTCTGTAACACCAGGCACGAACTGGTTGCAAAATCAGACAATTCAGGGGCTTTTTCAAGATAATAGCGCTCTTGATGAGGCTATATACACTACATGTACACTACGTAGGAGCTACATGTTGGATCGCACGACCTGCTCATATTGGATTCGTGGCGAGGTCACTTATTCGTGCAGACTTGTCTCCTAAATCATGAGTTTCCCTGCTAGTAAACTAGAGTAGCAGTAAATACATGACATTGGAGAGTCATAAGCATGGTGGGAAGTAAGCTGGTTAGGGTATGGGGATACGCCCCCATCCAATTGCATAGGGATCTGCTCTAGTCCCGGGATCTGCCATACGCCCGAGACATGGTACGACATTGCAGCGGGGTTCGGTAGAGACGCTACTCTCGTTGGAGTAAGCAATGATGTCCTGCTTTATTTGTCAGTATGTTCAGTGAATATCAGTATCCTTAGACAACCCTAACAATCGACTACAGCAATGCCTCGTTAATGTAGTGGTTGAGCCACGTCAGATGGTAGGGACGAAGCTACTACATTCTGACCCGTTGACACATCTTATCCAGTCTAGGACCATACATCTAGATGTATTGATGCCCCAGGACAGTTGTTCCCAGATTGGTTTTCTCCA